CACTCTCGCACAGCCCGGCCTGATTCGCATCTCCATCGGCCTGGAAGACGCGTCGGATCTGATTGCCGACCTGCGCGAGGCGCTCGAGGCGCTGTTGAGGGGCGAGCGCTTCGACCTGCCTGGCGCTGCGAGCGCTGCTGGCAAGGCCTGAGCCCCCCCCCCCCTCTCTTTCCCCTCTTCCCCTCCCTACTTTCACCGCGATCACAGTCGTGCAAATCGATAGGGGCGTCTCATCATCATCATCTATTACCATGCTGCGCCCGTTCCTGCGCCCCACCTCACGTCTCCATCTCATCGGGCTCCAACGGTTGAAGCGCCGCGCCCACACCGGGGGGCGCCGGCTTGATGTACTCCTCCACCTCCTCCTCGGAGATCGTCTTTGGCCTTTTCGAGTCTGCCTCTCCCTCTGGCTCATCGCGTTGCCTCTCCGCCGCCGCAGCCGACGCCGCGGCCTGCTCCTTCTGCCACTGCACATGTTCCTCCTCGTAGCCCTCCAGGCGCATGTCGTTGATGCCCAGATCCTCGTTTTGCTCGTGCGAGCGCTCATAGTCGAGCGCCTCGATTTGCTCGTCGGCGTCGGGCGCATATGGGTTCTGGATGTAGCTGTTCGCCAGCGGATCGTCGAGAATGACGGTGAAGGGACAGCATTCGGCACCCATGGCCGCCTTGAGCTTGCCGAGAAAGGCCTCAAACTTGCCCGTGTCGCTGCGGCTCGACGAGTCGCCGGAGAGGAGGCGCGTCGAGAGCTCGTCGTACACCTGCTGCAGCAGGCCCTCGAGCGTCGTGAAGCGCCCGCCCAGCGTGCCCGGGTTCAGGTGCAGGTCGATCTCGGGAATCGACAGGCCGGCAGACTCGGACTTGAGCAGATCGCGCGAGAGATCAGAGGCATCCTCGACGCGCAGCGTCAGCTTGCGCCCCTGCGCCGAAATGGCAGAGCCCGACTTGACTTCGTTGTCGCGATAGCCACACGCGTCGCAGTTGGTCGACATGATGATGATGTCCTGTCGTCGCGCGAACAGACCGTCAGCCCATGTGCGGGGCACACCAATGGTCGTGTGAGAGGGGCGCGCCTCACCTTGAAGTACGGAATGGTGACCTGCTTCATGAGCGTCTGAAGCGGCGCCGAGCACGAACTGCACGTGCCGTCAAACGCAAAGACCTCCTCATTGTCGAACTCCGTCTCTCCCTGCTTCTTGCTAAAGCCTCCGCCCTCGTCGCGCTCAACCGTCGTGGGCGCCTTTGGCGGCGCGGCAAGGCCCAGCACCGAGTTCTGCTCGACGCTGCGTGCATAGTCGCGCTTCGTCCACTTGTTGTCTGCCGCGCCCAGCTGGCCGACGGCGCCGGTAAACTCGATAAACGAGTTGCCGGAAGGATCGTCGAGACGCAGACTGAAAGGCGCAAACTCTCGCTGCTCTTTGGCCACCTTTTCGCCCTCCTTGTCCTCGCCCAGAATGGAGCGCAGCCTGGTGCAGATCTCCTCAATCTTGGCATACGCCTCGGGCTGCGCATGCTGCCGCAGAGGCTGGTCCATGGAGAGGTCGCGCAGCGTGTCGGAGACGATGCCTTCGACGGTGGTGAGCTGGCCGCGCTTGGGCGGGATGGAGAGCTCCAGCTCGGGGATCGTGAGAGTGGCAAACTCGGACTTGACCACTTGCCGGTCCAGATCGTCGGCCGAGGTCAGGTAGACGGTGTACAGGATGCCCTTCTCTGCAAGGGAAATGCGTACAGTGTGAGCCAGCTGGCCACGGCGCCCTCGGACGGCGCGCAGCGAGGCGAGCATCTGCCAGCAGCAGTGTCGACACAGCTCATCGAGGCGCCAGGACTGCGCGTGGCAGTGCACACCAGATCTGCCCGCCACGCTGCTGCCTCGCGGCTGAACGTGGCAGTGGGTTGCCCACCACGCTGCTCCCTCCTGGCTGCGCGTGGCAGTGCACGCCAGTCTGGTGGCTGCTCCCTCCTGGCCTGCCTCTCTCGCGCGCCACACGCACCCTGGATCTGTCCTGCGCTCTGGATCTCGTTGTTGCGCGCGCCGCAGTGGTCGCAGTGGAAGGAGACGACGATGACCTCCTTGAAGTAGGGGATGTAGGTGAGGAGCATGCGTGTGGTGCCATTCTGCTCGCACGCCATGCACAGCGACTCGATCTGCTCGACCATGCGCGGCGCCGCGCCGTCGGGCACGCCCGGCTCGGCGTCGACGACGTGCTCGCCAATGGGACGGAAGAAGGGGTCGGCGGACATGGCTGGCGTGTGGGTGGTGGCGGGGGAGAAGGAGGCGTCTGTCGTGTGCTGCCGCCTGTGTGGCGCCGCGCTCGCCTGTGCCTTCCTCCACCTTCGCCTCACTCGCACACGCACTCGCTGCTCCCACGGCTGCCTCGCCCGCACGTGACGCGCAAGCGCCCGCTGCGCCCAATTCTCGCGCCTGGTGGCCAGCGGCCGGCGCGCGCTGCTCCACCTGTCTTCCTGCCGTCGTCCTCCCTTGCCCACACCCACACTCCCTCGCCAGCCTCAGCCTCAGCCTCAGCCTCATCGCAGCCCTCCTTTCCCACCCTCGTCCCGCCTCTTGCGTCTCGCCCCCGCCTCCGCCTAGCCCAGCATGGCTGCCCAGGGCCAAGATGCCGACCAGAACATCCAGATCTGGGTGCGTGAGGCGTGAGGCGCGAGGCCGTGAGGCGCGAGGCCGTGAGGCGCACGGCCAGCGCCCGACGCCCGCCGCAGCGGCAGCGGCAGCCCCCGCTGACATTCCCCCGCCGCCCGGCGCCCTCTCGTCGCGTGCAGAAGGTCCGCAAGCTCGTCAAGGTGAGGCGCCGCCGCCGCCGCCGCCGCCGCCGCGTGTGGAGCCGCCAAGCAGCAGGCGACTGACTGCGCTTGCTGCCCCCCTCCCAGAGCCTCGACGCCGCTCGCGGCGCCGGCACCAGCATGATCAGCCTCGTCATCCCGCCCAAGGTGAGCAGCGCACGTGCTCCTGCTGCGCGCCTGTCGAGCATCACTGACCGCTCCCGGGCAACAAGTCGCAAATCAGCCAGTTCTCCAACATGCTGACGCAGGAGTACGGCACGGCAAGCAACATCAAGTCGCGCGTCAACCGCCTCTCGGTGCTCTCGGCCATCACCTCGACGCAGCAGCGCCTCAAGCTCTACAACCGAGGTGAGTGCCAGGGGGGCCGAGGAGCGGAGCGCGACGGCCATGGCGCACGCTGCGGGGCGAGGACGGCGAAGGCCACGGCGCACGCTGCGAGGCTCGCGCGCACGCACGCAGCGACGCTGACTGGCTGCTGGCCCCATGCCTCAGTGCCGCCCAACGGCCTCGTCATCTACTGCGGCACCATCCTCACCGACGAGGGCAAGGAGAAGCGTGTCAACTTCAGCTTTGAGCCCTTCAAGCGTGAGTTGCGCATCTTTGCACGCTGACGCAGCCAATCGCGCACGCTGACCTGGCCTCGCGGCACCCGGTACACACACACACACACAGCGATCAACACCTCGCTCTACCTCTGCGACAACAAGTTCCACACCGAGGCCCTCTCTGAGCTGCTCGAGAGCGACGCAAAGTACGGCTTCATCATCATGGACGGCAACGGCAGTCTGTTTGGCACGCTCAGCGGCAACACGCGCACGGTGATTCACAAGTTCACCGTCGACCTGCCCAAGAAGCATCGTGAGTGTGTGGCGCATGTTGCGCGTGGCGAGGGGGACATGGAGGCGTTGCAGACCGCTGATGGGCCTTGTGCAACCAGGACGTGGTGGTCAGTCGGCGCTGCGTTTCTCGCGTCTGCGAGACGAGGCGCGGCACAACTACGTGCGCAAGGTCGCCGAGGCCGCCGCGGGCCACTTTCTGACGGACAACAAGTGCAACTGTGCGGGCCTCATCCTTGCCGGCTCGGCCGAGTTCAAGACGGAGCTGGGCCAGTCGGACCTCTTCGACCCGCGCCTGGCCGCCAAGATCATCCGCACCGTCGACGTGTCGTACGGCGGCGAGAATGGCTTCAACCAGGCGATTGAGCTCTCCGCCGAGTCGCTGGCCGCCGTGCGCTTCATCTCCGAGAAGAAGCTCCTCACGGCCTACTTTGAGCAGATTGCCCTCGAGACGGGCAAGTACTGCTTCGGCATCGACGACACGTTCAAGGCGCTGGAGCTGGGCGCCGTCGAGAACCTCATCGTGTGGGAGAATCTCGAGACGATGCGCTACACGCTGCGCGACTCGGAGGGACGCACAAACATCCTCATGCTCACAAAGGAACAGGCGGCCGACAAGAGCCGCTTCCAGGACAAGGCGACGGGACAGGAGATGGAGCAGGCCGAGGAGCCCGTGACGTGAGTTTGTGTTGGCCCCCTTTGCGGCTGCTGCGTCGTGCGACGCCCGGCTCGGGGCTCTCGCTCACACCTTCACCCCTTCCCCCCCCCCTCTTTCGCAGGGTGCTGGAGTGGCTGGCCGAGAACTACAAGCAGTTCGGCACGAATTTGGAGTGTGAGTCTTGTTCTCTGCGCGCCACTTGTTCCTTTCGGGGCCACGCTGAACGCTGTGTGCAACGCTGCCCCAACTAGTCGTGACGGACAAGTCGCAAGAGGGCCTGCAGTTCTGCAAGGGCTTCGGCGGCATTGGCGGCACGCTGCGCTACAAGGTGGCCTTTGAGGACATGGCCGTGTTCGAGGATGACGAGGATGAGGTGAGCAGTTTGGCCCTGGCTTTTGCCCTCCCTCCCCCCCCCCCCGTCTCTCTCTGAAGGCGCAGAATGGGCTGACCGAGTGTGCCCCCGTCGTGCCTGCCAACAGTTCATGTCCGACTCGGACGACGAGTGACTTGCCCCGCTCCCTCCGGCGGCAGCGGAGGCTTTCGAGCGCCGCGACTGGAGGGGCAGCGAGGGCGTCGCTGGCGTCGCTGCATCGCTCGCGGCCCAGGGTGCCACCCTGTGTTTGCGCGCGACAACGACGACCTCGGCGGCGGCGGCTGTACCGCGCCGGGCCAGCGCTCGGCTGCATGCCTTGCGTGCGCATCTTCAAGAGGCGCCGCAGAACAAGCAGGCATGCATGAAGCACTGCTGTGATGGCTGCTGCTGCGCCGTCGCTGCCGTCGTCGGCGAGACGGCGTCGCCACTGCCGCCGCTCGTTGTTCGGCACTACTTCGACGACGACGACGACGAGGGCAGCATCGCCAGCGTCTGCGTTGCCTAAAGGGTGAGAGTCGCATTCACACATCAGCCCCCTCGATCTGACAGCCACACTCGCTGACTTCGACATGTCCGCTCAGTCGCGCCCCCTAAAAAGCCAGCGCGGCCCTCGCTTCTCTCTTCTTGCCCCCCTCTCGCTGCCTTCGTCTCGCGCGCGCTCTTTGCCCCACCCTCCATTCTCGCTCTGCCCTGTTCAGCGTGCTGTGTGATGATTCGTGCTCTGTTCCTTAGCTCTCTGCTCTCTGCTCAATCCCGAGTGCCCTTCTGAGCTGCTCTCACGCACGTGGGCTGACGTGTGAAGGTGAAGCGGCCGACATGGAGCCAAGTCGAGTGATGTCGCGCAGACGAGAAAGAGAGAGAAGGCGCTGCCCCACGCAACGCGCGACGTGGCCTTGCCCTCTCCGCCGATCGGAGACCGCGGCGCCAAGGTGCTGGTGCGGTGCTCTTTAGCGCCTCGCCTCTGTTCCCCGCCTTCCTTTCTCCCCCACCATCACCCCCCGGGCCTCGCTCTCAACAAAATGGCCGCTCTTCTCCTGGCGCCCTTTGCCTCGCTCAACGGCGCGCTCGGCGTGCCGCTGCACGCCACGCTGTACCCCTTCGCCGGCGCCCCCACGCTGCACGCCGCCCGCGTCTCGCTCGCCTATCGCGGCCTCTCGCGGCGCGTCGCGCAGGCCGAGGGCGCCAGCTCCCAGCGAGGCGCACTGCTGGATGGCGCGGGCTTCTTGGTCATGGTGAGTGTGGCTCTAAGGCTCTGCGAGGCGGCATGTGAGGCTGATGCGCGACACGCACGCGCGACAGGCATGGGGAGGCTCCTTTCTCACCAACTATCTCGTCGGCTCCGTGCCCATCCACCTCCTCTCTCCACTGCCCTTTCTCAACTACATGTCCGTGCATCTCCTCCTCGGCGCGCTCCTCGCGCTGCTCCCCTCGCCCAACGCCGCCGTGCTCGACACGCTCGCCGCGCCCCTCGACGGCGCCACGCGTGCGCACGCCGTCATGCTCGGCGTGCACCTGGCCGCCACGCACAGCTCGCCCATGGTGCGCAACAGCTTGATGGCACAGGTTCTCCTCGGCACCCTGGCTGCCACCGGCGGCTCGCAAGCCGCAGGCACCCTCTCCGTCTTTTCCTCGCGCGGCTGGAGCTTCTCCACACCTCCCGTGCTCCTCGCCAGATCCTTCACCGACCTGTTGGACGTCTTTGCCGCGCTCCTAGCTGCTGTCGTCTACGGCGCAAGCACGGGCACGCATCCTGCGTACGCCTCGTTGCGCGCCGCGCTCAACGGCGGCAAGGCCGACGTGCTGCTGACGCCCGTGGGAAGCAAGGCTGCAGCGGCACTGGTGATTGCCGCCGTGTTCGCATACCGAGCACTGCTGCTGCACTGGCTTCCAACGGCGCCGCAGGTGAAGCAGCAGGCGACGAAGACGAAGGCTCAGCTCGTCGAAGCTGCGAGCCCTGCGACTCCAGCGCACAGCACGAGGAGCACGCGTGCGAAGAAGAGCGCATGAACCTGCCAAGCCGCGGCATCCGGAGCTGAGGCAGTGCAAGAAGAGGTGCTGCTATTTGCGACTGGCAAGGGTCATCAGGTACAAAGTCGAGCGTCGGAGGTGTAGAGAGAGAGGCCGGAGACGGGTCATGAGAAGGCCCGAGGCACCCTCTCTCGCCATGCTGCGTCTGCAGGCTGCACCTGCCGTCTCCGTTGCGCGTGCGCCCCTTGTTCGTGGCCCCTGAATCTTCGGCGTCGGCCTGTATTGGGGCGGAAGCAAACGCACCGACTCCTGTGGCGTCGTTATGAGAGAGTGTCAGGGACATAGTGGAGAGAGCAAGCTCGGAGCCGCGCGGCTATATATGACGAGGACGAGGACGCCGCAGACAAGCCGTTCGTCCTCTCCGCCGCGCCGGTGCCTGTTCGGGTGGGCCGATGCCGCGGCATGCCCTCGGTGACCTGGGGCTGTTGCGCTGAAGAGCTAGGGGGGGCCGAAACGGCGCGGATCTCGCGGCCGACTGGCGCCGTGGCTGCCTGCTGCGGCAGCTGCGACGCTACAAAGGAGGGCTATTCTGGGCTCTGGCTGCGTCAGCGCAAGACGATGAATGCAAGGCCCTTGGTTTTGCCGGAGGCCCCTGAGAGGGCAGGGCTGCCGTGCGATGCCGGAGGACAAAGAATCAAAAGCCGCACAGCGCACAGGCGCGCGCATTCCGCCCGCCTCGCGGAGGACGCCTTCACGTCGTCGCGATAGCCGCGCTGTCTAGGTGCTCGTCTTTTCTCTGTGCCGAGCGACTTGTCTCGAGGTATCACGAAGCGCAGAGGAACGCAAGCACGCCTCGGGCATCTATTCCTAGCACGCGGGCCAGCATCAGTTGCCGCGGCTAGATGATGAGCGCCACGTCGCTCATCAAGGGACACTCAAGGGTCGGCCGTACCGCCCGAGGGGCGCGCACAGCACGAGGTGCGCAGCCAATACACCCCCCTGAGCGAGTCAGCGCTTTCGTCATCCTCAGTGTGCCCATGCACGCAGCGAGAGGCAGCAGAGCTCATCTCGATATAGCAACCTAGAGTGGCTATGCCTTGCCACGGGTCAGCTCGGGAGCGTCACGCTCACGCAAAAGGCGCAGCTCCTCGCTGGTGGCACATAAGAAGTGCGGCCCTGCTCACCCTTGGCGTCCCATCGCCGGCCCTCATCCGACGAGTTGCATGCAAGTTGCATGCTTCTCCCTCCTCTCTCCTCGCCCCTCATGCCGCGCGATCACTCTCTCCCCAGCCTCACCTCCCTCAGTGGTGGCAGTCTCAGCAACGGCAACAGTCGACCTTCCTCTCCTCGCGAGCTGCACCTCAGCGCCATCGGCGGCGGCATCAACGGACACTCCAACGGCGGCGGCGGCGCAGGCTCGACGAGCCACAGCGTCACGACGGCTCCTGGACCTGCGGCCGTGGCGCACAGCAAGGCGTTGGATGCGCAGATGCAACTGCACCACAACGCCCCTTCCACCACGCCCGCCTTCCTCACGCACGGCGTGCCGCCGCCTCGCGACGCCAAGCGCGCGCGCACCAGCACGGCCGACTACGCGGGCGGCGCAGGCAGGGGCGCCGGCGCAGCGGGAGGGGCAGAGGAGGGCGAGAGGAAGCCGTCGCCGCCTCAGTCGCAGCTGCCGCTCGGTGTGCCGCCCATGTCCAACACGACGTGTCTGCCCGAGTCGGTGCAGGCGCGCTATGAGTGAGTGTGGCGCGCCTGTCAAGGCCTGGGCCTGCTGGAGGCATGGCTTGAACACGATTCATAGGCTCACCTGCCCCCTGCCTTTCGCCTCACCGCAGAGGCATGAGCCGTCGCACCAGCGCCATGGTCGACAGCTGGCAGCTCGACGACTTCTCCACCGAGGCGTACGTGGGGCGCCCCTCTTCACCTTCTTCTCTCTCTGTTCACACCCACTGACTCTCTTTGCCTTCTCCCAGCCTCGTCGCCGCGCTGACTTCTCGCGGCTACGCCCTCGAGCTTCGCGAGCGGCCGTCGGACAACAGCCATCGCGGCATCGGCGACACTCAGCTGCGCCATCGCTTCCGGCACCTGCTGCGTTCGATCTGCGTCCTGCGCCTCATCCACGGCGTGCCACCCACGGGAGCGGCCGTGCAGCAAGAGCTGGAGCGCAGAGATCCGCGATGGAGAGTGAGAGAAGCACTGGGCGGCACTCCGAGTCTGCACGCCTACATGAGCGTCGCACTTGCGGCGGGCCTGCGCATTGCCTGGACGGACAATCTGGGAGAGGTCACGGCGGACATGTAGGGCCGTCGCATAGCATGTAGCTCTGGCAACTCGGCCCCCCACTCCTCCCGACTACTCGCTAGACATCGCGTCCGCACCCTCTGTTTCGCCCCTCCGTCCCATGCCAAACACGTCCCGTCACCCACGCTTAGCGCCCCCATCATGTCGAGCACACACGGTTGCACATCGCCCAAGCCCCGCTACCGACGCAATGCCAGCCTCGGTGTTGCCGCATCAAGCTACACTCTTGCTCTGCCTTGTGGCTGCCGCGCGACCGGGGGCGCGAGACGATAGGCGCGGAGGCGCGCATAGGCTGTACCTGCCAACGGACCTCTCAGTCAATCGCTCTCACAGAGGTATTTCGCCCTGTCGCTCGGCACGGCAACTTTGACTTCCATTCTCTAACAGCCGGCACAGCCGTCACGAGCGTCCCTCAACAGCCCTGCTGGATGCTGCGCTCTCTCTCCGGCTTGCATCTCGCGCCCCCCGAACGTGCTGCAACGCCGTTGCGAGGATGCAAGACGCTTAGTGGTGCTCGGCGTGCTCGTCACCTGAGAGCAGAAGCAAAAGGGGGATCAGCCAATGCCCCCAGCGCCTCAGAACTAGCGGACTGAGCTCACCCTGGAAGTCCATCTCGTACACTGCGAGAGGGGAGAGCGAGGCGAGTAATAGTGTCAGCCGGACATCGCCACAAGCAAAGAGACGACGAAGCAAGTGGGAAGGTATGCAAGCCCGCCGGTGGCCTGGACGCATGCGATGCGGCCTCAGACAGCCTGGCTCTACTTTACCCCACACATGGCAGCGGATGTCGTCGAAGCCAATGATCTTCATGACACGCTCATGCCGCGCGACACAAGCGTGTCAGGAAGAGCATGGACGTCGACGACCTCCGCTCCACTTGTGGGGCAGCCGATGCCAGATCTTTACTCTGGCCCGCACGTGAAGCGGATGTTCTGGCGCTCGATGACCTTCATGGCACGCTCGTGCGGAGTGTTCGACACGAGCGTGTCAGGAGGGACGTCGAGAGCCAGAACATCCGCTCCATGTATGGGGCAGCCGATGCCCGATCTCATACACCATCCTTTCTGCGCGCGAGATTGAGGCAAAGCCGGACTCACCCGAGCCGCACTCGGAGCAGCGGTGGTGCTGGAGGTCGCGGTTGAGGTGCAGCCAGCTGGAGTGTGCAAGCGCATCAGCGCCCATGCTCAGTGCTGCCATGCAGACGGGAGGAAAACTCACACAGTGTCGTGCGAGCCGGCAGGCGAGCCCGAGCAGCCGATGATGCGCGTCGGGAACTGTCAAAGCGCTCCTCGTCAGCCCCCACTGCAGCACGGCCCCCTTCACTGCCTCTCCGCATCGCAAGTCTCACGTAGGAGAGCACCTTGATGGGCTCCTTGGTCGTGCCCATGCGGTCCGCCTGCAGCGGCGTCATGTCGAACGCATCCTGGCCCGCCAGCTTGTGCTCGAGCTCGAAGCGCTCCAGGCCCGTCGCCTGCTCCTCGTCGGTGGGCACCGAGCCAGTGGCCGCACCCTTGCCCTGGATGATCGGCGGGCCCGAGGCGCGCAGCGCGGCAGAGGTGCGCATCAGACGCACCGCCGAAGCGGAGGCGCGCAGAGAAGGAGCGGCAAGGGGCACGCGGAGGAGAGCACGGGCGGCGAACATCTGGGAGAAGGGACGGGCGTGAGCGCTAGAGCGGCCATGTGACGAAGAAGCGATCGGTTTGCGCGGTGCCTGCGTCCGTCAAAGCGATGCCCCCCGAGCCAGAGGTTGCACAGAGACTCCAAGCGCGAGGCCTGGCACCCGCTCCCTACTTTCCCGGCGCGCTGCTCCACTGCACCGCTGCAAACAGCATCGCAAGCGCAGACCGTTGAGCCGGCTATAGATCCGCTCCCAGCGCTCTGCCCCATCGCATGCATCGCACCCGGCAGGGGCGAGCAGCATTCCGGCCCTTGCTGCTCCTGCCGGTGGTGCGCGCCTGTTCGCGATGGCAGGCGCGGGCGACATCGCTGTGCCATCGAGCAGATGGAGGGGTGCTGCGTGAGGCGGGCAAGACGCCCGAGCAAGCTCTGGCGCCGACGCGCCCCGCGACACGCAGAGTTGCGAAGCACAAGCAGCCACGAGCTGGCGCAAGCTTGGCCTGAACCCTCGCGGCGACAGCGGCGCAGCGAAGGGGCCGCGCTCAATGCCAGGCTTGTGCAGTGCAGCGTGTGGCGTGTCGATGCGCGATACTTACGGCTGCGACGGTGAAGGAGGAGGAGGAGATGTGGTGGTGGAGGGAGCAGCAGCAGCCAACGCCCTCTGCCTGCGCCTGCGCCCGCTCCAGTGCGCGGCACGGCTCGGCGACGGTCGGGCGCGGGCGCGTAGGTCACGTGCAGCCGCGAAGCTTCCCCCACGAGCGCGCCGCCGCGCCGCCCGCCCGCGCGCCTCGCCCACGGCCAGCCGTCGCGCCGTAGCCACGTCTCTGCTTCAGCGAGAAGCGAGCTGCTCGTCTCTACCCTGCCGCACGGCTCACGGCACCTTCCAGTGCACACCTTCGCCCGAGCTCAGGCGCAGCCAGCGCTGGCGAGCCGCTCGAGCCGCAGGGCGCGCCGAGCGCCGTATCAGCGCGGCGCCGTTTCGCACCCACGCCGCGGCTTGACGTCGGCCGGCCGGAGCGCTGCTGGCGCTGCCGGTGTTGCCTGTGCCTGTGCTGAGGGCTGAATCTCGCCTGCGCGCGCCTGAAATTTCCTTCCTGCAGGGGCCGCGCACAGGCACGGGCGCAGGGGCAGCGGGAGGGCACGCACGCACGCGGCACTCGGCTGTTGCGCGCGGCGGATGCTCTGAGCGCTGGTGCAGTGCCTGCGCGACGCGTGGCGCTGCTGGCCTGCTGCCTCGCCTGCGCCTCCTTCGCGCGAGTCCCTGAGCGCGCGAAAAATGTCAGTCACAGCCGAGAGGAGGGCACGAGGAGGGCGCAGGCATGTCACCGCCCGTGCCGCTCGTGCCGCTCGCCTCACCACCACCACCACCCCAACCACCACTCACTTCCCGGCTTCCCGTCTCTGGCTCGTGTCTCTTGGTCTCGGTTCCTGCCTGCTGCTCGCTCCCACCGCACGCCGCGCGCCTGCCCGCGCCCCCGCCCGCTTCTCACCCCCCTCAAAGCGTGGCCTCACCTCCCTCTTCCACCATGTCTGCTGCCAACGGCGCCTCCGCCGCCGCCGCGCCCCTCGTCAAGGCCGTGCTGGCCGCGCCCGACGAGGCCGCGGCCCAGCTCGCCGCCGAGCAGCTTGCCGCGCACGTCAACGAGCACGGCCTGCGCTCGCTCGAGGCGCACGGCATCCTCGATGCGCTCCTCACCGCGCTGCGCAACAAGAAGTCGGCTTCGGAGCGCGAGAACGCCGCCGTGGCGCTCGGTGCGCTCATCACCAAGGTCGGCGGCAAGAACGCGCCGACGCCGCTCGGCGCCGAGCCCTGGCTGCTGGCCACGCTGCCCGGCCTGCTCGACCTCTACGCCGACAAGGCCGACCCTGTGCGCCGCGCCGCCGAGAGCGCCGTCAACAGCTTCTACGCGCTGCCGCCGCCCGAGGCCGTGCCCGAGTTCCTCGAGACGCTCTACGAGATCCTCGACTCGAGCGCGCCCAAGTGGCAGAGCAAGGTGGGCGCGCTCAAGCTCATCGGCAAGATGGCCAGCGCGGCCAGCGAGCAGGTGGGCGAGCAGCTCGTCGAGCTCATCCCGCACCTCAAGAACTGCATGAGCGACACCAAGGCCGAGGTGGCCAAGCAGGCCGTCAAGACGACGACCAAGGTCTGCGGCGTCATCGACAACAACGACATCCGCCCGCACCTCGGCTCGCTCGTCGAGACGATGCGCGCGCCCGACACGGTGCCCGAGTGCATCAAGAGTCTCTCGTCGACGACGTTCGTCGCCGAGGTCACGGGCCCGGCGCTGGCCATCATGGTGCCGCTGCTGGTGCGCGCGCTCAACGACCGCAACTCGACGGTGCAGCGCTCGGCCGTCATCATTGTGGAGAACCTGACGAAGCTGGTGCGCGAGCCGCACACGGCCGTGCGCTTCCTGCCCGCGCTGCGTCCCGGTGTCGAGCGTCTGGCCACGGGCGCCGCCTACCCCGAGGTGCGCGTGCTGGGCACGTCTGCCCTGGCCACGCTCGATGCGGCCACCAAGGCTGTGGGAGAGGCCAAGGACGACGCAGACCCCAAGATTGCCTTTGCTGCCAACCGCGTCGCCGCTCACCAGCGCATCAACGCTGCGCTTACCGGCCGCGTGCCCGAGGAGCACAAGGATGTCGCCTCCGACTCGTGGGCGCAGACGGGTCTGCTCTACCTCGCCTCGCTCGTCGCGCGTCTCTCCGACAAGCGCATCGTGAACGCGGCGTCGTGGAACGAGGCCTACGTGCTGCCGTACCTGCGTCGCGTGGCCGCCTCGGACGAGAAGGCACAGGAGGCCACCGACGCCCTGCGCGCCGAGTACGTCAATGTCGACGAGCAGCGCTTCGGCGCGCCCGAGGAGGACGACGAGGAGATCTCTGGCGAGTGCCTCGTCAACATCAAGTTCTCGCTTGCCTACGGCGGCCTGCTGCTGCTCAACCACACCAAGCTGCGCCTGCACCGCGGCCACCGCTACGGCATTGTCGCCGCCAACGGCTCGGGCAAGTCGACGCTGCTCAAGGCGATGCGCGACGGCAAGGTCGAGAACTTCCCGACCGAGGCAGACGGCATCCGCACCGTCATGGTCGAGCACAACCAGGGCGACGGCGCGGGCGTCAAGATTGTCGACTACGTCTTCTCCGACGAGAAGGTGCAGAAGATGGGCAAGACGAAGGAGGAGACGCACGCCGCGCTCGCCGATGTCGGCTTCGACGAGGAGCGCCGCAACGCCGGTGTCGAGTCGCTGGTGAGTGGCCCTCGCCTGTGCGCGCGTGTGGTGCTAGCCGCTTATCTGCCTCTGCGTGCCTCCAGTCCGGTGGATGGAAGATGAAGCTCGCCCTGGCGCGCGCCATGCTGACGGGCGCCGACATTCTGCTGCTCGACGAGCCGACGTGAGTGTGCAACCGCGCGCAGCTCGCCTGCATTGCCCACGCTCACACGCTTCCGCGCAGCAACCACTTGGACGTCGGCTCCGTCGCCTGGCTGGAGAAGTACCTCGGTGAGTGGCCGCGTGCTTCATGTGCGCTGGTCCATGTCTGACGCCCCACGCGCCCCAGTCTCGAACCCCAACGTCACCGTCCTCACCGTCTCGCACGACTCGGGCTTCCTGGACAACGTCTGCACGGACATCATCCACTACGAGAACAAGAAGTGCGTTGGCGCGGCCGTGCCTGCTCCCGTCTGTCCTCTTGCTGACCGCGCCTTGCGCGCAGGATCAAGTACTACAAGGGCAACCTCTCCGACTTTGTCGGCAAGAAGCCCGAGGCCAAGTCGTACTACTCGCTCGCGGCCACGAGCATCAAGTTCTCCTTCCCGCCGCCCGGCTCGCTCGTCGGCGTGCGCTCCAACACGCGCACCATCCTCAAGGTTGCCGACTGCACGTTCACGTACCCGGGCGCGCCCAAGCCGAGCCTGCGCAACGCCAACATTGCCGTCAGCCTGAGCTCGCGCATCGGTGTGCTTGGCCCCAACGGCGCGGGCAAGTCGTGAGTAGTCGGCGAGCATGAAGCTTCTCACATAGGCGCACACACTGACCTCCCTGCCCAGCACGCTCATCAAGCTGATGACGCAGGAGAACCTGCCCGACACGGGCGTCGTGACGCAGCACCCGTCGCTGCGTATCTCGACGGTGGCGCAGCATGCGTTCCACCACATCGAGCACCACCTCGAGAAGACGGCCGTCGACTACATCATGTGGCGCTTCGAGGGCGGCATGGACAAGGAGCTGCTCGAGCTCGCCACGCGCCGCATCTCTGCCGAGGAGGCCGAACAGCTCGCCAAGCCCATCGTCTCGGCCTCGGGCGTGTCGCGCACGATCGAGATGATCGTCGGCCGCCAGAAGCAGCGTCGCTCGTTCAACTACGAGATCAAGTGGGCGCGCCACCAGCACAAGGACAACACGTGGATCCCGCGTGAGCGTCTCATCGAGCTCGGCTTCGGCAAGCTTGTGCAGCGCTTCGACGACGCCGCCGCCGCACGCGAGGGCGCCGGCAGCAAGGACCTCAACTCGGTCGCCGTGCGCAAGCTGCTGCAGGACGTCGGTCTCAACCCGGCCATTGCCGAGCACAACGAGATGCGCGGCCTTTCGGGCGGCCAGAAGGTCAAGGTCGTGCTGGCCGCGTCGCTGTGGAACAACCCGCAGCTGCTGATCCTCGACGAGCCGACCAACTTCCTCGACCGCGAGGCGCTGGGCGGTCTGGCCGTGGCGATCAAGGAGTGGGCCGGCGCCGTCGTCATCATCTCGCACAACCACCAGTTCGTCGACTCGCTCTGCTCCGAGATCGTCACGGTCGACGGCGGCCAGATTGTCAGCCACACGAAGCGCGCTCTCGACGGCGCGCAGTTCGCCGATGTCGACGACGACGATGTCGCCTCGACGCCGGGCGTCGGCACGCCGGCGCTCACGGCGCCCGGCACGCCCGTCAATGGCGCCCAGACGCCGGCGCGCGGCAGCTCGCGCGCCGCCTCGCGCCTCAACTCCAAGGCCGGCACGCCGACGTCCTCCGCCGCGCCGACGCCTGCCGGCTCGGGCGACGAGGGCGCGGGCAACGACCTCGGCTTCAAGGCCAAGAAGAAGAAGAAGATGACGCGCAAGGAGATTGCCGAGCAGGCGGCGCGCCGCAAGAAGCGCCTGGCCGACTGGCTCGCGTACGGCCAGACGGAGGGCACGCCGCGCCCCGTCGACACCGACGACGAGGAGGGCGAGGAGAAGAACAACGCCTCGACAAAGGCGCTGCTCGGCCGGCGCAAGTAGAGCGTCGTCGTCGTCGTCTCGCTGCCTCCTCCTCGTCCGACGCGTTTCCCCTCGCTCCCTCCCTGGCTCATACACATTCCCTTGTTCATGAACATCCCGTCACGCATGCCTCGCGCTTCCTGTCCCCTCTCGACCCCCCAAAAGCCCTTGCGCCCCTCATACAGCACCCCGCCGAGCCCTCTATTACGCGGCCTCCCGTCGCTGCCCAGTTCCCGGATTATTTCTCACGTGCAATCGATAGAGCTCCGTCCCGAACTTCGAGTGAGCAGACGATCAGGCGACGCAGAGAGTGATACAGGCGGGAGCCTTTCGATTGAGCAGAGCGAGACAGCGGGCGATACAGGTGGGCGAGCGCGCGCGCGAGCGAGAAGAGCGAGAGCGGGTGCGAAGGGTCCGGCTCGGGAGTGTGGGCTCCGGCGGGATGCGGATCGGCGGCGGCGAGGACAGGACGGAGACGGAATGATACAGTGATGACAGAGAGGAACCGGGAGAGGGAGAGGCGGAGAGATTAGCTACGGTAGGAGGAGACGTGGCGCGCAAGGCGCGGCGCCGAGATGATGGGCGGCGAAGACGGCAGCACGGGCACGCCGCGCCGCACGCTGCGCTTGGGTGGCGTCGCCACGTCGTGGGGACTGTAGGACGACATCGGGCGGGGCTTCTTGCTCTGCTGGAGCAGCTGCGGGCTGCAGGCGGCACTGGCGGCACGCGCGGCGGCGGCAGAGGCGCGCGCCTCGGCCATGGCGTCGATGTCGCGCTCGGCGTCCATGTCGCGGCGCACCTCGGCGAGACGCAGCGCCCACCAGCGGCGCTCTTCGCGCTCTTCTTCGACGTCGTCGAGCACGCTGTCGCCGATGGACGCAAACGTCTTGACGCCGTCGGCGAGCTTGGTGCCCTGCTGCGAGCGCAGCGTCGCGTTGAGCACCTCGCTGGCGCGGTCGGCCAGCTCTTGGTGCGAGGGCGAGCGAGGGTACGGCAGGCCCGACTGCAGCAGCGCCACGAGATTGGTGCGGTCGCCGGTGCGCGCCGCCGCCATGACGAGGTCCGTCACCTGTGCCTTGCGGCGCGGCCACTCGGCGTGCGCCGTCGTGGGCTGGTCCGGCTCGCCCAGCATGGGAGAGGACGGGTTTGAGAGCATGACCGACTGGCGGCGCGTCGAGGCGATCGACGAGAGGAGCGAGCGCTCGAGCGCACGCATCCACGTCGCGCACTTGCTCTCTGGCGCGGCGTCCTTGCAGCGCTCGCCGTTCTCGTCCAGCGCAGAGAAGGAGAAGAAGAACGACGCCGGCCCGCCGCTGGGCCGCTGAGCGTCGCGCACGCCAGAGCTGCCATCGACCTTGATCGGCAGCACCTCCAGCTCGAGCAGGAAGGGGTGCTCGGCACACTTGCCCGAGTGGTCGATGACGTTGAGCACGCGCGTGAGGCCGACGTTCTCGAGCAGTGCGAAGCGGTCGGCCAGCGGCGCCTCAGACGCGGGGCTCTCGGCCTGGTGCGAGGCCGAGTTGCGGCGCAGCTTGGCGGACTTGCCCTTGACACCGAGAGCCGGCGAGGCTGTCTCGGCAAGCGTGCCGTCGGGCAGCGCCAAGATGACCAGGTCGGAGAAGACGTAGGCCTGCAGGTGGACCGCCGAGTCGTTGGTCTGGCGCTCGCGCTCTCGTGCCGCCGCCTTGCTGCTGGCTCGCACGAAGAGATTGGCCATCGAGGACTTGCGGTTCATTGAGCGGGGTGGCGCCAGCGGCGCGGCGCGTGTCGGATGTGTCGCCTGTGGCGTGATGGCAGAGCTGCCCGAGAACGCCCTGCTCGGTTCGCACGACGCGGCAGACTCGGCGACGTCGCTGCGGAATGAGGGCGAGCGGGCGCCGATGCTCGGCGATTGGCGGCCGTCAAAGGTGGGAGACGGTGCCGCGCGCGGACTGTTGATGCGCGAGAGCTCGGAGGGCGAGGCAGACGAGAACGAGGAGACTGTGGCGCTGCTCGAGTTCGACCACACCGAGCTGCGGGCCGGGTCGCCGCGTGTCCGAGAGGCTGCTGCGGAGCGCAGGTTCAGAGGCTTGAAGCCACTCGCCGGTGCGCGACCCGGCAGGACCGGCGAGCCCTCGTCGGCCTCGTGTGCAGAGCGGCGCTGCTCGCCGAGCTGGCCACGCTGCTCTGCCGTCAGCTGCACCCAGCGGAGCGGGCCTTGCCGGATGAGCTTGCGGTAGCGCGTGGCCAGGAAGAAGCCCGACGGCAGACCAGAGATGCATTCCTCGAGCGACACGAGCGCGTTGTAGTCTTCCTCGCGCGCCTTGACGTTGTTCATGTCGCGGATGAGAGCCTCGGTCTTTGTGTGCAGGTCGCGCGTCGTCGCGTGGTCGGGATGCTGCTCAGGCGTCAGTTCCAGCAGTTGCTGTGTCGAGACACGTCAGCGTAGCACAACTCGTCCTCTGCGCGCAGGCACGTACCTTGAAGAACAGCGGGTACTTCATGAGGCGCTGCACGGGCTTGAGCAGGAAGCTGCTGAGGCTCATCGAGCTGCACTCTGGGATGCGCAGCTGCTTCTCCAGGAAACGGCCAAAGGCCGTCGCGTCGGCATCGCGGATGATCGCCTCGATGGTGCGCGTCACATCCTCGAAGCGCACGAGGTACGGCTGGTGCACGACGAGGCCATCGACGTGCTTGAGCGCGCTCGGCGCGATCTGCACCACGACGGGGCTGGGATGTGCGGCGCGGGAGCGGTCCAGCGAGGCAGAGAGCTTCGAATGCAGCTGCAGAATGTCGTCCAGCCAGTCGAAGAGCCGGGCGGCCGCGGTCGGTACGCCAGGCATCCAGCGGCCATCTGCGGTGCGCAGCGGAAGCGAGAAGACGCGCTGGATGCTGCAGAGGCTCTGCACAAAGGAGCGCTCCGTCGCGCACAGCTCCCAGATGACCTCCTGGCGGTGCATCTCCTTGGCGCCGAACTGTGAGCAGAGCTGCTCCCAGACGCGCGGGTGCAAGGAGGAGCGCCAGGACGACTGCGACGGCGCCTCGTTGAGCTGGATCGGCGTGGCGTTGACCATGGCAGTGAGACGACGGTATGCCTGCACGCTCTTGCGATTCTCGGCGGCAGCTGCCGAGTTGCGCGGCATCTGGCTGGACATGCGGCGCGACATGCGCCGGCTCTGGCGGCGCGCAGAGGCCGAGGGGTACGCCTCGCCAGGCGCGGTGTCTGGGTTGGCTGCGATCTGGGGCCGCCTTGGTGCACTAGCCTCTCCGCTGCGGGTCTCCTTGACGCTAAAGATCTCGCGCTCCGTGAAGGGCGCAGTTGGGACGGTGCCAAACGACTGCCGCCACGCGACGAAGTTGCTGTCCGCATGGTCGGCCTCGTCCGCCACTTGCAGCTCGAAGACAGGCTCGGATGCCGCCGGCGTCTCGGGCTCCTCAGAGGAGAGCGAGGCGGAGCGCGTCAGAAAGGGCATCTCTGGCTCCACGCAGTCGCTCGACTCCTCCTCGATCGCAGCGTCGTGGAGTGTGCTTGTGGTCTGGGCCTGAACTGCTTCCGAGATTGCTGGCGATGTGCCTGCTGGTTCGATGAACGCCGACTGCGGTGGGCTGCGGACGGCAGAAATGGCAAGCATCTTCGACAGCCGCTTCGAGTCAGGGCTGGGGCGCCCGATGATGGAGCGTCGACAGTCGGTGCTGTAGCGGACGGACGTGCGCCAGCCAGAGGGTCCGCGGGCGCAGCCGTGCTGCTTCTCGAAGGCATCGGCGGCCTGGAACCAGGAGAGCGCCTTGGACTGCCGCGAGGCTCTGTTGGACCGCCACACGCCCTCGTCGCCCTCATCGGCGCTCTCGAACGCGTCGCAGCTGTCTTCAGAGGACGAGTCCGAGGCGGCATCCTCCAAGATCTCGAACGGCACGCTTCGTGCTGGCGGCGGGGGTGGAGTTGTGCCGTCCAGGTTGATGCCCAGGCCACTAGCCAGGTCCGCGAGGTCCTGCGGCCGGGCGGTAGCTTGCTGCATCGAGCTGAGGCTTCGCATGGACGCCGATGCGGCCCACGCCCCCGGCACCGGCGTGGAGGGCCCACAGACGTCGGCGGCGGGCGTCGGCGGCGGCAGGCTCTCGAACTCGAACGAGTCCGCTGCGGGAGACGCAGTCGGAGTGACAAACGCAGACACGGAAAGGCGGTTCGCGGGCTCCGGCACGGCTGATGCCTGCGGCACATGCGTGGTACTGAGCCGATGCGCTACCGGCGGGCTGAAGGACACTGGCGGCAGCGGGATCGGCTCCTCCGGTGTCGCGACGGTGCCAGGCTCGGTGGCACACATGTTGCTCTGCACCTCGTCGTGCGTTGCTGCGAGGTTCTCCTCCTCGTGCCATGGCCGAGCGCCGTCGTAGCGCTCGCCAAACTGCCGCCAAAGCTCAATGGCGCTGCGTCGCTCGTGATTGACGTCCCACGGGTCGAAAGTCGCCCCAACCTCCTGGTCGACTGCGCCACCGCGCCACTCGAGGTCGCCGTCGAGGTCCTGCGCGTCGCTGTCGTCCGTTGTGGCAGGCATCATCTCCCACTCGATGTTCTCCTCGTCGTGCATGCTCTGTTGCACGTCGCCGTTGTCCCCGGCGCCAGCGCCGTCGCCCTGGCTCGCCGCATCGTCGCTTGCGACATCGACCGCGACGAGGGAGTACGCGCTGGTGCGGAAGCCGGTCGGGTCCGGACCGGGCGGCTGCGTTGACGCACTCGGCTGGGCCATTGGCAAGACAGGCGAGACCGCCAGCTGCTGCGCCGGGCCTACCTCGTTCCCTTCCTCGAGCGCGACTTGCTTCTGGACCACAGAGAGCCGGCTGAGCCGCTTTGAGCTGACTTCTTCCGAGGAGGCAAAGGCAGGCAGAGCTGCAAGCGGCGATGGAGACCGCGTGACGTGCGGTCCAGAGGCAGAGCGAGGGGCCATGGCCGGCCTCGCGCTGGCGACACGCGCAGAGTCGTCCGATCCGCTGCTTGCGTAGCCGGACGGCTCGCCGGTGCGAAGAGTCGGCAGGAGCATCGAAGCGCGCCGCGCTGACCGTGGCGGTCGCTGCGGTGCCAGAGCCGCCGGCGCGTTGGACACCTGGAGCGACGTCGAGGCGGAAGCATCGAGCTCAGCGGCGCCACCGAGGTCGAATGGCCGCAGGCTCGGCAGAACGCTGAATGGCTCCAGCGGCTCGACAGCAGCCTCGTCCCTGCTGTGCAAGGCTCTCGGACGTGCAGAGGGAGAGCTGTGCACACTGTGCGCCGTCGCGGGCGGGCAGTGTGAGTTGGCGCGCGCTCTTCGGGTGCGAGGCGCAGCGTTGATGCTCGGCGACACCGGCGAAGGACTTGCGAGTGCCGCGGCATGAGACCATTCCTGGACTTGCCGCGAGACGGAATGGGCACGTTGCCGGGGCGAGGGACTGCCGTTGAGCAGATCGCCGGCACGCAGCTCAAACACAGGACCCGACGGACGGTGCTGCAGGCCTGAAGTGGACAGGACGCGCGATCTTCGCTTGCCACTGGGCGGGAGGAGCTGTGAGCGGTCCGAGTCGGAGGTGTCGTAGAATGTCCTGGCGTGGCCGTGCTCAGAGGCCGGCGACTGCAGCGCCGACAAGAGGCTGGAGCCGCGCTGCGCATCATGCGTGATGATCTTGGTGACGGAGCGCGAGCGCCGTCGCAGCTGCGTGGGCGTCGGCCCGGGCGACTGCGCCTGGACGACGCCGAGCGCAGGCCGCGAGACGTGAGCTCGCAGCGTCGGCTCACGCTCGCGCGCAGGCCGAGCAGAGGGTTGCCGCCGCGAGTGCGAGTGCTTCTGCATCGACTCCTCTTGCTGGGACTGCAGCTGCTGCAGGTGCTGGTCGAGCAGATCATCGTCCGAGAACTGAAAGGCGGGAAAGTCCAGCATCGGCTCGACGCCGTATGCGCCCGCCGACACCGAGTGATTGAAGCTCTGCGTCCTCGGGCGTGGCGACGCGACGGACGAGGGCGTGAGTGCCGACTCGTCGAAGCGCTGGTCAGTCGAGCAGCTGGACTGCGACATGGACTCGGACGAGTCGCTTTCAGCCGGCAGCTGGCCGAACGTGCCGGCGCCAATCGCCTGCGTCGTCCTGGGCTGTACATGCGCTCTCCGTGCACCAACGCCTGCCAGGCCTGCCACCAGCTCTGCAGTGCGGTGCATCTCGTCGAGCGACAGCGTCGTCAGCTTGTAGTCTTGCTGCGAGGAGGGCGCAAAGGAGGGGAAGCGGCCATTGTCCTGCGCGGCCAGAGCCAGCACGGCGGCGGCAGAGGCAGGCGACGGCAGCTCAGGCATGGGCGAGTTGCACGGCGGCGGCGCAAGAGCCACAGAGAGGCTGTACTCGCTGCTGCTGGCCGAGCCCGAGGCGTGGTGCCGGCTGGTGAAAGGGCCCGGCGCACTGGGACGCCGCCAGGCCGGCATTGGCGGCGAGATGGCGGGAAAAGAAGCGGCGTTCGCTCGCTGCGCCTGGACATTCATCGACGCCGCCGAGCGCGAGAGACGCAGACGCGAACCGAGCGAGCGGCCGCCCCCGCTGCGCGGCGGGTTCATCGGAGAGGCCATGAGGTGTGCAAGCGCACGGCGCAGAGCCGGTCAGTGCGGAGCGAATGGCACAACGATGGAGAAGCGAGAGTGATGCGTGAGTGGATGACGAGGTGGTGGTGAGGCGACGAGGAGAGGTGTAGAGGAGCTCCACGAGACGAGGAACCAGGGCTGCCCGCAAGACGGGGGGGCCGCCGAGCGATGGCGAGAGCGAGATGCATGCAGCTTCGTTCGACGCTGCAGCAGGCTGCGATGCCGGCGGGCGGCTCTGCGCTCACCATGCCACCACGCTGCGTGCTCCGGTACAGGCAGACTGCGGCATGGCGGGCGGCCGAGGTGCGAGGCGCGGCGGACGGGTGCGGACGGCGCGTGCAGGGCGAGCCACGGCGCGCACGGCCGAGTGTCAGTGGGCAGCCATGGGCCACAGGCGGGCACCTCTCAGTCCGCTCGGCAGCGGCGGTGACGGCGCCGCAGCATGTCCGGGCCACCGCTGTGGTGAGCAGCGTCGGGGCGAGGCAGGCTCCTTGGCTGCAGGGCGTGGCGAGCGCAGCGGTCGTGAGGGAGCTGCAGCAGCACGCGAGCCGTTGCGCCTGGCGCGGGCAGCGCTGCCGCCTCGCCGCGCGCGAGACGCAGGCGCCGCCGCACGCAGCCGCACGTCGCTGCGCTGCGCACCGCTCGCCCTCACAGCGCCCAGCGCCTCGATCGCAGGCTTGCGCTGCTGAGTCGGGCCACGCAAAATGTGCCGATGCCTCGCAGAGAGGCCTCCACACGAGCGCGCGAGCCAGCCGTGCACAGCTGCCCGCCGGTACGCTGGCACGCAGGCTTCGGCGCGCGACGACGGCCTGTGCAGGCCGCGAGCTGCACCGAGATCGACGACCCCATGCTGTCATCACACACAGCAGGCATGGGGCGTCGCAAGAGCATCATGATTAGCTGCCGTCGTTGAAGGACATGTGCGTGCTCTTGCGCCGCATCTCCTGTGCCGTGTCGCGCCCGGCTGCCGCCTCCGTCGGCTCATCGGGCAGCGTCAGGGTGAGGGCTGGGACTGGCGCAAGCAGAAGCATCAGTCCACAGGCACCAGGTCATGCACCGAGCAGCAACTCACTGGGCCGAGAGAGTCCGTCGGGCCGCAGCAGCTCGTCGAGCAAGAAGCCAAACGACAGGCCAACGTCGCGCAGCTGGTTGGCGCTGCTCTTGGTGATCTCGATGCACTCGGCGATGATCTTGGGCTCCTGGTCCGCCACGCCATACACCTGCCGTCGGAAGATCTCTGCATACGCCTCAATCTGTGCAGCAGCCCAGCGCACAAAGCCTGTGGGCGCATGTAGCGTCAGCCGGGGTCCTTCAGCGCCCTGTCGACATGCGGCCACCTACCGCTGGCCATGCGATTGTCCTTGAAGGCACTCATGTACCACTCGCTCGTGTTCTTCACCAGCGTAAAGTGCACGAGTGCCAGTTCGGAGATGTGCAGACTGACGTCGCCCTCGAACTTGATCTGTCGGCTGCGACGCCGGAGCAGCTCGCTGCGCGCCGCCAGGAAGAGTTCGCGCGCCTTTTCGCCCTTGTCGAGACGCAGCAGCAGTGCGGCGTTGCGCACGACGGCAGACTTCTTGAGGAAGGGCGAGGAGAGATCGTGCGAGATGGCACTGACTAGCGAGGCGGTCAAGACGTTGAGCTTGGCGGCGAGATCGCGGTGCGCTTGGTCTGTCGGCGCATAGGTTGAGAGGGCGCCTTTGCCTGCGGATCTGACGTCAGCAATCTCGGTGCGGCAAGGCCTCACTCGTCAAGCTCACCCTTCTCAACCATGGCCACCGCGTCGCTCCACTCGCGCAGCGCGATCGCGACCGCCAGCTCATCTGCAAAGTCGTTGATCCATCGGCCTGGATCCTTCTTCTCGCTCGCGGCAGTGGCAGCCGCAGCAGCCAGCACGCTGCCGTCCTCGCCGGGAAAGGCGCTCATGCCTCGGTCGCCCGCGACGTCTGGGGAGCGCAGCATTGCCGGCGTAGGACCACCGACGAGTGTGCTCTCGCGCTTGCGCGCCTCGGCCTCAGCCACGCTCTCCTTGCGCCGCTTGCTCGCCAGCTCCTCGGCCACTTTGCGAAAGGCATTGAGCAGCGCCCGCTTGTCCTCGGCGCGCTCGGTGCGATAGACGAATGTCTCCTTGGCGCGCTTGATCTTGACGGCATTGGTCAGATCGCCGCCGTCCTTCAGGTCAATGACGACGATTTCTCCCAAACTGAAGCAGCGCTCGGCCACCAGTCTGACGCGCGCACTCATCTGTCGCTTCTTGCGCACAGCAACGAGCAGCAGGTCGTCGAGGAGAAAGAGCGCGACGCCCTGCTTTGGCTTGTACGTCGCCGCGTTGAGCTCGGTGAAGGAGCTCGCCTCGGCGATGAGATGCCGCCCGGGAATGTAAGGCAGGAACTTCTGCGAGCCCTCGATGCCCTCCCAGAGCGACATGATCTGCGCGCGGTAGATCTGCTGCAGGTCGAGCGCCGAGTTGCGGTTGCCTCGACCGTAGCGGCTCAGTGTCCCATCGATGAGGCCTGCAAGCGGCATGGTCAGCTCAGGCCCGTGCTGGTTGCGCTGCGGATGCAACTCACCGCCCTCGGTCTCTTCGAGCTGCAGCGCGTGCGGCAAGCTCTTCCACTCCTTGACCAGCTCCTTGAGCTCGAGCATCTCGTTTTCCAAGCTGCTGATCTCCTTGCTGACGCGGATGAAGTCGTGATAGTCGTGGAATGACGCAGCCTCTGCTGACTTCTGGCCAGACTTGGCGCGGGCACCTGTGCAGCGGCTTGAGAGGGATGCAGATGGCATGGCTACGATGCGCGACTCACGCTCGTCGCTGCTGCGCTCTTTTCTGCCGCTAGACGGCTGACGCGCCTCGTCCTCATACGTCTGATAGTCGCCCGGCCCATCCTCAAAGCCATCGCCCATGATCGGCAGCGGCTGTCCGTAACCATCAGTCTGCGACAGCGCCGAGTGGGGCATGGGAGGCAGGGCCGGCGCCGTGGAGTAGCCGCCGGGTCCAAGCTCGGTGGGCTCGGCATAGCGCATCGAGAGCCGCTTCTTGAGGTTCGAGCCGACTTCAGAGGCGCGCGAGAAGCCGCCTCGCCGTCCGGACGTCGGCGTGAGGCCTTGATCACGACTGCCGCCGCCGCTGCCGGGCACGGCCTTGCGCGAGGCACTGTTGGGCGCTGAGCCTCTGCCCGCGCTGCTCTGACCCCAGTCCTGTCCGCCACGTCGCCCCGAGGAAGGGCCCGGGGCATCGCCGCTGGCACTCTGCTGCCCGCCGCGAGCGTCGTCGACGGACTGCGAGGGCCCGGCCGACTCGCGCGAGGCGTAGAGCGTCAGCGGACGCGTGCGCAGCGAGCGCGACATGGCGGCGGCGCGTGCGGCGAGCTGCACAAAAGAGACCGCTGCGAGGGCGAGTGACGAGGAAGAGGAGGAGGAAGTGGCGGTGGTGGTGCTGTGCCGAGGCTGAACCCCTCGCTGGAGAAGCACTTTGGCGCCGCCTCTCGTGCGCGGCAGGCCGCACGCGCACGCGGCGAGGGGTGGTCCGCGCGCGCGGCGACGCGCAGGCACGCCGCCTGTGTCCGCGTCGCGCGCCTGTTGCTGCTGGCAGCTCAGTACCTTCAAGCGCCCTGACCGTCCATCTCCACCACACCCTTGGCTCGCAGCGTCGACATGGTCGTCGGCGCTGTGTGCGCCCGATGCAAGCTCGACGTCGGAGGCGGCGCAGTGCCGGAGTCTCGCTGCTGAGATCCACGCGGCGTGCATGATAGGCGCCTCGGCCACCGGCGGCAGCGGATGCTTCCCCGCCTCCACTCGACCCCGACTCACGGCGACTGTGCAGCCACACATCGCTGACGACGTGCGGCGAATGCGAGGCCGCGGCTCCTTCTCTGCACACCCTATCAGCCTCACAATCAAGACACCGCCATGATCACCCTCTGGTCGCTCGACAATTCGCGCGGTGAGCAGCGCGGAGCCGACATGATCGGACGAGGGCTGGCTGACCTTCTCTGCACAGCGTTCCGCGTGCACTGGCTGCTCGCCGAGCTGGGGCAAGAGTTCGAGCTGCACACCTATCCGCGCGAAGGCGGCAAGCGGGCGCCCGCAAGCATGAAGAGCGACTCGAACTTCTCGCTCGGCAAGAGTCCCGTGCTGCAGGACGGCGAGCTGACGGTGTGGGAGAGCGGCAACTGCCTGCAGTGCGTGCCTTCGTGCCTCGGTTAGTCGTGAGGTGGCACGCTGATGCCCTGATGCATAGGTACTTGGCGGAACGCTACGGTGCCGAGCAGGGCTTCTTGCCCGGTACCTCGGACTGGGCTGCTCGCACAGAGGTGCTGGCCTGGCTGCATTTCAGCGAGTCGACGATGCTGGCGAGTTGCCCTTCGGCTGCTGTGGCCCTCACACAAGCTGACACGCGCGTCCGCATCAGCACGCCTTGGCCATCATCTACGCCCGCTGGTTCACGCCCGACCATGCCGATGAGCTCGAGGCGAGCGCGGCAAAGAACGTGCTCAACGACCTGCAGTTCCTCGAGGACCAGCTGGCGAAGCGAGCGTCGGGCCCCAAGTTCATCGTCGGCGACAAGCTGAGCATTGCGTGCGTAGGCAGCTCCGGCTTGTGCAGGCTCGCTTCCGCGCTGACACGCACGGCGCCACAAGCGACATCTCCTTCACCTTCACAGCCGAGTACATCTTCGGCAAGGAGATTGCGCTCAAGAGCCACGAGGCAGAGAGCAAGTACCCCACCATCGTGGCGTGGCTGCGCGAGATGGAGCAGCGGCCCGCGTACGACAAGACCGTGCGCGAGGGCGCAAAGCACGACTTCTCTCTCGTGCACGGCGCCGGTTAGGCGTGAGCGAGGGGCGCAGCACTGAGGCTCGAGGCTGCCTCGCTGGCAGCCAAATTATAATCTGATTGCTTCCTTCCCTTCCAATCTCCACCTGGAGAGATGCTCCTGCGGCCCGTGGCCCAAGCGGACGCTGACGTGCAGCCCTCTCTGCCTGCTGCGCCTTGAGCCATGCCCTTTCTCCCTTCCTGTCCGGGTGCCCAGCAAATGGCGCTCCCATGCGCGAGCCCATCAGGACTTGGACTTGGCCGCCTTGCGCCACCTGGCCTCGCGGTCTCCGCCGTACGAGCCCACGTCTGCGCGCTCGAAGGCCTCGCGCCCAGGCCGGCCGACGCCCGCCTCCTTCTCAAACGGCTCGTCCGAGCTGCCCTGCACGCCCAGCTTCACGCCCTGCTTGCCTTGCGCGACTGCCTTGGGGTCAATCTTCTTGGAGCTGTCGTCGGGCTTGGTAGTGAAGCGCTTCTGCACGGCGCGGATCATGCTGCGGACAGACAGCGTCAGCCAGGGCTGCGGGCGTCAGAACAGGCAGCTGCACGCACGCGCGGAACCAGACAAAGTTGAGCGTGTTGAGCGTGATGTTGCCGACGGTGTAGTAGACGCGGTACGACATCGGAATCGCGGGCACGTGCGGCACGGCGGGGAAGTTGACCTCCATGAACCACGAGTAGGACTGCGGGCTGCGTCAGCAGAGGTGCCCAGGAGGCTGTGGGAGGGACAGCACATGCACTCACATTGTAGACGCCAAACGTCAGGCGCGCAAGGACGTACGTCGAGAGCAGGAAGACGGCATTGATGAGCTGCGCACGCGAGCCCGTCTTGCCGCACTTGTCGAGGAACCAGTGGATGTTAAGGAACGCTGGCGGGCGCCGCAACATCAGCTGAGGTTCGCTGCAGCGCAGCAGGCAGCTTCTCACGCGTGCTCAGCTCCCACAGCAGGAAGCCCAGGCCGTCGTAGATGAAGATGGGCCGCTGTGCACGCGACGTGTGAGCTATGGGCATGAGGGACGCGGGGCCTCGGGCAGCCTCAGGCCAACGGTTCTATGCGCGCGGCCGTCTTTGCGTCGCGCTGCACCGGCAAGCACTCACGTATGCAAGCACGAACGCCGAGAGCGCCACGAGGCCGTGCGCGACGAAGGCCGGCCCGTCGTACTGCGGAGCCGGTCAGCGCGCATCCCGCGGCCACGCCCACGCCTGGCCACGCACGAGGATGGAGACGACCGAGTCCCAGATGAAGTAGCCAATGGCAATGGCGTACACCGTGCCCGCCTCGTAGGTGTAGCCGTAGATGCGGCGCTGTGCCATGGGGTGTGTGGGGTCGCTGTACACGTCGTACCACACCTTGGCACAGAGCGGCGTGATGAGGGCGGCATGCACGAGCGCGACAAAGTGCACGTCCCACGAGATGCGCGTGGAGCGCTTGAGCTGCGGGTAGATGGTGGGGAAGAGGCGCGGCGAGAGGTGCGAGGAGAGCAGCTGCAGCGACACCCAGAAGGCCAGCGACTTGACGATGGTGCCGGCGTGCAGCGGCAGCACGGAGAGGCCGAAGCGGTCCGCCAGCGGCTGCACCAGCGCGCCGGCATCGGGGATGGAGAAGGCGACCATGGCGTGCGCGAGCAGACCGGGTGCGCCCTGGGAGCTGAGTATGGCGGTGGTGGTAGGAAGACAACGCCGGGTGGCAGGCATCGGGCGCGGCCGCCATCCAGACGCCGCCCGTGCGCTCGCGGAGCCCGAAGGCGGGCGAGGGGCGCGGCGATCCGCGGCCTGCGCGCCTCTCGCGTCGCGTTCGCCCGCTCGCCCGCCGGCTATCACGCTGGCCCCAACGACGGCTACCGTGCCTCCACCTCGACGTGCATCCTCGGGCACGCACGCCTCTCGGCCTCACTCCCGTCCATCACTACCGCGCATCGCACAGGCAAGGAACAAGCGGCAGGGCACGACGATGGATGAAGCATTATCAAGTGAATATGCTAGGCGCGACGAGCTGTAGGTGGGAGCGACGTGGGTGCACGGAGAGCTGCGTCGCTCGTCGTCGCGACGAGCATGCCGGCCGCGACGAGTCGGATGTCTGCCTACACCAGTGAGGGCATAGGACAGCGCCCGACGTTGCCCGGCAGAGCGCTCTTACGCGTGGTAGGGCGCCGCTACTCGGAGGTCTGGCCCTCCTCGCTGCTGAAGAACATATCTTCGTACTTCGGCGCCAGCGCGATCCACTCGTAGCCGCTCTGCGTGCCGCGCGGGCTGAAGCGCACAAAGCCCGCCTCTTGCGCCTGCTGCGTGTACTGGCGGAAGCCCTCGGGCGCGCCGTGCGCCGCGTACCACTCGGCCGCCGAGGCGGCGGGGTTGATACGCACCACCTCGAGGCCGACCTTGGAGCGCAGCACCTCGCGCTGGCCCGTCTCCTTGCGCAGACGCACCAGCACCGTCACCAACGGCTTGTAGTTGGCGCGTGCTCGCACGTCGGGCGTGGCAGGCGCGGCACTGGCACTCGCGGCCGCCTCGGGAGTGGGGGTCGAGGTGCCGGAGCGCGGAAGCGGCGCAATCGGTCGTGCGGCCGGTGTGTCCTTGACGGCGGCCGGCGGGTCCTTGAAGACAGGCGTCTCGGCGGCCGTCTCCTTGATGGCCGCAGGCTTCTCCTCGACGGCGGCGGTAGTCTTCTTGACAGCAGCGGCCGGCGTCTCCTTGACCGAAGCAGCTTCCTCGCTGTTCCCGTCTTCCGAATCGTCCGAGTCATCCGACTCGGTCGCCGCACCAGCGCTTCCGTCGGTGCTACGAGCGCCGCGCTTCGGCTTCTTGTCGACGACGAGGCGCGGATGCAGGCGCAGGGGCGTGGCCATCTCCGGCGAAGACGCGTCAATGACGAGCACCTCGGCCTCCTCTGCGCGCTGCAGGAGCACAAGCCAAGCATCGGGCGAGCGTGCCAGGTTGCTCAGTCGTGTGTGCTTGACGTTGGTGCTCGTCATGAGATACTTGCGCAGCGTCTCGGCGGGCACCACCATCCTGCCATCGCGTCGCGCGTTGCCCAGGTAGTTGGCGAGCGGGAAGAAGGGCACTGGCGCGAGGCCGCCCGACGGCTGGCACGGCATGAGCTTCTCAAAGTCGGCCAGCGTAAAGCCTGGCAGCGGCTTTGCGGTTGCGGGTGCGGCGGGAGCGCCGCTTCCGGTGCTCGAAGCAGTCTTCTTCAGCGGCGACGAGGTTGCGGCTGCGGCAGGGGCGGTAGGCACGGCCTGCTGAGACGGCCGCTTGACGGGCGACTCAGGTCGTGCAAGCTGCTTGACCGGCGACGCGGCGCGGTTCGGCAGGGCCGACTTCGGCCGTTCGCTCTCCACAGCCATGAACTTGGGTTGCGTGGGAGGTGCGGACGCCGCGCCAGAGCGGAGCGCGGCGCTCGTCTTCGACAGTGTGGATGCTGCAGGAGTGGAGGGCGTGGCAGGCGCGATGGGCGATCCGTGCAGCGGCGAGCCTGGCGCAGCAATCGAGCGCAGCGCCACCCACTCGCTGCCGGGGTGACCGGCGCTGCCGAGCGTGATGTAGCCGGCGGCCTGCGGACGAGGCCATCAGCTGGGAGCACGAGACGTGAGGCAGAGCGGCTCACCTCGGCGACAGCGGCGTAGTCGCTCCACTTGGCGGCGCCTGCCTTCTGATAGATCTGGCTGTCTGCCGACAGGAGCTTGATCGAGACGGAAGTGCGCAGCGGGCGCGGCTTGCCGTCCTTGCGGAAGTCTTCCAGCACTTGCACGAGCGGAGCAAAGACTGGCGCGACGGGCTGGCCGCCGGGCCCAGTGATGAACTTTGATGCCGAGGCGCCCGCAGCGAGATGCAGGTTGGTGCTAGACTTCTGCGCCTTGGGCGTCTCGGCGACGACGGGTGCTGCGGTCGGACGCTTTGCTGGGCTACTCACGCCAGCTGAAGGGCCAGAGTAGGGCCGCCCGTAGCCATTCACCTCCATACCCAGCACGTCTTGCCTCCAGCGCAGGCAGACGTTGGCACTTGCCTCCAGAATTGGTGGCGCTCCCACGGGCGGCGTGATGAGCAGCACTGAGTACTGCAGTTGCTCCAGCGTCAGCATCACGCTCGTTGCGCAACGACCGGGCACACTCACACTTCGGTTGCGCAGGCAGCCCAGCGGATACGCCATGTCCCGGTCGCCGGAGATGAGCACGATGCGCGCAGGGCTCGGCTGGTCAATCGCATATGCGAGCATGTCGGTGATGAGCTGCAGAGGCTGGTGTCAGCCTGCGCCTCGCGCGTCATGTGTCGCAGCGCCTGGCGCACCATCTTATCGGCCACGTCCTTTCGCCCGGACTTGGGTGCTGCAGGTTGACAGGTCAGTATACCGGCTATGCGCCCCTGCGTTGCGTGGCTTCCACAGCGAGCCACAACACAGCTCTACCGAGCGTAGGCCTCGGCCTCGATGCACAGGAGACGTCGCAGCGGACTCACTGTCTATCAAGCTGACACCACAGCCCTGCAGTTCGCTGCGCAGGTTCACCTGTGCCTGACTGGGCGCCGCCGACGCATCGCTCATCTCTAGGTACGCCTTGAAGCTGACGATTGGGCCCGAGGCAGCCAAAGGCTCGCCGCCGTCGCCGGGACCGCGAACGGAGGCAGGCCCGACGCTCTGCACCGCCTTGCGAATCGACTGCACGATGGCGCGGCCTGAGGAGCCGGTCGGCGGAGCACAGTTCTGCGATGAAGGCGCGTGAGCCTGTGAAGTAATCTGAGCGAAGCTTGGCAGCGCTCACGTCGACGTCCCAGAAGATGGCGACCGGGTTCAACGCCGGCGGCCCCGCTGACAGCGGCAGCGCAGCGCGCTTCGGGCTCGACGATGCCGAGCCAGAGTCGTAGTCATCGTCGCTGGCGCTCTGTGCATTCTCGCGTCTGGCAGCTGCCTTGGCGCGTGACTTTTGCTTCCTTGGCTCGTCGCGAGGAGCGGCACTGCTGGCGCTGCGCGGGTAGAGGTAGACGCCGGCGCCGAGCAGCACACAGGCGCCGGCGGCGATGGCGGCGGAGCGCGCTTGTGGCCCGAAAGCGGGCAGCGCGTCCGACATGGAGAGCCAGGGGAGTCGAGGTCGAGGAGGCGGTCGAGACTTGGGTGTGGCAGAGGCGGACGTGGAGAAGAGTGAAAAGAAGCAGCCAAAGGAGTGATGCAGCGAGACCTGGCGGCGGACGGACGGAAGGGTCACTCTAGAGCGGCCAGCGGACTTGAATGAGAGCTAGGGGCGACGGCGCGGAGCCGCGCGTGGTAAAGTGGAACAGGTGGCGGCCGGTGGGGAGGGGGAGAGGAAGAGGGGCCCTTTGGCGCCGAGCTGCGCCTTCATCCTTGCGCCACCCCTCGCGGCGCTCGTCAGCAACGCGCGCGGCGCTGGCGGCCTGCCCCGAGTCCCGCGAGGCGCGCGACGAGCGACCAGACCAACACCTCCACACGTGGGCAGGACGCCCTCAGCTTCTCGCCTCAAACCCTGGCCTTTGCCTGGCGACAGCAACGGCTACAGCTCCATCCATTGCATTAAGTGAGGGCGCCGCATTCGTGTAAACAAGAAGGAGCACCGGTTACCTCTATCGCTCTCCGCACGCGCGTTCACTCCGTCTTGAGCTTGTCCGCCGCGCCATCCTTCAGCTGGCTGGCCTTTTGCCGGAGCATCTCCAGGCGGCTCTTGGCCTCCTCGCCACCCTTGCTCGCCTGCTTCTGCGCCTCATCGGCGCCCTGCTGCATGCGTGCCTTGGCCTCATCAGCGCCCTGCTGCACGCGCGCCTTGGCCGCGTCGAACTTCTCGCTCGCCTCGTCGCGCAGGCGTGCGCCCTCATGCTTGGCCTTCTCGGCGCCCTCCTGCAGCTTCTCCTTGCCGTCGTGCAGCGCCTCCTTGGCGGCGAGGATCGGGTTCTTGCCCTTGCCCATGAACGTCTCCTCGATGCGGTCGAAGACGGTGTCGACGACCTTCTCGACGGGGTGATCGAAGAGGTACGGCTGGAACCGAAGAGGTCAACGATGCGCCGCGGCAGAGGCGAAGCGTGTGCGCTCACCAGAGCGGGAACAAAGGCAAGACCGGCCACCGTAGGGCCCGAGGCGCGCACGCGCTGCGAGGCAGACTTGGCAAAGAGCGGGGCCGAGTAGCGCACGATCTGGAGGCGACGGTGTTAGCACGCGCCTGCACAGATAGAGAGCTGCAGCAGCTCACGCTGTGGATGGTGAATGCTGGCAGTGCCATGCTGATGACAGGAAGCGAGGTGAGCAGAGTTGCGCAGCTCGCAGGCTTCGAGGCGGACTCACGAGGCGATGCTCTGGAACACGGCACGACGGGCCATGACGAGGCCCACGTGTCCAAACTCTCCATGCTGCTGCGAGTTTTCCTCCAGCGTGCCCTCTGCCGGCGGTTTGTCGCCCGAGGCGATGGCGCGCCGGCGCAGCTCCGTCTTCTCGCTCTCCGGCAGCGCGTTGAAGGCCTTTGCGGACGCGGCCTCGCCGGCGGGAGCGCCGGCGGCCCACTGCTGGTGCGCCTTGTAGCCCGCGTAGCCGACGTCGCCAGTCAGGTAGAGCCAGGAGACGGCATAGGCACCGCGCACAAAGGCGGGAGAGGTCAGAGGGCGGAAGGCCTCGCCAATGTCTGGGCGAGCAGCGTGAGTGTGCAGCCTTCGGCGCTCAAGCAGCGACTTCCATCCGCGCGGCGTGCATGCCCGCCTGCGCGCCCTGCGCCCCCACACCCAAAGGCGCATGCTCACCGGAAGAGTATGCCACGTAGCGGCTCGACGCCACGAGCAGCGTGCGCAGCCGGTTGGCGTAGGCGGCGTAACGGGCGGGGCCGTCCTCGAGCACCTCCTCGACGCGGTCGTCGCCGGGCATCGACATGGCTCAGTGGGCTGCAAAGAGGAGAAGCGGCGGAGAAGGAGACTGTGGAGGCGGCGAGTCCGGAGGAGGCACAGCAACGAGAAGGAGCAGAGCTGAGAGTTGAGGAGCGGACGCAAAGCAGCAGCAGCAGCTTCCTTCCCTTGTCGCGCAGCGTGCGGCGCTGCCCGGCCGGAGCGCTGCGCCGGTGACGTCGTGTCGCAGGCGCCGCCGGCGCGGCGCCGCGCGGCGCGGGATGCGGGACAGCAGCCACGCGCGCCGCCAAGCGGAGCCAGACCCTCAACCTCGCGCTCGCCGATGGCGTCGGCTCCTTACCCCGCATCCACCTGCCGTCGCCATGGGTGCCTCCTCCTCCAAGGGCCCTGCCATCACGGCGCAGGACCGTGCCGTGCTCGAGTACGTTGCGCACACGTGTCGCTGCGGTGGAGAGCATGCTGCTGACCTGCCGCCGCTCCAGCCTCAAGCTGCAGCGCGACAAGGTCAAGCAGTACCGCAAGAAGGCGCGTCCGTCTCTCTCGCCGTTGCCTGCGAAGAGCACAGCGCTGACGCCGCATCGCCTCCTGCGCAGCTGCAGTACGTCCTCGATGCAGAGCACTCCGCCGCACGCGCCGCCCTGGCACGCGGCGACAAGGAGCGTGCACGCACGGCGCTGCGGAGGCGCAAGTGGCAGGAGGGCATGATTGCAAAGACGGACACGCAGCTCGAGACGCTCGAGGGCCTGGTGAGCTTGCTGGTGTATGGGGGCGCAGCGAGTTGGAGGCGGCGAGAGGGACGTGGTCAGGCGTCTCATCGGCCGCAGGGCGTGCGCCGCTGCTCTGCGGAGCGCTCTACAGTGCTGGCTACAGGCGCTCAGGCTGACGGCGCATCCCGCAGGTCTCCACCATCGAGTTCGCGCAGATCGAAGTCTCGGTCATGCATGGCCTCAAGCAAGGCAATGCCGTGCTGAAGGAGATCCACAAGGAGCTCAATCCCGAGAGTGTCGAGCGTCTGATGAGCGAGACGGCCGATGCCGTGGCGTATCAGAAGGTGCGTCGCTGTGCCTTTGTTGCCTTGCGTCAGGTGAACCGAGCTGACGCATTGCGCGCTTGACTGTAGGAGATCGACGAGATGCTGTCGAGTCGCATGACGGCGGAGGAGGAGGAGGAAGTGGCCGACGAGCTGGCGGCGCTCGAGGCAGAGGCGAGGCGCGAGAGAGGCGAGGCGGAGCCTGTGGTCCAGGTGCCCGAGGTGAGTCGCAGCGCAGAGCACGCCAGCGTCAGATGCCGGGCTCAGTCCATCTCGTCCATTGCAGACCAAGCTGCCCGACGCGCCGACGACCGAGCCGGTGCGACAGCCGCAGCGCGTGCCTGCGCACGAGGAGGAAGAGCAGGAGGAGCGCGTCGCCATTGCGGCATAGATATCGAGGGCAGGCAATGCACACAGTCACCGGCACTCTTATGCAGTTCTGGGAGGAGAGCGCGAGTGATAGCTATGCTATTGCTCAGAATGGCCGCACAGTAGCGCCGACAGCGACGCAGTCCTTGGCCACACGCACAGCCCACTCCAAGCGGCGCACGATGCCGACGTCCGCCTTCTTGCCGCCGACGACGCGGCGCAGGTCACGAGCGCCCATGTCGCGCTCGAGGAAGAGCAGCAGGCCCTTTGTCAGCTCGACATTGCCGGCTGTGCCGCGCACGAGAAGCGCCTCGATGGGCGCTCGCTCGCCTGTGGCTGCAGCGAGCGCGCGGGGTCGGAGCGTGGCCGCGGGTGAGGAGACTTGCGTGGAGAGCAGCGTGTGCACCAGCAGGAGGCGCAGGAAGGAAATGCCGGCTGGCTTCAGCGTCACGAAGTTGACGGTCTGCAGGAGCATGTCAGCGGCAGACGAGGCGCTCAGGCAGGCTCGCACTCTCACCTTGAGGGCATTGAGGCTGAGCGAGCCCTTTGCAAACCACCATCCGTAGGCGCGAGCGATGTTGGCCGCCTTGCGCTCCGTGTCGGCGTCAGGCTCCTCGGCGTCCGACACGTCCTCTTCACGCTCGACGATGCTGCGTCCTCCGACCTGCCGCTCGCCCAGCGTGCGCAGAAAGTCCCACAGACAGAACTGCATCGTGATGCGCGTGCCCGTGGAGTCGGCTGAGAGTTGTGCGCCGATGAGCGAGTAGTAGGGATTGTACGTGGCTTCCTGCAAGGGGCGTGGAGCGTCAGCCAATGCATTGCGAGCCGTGATGCTGCGCAACTCACTCCGCCGACACAGTGCAGCAGCACCCGCACGATCTCGCGCCGCTGCGTGTCGTTGAGCTTGAGGCTGAGCAGGCGGTTCGAGGCGTCCGCGTAGTCCTCGCTGCTCATGAGCACGACAAAGATGTTGCGTCGGGCCTCGGTGTTCATGCCCTGCGCCCGTGCCGCAGCAAGCAGTGCCTGCTGGGCGCCGTCGTCCTCCTTGCTGCGCAGCGGACGTGCGGCAGTGACGCCCTCTGCATCATCTGCGTCGCCGTGTCCCGCCCAGGCGGCGCCGACGAGCCACCACTTGCCCCGTGTCTCGGCCTCGCGCAGATCGCGCAGCCCGACCCGCAGAGGCTCGTGTGCCCGCAGCGTGCGCTTCTTGCCCAGACCGGCAAGGAACTTCTTCATGCGCGAGATGGCCTGGCCCGCGGGCGAGGACTCGGCAGCAGCAGTGGCCTTGACGCGGTTGTTCTTGAGATCGGCGAGCGCTTCAAGCATGAACCGCGTGCGGCTCGAGCCTGCTTCTGCAGCGCCCGTCTGCACAGCGGCTTTCGCGGCATTGGCGCGCTCCTTGGCAGCGTCAATGATGGTGCGCAGCGAGGTGGGGTCGTCGTGCCGAAGCTGAGCACCACAGCTCTTGACGAGCTTGAGCAGCAGCTCAACGTCTGCCTCGCGCATCTGCGCGGGCGAAGAGCCGGCGCTCTCAACGCCCAGAAACAGCCGCATGAGGTCATACATCAGCGGAGTGGCCAGCACGCCGAGATTGTACATCGCCGACAGCAGCGCGACGAGGTTGGTCGCCTCCTTTGAAGTGCTCTCGCCATCTGCCTCGTCGAGCGCGAGAGAGGCTGCGTGTTGCTTCAGCAGCTCGTCGACGCAGGCCTGCAGCAAGCTGGCCGCAAACTCAACACCGACAACGCGGTGCAGCGCGCCAATGAGAGCGGCGTAGAGGATGATGAAGGTGTCGACGAGGTCGGAGCGCGCGCCCACAGTGCCGAGGATCAGGCTCATCAGCGCGCCAGTCACCTCGGCGCGCGAGTTGTCGCGGTACAGCGCCTCGAGCTCGCCGAGAATCGACTCGATGTTGCCGTCGCCGAGCCGGTTGAGCAAGCCCTTGGCCTGGCGCCGCAGCCTTTGTTGTGCTGCTGTCTGCACGGCCTCGACGTCGCCGGACGCGGCTGCTGCGGCCGCGGCGGCGGCACGAGCTGCTGGTGGGACGTAGCGCCCAGTCGGCGCCGACGGAGGTGCAGTCGCTGCGACAGAGGCCGAAGCTGCCGGGTTCGACCGGGCGGTGTTCTCAGACGCGCGGCCGCTGCTGCTTGGCTCGCTGGCGTCGTCCTCAGCAGAGTCGTCCTCCTCGCTCTCATCTGTGCTCGCCATCGCAGCGTCCCAGTCGGCCAGATCTGCATCGTCATCAGAGTCGTCTGAGGCTAAGACTTGGTCCTCGTCTTCGGCAGGGAACTCGACGTCTGACATCTCGGCGTCTGATGCGGGGTCATCAGACTCGCTCTGGCCGTCGCTGCCCTCGCTGCCCTCGTCTTCCGTGTCGGAGAACATGCCGGGATAGAAGCGGTCGAGGTCCTCGATGAAGTCTGCCAGGCGTCGCCAAATGAGCTGTGAGCCGCCTCGTCGCACGTGCGCTACTCACCGTCGAGGCCATCATCGCCGCCGTCGATGCCCTCCTCGTCCTCGTCCTTCTTCTTCCCCTTGCCCTTGCTCTTCTCCGCCTTGTCCTTCTTGCCCACCTTGCTCTCCAGCCAGCGGATCTCATCCTCCTCCTCACGCTCTGCCTTTGTCAGGAGCGCACGCCGCTTGCGCTCGTTGGCCGCGTCTTCCTCCTCGGTGCTCAGCTGCCGCGACGAGGGGCCCGCCGCGCTGCTCGAGCCTCCAGAGCGCGCCAGCAGACGCTCGAGCGGGGTCTGATGTGTCGCCTCGACGTGCTTCCGCTGACCCGTTGCAAAAGACGCAACGCTCGCCTTGGCAGGCTTGGGCTTGCGCTCCGGCTCGAGAGGCTCAGCCGCACGCTTGCGCTTGCGCTCCTCGGCCTGGGGTGGAGCAGCGCGTGCAGTGGCGGCCTTGGGTGCCGGCGGCGCCGCAGCCCGAGCAGCCTCCTCGCGCTCGCGGCGGTTCTGCTCCATGGCTCGGCGCTTGGCCTCCTGGCGCGCCTGCTCGCGCTGCTCGGCTCGCAGCGGGTCGCCACGGCGCGCGCCCGCAGCGGCACTGGCGCCCCGGCCAATGACGCTGAGCCCGCCGCGGCCTCTCCCACGCCCGCCACGAGCGGCGTTGGGGTGCGGTCGCCGCTGCTGTGGCCCAAGACCGAGCTCTTCGCGCAGCGCTGCGGGCAGCGCAGTAGTGTTGTGCTTCATGAGGGCAGGTGGTGGTGATGAGGGAGAGGCAGGTGGTGGGGAGTGAGGGTCCGCTCAGCGCTCGCTCGGGACTCGGGGCAGCCAAATTTGGGCACGGTGTGCGCGCACGTGACGACGGGTGCGGACCGTGCGAACAGCCACGCCCCCGCGGAGTGCCAAGCGTGTGCTGTCGCTGCTCGAACGACCTTCTCGCCCACCCCACCCCCGCCATGTCCACCTCTCCCGCCACGCAGCAGCGCTACGTCGTGCTCGGCGGCGCCGGCTTTCTCGGCTCGGCCATCGTGCGCGCCCTCGTGGCGCGCGGCGAGAAGAACGTGCTCATCGTCGACGTGCGCCCGCCGGCCGCCGACGCGGCCACATCCAGCGCCGCCGCCTTCCACCAGGGCGACATGACCGACGAGGCGGCCCTCGTGGCGCTCTTCGGCAAGCTCAAGCCCGACGTCGTCATCCACACGGCCTCGCCGATTGCGTCGGGCGGACAGAAGGAGCTCTTTGAGCGCGTCAATGTGCGCGGCACCGTCAATGTCGTCAAGGCGTGCCAGCAGAACGGCATCACCAGCCTCGTCTTTACCAGCTCCGCCGGCGTGCTTTTCGACGGCAGCAACCTGATCAACGTCGATGAGCGTATGCCGTACCCGCTCAAGGCGTTTGACGCCTACAACGACACCAAGGTGAGTCGCTGTGCGGACACGTCCGGCGCCCTGCCCGTGCTCATTTCGCGATGCGCTCCAGGCCCGCGCCGAGCAGATCGTCCTGGCCGCCAACACGCCGCGCTCGGACAAGGCGGGCCTCAAGACGGTCTCGCTGCGTCCGGCGGGCATCTTCGGGTGAGTGCCGTGAGAAGGGGCTTTGCTGCGTCGGCACTGACCTCTCCACCAGCCCCGGCGACCGCCAGGCGCTGCCGGGCTTCTTCGGCGTACTCGCGGCGGGCCGCACCAACGTGCAGCTCGGCGACAACACGAACCTCTTTGACTGGACGTACGTCGACAATGTCGCGCACGCGCACCTGCTGGCCGCCGACAAGCTGCATGCCGAGCCGTACGCCATGGACGAGCTGGTGCACGAGCACATCGCCGCGCGCATCCTCTCGCCCGAGGAGCGCAAGCTGGAGCGCGCCGTGCCGACGTCAGAAAAGCGACCGAGCCCGCCGGGTGTGCCAGACTTTGCCGCCGATCTGCCGAAGCAGGAACTGGAGCGCAAGCTGGAGCCGGGAGAGATGGCTGGCACAGACATCCGTCCCGTGGCGCGCTCCAAGTGGGACCAGTTCTTCTACCTCGTCCACCCCACGGTGCAGAACGCAGACAACCCCGCGCCGCAGACTTGGGACTTTGCCGCGGACGAGGAGGGCGCGGGTGCGGCGCTCGAGGTGGCGGGCCAGGCGTTCCACATCACCAACGGTCAAGTGAGTGCCGGCGTGAGCCTCTCCAGCACCATGAGCTGACACCGGAAGCCAGCCAATGTGCTTCTGGGACTTCCCGCGCGCCCTCTGGGCCGCTGCTGGCCACCCGGTGAACCTGAAGAAGGTCTGGTCGATTCCCACTGGCCTCGGCCTCTGGCTCGCCGGCGCGTCGGAGACCTTTGCGTGGTTGACTCGCCGCGAGGCGCAGTTCACGCAGTTCAAGGTGAGGCGCGTGCTGGCAGCGTCTGGTGCACCGCGAGGCTGACTTCACCCCCCGAAGGTGACCTTCAGTTGCGCAACTCGCTACTACAATGTCGAGAAGGCACGGAGGCTCCTGGGCTACGAGCCCCTCGTCGGCATGGAGGAGGCAGTGAAGCGCAGCGCGCAGTGGTGGCAGGAGGAGGGCCACAAGCTTGCCCCCAAGTGAAGAGGCGCCGTCCCGCGCAGCTGCGCGAGACCGGGAGCGTGCAGAATGTGATGATCTTGACGACGAGTTGCTTGTCCGTGTGACGAGCGTCGTGCGAATGAGGTGCGCGAGCGCACGCAGCACGGCAAGGAGCAACACAGGGAAGTGCTGCGAGACGGCCACAGGCACAGTGACCTCGATGACGAGCAGCTTTCTTGTCCAGATGTGATGCTGCGACTGCACAGAGACCGCACGTAGGCTGCAGAAGGGGAGCAGGCAAGTGAAGCGTTGCATTGCTTGTCTATCGGCGCAGCAAGTCCGGCACGCAGGTCACGACCGCCACACGCGCGCAAACGTGTGCGTCGCGACCACCCCTGCCCTCCCTCTCTCTCCCGCCTCAGTATTCCGGCGGTGCCTCTGCATCCCCTCCTGCACGCGCCACCTGGGAGGCATAGAAGCTCGTGCTCATCTCTGTGAGACGGCTGATCACACGAGCGAAGGCAAAGAGCTCCTCGTCGCCGGTGAAGATGGGTGATCCGCCGATGTCGTCCATCGTCAAGCCCTGCGGAGCGCGCAAAAGTCAGCTTTGACGCGTCTCGTCTGGCACGGCGCAGCGTACGGACCAGGTCATCCATCAGGCCGCGCATCTGGTCGATGGACGCTGGCTCGTCGGAGGAGAAGGTCTGGAGGATGGGCACTTCGGAGGACATGAACACCTTGGTCTTGCTCTCGTAGCACGCATCGATGAGCGTGATGAAGCGGCGAGCCAGGTCACGCTGCGCACAGATGTAGGAGACACGATCAGTGGCAGCCGCAGCACATCAGCTCTGCTGCCCTCACCTGGTGGATGCCCATGCGCGGGATGCGGTCGATGAAGAGCGTGCCAAAGGCGCGGCACACCTCGATGTAGTCGGCAGCGCTCTTGGGCGAGCCGCAGAGCTGCATAAAGTCAAAGCGAGCGGCGCGGCGCGTGGAGAGGGGCACTTCGAGCTTGCGGCCCCAGATGTCCAGCTGGCGGCCCTCAATGGGCGGATCGTGCGGGTCGGAAGTGGTGGCGTCCCACAGCTTGTCCATCTCCTGCAGGTTCGCGTCGTCGAGAGGCGAGAAGTACACCTTGCTCAGTGCGCGCGGACGCTTGCGGTAGTCGACGCCCGAGTCGAGATCGACGATTGCGAATTGCGACTGAAGCAGCGAGATGCAAGGCAGGAAGGAGGAGCGCTGGATGCCGTTCTTGTACAGATCCGTCGGATGCCGGCTGCGAGCACGAGGTCAGCGATATGCTCGTGAGCAGGTCGCTATGTGCACGCACTTTGAGGTCATGACAAACACGACGCCGTGCCACAGCATGTGCTCCAGCAGCCGCCGCAGGATCATGGCGTCGGCAATGTCCGTCACCTAGCGCATCCGTGTCAGTCCCGCCTGAATTCCACCGGGGTGAAGGGGGGCCCTTCTCACCTGAAACTCGTCGAAGCAGAGCACCTCGTACTCCTGCGCCAGCTCCCTCGCGACCGTCGGGATCGGATCCACCTCCTCGCCCAGCAGCGGGGCCGCCGCCGCCTCGCCCGCGACCTTCTTTGCAACGACTGCCGTGGCCGCCGTGGCCGCACTCATGACCATGCCCGATGGCTTGTGCGTCAGCAGCTTGAAGGCGTGCATCCGCTTGTGCGCGTCAATCATAAACTGGTGGAAGTGGATGCGCCGCTTCGCCATGGACTGCGGGAGCGACTCGTAGAAGAGGTCCATGAGCATCCTACGACGCACACACCTGTCAGCCAGTGGGTGGAGAGCGCTGGCGGCACACTCACGACTTGCCGCAGCCGACATCGCCGAACAGGTACAGGCCCTTCGGCACGTTCTCCGGGATCGTCAGGCCCGGGCCATCCGCCGGCGGCACTGGTTTGGCGCCAAAGAGGCGCGAGATCTGCAGCGCGAGCCCGCATCAATGGCTATCCACAGCACCGCCGCTCTACGAGCAGCGCCTCCGCCGCACAGGCCATCTCCACTCACCCATCCGCCCTGCGCCGGCTCCTTCGGCAGTTCCTTGACCTCGCGCTTGTAGCCCTCCAGCTCGCGGTACATCTTCTCCAGCGGGCCCGTGACAATCTTGCGTTGGTGCTCATCCTCCACCAGCTGACCCTTCTGAATGCGCTTGTTGAAGAGCGCAACTGGCCCCACTGGAGCAGCAGCCTTGGACGAAGACGCCGGTGCGGCTGCGGGAGAGGCGCTGGCGGCGCTCGAGGCGAAGCGGACACCGGCTTGCCGCGCGAGGCCACATGACGCCGACGATGCTTGGCTGTGCAGAGCTCGTTGCCGTGCAGCAGCGACGCTCGCGACGGCGGCGCTGCCGCTGCCGCTGCTCCGCACCGCCGAGCGGGCGGCCGCACGCGCAGAGACGCGCAGCATCGGGAAGACGCCGGGCCGGCGAGAGGCACAGAGAGCTGGCCGAGAGAGGACGTCGAGACGCAGAGTTGTGCTAACCGTTGAGCTGGAGCGTGCCGTCGCTTTCAACGTCGAGCAGCGGGATGTCCGGGGCCAGGGGATGATGTGGTGCCGAGCAAAGAGGCGCCGTCGGCTGTCGGCCAACTTCAAGGTCGAGGAGCCGGCAAAACCGAGGCGCGCGCGGTGTACCAGCCGCCGCGACACAGGCACGCCGCCTGCCGCCTGTCTGCGCTCGGCCCGCGGAAGCTTCCGGCTGCCCTCGCCGTTGCGCGCCCCGCCTTCGCGCCAAGGCGCCTGCGGTCCGACGTCCGACATCCCCGCACGGACGGCGCTCCGCGGCATTCGGTGTGGCCCGATGTGGCGCTCTGTCTGGAGGCGCTGCCGTGCTTCGAGCGGGGTCGCCCTGTCAGCGCTGTGCCGTTGCCAAGCTGCCTTTGGTGCGGAGAGCAGACACGCCGCGCGTGTGTTCGGGCGACGACGCCGAAGCTCGTGCACCCGCGTCGTCCGCACCCAGCAGGGCAAGCGCTGCTCCTCGCCGCACTCGGAGCCGCTTGGCCGATAGCTGGTGAATAGATGCACATTCTGTCGTCAACTGCTGAGCCGCTGCAGGACCATGAGGTGCGCAGAGGTTAGGGGTGAGGGTGAGCGACACCGCCTCGCCGTGCGCTGTGCACCTCCACCTCGCTCGCGCTGCGGGGCCTGAAGCTTGTGCACCTCACTCCATGCCGCCCAGGACCCAAACACCTCACGCCTAACTCTCTCAAGCCCCGCCCACGCATGGCTTCACAGATATACATCTCAATCTCTCGTCTCTCTCCACAGATCCGCCCAGTCCCATGGTGATGGTGCGCCGCTTATTGCGCCATCGAGTCGCCTCCCGCGCCCGGGGCAGCGGGCGCGCCAAAGCTGAAGCCGCCCGAGGGGCCGGCGAGGTTGGACTGGAAGGCAAAGCTGCCTGTCTCGTCGACCTGCGGCGCGCCCACGCCCGTCTCCTCCGCCTCCTCCTCGTCGGGGAAGTACTGGTCCATGATGAAGTCTGCGTGGTGCAAGCAAGGGTCAGCCGAAAGGCAAGCGAGGCTGCAGCACGGGGCAAGACGCACAGCACTTCTTGTAGATCTCCAGGTTCTCGTGGTGCTGCAGGTTGTGGATCGTCACCATGCCGCCGCACTCCTCGATGTAGAGGGCATATTGGTTGACGGCGCCGGCGCCGGCGGCCACCTTGTCCTGCTCGCCGACCTTGAGGATGTTCTCGAGGCCGTCGAGGGCGACCTGGATGATCTTGTTGTCGAGGCTCTTGAGCAGGTCGCACAGCGGCCGGATGCAGCCCTGCGACACGAGGTAGCGGATCTGCGCCGGCTCCTGCAGGCCGCCGCTGGTGGCATTGCTGATGGCCCAGCATGCCTCCTTCTTCGTCTTGAAGTCGGCGCGGCTGAGAATGTTGATGAGCGGCGGGATGATGTTGGCATCAATGACGGCCTGGATCTGCGTGCTGCTGCCGGCCGTGATGTTGGAGATGGTCCAGCAGGCCTCCTTCTTGATGCCGTCCTTGGGCGAGCTCAGCAGCGAGAGCAGCGGCGGCAGCGCGCCGCTCGCCACAATCACCTGCGTCTGCATGTCGTCGCCCGTCACAATGTTGCCCACGGAGCGCAGCGCCGGCGTCTGCACGGCCGTCGAGGGGTGCGTGAGCAGGTCGACGAGGCGGCGGCACAGGCCCGACTCGATGACCGCCTGAATCTTCTCGTTGGCGCCGTCGGAGAGGTACGAGATGGCCCAGCAGGCGTCGATGAGCACCTCGTCGTCCATCGAGTAGATGAGCTTCGTCAGGATCGTCAGGGCGGGCGAGACCTGTGTGTGGAGGAGGGTCAGCACTGGCGTGGCTCGGGCTTCGCAGGCGCACGCGCTCGCGCAACGCACCAGCTGCCAGTCGGGCTGCGGCTGCTTGCCGCGGCAGAAGTTGCTGAGCGTCCAGGTGGCGTTGCGCAGCATGCTGAGCTTGTGGTTCTCGTTGAGCAGCGCCAGCAGCGGGCCAAGGGCGCCCTTGGAGAGGACGTAGTCGCGGCAGCGCGGCGAGTCGCCGGCAATGTTGCCCAGCGCCCACACGGCCTGCTCGCGCACGTCGAGCACGGGCGAGGAGAGCAGCTCGATGAACACCGGCACCGCCTCGTGGTCAATCACAATCTGCGTGTGCTGCGACGTGCCCGACGCAATGTTCGTGAGCGCCCAGGCCGCCTCGAACTGCAGCAAAGAGGTCAGCCTGTGCGGCACAGTGCTGGCAGCCCGGCTGGGCCACACGCACCGAGACGAGGCTGTGCGGCGAGCGCAGAAACTCGACGAAGCGCGGCACGACGCCGCAGGCGATGACACGCTCGATGGGCGGGTTCTTCTCCTTGGAGAGCAGCTTGCGGAACTTGGTCGTGGCGTCGAGCTGCGCGTCGAGGTTGTCGGACATGACGCCGGCGATCATCTCGGGCAGCTGCGCCTCGAGCTGGACATAACGTCAGTGTGTGCAGAGCGGCGGTGCGAGTGTGCAAGCGGCGGCTGCGGAGCAAGTATGCAGGAGCGGTGCTGTTGCCGGGCCTGCAGTCGCGCGACAGAAACGCAGGCCTGGACAGTGCAACTGGCTCGTGCGGCAGGGACCCTCGACCCTGCACACAGCAGCGGCCACGACTGCGCTGCCCTCGCCCACCCGCAGGCCCCATGTACTGCATGCTCCACAGCTCTGTGCGCCGCGCACATGTCTCGCTCCCTGCTGCGACTCACCTGCGCATCCGACGCGCCGGCCAGCAGCTCCTCGTCGTCCGTCTCGCCGCCGCTGGCGTCGGGCACGGCGTTGAGGTTGCGCCGCTTGGCCATGCTCTCGTCGCGCTTCTGCTTGCGGATCTCGACCTGCGCCTCCTCGCGGCGGCGGCGCAGCTCGTCGCTCTTGAACTGGCCCTTGTTCTTGTACGAGTCTTGCCGGCGAGACATGTCGCGCAGTCCGGACATGCTGGGCGAGCGAGGGTGGGGGGGCTGAGGTGGAGAAGGGCTGGGGAGCGTGCCAGCGGTGCGGCGCGCGAAGGACAGGCCGGAGCGAGTGAGAGTACGAGGCGGCGGTGGTGGAAGTCAGGAACGTCCGCGGCAGACTAGAGGGGTGTGACGAGTGAGGAGAGAGGAGAACGAGGAACTAATCTCGGCTCTGCGTAGACCAACACCTGCTGCAGCGCGCGCGCAGCAGCAGCAGCAGGACGGGCGCGGCACACGGCTGTGCGGCGGCCTGCAGGGATGATCGGCGGCGTGGGCGTGGTCACGTGCGAGGTAGCAGCTCCCGCTCTACGGCTGGCTGCTGCGCTGCCATCGCCCGAGCTCGGCGACCAGACTGTCGGCTGCAGCGCTCTCTTCGTGCTTCGGTGCTGCGAGCAAAACCTCCATACAGGAGCATGGCAGCATGTAGTGCGAGCGTTCGCCACGGGCGATGGCTCGCTGCACATGGTGGCGTGTGCTGCTTTCTCGCCAAGACGCGCGCTCGGCCCACAACGCCGGAGTCGCGTCCACGCCGCGCCGGCGCTTCCGCGGCGTTCGGGCGCAGGGGTCGCTGTGCTGTGTCCACACACTGCTCTCGTGCCTGCGAGATGCTGGCAAATTTTGCCTTGCCACGCGCGTGCCTTCGCGCCCTCGCCTTCGCCGGCGTGTGCTCCTCGCCGTCGGCGTGCGGGCGTTGGCGGCGCGGGCGGGAGCGCGCCCTCGCGCCTCCTCCTCGCCTGCGCTGCACGCCGCTCTGCTGCTGGCTGCGCTGCGCTGCGCCGGCGGCGTCAAAATGTCTGGCTCGACGTCCTGCGCCTCCTTGCCTCCTTCCACCCGCCCCCCTCCTCACACGTTCCGGTCCCGTTTCCGCATAGATCCCCTGCGCTCTCACTCAGCAGAGCCGCACACACACACCACCCGAGCAGACCCCGCAGTCGCTCGTTTCTCCCCACTCAGCTCGTCGTCGCTCCTTTGCACGCCGCGCTCCGAGCTCGCCACTGCGCGCCCGCCACACCTAGACATCCCGGTTCCCCTGCCTTAGTGCAACGTGAGTCGCTCCTGCACCTCGCCACACATACCGAGGCTCACCCTTTGCCAGCCAAAATGGCTCCCGCTGCCGTCAACGCCGGCGTGCCCGCCACCGTGCCCGCCGACGCAAAGGGCCTCAAGGACTCGTCGGCCGCCGAGGCGGCGCAGTCTGGCACTGCTGCCGAGAAGAAGGAGGTCAAGCTCGAGGCCGGCCGCCTGCTCTCGAGCGCCGACCAGGAGGCCGCGCAGGAGCTCGTCAACCTCGTCAAGATCGAGGGCCCCACGGCGCTCTTCACGCTCGGCATCGAGGACATCATCCTCAAGGGCCTCAACGACAAGAAGAACGCCAGCGCGCGCGAGGGCGCCTGCGCGCTCGTCAAGACGCTCTGCGAGCAGGGCGTCGGCCACGAGGTCGAGCCGTTCGTCATCGCCTCGTGCCTCACGCCCCTCGTCGAGGCCATGGGCGACAAGGAGAAGACGGTGCGCGAGGCCTCGCTCGCCGCTCTGACCAAGTTTGTGCAGGCGATGAGCAACTGGTCGCTCGTGCAGGTGCTGCGCGTGCTCCTCGAGCAGGCGCGCACCGCCGGCAAGTACCAGGTGAAGCTCGGCTGCATCTCGCTCATCGAGGAGCTCGTCGGCGCCGCGCCCGACCGCATGGCCGCCGCCATGCCCGACATCATCCCCGTGATGAGCGAGGTCATCTGGGACACTAAGAAGGACGTGCAGACGGCGAGCCGCGCCGCGCTCAAGAAGCTCTGCGCCCTCATCTCCAACAAGGACATTGAGCGCTTCATTCCCGCCCTCATCAACTCGCTCATCCACCCCGTCGAGGAGGTGCCCAAGACGATCCAGCTGCTCGGCGCCACGACGTTCGTGTCCGAGGTCGACTCGCCCACGCTCGCCCTCATGGGCCCGCTGCTGCAGCGCGGCCTGAGCGAGCGCCCGACGGCGACGAAGCGCAAGGTCGCCGTCATCATCGACAACATGAGCAAGCTTGTCGACAACGAGCGCACGGTGCGCCCCTTCCTGCCCAAGCTGCTGCCCGGCCTCATCAAGGTCGAGACGAGCCTCGCCGACCCCGAGGCGCGCGGCGTCGTGCAGCGCGCCATTGCCACGCTGCGCCAGATCGGCCAGACCGAGGGCGACGGCACCGACCTCAAGCCGCTCGACGACGTCGACCTCAAGGCCACGGCGCAGCTCGTCACCAAGGCGCTCGACGAGCAGAAGCTCACCGGCCCGCCGCCGCTCATGACGCACATTGCCCAGCTCTCGACGAACCTGGCCAACGCGCGCAACTTCGAGGCCACCGAGTGGGACTCGACGCTCATCCCCTACATCACGCTGCTCAAGGGCTCCACCGCCGAGAAGGCCACAGCCGTCTCGCGCTCCCTCGTCACCGCCCTTGCCCGCTCCACGGGCGAGGAGGCCGAGGTGTTCGAGGACGAGGAGGAGGGCGAGGACCTGTGCAACTGCCAGTTCTCGCTTGCCTACGGCGCCAAGATTCTGCTCAACACGGCGACGCTGCGCCTCAAGCGTGGCCACCGCTACGGCCTGTGCGGCCGCAACGGCTCGGGCAAGTCGACGCTCATGCGCGCCATCCAGAACGGCCAGGTCGAGGGCTTCCCGTCGCCCGACGAGGTGCGCACGTGGTACGTCGAGCACGACCTCGACGGCTCCGAGGGCGACATTTCCATCCTCGACTTCATCGTTGCCGACGAGCGCCTGCGCACGAACCACAAGGACGCCGCCGACACGCTGCGCGAGATGGGCTTCGACGACGGCCGCCAGGCCGGCCCCATCGCCGCCCTCTCCGGTGGCTGGAAGATGAAGCTGGCCCTGGCGCGCGCCATTCTCTTCAAGGCCGACATTCTGCTGCTCGACGAGCCGACGAACCACCTGGACGTCGTCAACATCAAGTGGGTCACCGACTACCTCACCAGCCTCACGCAGGCCACCTCGATCATCGTGTCGCACGACTCGGCGTTCCTGAACAACGTGTGCACCGACATTCTGCACCTCAACCGCTTCAAGATCAAGCGCTACCCTGGCACGCTCACCGACTTCGTCAAGCGCGTCCCCGAGGCCAAGGCCTACCTCGAGCTCGGCGGTGGCGACGAGGACATGTCGTTCAAGCTGCCCGACCCGCCGCTGCTGGACGGCGTCAAGACCAAGGAGAAGTCGCTCGCCAAGATGCGCAACGTGCAGTTCACCTACCCCGGCTGCACGGAGCCGCAGCTCAAGGGCATCTCGATGCAGCTCTCGCTCTCGTCGCGCGTGGCCATTCTCGGCCCCAACGGCTGCGGCAAGTCGACGCTCGTCAAGCTGCTCGTTGGCGACACGGAGGCCGACTCGGGTGAGGTGTGGAAGCACCCCAACCTGGTCATCGGCTACGTGGCCCAGCACGCGTTCCACCACATCGACCAGCACCTCGACAAGACGCCGCTGGACTACATGCTCTGGCGCTACCAGACGGGCGAGGACCTCGAGGAGCACCTCAAGGCCTCGCGCCAGCTCTCGGAGGCCGAGCTGGCCGCCATGAAGAACGGCGAGGTGTACGTGCACGAGGGCGTCAAGCGGATCATCGAGGACATCGTGAACCGCAAGAAGCTGAAGAACAGCTTCCAGTACGAGGTCACCTTCAAGGCCATGTCGAGCGCCGACAACATCTGGCTCTCGCGCGACGAGCTCATCAAGCGTGGCTTTGAGAAGAAGATCATGGCCGTCGACTCGCGCGAGGCGCAGCGCCTCGGCATGAACCGCCCGCTCGTGCGCCGCGAGATTGAGAAGCACTTTGCCGACTTCGGCCTCGACGCCGAGGTGAGTTGAACGTCGCCACCGTCGTCTGCGTGCCTGTTGCTCACACTCATCCCCTCCAGTTCGTGTCGCACTCGGGCATGCGCGGTCTCTCGGGTGGCCAGAAGGTCAAGGTCGTGCTTGCCGCCGCCACGTGGCGCCAGCCGCACGTCATCATTCTCGACGAGCCGACGAACTTCCTGGACCGCGAGTCGCTCGCCGCGCTCATCAACGCCCTCAAGACGTACGAGGGCGGCGTGGCGCTCATCACGCACTCGCAGGAGTTCTCGGAGAACGTGTGCAAGGAGATCTGGCGCATGGAGGGCGGCAAGCTGCACGCCTCGGGCCACAACTGGGTCGAGGGCCAGGGCAGCGGCGAGCGCATCGACAAGAAGAAGGACGGCGAGGAGGAGGATGTGTTCGACGCGCTCGGCAACAAGGTCGTCTCGGCCAAGAAGGCCGCCAAGCTCGACTCGGCCGCGAAGCGCAAGGCCAAGAAGGACCGCATGGCGCGGCGCAAGCGCGGCGAGGAGGTCTTCACGGACGAGGAGGAGCTGTAAAGCACTCGCGTCTCGCATCTTCTGCCCTGCTCTCCCACCTTAGATCCCCGCCTCTGTGTAACCGCCTCTGTTCCCTATCCATGCCTCGTCCTTGTCCTGGAGAAATATTCTACACGACTTGTCATGCGACCACTGTGTGAAGTGTCTGAGTCGAGACTGCCGCTGCAAGCGAGAAGGCGGCGCGGTGCAGGTGGCGGCGTGGCGGCCTTGTACCGCTCGCTGCACGCTGCGCGCGCACGGCCGCAGCTCCCCGCGTTGGGCCGTCGGCGAGCGGCGTGCGCGTCTCGCTGTCGTGCTGTGGCCTCGCGCGAGAGCAAGCTGGGGCCCCTTGCTTCTCCACGCCCTCCACCACCGCCTCCCTCTCGCCCCTCCAGCAGCAGAGCCTCGTCGGCCATGCGGCACTCGCTTCTGCTGCTGAGCCTGGCGCTCCTCGCAGGCGCACAAGACCTGCCGCCCGCCCCACCTCTCCCCTCACCCCCACCAACGCCCATCCCCCTCCCCGGCGGCGCCGGCGAGATCGACGATGCCGGCTGTCGCCTGCTCGGGCCCTTTGCGCTCTTCGTCCAGGCACTCATGGGCGTCGTAGTCGTCGGCTCGCTCGTGTACAAGCGCACGCGCGAGAAGCCGCGGAGGCCTTGGCGCGTCTGGTGAGTGGTTGTGCCCGGCAAGAGGCGAGAGGCGGGGAGAGGCGAGCAGGGCAGGGCGTGCGGCCCTGAGGGCAAGCGAAAGGGGACAGAGAGGGAGAAGCAGAGGGTGGGGAGAAGGGGAGGGCAGATGCAGCCTTGACGTGGGCTGCACCGGCGCGTCCTCCTCGAACTTGCTGCATCTCCATTCGCAAGGTCTCGCTCTTCTCTCCTTGCTGCTCGTCTCTGGCGCAGGCGTGAGGGGGGCAGCACGAGTCTTGTCTTGGCACGTGTCCGCCTACCCCTCCCTTCCTTTCATCGCTTCTCTGACACAGCGGCACGGCTCTGGCAGGATGCTCGACATCACCAAGCAGATGCTCGGCCAGGCATTCGTGCATTCCCTCAACGTCTTTCTCTCCGACTGGGGCTCTCATCAAGGCGAAGAGCGCGAGAATCCATGCTCTCTCTACGTCGTGAGTAAGAGTTATGCTGCGCTGCTGCGGTGTATCGGGCTTGGTTCGCTGACGACGAGGGGGCACAGCTCAACGTCGCTGTCGATACGACGCTGGGTGAGTCGGCGTACCTTCCTTAGCTCATGCCTTACCACAGCACTGACCCTCGTGGCTGTCCAGGCGTGTTCTTCATCTACGTCACGATGCGCTTCCTCACGCATCTCCTCACCGACGTGCTTGGCATTGAAGGTTGCGTCTCGGGCCAATACACGAGCGCGCCCATCGTCACTACCGCACCTTCCATGCCGCCTTCCTCGGGGCGTCCTCGCCTGCCGCGCACGCGCACGCGGCGACGCTACTCTCGCCGCGCCACCCAGCATGCCCAGCGGCCTCGTCTCGCCTTCTGGGCGCGCCAGCTGGGCATGTATCTGCTCGCGCTGCTGCTCATGAAGCTCGCCGTGCTCGTGCTCTTCGCCCTCTTCCCGTTCCTGATCACCGCAGGCGGAGCGCTGCTAGACTTGTTCGGCGAACACAAGAATGCGCAGGTGCTGTTCTCGATGAGCCTTTTCCCGCTCGTCATGAACGTGCTGCAGTTCTGGCTCATCGACACGCTACTACGACATGATCCGCACACGAGCAAATACGTGGGCGATGCGGATGAGGAAGAGGCGTTGGGCAATGAGAGCAGGGCAAGCGAGAGCACCGACTATCGAGCAAGCACCGACTACAGAGGGAGCACGGACTTCCGCAACAGTACGGACTACGCAGAGGGCACGCTCTATCGGCAAGGCTCGGCTTCGACAGCGCATCTCGTAGGCGACGCCAGCGAGAGCGAGGGCGAAGACGAGACGCCCCGAGCTGCCACAACCCCAGCTGGTCGGGCACAAGACGGCGCCGCAGCAGCGGAAGACGGACACGCGTATCCACCTTCGATTGGCTCGCGTGGCTCCCGCTCAAGACCCTCTTCCCCACCCGCGCCGCCGCCGGCGATGCGTGCCTCGGCATCGTCGCTCGACGACCTGCGCGTGCAGGCAAGCCGCACGCTGAGCGACGAGGGCGAAGAGGAGGCGTGGGATGCGTGGGACGACGAGACGGACAACACCGGCGCGGCAGGAGGAGGAGGGCCAGGGAAGAAGGCACACGCGAGGGAGAACAGTGCGGGTAGCTTTGGACTTGAGACGCAGACGCAGGGCAGGAAGGAGGTGAAGAGGGACTAGAGGGTCAACACAGAGCTTATACAACGGGGCGTTGCAAGCGAGCGAGACAGCGTGACGAGACTGAGGCTGCGCTGACGCAAGCGAACGTCGAGTGGGCACCGATGGCATTGCGAGGCACCAGGTGTACAAGAAGAAAATGTGCCTGTCCCGAGCAGCCCGAACCCCACGCGCAGCACAGATGCTGAGCGCGTGCGGCAATGAGAGGGAGCGGACAGGAGCATACGACGCTGTAGCCTAAGTTGTCCCGCCGTTCACAAGCGTGGGTTTGGCGCGAGGAAGGCTCTTTAGAAGGCGTGTTGGTGAAAGAAGGGATGAGAAGAAGAGATGGGGGACCGAGACGCAGACGGAGACGGAAGCAGAGAGGGATTCGAATGCAGTAGAATTACCTGTCGAGCAAAGCGTCAGCCAGGTGGAGGGGCAAGGCGGAGAGAGGAGGAGCACTCACAAATGACAAGAAAAGCACGACGACCGCGACAAGATGCTACACGACGACGACAAATGCTCAGAGACCATTGCGCCGCAGCTCCTTCCAATGATGCGAGCGCGGCACTGCGTTTTGAAAGCGTTTCGGCAGCACGACCCTCTCCTTGTCGTCCAGCTCTACGACGTGCGTCACCTCAACCGCAGGACGACCCGCGCAGCTGCAACCGCACACGCTCAGCTGGCGGAAGGGGGCGGAAAAGAGAGGGCAAGACGCACATGCGAAAGACGCGCTCCATGCGCGCACAGCTGAACTGCTCGTTGGGCAGCAGCGTGCAGTCCCACTGCAGGATCTCGGCGAGGCGACAGGAGGCGCCGGCGCCGTTGTCGAAGCGCGGCGCAGGCGCCGGCGCAGCCGAGGCCGCAGGCGAGAGCGACGCTGCAGCCGCAGCGGCCGCCGGCGCTGTGGCGGGCGCAGACGCGCTGGCGGCGCCGGCGGAGGACATTGAGGAGGATGTGGAGCGCCAGGAAGGCGCAGCGCAGGGACGCGAGGCGCGAAGAAAGGCAGCGCCGCGCGGTGCGCCGCAGAGACCGAGCCACGTGGCCTGCACCCTGCCCGCGAGATGAGCGTGGGAGCGCCAGCTCAGGCACCGAGAAGCGACCTCACTCTCACTGCTGCTGCCTCTCTCGCAGCACGCCGCGAGATGGCCGACTGCGGCACAGAGACACGCTGCTGTCCAGTGTGGGAGCAAGCTGGCTGCCGCTGCTGGCTACCTGCAGGCCTGCGTCAGAGGCGAGACGGCTGCCGGGAGGGCCAGATTTGAAGGCGGCCACAGCACGGTTGGGCCGCGGCGGCGCGATCTGCGCTGTCGGCGCCGAGCCGGAGCCGTCAGCGCGCGTGCCTGGCGGTATCGAGGCGCGCGCCGGCCGACGTTGGCCTCCCTCCACGTCCACCCTCGCATCCCGCTCAGCGCGCCATCCTCCGCCTTGCTACGGCGCCTACTCCCTAGCAGCCACGTGCTTCGGTCTCTGAGCGTGACGCTGCGGCTCGCCCTGCCGCCGCTGCGTGTGCACCCGCTGCGCCGCGCATGCCCTGGGCCGACGGCTTGTTCTCCCGCTCCTCCCTCAGCCGCGTCCGTCCGCACAGCTCGCTGGACATCCCTCTCGAGCCGCTCGCTGCCTCCTCCGATCTCTCCGCGCGCCACAGCGCCCCACCGCCCCGGACTCCACTCCGCTACGAAGCCCTCTTCCGCCCGCATCTCGTCATGAAGTTCTCGCACAGCCTGCAGTTCAACAGCGTGCCCGACTGGGCGGACCGCTATGTGGCGTGAGTCGTCGCCGAGCGGGCGCACGTCTCCAATGCAGAGCACTGACCTCGCGCCACAGCTACTCGAACCTCAAGAAGGCCATCTACCAGCTCGAGCAGTCGCAGCCCGTCGACGGCGCCGGCGAGGGCTACAGCGACGCCGCCTCCGCCGCCGAGTCGTCGCCGCTCCTGCGCGCCGGGCTGGCCGCCGAGTCCGACCGCGTCTTTCTGCCGCTGCTCGACAAGGAGCTGCGCAAGATCTCCAACTTCTACGCCGGCAAGGAGGGCGAGCTGTACGCTGCCGTTGAGTCGCTGCGCTCGGATCTCGAGAAGCGCGAGAGCGAGTCCGTGTGGGATGACGGCGACGAGGATGCGTCGGAGGACGACGATGATGATGACGACGAACGTCCGGGTGCGGAGAGTGCAAACACCACCATGAAGGGCACCACTACACAACGACGCACGAGCATCGACGGTGTCTTTTCCAACCCGAGCAAGTACAACGAGGCGGCGCGCGAGGAACGCGCCCTGCGCGGCTTCACGGGGCCGAGACGTCAGCGACGCAAGTCGAGCAGCGCCGGCAACCCCGAGGAGCGTGCGCGCAACGCAGGACTCGTCGACCACAGTGGAGCGGGTCCGACAGCTGCAGAGACGGCCGTGCCCGACGTGCTGGCCATCTCCGAGGCTCGCCGCGCCGAGCGTGAGCCGCCGCGACGCTGGAGCAGCATGTTCAAGCGACGCACGAGTGCCGTGGGCACAGCTACGAAGCGCAGCATTGGTCTTCTGATTCCTTCCTCGCCGACTGCGGAGCGCGCCGGGTTCGACGACTTTGAGGGCAGCAGCAGCGTGGGCGATGCGAGAAGCATGAGCATCTGGACGGCAGACAATGATTGGGCCATCGATCTGCGCATCACCTTCAAGCGCCGCATCACCGATCTCTTTGTGACGTGCAGCGAGCTCAAGCAGTTTGTGCAGCTCAACGAGACGGGCATGAAGAAGATTTGCAAGAAGTGAGTTGGCCTGGAGCGCCCGCCGCAGTGCGCTGCAGCGCTGAGCCCTCGCACTCGGCCAGGTACGACAAGATCATGAACAGCAACCTCAAGGATCGCTACATGGGCGACGTCGTGGCGCAGCAGTATCCCTTCGAGGCGGAGACGCGGGCTCGGCTCGACGAGACGATCACGACGCTGACGACGTTCTATGCAAAAGTCTGCACGAGCGGCGACTTGCCTGCCGCGTTGAGCCAGCTCAAGACGCACCTGCGCGAGCAAGTCGTCTGGCAGCGCAACACGGTGTGGCGCGAGATGATCGGCATTGAACGCCGTGCTCAGGGCGCCACGCTGGAGCAGACGGTGATGGGCTCGACACTGCGCAGCGGCAGAGGAGAGGAGACAAAGCCGGCAAGACTGTGGACGCCGTGTGGACGCATTACATTGCCGCACTGGCTCGGCATCTCGACCCTGCAACTCGTGGTTGCCTTTGCCATGCTCACGCTGCTGCTCAAGGCGCCCGGACTGCGCTTCTTTGCGCGCGTCGAGGAGCAGAACTGCCTCGCCATGCTCATCTTCTGCACGATTCTCTGGGCCACTGAGGTGAGTTGTCGCGCATCCGCCCCCCCCCCCCCCACACCTCTCTCCTCTCTCCTCCTCGCGCGCGGCTGCCTTGGCTGACACGCAGTGGACAGGTCATTCCGCTCTTCGTCACGTCGCTCATGGTGCCGTTCCTCGTCGTGACGCTGCGCGTGGCGCGGACAGACGACATTGAGGATCGCCGCATGTCTGCGAGCGAGACGACGCAGTGAGTCTGGCTTGCCACAGAGCGCCTGGGACCTGCCACTGATGACCCTCTCTGCAACAGCTGGATCTTCTCGCAGATGTTCGCGCCCAACATGTGTCTGCTCATCGGCGGCTTCACGCTCGCCGCTGCGCTCTCCAAGTACAGCATCGACAAGATTCTCGCGCAAAAAGTGCTGCGCCTGGCCGGCACGCGGCCGTCGATGGTGCTGCTGGCGCACATGGGCGTGGCGTGCTTCGCCAGCATGTGGATCAGCAACGTGGCGGCGCCGGTGCTCATGTTCTCGCTCATCCAGCCCATCCTGCGCAACCTGCCTACGAACTCGACATTCGCCTCTGCGCTCATCATGGGCATTGCGCTGGCGTCCAACATTGGCGGACAGACGTCGCCCATTGCCTCGCCGCAGAACCTCATTGCGCTGCAGTACATGGGCGACCAGCCCGTCGGCTGGCTGCAGTGGTTCGCCATTACGATTCCCGTCTCGGGCCTCTCGCTCGTCGTCATCTGGCTTGTGCTGCTCTGGGCATACGGCTCCGGCCGCGGCGTCGTCATCCGCGCGCCGTCGGAGAACCGCGATCGCTTCACCGGCATCCAGTACTTCATCGCCGCCGTGTCGGTGGGCACGATTGGCCTGTGGTGCTTCGAGCATCAGCTCGAGTACGTGCTGGGCGACATGGGCGTCATTGCCATCGGTGAGTGCTGCGCGAGTGCCGGGTGCACTTGACACTTGGCTCACATGCTCTCGCAGTCCCCATCGTGCTCTTCTTCGGCACGGGCATCCTGACCAAGGAGGACTTCAACAACTTCCTCTGGACCATCGTCTTCCTCGCCATGGGCGGCATTGCGCTCGGCAAGGCCGTCACGTCGAGCGGCCTGCTCGAGTCGCTCGATGCGCTCATCCAGGACATTGTGCAGGGCATGCCGATCTGGAAGGTGCTCTTCAGCCTGCTCGCCATCGGCCTCGTCGTCGCCACGTTCATCTCGCACACGATCGCTGCCGTGCTGCTGGTGCCCATTGCGGCGCAGGTCGGAGACTCACTGGCGCAGCCTCACCCGCGCCTGCTCATCATGGCCACCACCCTGACGGCCTCGGCAGCGATGGGTCTGGTGAGTGCCTCTCTCGAGCACGACTGCGCGTCTCCTCTTGCTGACAGCTCCGCCACAGCCCGTGTCCGGCTTCCCCAACATGGCCGCGTCGGCACAGGAAGACTCGACGGGCAAGCGCTACGTCAGCGTCAAGGACTTCCTGCGCGTCGGCATTCTCGCCTCCGTCCTCGCCACGGCCATTGTCGGCACCGTGGGCTTTGGCATCATGACGCTCCTGGGCTTGTAGGTCGAGTAGAGAGAGAGGGAGCAATCCGAGAGACACCTGTTACATCCTTCGTTCGAACTTCTGCGTGGTGTGGACGGATGCGAGCTGCTGAGCGTCCTCTTCCGGCCCGTCGGCCAGAAGCAAAGAGAGGTAGGCGGAGAAGACGGTGTCTCCAGCTGACGTACACCTGTTTACGTCACGGCTCTGCAGCCAGCCTTCCAGCAAGCGAGGCTCTTACCCTCAAAGGACTCAGAGCGTTCTTCTCACGCCCCTTTTCATTCGTCGCACGTCGGAGAAATCAAGCAGGTGAGCAGGCACAACGGGCTCTCAAACAGGAGTCAGGAGCGTCCATCAGGAGAGGCGATGTTGCTCTCCTTTGTGCGACTCAGCCGCACTTTCTCCTCGCCGCGATTGCGATTGCTGGCCGTCGCTTGCGCGCTAGCTCGAATTCCAAATGCGGTCGAGAGGAGAGAGGGGACGGCGTCGAGATTGCACGCCCCAGGCAGCGGACTGCGACCTCGCCCTCGGAGCCGCGAAGCCGACAACACAACACGGCACCGCCCGGTGGGCGTATTGGGCGGACGTGAGAGCGCTCCCACCCCTCGCTCGGAAGGCCGTGCCCGGTAAGCTCCCTTCTACGCTCTCCTCTCCTAGGCCCCACTCGCGTTCTCATCATGACGAGGCTGTGGTATAGCGTTCCCCAAGGCTTCGCTCTGGCTGTGGCGTGTGCAAGACCTGGCCCCAAAGGCCAGACGCTGGAATCAGCCCTCTCTCCAGCCTTATCTCACCGCATGCCGAGCGTGCCGCGGGAATGTCACCTCCAGGGGGTCTCCTTCGTCAAATCTCGATCGCCAGCGCCCCTCGGTCATGGGGCGCTTTGACCCCTGAGGCTCCTTGAGTTTTTCCGTCGCCGCAGGCCGCCGCTCGGTTCCATTCATCTGTACCTGACGCCTGTACATCGTCTGGCCAGGCCGAGCTTAGGGCGGCAAAATGGCCTCATGTGGCTCACGCCCATCTGTGCCAGCGTGCTTTTGCCGACGATCGCGCGCTGAGCTCGCACGCCAGACCACGGCCGCCAGCACAAGGACGAGCCGTGCGCTCCTCGCAAGACTATCTGTTTAACCGGGATCAGAGTGTCTCTTGAGACTCGCGGCTCCTCTGATTCACCTAGTCAACAGGGAGGTCGCTGCAAGCGAGAGCCGGTCAAGCAGACGCGGCGAAGGGAAGGCGTTCGAGTGACCCCTCTCGCGCTCGTTCAACGCGAGGTACGGTGCTCACGGAGTATCCTCTCCGCCAGGCGCCCTCTTCACCCCTAGGTCTGATATTTCCGAGCTCTCAAGTGGAGTGCGGCCAGCGCCTAGCTGACGATAGAGAGAGACGAGATGCTGCTGTGCCGCCGGCATCTCGGGGCGGCCCAGGCACGATTGGCGCTCCGCGACACAGGGTGCCGTCCTGGTTCGCCGCCCCCACCCCTGGCGGAATTGTGAGACGCAGCTTGAGAGCACGCCGTCACTGATCGCTCGCTAGGAGTATGTGAGGCCGCGGAAATCCGAGATCCCCGCGCCTTCGGTGGAGAGAAGATGGGCGCTTCGAGGAGAGACGGCCGCGCCGTGAACGTGCTAAACATAGCATGTCAGCGTTGAGCTGCGCGGTGGGCAAGTTGTTCGGCAGGAGTGATGGACTCCGGCTGGATGCACCATGGCCTTTGTTGCGTTCGGTGTAGAGAGTGTTGGCGCAGGTCAGCGTGCAGAGGCGAGGCGCAGCGCCCGCCCGATGCTAGCACGCACGCTGTGTCGTGCGCTTGCCCCTGAGGACGCGCGATGCGCGCGGCTCGGCCCCTTGAGCGCCGCGGCGCACGGCGTCTGCGCCCACGCCTCGCCTTCGCTGTTCGCTGCACAGAAGCGCCCACGAGCCAGAAGCCACTTTGTGCCAGGCTCCTCACTGCGCCGTGTGCCAAAAGCGTGCACCCCTTCGGCTTCACGGCAGCGAACGCGGCACACTGCTGGCCAGGTGCGCCCCGATATGTCCCGAGTGGAGAGAACGCCAGATCAGGCCGGCGAGGAGAGAGTGGCGAAGGGCGGGAACGCAGCCCATCGAAGGCGCAGCGCCTAGTGTCGAAGCACCGCGTGGTGATAGCGCAGAGGCCTAATAAGGGTAGCAGGACTGTCAATTTGGCGCTCCTCTCGCTCTGTCCCTCGGCCTGCACCTGCCCCGCACACACACCTCCCGTCCCATCCTCTTCCATCTCCTCGTTTCTCTCGGAGTGCTCCGTTCCGCCGCCGCCGTCGACTTGATCGCCGGACGAGGCGAGCCGCATACCGGGTCATCGCATCTCTCAAGTCGTGTGGTCTCGTCCGTGGTTCGCTGCTCTCTCCTCTCCTCTCCATCACATCGGGGCATCGCTTGGTTCTCTCCACGCAACCATGCTAGCCCGCGTCCCGTGTGAGAACTTCTTCGTCTTTCCCTCGAACCGACGTGCGACTGAGAACGCCACCGCTCTAGTGCTCGCCGCCGTAAACTTCACATTAGTGGGTGCGCTTGGATGGGACACGGTGCTCACGATGCCATTCGACGTCGTCGTCTGGCGGAGAACGCGTGCCGGCACGCTTTCGTTCCCATCGGCGGCGCTCTACATCCTCGCGCGCTAGTGAGTGCTCACAAGATCGGAGTGGTGGGCAGCAACTGACGGCGGCGTCGACCTCAGCGGGTCGCTGGCCTACCTGATCCTGCGCGCAGCTCAAATCTCGATGAGCCCCGGTGACACCGGCAACTGCGAGGCGATACTCGTCGCATGTGTGAGTGCCTTCATGCCGTACCTCGCCTCGCCCTTCGGCTCACCAAGCCGGGCAGATTGTGCTCGGCGGTCTCTCGCACTGGGCCTCCTCGGGCATCTTCGTCGTGCGCGCCGTGGCCATGGAAGGAGGCGCTCGCCGACTGCTGTCCATGCTCCTCATCGCGACGTGGTCTGTGTATCTGGTCTATCTCGGCGCCTGCTCCTATCTCTTCTACGCGAATCTCGACAACCCGGACAACCGCGACTCGGGCACGACGGGGACGTTCAGGGGTGAGTCGCACGATGCAGTGCTGGAGACTCTGCGCTGAGCCCGTGCAGTGTTCGCAAAGGGGTGCCCGAATCCTTCAAATGGGGCGATGCGCTGGCACACATTCACGCTTATTGGCGTCGCAGTCGATGTGAGTCAGCTTCGCTCCCAGCGGTGATTCGCGACGCTGAAGGGCTGTGCTGCCGACAGCTGTTGGCCTTTGCCATCATGACGCGAGCGCTCGTCCGCAAGGTCGGCGGCGACCAGACGTTCTCGGGTGTGGCGCGCGTCATGATCACCGACTCGATGGTGCAAGTCGGCGTGGCGACGGCCGCTAGCTTTGTCACGGCCATCGTGGCGCTGGGGCCGATCTACGGGCACTCAACGGCAGGCACTGGCTTCGTGAGTGGTGTGTGAGGGGAGCGGCGAGAGGAGCAGAGGCTCATGGCGCTGCATGCCCAGTGCCTGCTTCTCAACGTCACTATCACTGCCATCATCGCGGGACGGAGCTATCGGAGGTTGATCAAGTGCAAGGAGCGACTGATCGGTGAGTCAAGCGCAGGAGGCAGTGGCAGCATCAGCGGCTCACGCACTTGTCGCAGCGCCGGATCGCTTCATGAGTGGCGGCCTCGAGTGCGGTCACGGCGGCATAGACCTCATCACTGGGCGACGCATGAGCGAGCGTTCGATCCTCAAATTCTGGCGGCGGCCCAGCGACGCTACGCACGCGGCCGAGACTGGACGCAACAACTGGGGCTCGCCGACGTGTGCCGAAGAGACGGCAGGCGGACGCTTCCGCGGTGGATCGTGGTCATTACGGAGAGGCAGCGTGCCGACTGTGGTGCCACCACTGCCAGCGCACGAAGAGGCATCGTGGATGCGCGACATGCGCAGTCCGCGCGCCGCAATGCTGGCGCCCGAGGCGAGGAGCGATATCGTGGGAGGAGGTCGACGTTCCTCGGTACTCGGCTGGCCGCTTGGTCCAGCACCCTCACATGTCGGCGACGAGCGCGTCACCTTCCACATGGCGCTCGATTCGCTGCGACAAGAAGAGATGAAGCGCAGCACGCCAACGTCGGAGACGCACATCGAGTCGCTCGTGGCCGACTCGCCACGCCGGCCCGTCGACACTCCGATGCGCACTTCGTCGATGTCGAGCGCTGCGACATTGGCGCCGCCAGTTTCGCTGCTGAACACGCCGAGCGAATCGTTCAGCTCGCCGCCGTCGGCGCCCAGCTGCACACGCACGGCGAGGCATAGGTCGTCCGACGAGGAGACGCGGCGAAGCGGAGAAGACACATGAAGGCGTAATCTGAGAGCAAGAGTAAATTGACGAGCTCATGATGAATGACTGCCTCACTGGCTGCGCAAATGGTTGGGGAGATGGAGAGAGGCGGCTTGCTTTGCAGCACTTTCTGTCCACAGCGGCGTGTGCATGCGCAGCGCAAGACGTCGGAACTCGGCCCCGGCCGTTGGCGCTCGCAAGCGCTCTCCTTGCTGCTAGCGTCGTTGCTCGGCGGAAGCGCCGGCCCCTCTGGCGAAGGCGAGCATCGTGAGCGTGGCCATGCAGCGATGGCTGCGAAGATGCAGAGGCGAGCGGCCTGCTGTTCCCTGGAGGACGGCCTAGTGGAGAGCGGAGGGCGTGCCAGCACGAGCTTCGGGTCGGCGAAGGATTGGGCCGTGGGCGCCGCGCGCCGTGCCGAGCCGGGTGCCCCACGCGCGGAGATCTTGGCTCGTGCTCGCCGAGCCGCAGCAGCGCAGCGGGCAGCAGCAGGCAGCAGCAGAGCCCGGCGAGGCTCGGCTCAAGATGCCGGCCATGGAGAGGAGCTCGTGGCCAAGCGGACGAGAGCTGCTCCAAGGGAACTCGAGTGAGCTTGACCGGGGCCATGCTCGACCGACAGCGAGGCGCACGAGAAGGTCCTGCTGCATGCCCCCAGCGCGCCTTCTTCCGCCATCGCACCCTGCCCAGCAGCACCGCATCGCTTTTGCGTCTCACCCTCTCTGTGCCTCTGCAGCTGCATCCGCTGCTGCGAAGGACACAGCAGAGTAGCTGTAGGGCAGGCTCGGCAGCTGGCTGTGCGGTGAGCCCGGCCTGCATGCGCCATCATGCGGCATCCGAGACGCGCAGGCCCGACCGCCGACACAGGCGGCGTGCTGGCGCGGCGCCAGCGCCGTTCGACACCGCAAGGCGCGGCGGCGTGCGGGCGCCATCGCGCGCTGCGCGAGGCACGCACGCGTCGAGGCAGCTCAGGCAGGCGGCCAGCAGCCGCAGAGCAGCCTCCTCGACGGCGGCCCGCACCCTTCTTAAGCGCTTTGCCCGCCTCCTGGCTTGCCTCAGCCCCACCATCACTGCACGCCAGCGCAAGCCGCCGCCGCCGCTGCTGCTGCCTCAACGTCAAGCCGGATCCGAGTCACCTTCAAGCGTCCGGCCGAGCCCAGCCATAGCGCCGCATCTGCTCCCCTTCGCCTGCAGTGCCCCGCGCGCGCGCACGTCTCGCCGCTCCTCATCGTGCCGCTCGTCGCCGCCGCCGCACGCTCGAGCCGGGTTCGCGCGCCGCCACCACCGCCCAGGCGTCCATCGCGCACCCTCTCTCACGCCGTAACGACTACAGCGACATCAGTGCTCCCGCAGCACAGCTTGTAATTGTCTGCCGACGCAGCCATCGCCTCACGTCGTCAGCCGCAGCTGCTGTTGCCCGGCGCGGGCGTGCACCATCGACGCGCTCTTGCACGCGCCGCTCTCGCCATCACCTCTGCGCGCTCGCGCCCATGACCGGCCAGCGCCGCGAGTGAAGCGCGTCGACGACCACCCACGCTCACGCCCCAGCGCACGCACGCGCGCCAGGGGCTCGGTTCTCTCATCCGCGCGCAAGGTGAGTGTCTGCTGAGCTCGCGGTGCAGTGAGCGCGACACGCTGGCCGCGCTGCCAGCCTGATGTGCGCGCTTGGTTCGCCTGTCGCCGCTCATGCTGACCTCTGCCTACAGCGCGCGACCACACGCCGCCATGGAGGACATCTCGGCCGACGATGATCTTCTCTCCGACATCCTGCTCGAGTGCGTGTGGTGCCGGGCCTGACAGTTGATGCGCGCGTGTCGCTGACCGCTCTCACCCTGCAGCGGGCTGGAATTTGACCCGCCGATCTCGACGCACAAGATGAACCAGACGTACCGCAGCCCGCGCTATGAGACGAACTTCATCATGGCGCTGTTGAAGCAGCGCATCGTGCTGGAGTCGGACGTCAACGCGGCGCTGGAGGAGCTGAGCCGGTGAGTCGTCGTGCTGCGGTTACGGGCTCGCGTGGTGTGCGCTCGTGGTGCGGTGTAGTGGCGGCAGTGGCGGGACGGTGCGGGGCGCTGGACAGCACACGCAGAGCGACGTTTGCCCGCCGGACAATCCATCGCTGCGCGCTGTGGCTGGTCGCTGACTACCTATCTGCAGGCTCCGCTTGATCCAGCGCCATCTGCAGGACAAGGACGAGCGGCAGGCGCAGGCCTTCTATGCGTGAGTGCTGTCGGTCCGGCATCGAGGCTGGCTGTGGTTGACGTGCACGTCTGCAGGCATGCACGCCGCTACCTCGAGACGTACCTGCCCGATGCTGGCGTCGAATTTGCTCTGACTGCGCGCTACAAGCGCCCACACCCATCGATTGCGCGCGCCGCTGCGGCCGCCGCGGCGGCTGGGACCAGCACGGACACCGCACTGAGCAACGGCGGCGCGTCCACTTCGGCTGCTGGTGCACTTGCCTCTGCAAGTCCGCCGCCGGTCGAGCCGGCACCGAGCAACGGCAAGAGCAGCTGGAAGGGCAAAGGCAAGGCGCTGACCGACAGCTCGAGCACTGCGCCGCCCGGGCATCCGAGAGCCGACCTGTGCGTCGTTGCGCTGCGGGCGTACAAGGCCGGCGAGATCGTCATGTGCAAGGGCGGCGTCAAGGACCTGACGAAGGACGAGGATGTGGCGCTGAGGGAGGAGGCGGCGGGCAGCCGAGACGCGCGCGATGCCAAGGGCTACGCCGGCGTGCTTGGCCCGGGCCGCGACTTCTCCATCATCCGCAGTGCGCGCAAGGGCTGCAGCCAGCTGCTACTTGGGCCTGCGCGTTTCGTCAACGTGAGTGGCCCGCACAATCTGCGTGAGGCGCGCCGAGCTGACACGCCGCTGCAGCATGACTGCAACCCCAACACCGAGTTCCACCGCATCGGCTCGTCGCAGATGGCCTTCAAGACGCTGCGGCCCATCGGCCTCAACGAGGAGATCACGACGTACTACGGCGACAACTACTTCGAATGGGGCAACTCCGAGTGCCTCTGCGCCACGTGCGAGTACCGCGGGCGCGGCGCGTATGCGCCTCGCGACGGCGAGCCGGGAGCGCTGCCGCTGTCTGTCGAGGCTGCGGCAGAGTCTCCGGCCGACTCCAATGGCGGCGACGCGGCCGCCAACGCGCGGCGCACGTCTGGGCGCAAGACGACGTCGTCGCGCCAGATGAGCTCGACGTACTCGCCGGGCGTGCCCTCGCTGTCGCCTACGCCGGCGCTGAGTGTCACTCCGCACGAGGGAGTCTCGTCAGGCACTGGCTCCGAGGCTTCGTCGATTGTCTCGACACGCAGTGGCCGCTCGATCACGCACCACATCTCCGATCGCGAGGCCAGCGAGTACTTGCACGTGACGATGCCGCGCGGAGACCGCCTCACCTGCAACACGTGCGGCGCCAAGTACTGGGCGCTGGAGTCGTGGTGGACGCCCGACGAGTGCCGGCGCTGCGAGCGCCACTTCCGCATCTACAAGGCCGACTGGCCCTCGCGCAAGCCGACTGAGCGCCCATACACCGGCCTTGCCGAGCTGAAGATGTACCGCGGCCAGCCATCTATGAAGGGCAGGCACAAGCGCGGCGCCGTCGACCAGGACGTGGACCAGGACGCGGCAAGCGCGACGCCGGTGGCGCCGAGCAAGCGGAAAGCGCGCATCTCAGGAGAGAAGGGTCCTGCGCGCAAGCTCGGGGCCCCGAAAGCGGAGGACGCTGCGTCGGACGCGTCGGCCACGCCGGTGAAGCTGACGCCGCTGCGCGACGCTCCGCCGGACCAGCCAGGCGGCAGCACTGTCAAAGCCGAAGGCTCTCCGGTAGACGCCACGCCAACGGCGTCGAAAGCCGCGGCAGTCTTGCCGCCGCCGCCAAAGGCTGAGCCAGAGCACAAGGAGCAACCGCTGAAGCGGCGCAAGAGCAAGGTGCTCCTGGCGCCGCCCGATCCGATCATGCCAGAGAGCGGCGATCCGGACGAGGATGCCATTGACCTCGCGCTCGGCACCTCCGCGCCGCATGTCAGCTCGCACACGGCGCAAGCACCGGCCACGAGCTCGGTGCAGGCAACGAAGCAGTCTGGGCGCGATGTGCTGCCCGACTTTGAGTCGCTGTCGGACCTCTCCGACCCCTCCGAGTCGGAGGTCGTCAAGCAGCGCGGCAAGGGCCACCGCAAGAAGGTCGAGTACTCGTCGAGCGATGGCGGCGACGTGCCCGCTGCGCCCAAGATGCTCGGCCCACAGGCGCGCACAGAGACGCTGGCGCTCTTCTGGGGCGCAGTTGATGGCGGCCGTCGTGCGCGTCGCCCGAGCAGCAATGCGCCCGAGCGCCCAGTTGTGACGCCGCGCACGAGCCGCTCGTCGGGACAGGGCCACCGGCGCTCCGGCAGCGGTGCATCTTCGCGCGCCTCGGCCTCGCGCGCCGCCATCGCCGACGATGAGGAGATGGACGTCGACGACGACGAGCTGCGCTCGGCCATGCGGCGGCCGCTGAAGAAGAAGAAGAAGCTGGCGCCGTCGAGCTCGGACGAGGAGGCAGCCGCGGCGATGCCTGCCGTCAGCGACAGCCGGCGCAGCAGCCTTACGCACAAGCCAACGCAGAGCGCGGCCGAGGCCGGTCCGCAGAATGGGCACGCCCCGGCGCGTCGCGCGAGCCTGGCTGCGCCAGAGGCCAGCGTCAGCAGCGGACAGACTAGCGGCGCCAGCTCTCCGGCCTCGGCCGTCGCGCTCGCGACGCAGGGCAGCGAGCGCACCTCGGTCAAGAATCTCGCGCTCTTCTGGAGTGCCGGGCTCAACGAGGAAGGCGGCCGCACGCGCCGTCAGGCACACCGCGATCCTAAGACGGTCACGCAGGTGCCGGAGCGCGCCAAGCGTGCGCGTGCCAGCGGCGAGGCGGCGCGCTCTAGCGACGACAGCCGCAGCGCGACGCCAGAGCTGAAGCGCAGCAAGCGCGGCGCAGGCCTGAAGGCGCGCGTCTCGGAGAGCGACGTGCCCAGCATCTCGAGCTGGCATGGAAGTCGCGAGGGCCAGATGGACGTCTCGCCGCCATCGAGCGACACGCCGCTCCGCTCAAGCTCTTCTTCGCAGGTCGACAAGACGCCCTCTGCCTCGACGAGCTTTGGCTGGCCGGCTGGCTCGCCTGCGCCGCCGCCGCTGACTGCGCCCTCGCCCTCGGCACGCGTGGCGCCTGGCCTGGCGCGACCTCTGTCCGCCTCTCCGCTCGCAGGACCCTTCCCTCCGGCCTCTGCGCAGCCCGGCCAGCCGATCCGCAGGAACCTGCGCTGGGGCAGCGGCAAGGTGTCGACGAGCCGGCCGCTGAGCGCCAGTCCGGCACAGGGTCAGCAGCCACGCTCTTCGCCGCTCGTGGGCCCAGCAGCCGCCTCTCAGATGGGCGCGCCGCGGCCTGACCTCAAGCTGGCGCGCCTGACGTCTACCAGCGCAGACGCTGTGCCGCAGAGCCAAAGCTCCGGCGCTGCTCGGCTGCCGAGCGCTGTGCCCTTCGCCACGGGCGCGCGCCGTGCTTCGCCTGGCGGCCCGAGCGCCCGGCCCAGCTCGCCCCTCGCCAAGCTCGCGACAGGGCTGGGCGAGTTCAAGGTGCCCGCCTCGCCCGCCTCGCCGCGCTGCGGTCCGGCGTCTGCGTCAGCCAAGGAGGCCGCGCAGAGCGGCGCGGCACCACCTGCTGCAGCACCTGGCGCAGAGCAGCTCGGGCCTGCGCTGGAGCTCGACGCCCCGCCGACGCCCGCTGCTCTGCGTGTGCCGTTTCTCGCCGAGGCGCCAGCATCGGCAGCAGACGCGTCGCAGCCAGTCAAGATGGAGCTCGACGAGCCGGCGCTCAAAGACACGGCTGCAGCTGCTGCTCCGCCGCTGGCGGCCGCACCCTTGGCGGCGCCGGAGCAGCGGCCTGCCTCCGAGACGACCCTCTAACGCCCCTTCATCTGTCACACCAGCACGCAATCCCATCCTTCCACGGCCGCGAGCGAGTGTGTGCCGTGCTGCATTGCACTGCGCGTGGCGGGCCTGTGGAAGAGCCCGCTCAAGCGGCGAAGGCGGCTGCGCCCTCACGCCATGCTGTCGGCGTTGCGTTGCTCTTGCTGCCCGACGAGCTGGTAGGTGCCGCGGCTGGCCGCGCCGCTGAGGCCGCGCCACATGCTCCATCGCCGGCCGGACCCTCGCTCGTCGTCGTCGCCGCCGGCGCGCTGGTGTGCCGGCACAAAGCCTCCCGGCGGCACGTCGAGCAGCGTCGTGTAGTCGATGCCGAGCTCGCGGCCGCGCGTCCAGAAGTCTACGCGCAGGGCCCCGCCGTCAGCATGGACAGCGAGCGTGACGCGGCTGCTCCACTCACCTCGACAATTGTTCACCAGGCCCGTGTCGAACGGATTGCTCGCCGAGGTCGCCTTTTTGAGGCCCTCGCCCGCCTTGCCCTTGGTGTAGAGATCCAGCCCGACGATGGACAGCAGCCAGTCGCCGGCACCCTTGAGCTTGGCCGCGGGGCCGTGTGCGTGCGGCGCTCCGCCAGCGGGCCGGCCGGGCATGGGTGCATCGCCCGTTTCCTCGTCCGTGGGCTCTGGCTCGCGGCCGGACGCCAGCGTCGCGGCGCGGTTCTCCATGAAGCCCGTCTGGGTGCGCAGACTCTGCAGTGCCCATCGTCAGCTCGCTCTCCTGGGGGGCCTGCGCAGAGCCGCAGTGACTCACGGAGCCGCGGCCGCCCATGAAGCCATACCTGCCCAGGTTGGCCACCTCGAGCGTCGTGAGCTGGCGCGAGATCTGCCACGACTGCGCGCCCAGCAGCACCACTGTCCAGCTCAGCTGCAGGCCCGCCCATATGGCCACGGCAAACAGGAAGCTGTCGTAGTCCGTCGCCGAGCAGAGGTCGCTCGTAAGCAGACACGAGGCGCTGATGAGCGGCACGTAAGGGTACGTGGCGTTGAGCGCAAAGTCTGCGGGACTCGGCGTGAGCAGAGATGCGTGAGCGCCTCGGAGGCCACTCACAGTGGTATGTGAGGTACAGGAACGAGACGATGCCGTAGACGAGGCAGCCGAGGAAGACGAGGAATTGCCGGTGATTGTTGACGCCGATGCACGATGCGACCCAAGGGCAGTGGTGATCGTGCCGTGCGACGCAGCGCTTGCACAGGCGACAGTGCTTGGAGCGCAGCGGTCTTCGGGTCATGCAGGTGATGCAGTAGTTCATCCCGTTGAGCCGACCCTCGTCTGCCAGCTGCTGCACGCCCAACCTCCGCTCTGCCTCGCTCTGCGGCAGCGGCACGTGGCCTGGCTCGAGCGTGGAGGCGCGGAAGAGATTCCAGGCGCAGGAGAGGAAGGCAATGGCGAACGTGAGGTTCGCAAAGGCGTGGCCGGGAGTCGCTGTGACGGTGCGTCAGCCATGCGCAGCCAGCCGAAGTGGCGCGCTGGACTCACCGTGCACGATCTTGGCAGCCCATTCCCAGCCGACCCATGCCACGCTGCCCGAGACGATGCCGAGGAAGTACGGGCTGCGCTGCAGGCTGTCTGCCTCTTGTGCGTCGAGCAGCACGCGTGTGATGACGTGGTGCATCGCGAAGAACTCGCCGACCACCAGCGGCACGCCCGTGAACCAAGGCAGCACGCTCAGCGTGAGGAACATGAGGCCGAAGGAGAGGAAGGGCAGCACCAGGATGGCTTGCCGCGCAGGACGCTGCGGAAGAGGTCGTCAGCACGCGTCGCTGCGCCTGGCAGCTGGAGGATACAACTCACCTCTGCCAGTGGCCGGTACTTGCGCCGGCCGTCCTCCTCCAGCCCCACATCCGCCAGCGCCTTTTTGTACGCGCCCAGGCTCTTCAGCTCCACCGCCATCTCGCGCGGCGTCTTGCCGCCCTCCTCGCGCGCCCAGAGGTCGCTGCCCGTGCCCGCCAGCTTGCGGATGCAGAGGCGGTTGCCCTTGACCACGGCCCAGTGCATGGGCGTGAGGCCTGTCGCATCGCGGCGATGCACGTCGGAGCCGTGCGCCAGGAGCAAGTCGAGCGAGAGGGCGTCGCCCTGGTACGCTGCCCACATGAGTGGCGTGTGGCCCTGCGAGTCTGCCGAGTCGAGCGAGGAGAAGGTGGAGAAGGCCGTGTGCTGGAGCAGCAGCAGCAGCGGCATGACGGCCGAGGAGTGCACTGTGAGATGCATCGCGTTGAAGCCCTGCGCATCGCTGAGCGTGGGGTCTGCGCCGGCGGAGAGGAGGAGATGCATGACGTAGAGGTGGCCGTTGCGCGCGGCCCACTGCAGCGGACTGGCGACGAGGTCGCCGCCGAGCGCGTCGACCTCGGCGCCGTGCTCGAGGAGGAAGCGGCAGACGGGCGTGTGGGCATTGATGGCGGCCCAGTGCAGCGGCGTGATGCCCTCCTCGTCGCGGTCGTTGGCGGTGGCGCGGCCCGTGGAGATGAGATGCTGGATGAGCGCCAGGTCGCCGCGCTGCGCGGCCGAGTGGATCGTCGCGGGCGTCGTGGGCCGCGAGATGGCGGCGCCGGGCGCCAGGCCACCGGATGCGCCGGACGACGACGGCGCGCCGGCCGCAGCGCCGACGTCGAGCGCTGCGGCGGAGGCAGGCGGGCTCGCAGACATGCGTGGTGCGTGTGTGCGGCCGGCGAGTCGTGTCGCGAGACTGCGGATGGTGGACGGGAGGCACGGTCCGTGCCTGGCGCGCCGGCCGAGAGCGTGGAAGGGCCGCGCCGCGTGGGAGCAGCCCCTGGGCGCGCGGCAGCGATGCGCCGTCTCGGGACTCGGCGATCACCGACAAGTGCCTTCGTCCTCGTGGCCTGGGCATGACAGACCTTTGAGCGGCTGAGGAGCGCTGCTGTCACTCAGGCTTGAGCGAGTAAGCGTGTGTGAGCACCGGGCCGAGTCATCAGCATGGTGCCGCAGAGTGCGAGGGAGGGAGGTGCGTGCAAGTCCGACGCATCGGGCCGACACGCGCCGCCGGCAGCGGCGCGGCCCGCGATAATCGAATGAAGCCGCGGCAGCGCGCGTCGAGGCCTGCCTCCCTACGGCCATCCCTCTCGCAGCTCAGCCAGGCCTCGTCTCTCTCCCTCTTCGCACTCGCTCGGCCATGCCCGCCTCGGCGGAGCATCTTGCGCCGCCTGGCTCTGGCGCCGCCACGCCGCACCACGTCAGCTTCTCGCCGCGCGACGACGCCGACGCCGCTCGACACCCGCTCTCCTCGCGCCCGCACTCGCAGCGCAGCAGCACGTCCGCCTCGCCCGCCGAGCCGCGGCGACGCACGGCCGCGCGCGCGCCGGACTCGGACAGCAGCGCTGCGTCGCCAGCTGGTGCGAGCGGCAGCAAGGATGCAGAGGCGCTCGGCAAGGGAGCAGATACAGACGATGGCGGCACGGGCAAGCAGCGCCGGCGCGGCGTGGCGCTGCCCTCGCAAGTCGCATGGGTCGTGCCGGTGCTGACGAGCTGGGCCAAGATGAAGCCGCTGATCCGCAGCTCCATCGTCGCGTGGCTCGTGAGTCTTCCAAAGCCTGCCCGGACGGCGTAGCGCAGCCAGCTCAGTGCGTCTCCGCTGCCAGTGCACGCTCTGCATGGTCATTCCCGCCGTCGAGGCGCGGCTCGGCAATGCCTCCTTCCTCGCGCTGCTCGGCGCCTTCATCCAGCCGGCCGAGATCCCCCTCGTGGCCGTCATCGAGCGGGAGCTCTTCACGCTTGGCCTGCAGCTCGTGGCGTGGGCGTGGAGCTGCTTGGGCATCAAGCTGGCCTCGCTGGCGCGCTCGCGCACCCTCAGCGCCAGCGAGGCACCGCTCACCGCTGTCTTCAGCGGAGAGTATTTGGAGGCAGGGCCGGCGGTGATCTGCGGCGTGTTCCTCTCCATCGGCGCAGCGGCGTGCCTCTATCTCAAGACCAAGTTCGGGCCGTCGCCCTTCCTCTTCGCCTCCATCCTCGCCTGCATCTGTCTCGACATCAACCTCGCCTACGCGGCGCTCTTTCCGTATCCCTACTACAAGCTGGCTGAGCAGATCATCATCCCGTTGGCCCTGAAAGCGGCTATCAGCATCTGCGTCTCGGCGTGCTTCTTCCCAAAGAGTGTTAACAGCCTATTCGTCGAGCGGCTGTGCGCCGTACTCGAACCGCTGTCGCTCGCAGCGAGGGACCAGATCGAGCTGCTGCAGGAGAGTCCGCTGTCGCCCGACTTCAACTTCACGCGCGTGCACGAGCACGTGGCGAAGAGCGAAGGCTCGCTGCTGCCACTACAGGCTTCGGCGCGCCTGCTGACTCGCGAGCTTTCGTTCGGGCTTGCGTCCGGCGCGGAGCTCTCGGAGCTCGTGCTGCTCACGCGCCGCTTGATGAATCCGAGCGACGGCTGGGCGTACTTCTACAGCATCGTGCGCGCGGACCTCAAGCACGATCGCTTCCCTCACACGCCTCTGCCGTCGCGGGGCGGCACACCTGTTGCTTCGCCGATGGCGACGCCCAGTCCCTCGCGGCCGCCTTCGCCCACCGGCGCAGGTCGCAGTCATCTGCAGGCAAAGCCCAACGACGCGGAACAGCACATGGGCGCGCTGTCACGCCACTTTCCGCATCTCTTTCCCTCCAGCCGACCGCACTCGCCCGGCTCCGATCACGACAGTCACAGTCAGCCCTCGCACTCGCGCTGGCATCTGCATCTGCCCCGCCACCACGAGCCGGCGCCCGTGGGCACGTGGGAGTCGCTGCGCTTCTCTGCGCTCGAGTCGCGCCTGCATCGCAAGGAGTACGACGTGCACACCGAGACGTGCATGCGCATCCTGGGCGAGACGAGCCGCAACATCCTTGCTGCACAGGCGGATGGTCTGGATCATGTGGTTGCGTGGCTTGGCGCGCTCAACCACGAGCGCCTCTCGCTCCTGCGGCGTCGCGTCCTCGGAGGCAAGGCGGCCGCCGACGGCGAGAAATTGAAGAGCACGCGTCTGGTCGTCGAGCATCTTGAGCAGGAGCTCGCCGAATTCTCGCGCAACCACGCCATCGTCGAGCCCTTTGAGCGCAGTCTCGACCCCGACTGTCCGCCGGACAAGCGCGTGCCGCACCGCTACCTCTTCCAGGCCTACGTGCATGCATTCCACACGAAGCGCTTTACCGTGCGTTTGCTGGAGCTGCTCAAGGTGATTGCCAATGTCGAGGACCAGCGCTCCTCGAAAGGCGGACGCTTCCATCTGCCGCAACTGCCGCGGCTCTTTCATGCAGAGACGTGGCGCGCCATGGGCGAGCCGTCGGCCGACAGCACGCAGCACGACGATGAGCCGCAGGAGATTGCCTACTCTGCGCCGCTCGTGTCTAGCTTGGGAAGCACTCGACGCAGGGACCCTGATGCGCTGGAGCCGGAGAACATGGTGCAGGAGATCGGCTCGCGCGCCTCGCACTGGCTGCATCGCCTGCAGGGTCCGACGGCCGCCTTGTGAGTTCAACGCGGCACCACGTCTCCTGTCTGGGCTCACGCGTACTTCTCACCCAGCGTCGTCAAGGCAGCCATGACGACGGCGCTGCTGACGCTGCCGTCGTATCTGCGCCAGACGGCCGGCTTCATGTACAACGAAAAGGCCGTGTGGGCCGTCTTCCAGGCGCAGCTCTGCCTGGCGCGCCATCGCGGCGAAGTGGCCTTTGGCTTCGTCAGTCGTATGATGGCCACGCTCGTCGGCGCCACGCTTGGCCTGCTGCTCTGGACGATCGCCTCGGGCGGCAACGATGCAGCCGTGAGTCGAAAGCAGAATGCATGCATCGCCTCGCTCTTAGTACTGACACGCGTCTGCGCAGAATCCCTACGCAGTCATGGCCACCGCAGCGGTCGGCTATCCGTTCCTGATGCTGCTGCGTCTGCACCTCCCCGGCCCGCCTATCACGGCCATCATCCTCTCCATCACCGCGGCGCTCGTGATGGGCTACAGTCTCAAGGACAGCATAAACCCCACGATTGGCTTCTCCGGCACCGGGTGGGGCGTCGCTTGGCGCCGCTTCGTCGCTACCGCCATTGGCACAGGCGCGGCGGTGATCGGTGAGCACTGTCGTGAGCGGTCAAAGACCATCTGCTGAGCTTTCCTTCCCCGGCCCCTCAGTCTCAATCCTGCCGCCAAGCTCCACGCTGCGACGCTACCAGCGCACAGCACATGTGAGTTGCCCGGCGAGAGCGAGCATGTCGCTGTACTGACGTGTCGAGCAGGCTGCGATCATCAACGAGCTGTGCCAGCTCTTCGCCGATCTCATCTCCTTTGCCGCCTCGAGCCACAGCGACGAAGCCGTGCCGCGCGAGCTGCATGCCAAGCTGCTCACCACACGCAGCAAGCTCCGGCGCATTGCTCTTCTGCGAGCTGTCGTCTCGTACGAGTTCTCGCTGCGTGGTCGGTGGCCTACCAAGCGGTACGACACGCTGGCGGCCACCGAGATGGAGATCTCAAAGCTGCTCAGCCACGCCGTCGTCGTCAGCGAGGAGCTGGGCCCGGCATATAGCGCAGCACTGCTGCGCCGCACGCGCGGCTTGGATCCGCTCTTTCTGGGCGACGTCATTGCCGTGCTGCAGATGTGCTCGACGGCACTGCAGACAGGAGAGGCGCTGCCGCAAGGTAGGCAGACACGGTCGCGACTCGCCGGCCACGCTGACGCCCCCCCCCCCCTTCCTCTTCTTCTCTCCCTCCACACTCTTCCTTCCCTTGCCCCTCCCAGTCACGCCTGTGCTCGTCGAGCGACTGCTCCTCGTAGCGCAAGGAGGCTTCGCCATCTCGCGCGGGGAAGAAGACGAAGATGTGTGTGCCTCCACTTCTCTCCCCTCCCGCCTCCCCACTGACCTCTCTCTCTCGCCAGTTCGGTCTTCCGCGCCTCATTACTCCCTCCGTCCTCAAGGAGCCGCAGTACCAAGCCTTCTCCGTCGGCGTCAGCGTCATGTTTGGTCTCGTGCTGCGCTTCGATCGTCTCGTCAACGCCACGAAAGCTCTCGTGGGCGAAAGATATCCGATCACGCTGGACTTCAACCGCACGCATGCTTATCGACCTACAGAGTACAGCTAGCCTCGGGGTCCGGTCCGCACCTCTGCTCCCATCTCAATGTCACGCATCACTCAGCCTGCGTGACCAGTGTGCATTGCGAGCGAGCGTCTCAAGCAGCAGTGCCAACAGTCGCCGCGCGAGCCCACACAGCGTCGTCGTCCTGCTTCTGCTTCTCGCGCTGCGCGCGCAGGATGGCAGCTTTCTTGACGGTCAGCCGTCGACTGAGATACTCCTGCACCGAGAGCGGCGAGACAATCATGCCTCCGCCCGAGGCGAAGGAAGGGTCTGCGCTGGGAGGCAGCGCCTCCGTCACGGCGACCATTGACTTGGGACGCTCGCCTGATTCGGTGGCTGCGATGTTCGCGCGCGCGGCGGCTTCGGCTGCGGACGCCTTGTCGGCCTTAGAGGCGGCCTTGGTCTCTGCGACACTCGAAGAGGGTGAAGCGGCACGAGGTGTGGGCGCAGCAGTGCTCTGTGCTGACAGGGGCGCGGGAGAAGAAGCACCAGAGGGCGTGGTGATGCCGAGAATCTCGTTGATGCTGACCGAGTCCGAGCCGACCATGCGCTTGGCGCGCAGGAACTTGGCTCGTGATCTGTACAGAGACACGCATACGGTCAGCACGGCGTCTCGAGGCGCAAGGGCGGGGTAAGGTGGCGACTCACGCGAGCCGGATAGGCTTGCCAGCCGCCGCATCCTTCTTCAATGCGCGCACCGCCTTTGCGTCTTTCGCCAGTTCCGGATCGGCGGCGACGACGGCGCCGATGACCTGATCGACGGCCGCTGCCTTCTCGCCCTTCTTCTCCGCCTTGCGTGCTGCCTTCTCTTGCGCCTTCTCGAGCTTCTTCGCCGCTCGTCGTGCATCTTTCTCCTCTGCCGTTTCATCGCGTTTACGCTTGCGTGATCCCTCTGCCTCTGCCTCGATGACCACTGCTTCCGGCGCCGGAGATGCTGCCGCCGCAGCCGCCGCGGCAGCGTTCAATCGCTCGAACAGGCCGCCGAGTTCGCCTCCCGCGCCAGTCCATGCATCAGGTCTCCCCGCCGCCCTGGCCTCCCTCTCATAGCGCGCAGCTCCAATGCCGCTCTTGTCGAGCTTCAAGCTCGCCGCAAGTGGGTCGGCGCGTCCCTGAGCTCCCGAGCCGAGGCCCTGGCCCGCTGACCAGCCCATTGACGAGAGCAACTTGTGTCCCGGCAACGAGACGTCGGAGGACCAACGAGAGTTGCGCGTCGAGGCGGATCCCACTAGACGTTGCTTGACGCGTCCGCCGGAGATGCGAGAGATGCTGTTGCTGCTCTGCAGTGGGGAGGAGGTGCCGGAACTGGAGGCAGTTGAAGGTCCCATGCCGAGTGTGCTGGGCGCTGATGCCACCAGACGAGCGGCTGGACGAGAAGAAGAAGCGATTGGCGCTGCTATGACGACGGGCGCGACGATTGAAGACTCTGCGATCAGACTTGAGGATCAGCTACGCGTCTTCTGGACTGCCTGCACGCCGCCTCCCACCCAGACACACAATGCGCTCCCGTTCAGGCCTCAAAGCGCTGGTGCAAGCGCATAGGATTGCCAGGTAGCCTCTCTAGATTACAACCTCCCTCGCCCTCCTCCCCCACACTCTCCCTGCCGCGCGCCGCAAGAGGCCTACGACTCACCGGCAGCAGCGGCAGGTGCAGCGGCCTTCTTGGCCTGCTTCGCCAGCTTCTTCTCCTCCTTTGCCTCCTTCTTCGCCCTCTTTGCCTCTTTGCGCGCCGCCTTTTCGGCCTTGCTCTCCTTTGCCTCCTTGGCCTCGGCCGCCGGTGCGGGTGCGGCCTCGACGACGCTCGGCGCCGGCGCCGGTGCAGGTGCGGGTGCGGGCGCGGATGCAGCAGACTTGGCCGCCTCCTTGGCCGCGCGCTTGGCAGCCTTGCGCGCCGCCTTGTCCTCCTCCTTGCTCGCTACGGGAGCAGCTGCGGCTGCGGCAGGCTCGGCGTCGGCGTCGGCCTTGCGCTTCTTGCTCGCCTTGCTTGCCTCTGCCTGTGCGGGCGCCGGCGCAGGCGCAGCGACGGGCGCAGGTGCGGGTGCGGCAGCCGGCGCGGGTGCCGGGGCGGCGGCGGCGGCGTTGCTGTTGTTCTGCTGCTGGTTGCCCTTGCCCTTCTTCATAGGGGGACGGTAGACGCTGTACAAAGTGCCTCGGCGGTCAGCCTTGCCTGAGGTCGTGCGACGATGCTGCCGCTGCTGCTGCCGTGCGCTCAAGAGCTGGCGAGCTGGCTAGTGCTGTGCAAGTGGCTGTGGCTCGGACGCCTTGCGGCTTGGGTGGCCTGTCCAGTCTCCTCCCTAGCGCACCAATGCTGGCCTCCTCCTCCTCTTCCTTCCCGCCAGACACGTCTCCTCTGACGCACCTGCGCTCGTACTTCTGAGCCTCGCTGATGCAGCTCGTGTGTCCCTTCCACTCGGCACTGCTGCCGAACTGCACGCTGCAGTCGAGGCAGGTGAAGGGCGCCCAGCAGCGCGCGTAGTGCTGCTCCAGCTTGGGCTTCTTGACGGCGTCGTTGCAGGCTTCGCAGTTGAAGGAGACCATGGCGGCGGTGGATGGGGTGGTGCGGGCGGGAGGGCAGAGGGCGGCATGCGGCGAGGGCAAGGCGAGGCGAGGCCGGGCACATTTTTCAAACGCCTGTCGTGCGAGAGAGGAGCGTGGGAACAGCGGCCGGCGCCGACGTGGCCGGCGGCGGCGGCGCGGGGAAGGCAAGGCACGCCGGCAGCGGCAGCGGCGGTGCGCTGCGTGCAGCTGGCTGGCTGCTGTTGCCTGCCGGCGCTCGGGCTCAGCCCAGGAGCTCGCCTCAGCACCACCACCATCACCGCCTCACCGTTCCACACTAGACTTCGTTCGGCTCGACGACTCCGTACACGGCGCGTCTGCACGGCCTCGCTCGTCTTCGCGCACGCCACCGCCTGCTCTCAGGCCCGGCTGCGTCCGTCGTCCGAGGCGGCCCAAGCATCCTCGCTGGCCGGCACCGCCTCGCTGTGCGCGATGCAGGCGCCTCTCTCGCCCGTGGCCGCCGGGCCCAGCAGCAACGCAGGCAGCAGCGCCGCTCCGCCTTCCGAGCGTCTCGTGCATCTACGCATCAAGTCTCCCTCGCTCCCTCTCTCCTCTTCCCTCTCCTCCTCCACTCTCGGCGCAGGGGCGCTCGACAGCCTCGCCGTCGCGCCCCACACGACGATTGCGCAGGTGAAGCGGCACATTGAGGCGGCGTGGCCGGGCAGGCCGCGCGCCGAGGGCATGCGCTGCATCAGAGCGGGCCGCTTGATGCAAGATGAGGAGACCGTCGAGGGCATGGGTGGCGTGAGTACGAGAGAAGTGGAGCGGCGGAGCGGGGGCAGCAGCGCAGAGGCATGGGGTGAGACGAGAGACACGAGAGAAGCGGGCCGCGGGCCGTTGGCTCGAGGCACCAGAATCGGACACGAGAGGGTCCAAGCTCGGTCTCCCCTACTTCTCTGGCATGCAGCTCTGTAGCCATACACTGCTTACGGGCTCGTTGCGAGGCTCTCTATTGTGTCCACGCCTGTGCTCCAGCAGCCGCTCATCGCTCTCTCCTCATCCATCTCGGCTCACACCCTCTCACCAACCAGTCGGACCCTCAAGACCCAGCATCGCTCCACCTAGTAGTGCGTCCCGACGCCTGGGCCGATCCCGAAGCCTCCACACTGCGTCCTCGCCTGGCCTCACGCGCACCCAGCGTCGTCGCTATGCGTCGGCAAGCTTCCTCTGATGCGGCGCTGCTGTTCGAGGGCACGGCCGTCGCTGCCGCTGCCGCTGCGAGTAGTGGCGCAGCTGCGTCTGCTTCTTCAACCGCACCTCACGCACCTGCGGCTGGCGCATGCGATCTGACGCGTCTCTCCGACTCGCTGCCTGGCATGGCGCCTACGACCATCCTACGGCTAGCGACAGCCTTTCAAGCAAAGTCTGTACGCTACGGCGACATCTACGCCACGCTTTGGCACGAGCTCTATGGCGCGCCCTCCTCGCCGCCCCCTGCGCCTGCACTGCCGCAAGTGCTGCAGCAGCTGGGCGTGACGCAGAAAGAGGCGTTTCAGGATGCGCATGGCTGCGAGTCCGTCTTCTTGCGCCTGCCGGAAGTGGAGGATGATTTGAAGAGGGCGTTGCCGCAGGAGTGGGAGGACAGGATCTGCATGGCAGCGTTGTCGACTCGGGGAGCAGACGAGCAAGAGAAGTTGGCGCACCTACAACAGGCCGTTGAAGTCGAGTAAGTCCCGTTTTGCGCAGGGCACGCCGTGCCGCATCACTGATCACACCTCCACGCAGCGGCCTGCCATACCTCTTGAGGCTACCGCTCACTCCTCGAGCACTAGTGATCAACGAGCTCCTCCATCATCTCCGCTTCCGCATCGAGCTACTGCGCGACGTTTCCAGTCGGCTCTTCCTCTACGCCGCACATCGCGAGGAGATCTCCAGCGCAGGCGCGGCGGGCCGGGACCTTCCGTTCGAGGAGCGCCTGCGTGGTGTGCCCGCTGCTGCTGCGGCCGCCACCGCTGCTCCCGCCGCAGCACAAGCAGGCGGTCCTGCGCGTATGGAGCGGCGTCTACTTCCTGCGCTGCTGCTCCAAGAGTTGAGCGCCGTCGCAGCGCCGATGCTCTTTCTCGCCTTCAAGCTCAGCATTCTCGTCTACGTCTTCACTCGGCATGCCGGCGACTTGAAGCGTTGGTGCATCATCGGCGCTGCCACCGCATACGTCTTCTATGAAGGACTGCGGATCATGCAGCGTCGTCGACGCGTTCGACAGCGGGAGTTTGCGCAGAGAATGATGCCTGGCGCCGCTGCTACAGCACAACAGGAGGCGCCGCAGACGCCACAGGCTCGGCAGCAACCGGCAACGCAGCAGCGCAATGAGGCTGGCGGCGCTCTGCGTGCGCCGCAGCGGCATCGTGCCACGTCGCCGCTGACGTTGGCCTTTTGGATCGAGCACCTCGCCTACCTTTCCCTCGCCGATGAAGATGCCGAGCTTGGCCTTATCTCCTCTGCGCACGCAGCGCCGCAGCCGAATCAAGTGCAGCGAAGCTGGCGCCACACGATCTACGCTAATGTGGTGCTGCCTGCCGCGCTCTTCCTCGGCACCCTGGTGCCCGAGGTAGAGATCCGTCGACGACGCGCGATCGAGGAGCGCGAGGAGCTAATCCGTGCCGAGGCGGCGAGGGAGGAGGTGCGACGGAGGGCCAAGGAGGCGGAGAGGGAGAAGAAGAGCCGCGAGGACGACGAGAAGGCAGCAGAGGCCTCCTCTGCATCACGCAGCAGCGCGATACCGACGCCCACGCCTACTGCTACGACGACGCAGCCTCATCAGCTGCTGGCATCAGAGTACGCCACTCGCGTCCTGCGTCGCCGCGGCGCAAACGCGCATGGCAGACAGGTTGACATCCAGCAGGAGCTGGATGCTGCGGCTCAGCAGGACGAGGAGGAGGATGAGGAGCCAGACGACATGGACATGGGCTTCTTCTGAGCGCGATCGAGCGCGACCCTGAGCAGAACACTGCTTCCCCTACACTTAGACATCTTGTTACCCGCCCCTCGCTGCGCAACTACATCACTTTAAGGCGAGACAGCTGGGCGTGTGGATTGCAGAGAAAGTGCGCAGCCTGGGAAGGAGAGCATGTGTTGCAGAGTGGCCGATAATGCGTGAAGTAAGAGAGGCGTCACATGGGCGGGAGGGGTAGAATGAAGCAGGCGTCGCAAGAGGTGCAGTCATGGCAGCCAGGCCGGCTCACTGCCGCTCAATCAGGATCGCGTCGTCGTCCGAGTCATCCGCCTGCTGCGCAGGATGGTGTCGCTGCGGCTGTGCGGCAAAGTCCGTCGCCGCGACGCCGTCCTTCTCAGTGCCGGGCGCGCCGCTGCCATCGGCGGCATGTGCGGCGAGCGCGTGCAGTTCGCCCTCGTCGAGCAGGCTGTCCGGGTCGGTGTTGGCGTGGTCTTCCTCGTCGTGCTCGTGCGGCGTTGCAGGTGGTGCGTCCGCCTCGTCGATCTGCAGCGCATCGACGCTCTGCGACAAGGCATGTGGTTGCGCTTGCGTCACAGGTGCCGGTGCCGGAGCATGTGCGTGCGGCGCTTCGTGCGGCGGCAGGTCGAGCAGATGGCCCATGCGCTCCACTTTGGTGCGCAGATACTTTTCCAGCTCTGGCCCTCGCGTGACACTGGCGCCCAGCATCGTGGCGCCGCTGCGGCGCAGGATATGATCGACGTACTCCTCCTCCGCCTCGCCATCGCCGCTTTCCTCCGAGCCACTCTCCCACGGCTCCTCCTCGCCGCCCGCCCAGTCATTCTCACTTGCCTCGCCCGAGCCAGGCGCAGACAAGACGCGCGGAGAATGCGCGCCGGCAGAGGGAGCTTGCGAGATGATGCTGGCGTCCATGGAGGCGCCAGCTCCGAGTGCCCGGCGTCGACTGCGGGGAATGGCACTTGCGGCGCGCCCGTCGGGCGTGCGCGGTGCCGAGGAGCTGGCGCGCGCCGCCGCCTTGGCTCGTCGCGCATGGTTGCGTCGTCGCCGAGCCTTTGCGCCTAGCTCCTCGCGCCATGCGCGCGGCACCATTGCGACGCGCTCTGCGACACGCACGCCCTCGCGCTCCAGTGCCTCCATCTTGTCCGGGTTGTTCGTCAGCAGTCGGCACGTCGAGACGCCCAAGTCGCGCAGAATGGCAGCTGCGATGTCGTACTTGCGCGCGTCGGGCAGATGGCCCAGCAGGACATTGGCAGAGACGGTGTCGTGGCCCATGTCCTGCAGATTGTACGCCATGAGCTTGTCGAGCAGCCCAATGCCGCGCCCTTCTTGTCGCAGATAGACGATGACTCCACGCGCCGGACGCGCACTCGTAGAGGTGGCGTGGATGAGCCGAATGGCCTCGTCGAGCTGCTCGCCGCAGTCGCAGCGCTGCGAGCCAATCGTCTCGCCCGTGTAGCACTCGCTGTGGATGCGCACCAGCGGCGCAGTCTCCTCCTCCTCGGGCACTGCTGCGCGCGACGCAGGCGCGAGGCGGGCCGCGGCGTGGGCTGCGGCGCTGTGCCGCGGGCGTGGCGGAGCCGCCGGACTGGCTTGCTGGAAGCTCGGGCCCAGCCGCCCCACGTACGCGCCGCGCACTATCCGCTCCATCTCCGTCTCTTCCGGACTCCACACCTCATCGAGCGTCTGGCTGCGCAGCGGGCGTGCGGCACCCTTGCGCGGCGAGTCGTCGCCCTGCTCGAGCGCCTGCATCGTCTCGGCAGAGTTCTGCGCCGGGTCGACGACGAGCGCCAGGTGCTCCTTGCCGTCGCGGTTGTTGCGGTACAGGTGGCAGAAAATCTCGCCGTGCGGCGTCGGAATGCGCGTGCGTGCGTAGCAGCGCGCAAGTAGCGGCGGCGGGCGCACGATGGAGGAGAGGCCCGCGAGCGAGAGCGGCGTCGTCTGGCCGGGCGGGGCGTTGACGCCGGGCGTGGGCAGCGCGCCGAGATGCAGCGGCGTCGAGGGCTGCGAGATGAGCGCCTGGCGCGAGTGCAGGGCCTCGGAGAGCTGCTCTGCGGCCTTGGAGCGCGGCGCCGGTGCAGCAGCTGGCTGCGGAGCGGCCGGCGCGGCGGCGGCGCTGGCGTCTGCGCTCTTCTGCGCCTCGGCAGCGGCCTGTGCCTGCGCTGCGCGCTCGCGCGAGGCCTTTGCCTCGGCCTCGAGGCGCAGCCGCACACTGCGCGGCGCCTGGCGCGACGAGTAGAGGGCGCGCTCCTCGTCGGTCAGCGCGGGCACGGAAGGCACGGCGCCGCCAAAGTAGCCGCTCTCCTGCTCCGGCTCGGGCTCCGGCGCGGGTGCGTCGCAGTTGGCGTAGCTGCCGGCTGCCGGCGCCGTTGCCGCAGCTGCGGCCTCCTGCCGCTGGCGCGCGCGCCGCTCCGACGCCGGCATCTGCGTCGAGGGCTTGGCGCGCGGTGCGCCGTAGGAGTGGTGGAAGTGGTGGCGCGTGACGTGCGGCCCGCTGGAGAGCGAGGCGGCGAGGATGATGGGATCGATGGGCGGGCGGCGCAGCGCGGTGAGCGTGGCGAGTGGGCGGCGCGAGCTGCTGCTGGCATGGCTGCTGCTGCGGCTGCGGCTGCCGCCCGCGGCCGCGTCGCCGGCGCCGGCATGGCGGAAGTGCGAGACGGGCGCCTGGCCGGGCTGCGGCAGCGCACTGAGCATGTCGAGCAGCGCCAGGTCGGCGGCCGAGGCGGCGTGGTGCGCCATCGTCATGGCGCGCCGGTGTATAAGGTGGTGGAGTGAGGGAGGGTGAGGCGGAGTGTGTGAATCGCATGGAACCCGCCAGGTGTCAGCCGAGGTGCTCGTGCCGGCTCCGCGTGATCCGCCGCCCGAGCCGGAGCTAAGCTTGGCCGCCGCGGGCGCGCGACTCCGGTGCCCCAACGCTCCGCCGCGCGTCATGGGCGATCAAGAGCTGCTCCCACGCCCCCCGGCCTCAGTCACAGGCCGCTCGCCGCCCCCTGAGCCGCTCTCCTCCCCACTCGACGGCGGCTCAGAGGATGGCGCACAGGCTTGTGGATGGCACAGCGCTTCACACACCTCCAGCGCTGCTCTTCACGCTTGCTGGCCAAACGAGCGGAGCATCTGGCTGTGCTACGCGAAGCACCAGCACGCCCGCCGCCGCTTCAGGCCGCACGTGTCTCCTCACGCCTGACCTCGGCTCTTTGAGCGATCATGCAGTCCTTTGTGCGCCAGGACGTGGTCGGCGATACGTGTCTGCTGAAGAGCCGGTGCATCTATATCTCAATGCGCGCCGCCCACCCCTGTCCCACCCCCGTACAACCCTCCCACGCAGCCTGTCCACCTCACCTCTCCTGTCCGACAAGCGCGTCAGTCAAAGCTACTCAGCCCGTCGTTGAAGCACACTCACCTCCCGCACTACACGCCGCCGCTTTTCGCCGGCGAGCTCTTGCTCCTCGCGGCCAGTTCCTTCTCCGCCTTCTCCTCCTTTGCCACCAGCCGTTCCAGCCGACGCAGATGCTCCGGCGACGCATCTCCGGGCCTCATGAGCGGTCTTGCAGCTTGCGACACCGACGCAGTCACAGCATGTGCGCCATCCTCCTCGCCCCGCTCTGCACGTCGAGCACGCTTCTGCACCGGCGCAGCGAGCTCGAGCTCGTCGGCTGCGCGCAGCTCGAGGAGCAGCGCGGCGTCTTCGTGACTTGCGGCCGAGGAGTGGAGTGAGGAGCTGGACGTGCTGCAGAAGAGATTGCCGCGCAGTGCACTGCTGCTGCTGGCCGCAGAGGCGCTGAAGAAGGCATCGTCGACGCGGGAAGGCGCCACGACTTGGCGCGAGGGAGCGAGCGGCGAGCGCGAGGTGGGTGTGGAGGGCATGGCCGGCCGATGCGGGGCGCAGATGGACGAGTTGGGGCGGGCGGGCGCGTAAGCGAGCGTGCTGCGTGCTGTACCGAGAAGGAGGATGAGGAGCTGGAGACGAAGCTGAGGAGGCCTCAAGTCGCATTTAGAGCTGTCCTAGAGGGGCGGCCGGCCGTTAGGAGCGCCATGTGATGGGACGTGCTCGCGGCGCGCGAGCGTGGGAATCACACCCCGTCACATCGGGCGGACGCGTCTCAAGTCATGCCCAAGCGTCACCTCTGCTGCGCCCGCAGCGCTATAAGTGCTCGTCGCACCGTGGCGCTCCTCTCTTCAGCACCACCACCACCCTCCACCCTCACCTCGCTTCTCGCTCCTGGTACGTCGCATATCTGGCCCACTGCAGCCGCAGCACCGTCGCGCCTCAGCTGACCCTCGCCCCTTCCCCGCAGCGGCCTGCAAGCATCGCCGCCGCCGTCGCGGCTGCGCCTGGCTCGGAACGACGCCGACGTCTGGCGATCGCAGGTGAGTGGCTTCCAGGCGGTCCGCGTGCTCAGCCTCCCTGATACACCCTTGGTGCAGCACACGGATGGGCAAGACACGCACTCTGCACCACCACTGCCGCCGCCGCTGCCCGGCTGCTGCACCTCGCTGCCATTCGTAAGTCGCTCGCCCGTCGTTGGACTCCTCGGCTCGTCCGCTGACCCTCGCTGCAGCACGCACACGCCGTCGTACGCCGTCTCTCTTCGCCACTGCTCGCCTCGTCATGCTCAGACTCGCCCATTCCCATCCCTGCTCCTCTCCACTCTCTGCCGGTAGAGCCTGAGCGCGCATCGGTACACGCCGCGCCTCCTCGGCGCAGAAGTACTTTCGCCTTGCCTCTCACCGGATGCGGACAGAGAATGCGGTCAGCGTTGCACGAGAGCTGCTCGTGCGATGCTGACCGCATTCCTCTGCAGCCGTCCAGTGAGAGAAAAGGCGAACGCGCCATGACTGCGCCCAGGCCAGACTCCAGCGCGATTACCGCAAGGCTCGGTGCAGCAGCCTCGTCGTAGGATGAGAGTCATTCGGTGGTGCGGACGTCTGCTTGGGCGGGACATCCCAGCACAGGCAGCTTTGCACGAGCATCGTGCAACGCCGCCCGCGCTGCGGGTCGTTTCGCGCTTCGGACATCTACACCTCGGACTCTGACTGCTTCTCTCCCGATGACGCGGCCTGCACCTCGGCGTCGTCGAACGAGATGCAAGTGGCCCAGCTTCGCAGCTAGTGCAGCCCATACGCCAGCTGCGTACCTCTCCTCCCACGAGACTTTAGGCCCTAGACTCTCGTTGGTGGTGAGGTGCGAAGCCTGCATGGGCCTTGCTCTGGCTGCTAGGACCTCGTGGCCGCCCCATGCCCCGGCGCTCGTCCCATCTCCACTACCCCTCACGCATCCCTCAAATCTTGCGTCAATGGCACCTCGCGCGTTCACACCACACCTCTCTCGCTCGCTCTCCACCTTCCATACGTGCCCATCGTGCCTCTCATACCCTAATCTCGTCTCACTTCACGCCCCCTTGCGCCTCCTCGATTCGATTTGGTGAAAGATATGTTCTTAGAAGCGAGTCAGTGGCTTGCGCCGGTCCACGCGTCCGGAGCGTGACGAGCCGTCTCTCCCTCTGATGATGTCGGGCATGCGGGCATCACGAGCTTCCCGTCAGCCGTGCGCGCTGCAGGCAGGCAAGCGCGGGAATCACAGCTCCTCACGGCCCGTCAAATCGGGACATCTGGCCATCACACCGCAAGCCCTCGAGGCGTGCGGCGGGCGGCGCCTGCGGCCTTGGTGCCGCACCATCATGGCTGGCGCCGACCCGCAGCAGCGCCTTCAGACGCTCGTCGCCCCGCGCCGCTCCTCTCTCCCCCACCACCACCTTCTCTGCGGTCGCTCTGTACGTATCGACACGCTCGGCAGGGGCTGTAGTCGCAGCGCCAGCTGACGCTCGCCACTTCCCCACAGTCGCTGCAAGCACCCTCACTGCTACAGCATCTCGCTCGCACCCTCGCGACTGCTGCTTCGCTGCTACGGCCCGCCGTTGCTGGTGAGTAGCTGACGTTCCGCTAGGCCTCAGCCTTCTCAGCCACTCCGCTGACCCTCACAGCAGCACGCACATCCTGGTCTTTCCTCTTTACTTCTGGTCGCGCATCACGCTCGCACCGCATCCCGACCTTTGCAGACGCACCTCATCTCGACGTGAGTGATCTCGCCTTCCATCGCCTCTCAGCCGCCGAAACGCCGCTTGCGATGCGATCAACACACTGACACAGCATCGCTCCCTCAAGGCTTGCGTTCCCACGTCAGCGACCATGCCTTCGTCGCCATCCACGCCAGGCGACGCCGCCGCCACGTCCGACGCCCAGGCGCAGGTGCTGCAGCAGCAGGCGCAGGTGCTGCAGCAGCAGGCGCAGATGCTGCAGCAGCAGGCGCAGGTGCTCACGCAGCTGTCGCAGCTGGTGCAACAGCTCTTGCAGATGGTGCAACAGTCTGCGGAGACGACGCGCCCGCTACAAACGACCCAGCGCTGCACCTGCCGCTGCTGCTGCGCGCGCGCCTCACCGAGTCCTCAGCAAGAGGCGCTCCAGGTGGAGCCTGAGCACGCTGGCGCACCTGTGCGCTTGTTCTTTGACGGTGCTGATATACGCACCTCCGACTGCTTCTCGTCGGATGACGCCGAGATGCCGGCGCCTCCTTCACCCAGCGCCCCGGCATCGGTGTCCGCAGCGCAGCGACGCAACGGCGCGCCGCACCTTCCCTCCGCACGCTCGTCCAAGCGTTCGTCCGCCGATGCAGAGGCGCAGGCAGCAGAGGAGTAGGCACTAGGCGTACTGTCGCGGTCGCACGTACGTTCAGAGCTGCCCGTTGCCGGCGCATCAAGGTCAGGCGCACCAGGCGCCGCCTCGCAGCTCGCACGGCGCATACACAAGCTTCGGCGTCTTCTCATCGCACGACAGTCTCGGGAGGAGATTCTCGAGATCGGCCTTCAGCGTCACACTCGCTTCTTGGCTTACTGCCTGTACTCCGTTCAGAGCACTAGCCCCTCAAGCGTCTATCTCGCAGAACCCGCCTCTCGTACCCGCTCCACAAGGCATTTTCCGGCCGACGCTTCCCCGTCCCTCACGCGTTCTGTCCACGACCCTCGCCTCGCACGTCCACGTGCGCACCTCACCTCTTCTCTGTACACGACTCTCTCGCTTGCGGCTTGACCTCCCCAGAACGGGCCTGTACACTCGCACTTGGCCTCGTTCCGCACATCCCTTCCTCTCCTCACGCCTCCTCATGTCATGACCCACGACTGAGTCGCACCGACTTCTCTCGTCGCGCCTCCTCGTGTATCTGTACGCCCACCACGAATCTCGATCCTGCTCCAGCGATGTGTGCTGGTCCTTTGATGCGCCTGGAGCGCGACGTGAGCCACGTCAAGTCGCGGCCCTCACGCACGCACACAGCAGGTGTTCGATCTTTGAATCTTTCTAAAGCAACGAGGACCCAGGGAATGGCACGTAAGTACAACGGGACGGAGCCAGACGGCGCGCAGCAGGGATGCGGCGGGAGTGGTGCATGCAGCGGATATGAACGAGGAGGAGAGCAGCACAAGAGCCCGGGGAGCGAAAGACGGCAAATGGGAAGGGAAGGGGGGAGCCGTGACGATAAAGCCAGAGAAAGAGTGGGAGAAGGAGGGAGGGTGCTCGGAAGTTGTGAAGTAAGGGCGAGTTCTCGTTGTGGCGCCTAGTGGTGCACCGCAACCGAGGCCTCCGACGGGCGGCGGCCGGCCTGCTGGATGTGGCCAGTGCGCGGTCCCTTGTAGCTCGAGAACGGGTAGAACGCCAGCGCGATGATGAGAATGCCGACGAGCACCACCCTGTGACAAAAAAGTCAGCGCTTGACCAATTTGGATGAAAACAAGCCATTTTTTACCATGAATAATTGAAGATGCTCGCATCAAAGGGCAGAATCTGCGGCATTGAGAGCACGACACTGAAGAGAAGGGGAGTTAGCGAGAACGCGACGATTTTGGAGCGCGAGGCCCACGTACCACTCGAAGAGCGTCCAGACGATGGCGATGCAGCGGACTGCGGTGGCCCACCACCCATAGCCCATGAAGAAGGGGCCTGCCTTGAAGTTGACTGCAGAAACATGCGTCAGCGGGCGTGGCAAGCGGAGAGGATCGGCAGACGCGGCGCGACGCGACGCGAAGCACCCGCGCGCGATGACTGGCAAGAACACTCACCATCCGGGTGGTTGCGGAAGATCATCGCGGACACAATGGGCGGTAGGTAGCTCAGGTCCATCCCTAGGGCTGCGAGAGAGAAGATGGCGGCGACCGCGGTGTACGAGGCGAAGCTGAGCAGACCAAGAGCGGCGCAGCAGGCGACGACGAGCCAGACGGCGTTGACCGTCGTCGTCGTCTTCTTGTTGATGCGCGCAAAGAACTTCTTGTCCGGCAGGCCGCCGTCGCGGGAGAAGGCGTAGAAGGAGCGCGCGTTGGCCATGAGGGCCGTCTGCACGACAAAGAAGGCGACGCTGCAGATGAAGGGCCAGATGATGAGGAACGCGACGCGTCCGGCGCGCAGGCGCACAATCTCGGCGAAGGCAAGACCGCCGGGCCACATGTCAATCGTGCCCGACGCCGTGTCGCCGCCGGCAAAGACCATGGCGACGTTGAGGAAGAAGCCGAACAGGCTACAGCAACGTGTCAGCCGAAGGAGCTGTAGGTGCGGCAGGGCACACTCACCCCGTGCCAGCCACAGCGACAAAGATGGCCACGGGCGCAGCGATGGCCGCACGGCTGACCTCCTCGGAGATGTGCGCCGTCGCATCGTAGTCGGTCATGACGAACTGCACGCTGAGCAGCGAGATGAAGAAGGCGGCCGCCTGCGAGCCGTAGCCCGTGCCGTCGACGATGTTGCCGAAGACGTAGGCGCCCGTGTGCATCTCCTCGCTCGGCGTGCGTGCCAGCACAAGGATGCCGGTCAGCACCGTGAAGCCGAGGTTGATGAAGACGTAGGAGCTCGTGAAGCGCGCCAGCCAGCCAGTCGGGAAGCAGTTGAGCACGCCGTGGAGAATCAGCAGACCGACGTAGAGGCCGTACGTGGCGCCGACGGAGGCCGTGTAGCCGGTCAGCACGAATGCCCAGGCAAAGATCATCTGCGCCAGGCCGTACTCCGTGCCGGCAATACCGGCGATCTGGCCGGTGAAGTTCAGCCAGCCCGTGATCCAGGCGACAATGGCACGCCAGCGCGCCGGCACGAGAAGACCGGAGGCAGAGTAGAGACCGCCAGACGAGGGCTGGAGAGGCGTGAGCGGCGAAGTGAGACCCGCAGCAGGTCACTCACGTAGGCCGAGACGATCTCGCCAATCGCGGCGCCGAGCGTCAGGTTCATGATGGAGCCGAGCATCCAGGCAAACACCGTCGACGAGGGACCGCCGAGCGTGTAGGGCGTGTTGAACGTCGTAGCCACCGACGAGATCAGGCCCTGCGATAGCGTGTCAGCGCCTAGCCATGCGAGTGGTTTTTCCTGTCTTGTGCTGCTGCGTAGAGGACCGCCATGGCTGCCAGACACCTCCAAGGGCGCGGACACGTCCGGCCGGTTCGCGTTTGCGGCTGCGACGCGTGCCGCGGCCTATCTCCCCAGGCCCGGCTCTGGCGGACCCACACAGCCCATCGCCCGTCGCAAGTCCGCCAAGCAGCACCAGCATCGCGTGACAGACGCAGGCAGCAGACATGCAGCAGCTGTCCCGATGCACGTTGCATACACGCCCATCCCTCGACTCACCATGATGGAGAAGGCAAACGAGATGGTGCTGAGCGAGCGGAACTCGCGCTTGAAGTCACTCTCTGCGGCTGGGCATCAGCAAGCCGCAGCAGCTGCCGCACTTCACCTCTCTCTACGCACTGTAGCCCGTCGTCGCCTCGAGCGCCGCGTCATCCTCGTTGAGCGCCTCGTTGCCCGGCGCCGGCGTGCTCGACACATACACGTCCTCCTTGGCGTCGCCGCTGCCGGGCGACGTGCGCCCCACAGCGTCGCCCTTCTCCTTGGAGGCCGACTTGAACATGCCCATGGCTGCGGGCGGGGTGAGGTGGTGGCGGTGCGGTGTGAGCGTGGGGATGCTGCCTCGAGGGTGGGGAGCAGGCGAGGGTGATGGGTAGCAGACGCAGAAGCGAGACGCTCGGCCGGGGTGTGTTTCGCGCGCGGCGGCAAGAAGGCGCGCCCGAGAGCGAGAGGCTCAGCGTGTAGGCGCTGCTGCTGCTGGCCTGCCTGGGCGCCGTGCTGCGCTCTGCCGCGTATCGCCGCCGCGAGAACGAGGGGCTCTGCGGCCGCTGCTCGCCTGCCGCCCTTGCACCGCTTGCGTTGGATGCCCAGCTGCTCCCATGCCTCTCTGCCTCTTTGCTTCATCCCGCATGAACGCAGCCGCATGCACGCACAGGCGGAAGCTGGGCGCTGAGAGCGCACACTCGGCCGCGAATGGCGGCCATTCCGGGCACTCGGCTCGGGCGGGACCGAGGAGCAGAGGGACCGCAGGCCGGCAGTGGGGCAGTCGAGCACTGTCGCTCTCACCCTCGCATCGCCCGCTCGCCGCATGCCGCGTCAAAAGATGGCAGCAGATCGGCCGTGCAGCACCAGGTGCCGCCGAGCGGTCGAGCAGCAGCTGGGCCCTCGTGCTCGTGCAGCCACGGCGCGCTCAGGTGCATGCGGCCGCCGGGCACACGGGCAGCAGCGATGCAGCGCCAGGGTGCACAGCGCCACGCCACCGCCAAAAGACCCGCCTGCGCTTCTGCCGTGCGTCTGGGCCTCGGCGGCTGGAAGCCGAAGCGGCCTCGGGCACGGCGCCAGTCTTCATGCGCATCCGCCAGGCACCCTTGTTCTGGCCGCTGCGGCTGCTGTGCTGCCATCGTCTCTCGCGCACCGACGCCGCTTCAAGGGCCGTCAGCCACCGGCGGCGCTGGCGTGCCTTGGCCCTGCCGAGAGGCAAACGCCGCTTGCGTTCTCGTGCGGAAGCGTTCGCTCGCAGAAGCGGCTCTCAGCCCACCTCGACGCCTCGGAGCAGCCTCTGAACAGGCGAAGTCAAGCTCTGGGGTGGCATTGGAGACGAGGAGACGAGCTGAGGCTCCGGAGCCTCGTGGGCACTGTCCAGGCTGCTGCTGTGGCCCAGTCGGCCAAGTGCGATGTGGGACCCTGCAGCCGGCGGCGTGCATGCTGCTTGCTGTGCAGCGCCGTGCTCCGACCGACGCCATGGCGCCACTGTCGCCATGCAGCAGCAGAGACCCGCAGCATGATCGGCTGGCCGGTGCCTGATGCTTCCCGCGTGGCCGAGCTTTGCTGCTGTGGATGTGGGGAGAGAGACGTCTGAAAGAGCAGAGACCAGGATGGCGGGCAAGCAGAGGCGATGGTCCCGGCAATGAGGCGTGGGTCTGCTGGCCGCGACGAGGGTCACGCGAGCATGCCGAGCTCGCCTCTTCCGTCCGTCCACGTCGAGGCCCAAGCCAGGTGAGATGTAATATTGAAGTGATGAGAGACTCGGGCTACAGGATGTTCAGAGACAGGATCGATGAAGAAGGGGGTCACGGCGGGCACGACGTATCTACAAAGGGCTCGACTCTGCTAAAGATGGCTCTTCTCGCAGCCGTTCGGCACGCTCTTGTCGTTGTGGCGGATGCCTCCGCCCCACGGCGTCTGTCCAATGACACGCGCCGAGACGCCCAGGCCGCGGTCTGCGAAGCGGTTCCAGAGCAGGCACGTGTTGTTGCCGCCCGTGAGTGCGCGGTCGGCCGTGAGGAGGGCGTCGCGGGCGGAAAGGAAGGTCGGACGACAGGGCTGCAGCTTCATGGCGTCGATGATGCTGCAGGGAAAGGTCAGCGAAGGGCCTGCGGAGGCAAGACTGACGCTGGACTCACAGCTGAACGGCCAGCGTGTTGCCGTGCCGAGGAATGCGACGCTTGCTGGCGCGCTTGCCGCCCGCCTCGAGCGGCAGCGTCTTCTTGACGTCCTCGTCGCTGAGCCAGAACTCATCCTTCGTCTTCTGGCTGGCGTGCGGCGGCGGCGGGAAGAGATCGGGGTGCCATCCGTGGCGGGCGCGCAAGCCCTCCTCGAGCTGGTACAGCACCGCCGCCCACACCTCGCCGCCAGCGTGCGGCTCCCACATGCCGTTGAGCGTCTCGTACGTCTCGGGACTCGTCGTCAGGTTCGTCGAGTAGGGGTACTTGCGGATGCCGGCCTTGTTGTGCGAGACCCAGGAGCCCATGGGGTAGATGTCGCGCGTGGGAGACTTGCGGCGGATGATCGTGGCCAGGATGTCACCCCAGCCCTCGCCCATCATGCCGCCCTCGCCCCAGCCGAGACAGCTCGAGTCGCTGGGGCCGCCGGTGAGGCGCGTGCTGAGACCATGCGTCATCTCTGCGCAAAGGGGTCAGCAATGTAGGAGGCGCAGAGGGTGTCGTGAGACGCACCGTGGATGATCACGCCTGCCTCAAAGTCGCCATCGCGGTCCGTAGCATTGGCGACGGTGCGCCACTTGTACATGCGCACGCGCGGCGCTGAGCCGTCGGGCGGCGTGGTAAAGTCGGCGTTGTTGATGCCCGCCGAGCTCTGCGCATAGGCAATGATGGCGTCGCCGCCGCGGCCGCCCGCCGGGTTGTCGGCCTCCTCGAAGTTGCCGGCCGGCGCGTCGAAGCCGTAGCGGTGCAGCAGGTCGTGGTAGCTGTTGAGCGAGTAGAAAAGGTTCGTCACCGATGCGTCGGCGTACTTGGCCGGGTCAAGCACGGCATGCTCGTGGTTGGCGGCTCTCCAACCGAAAGTCGAGTTGAACAGCAGCGCGCCGTCGACGACCTTGCCCTCGGCGCTCTTGGTGTGCTGCCAGTCGTCCATGCCGGCGCCGAACGCGCTGGCCTTGACGTTGTTGCCGTTGGTGCTCGTGTACGTCTTGTTGCTCGAGTGGCCGGGCACCGTGTGCCAGCCGTACGGCGAGGCGCGACTGTCGTGTACGCCCTCCTCCGTCGTGCGGTTGCCTGAGAGAGCAAGATGGTCAGCAAGGCGACGCTCAGCGCGTGCCGCGCAACTCACCCTCCGTCGGGTCGTTGAGGCCCCACTTGAGCACGCGGTACAGCGGCGGCTTCGTCTGCTTGTCGGCAGACGCCTGCACATCTGCAGCCATCTCGGCAACGGGGTGCTCGAGCGGGCCAAAGTCGGGCGCCGTGAGTTGCTGCGGGCGGGAGATGGTCATGTCCTTGACCCAGTCGTTTGCGCTGAGCACGTCGCCGGTCACAACGTCGACTGTCGCCTCGTAGAAGTTGGATGCCTGAGGCGCGTCCATCGGCACGTTGAGGCGCCACGCCAGACGCAGGCCACCACGGCCGTCGTGCGTGTAGACCTTGTACGCCAGCACGGCACCCGTGCTGCCCGGCACGTTGCGCAGCTCGACGGCGTGCGACGAGTGGTGGGCACGCGGCGCAGAGGCACGCTGCTCGCTGATGCTGGCAGCTGCCTCGTCGAGCGCAGCGGGCGAGCCAAGCACGCCGCTGAGCGTCGAGACGAGCGCAGCGTCGGGACTGGCGGCGGCCACGAAGCGCAGAGCTGCGTGGCGCGCGTCCGACGCAAGGTGCGCGGCAGGCGCGGCAGTGGCGCACGGCGACGCACCGCCAGACACGCCAAAGACGACCTGCGAGCGGCGCGAGAGACACTGGTGCACGCCCGCCTCGCTGCTGCTCGTCTGCGCCAGCTGCGCCTCGTCGGGCAGCTCGCCCGTGTAGAACGACGAGCTGTAGCTGAGCGGCCGGCCTGCACAGAGAGTGTGTCAGCAGGTGAAGCGCGGCAGTGGCAATCGCGCTACGCACCGTGCACGTCGACCACCACATTCATGTCGCCGTCGGCCACCTCGATGCCGTTGATGACTTGCTTCAGGTAGACGTAGGTGAGGCCCGACTCGGCGTCGGTGTAGGAGTCCTCGCGCACGCGGAACGAGCTGTTGCGCTTCTTGTTTGCGATGGCGGCGCGCCAGGAGGTGGGGCGCAGCGCCAGCTCGGCGAGGTGCGTGGCGACGGCGTAGGGCTCGGTGATGTGCTCGGGCACGGCGTGCAGCAGCGTCGTGGCGCCGCCGAAGAGCGACGCGTGCTCGGCGCTGTGCGCCGTGGCGGCCGAGTGGAGCTGCGCATCGTGGCTGACGCCAAAGTTGAGCGAGCGGCGGTGCGAGTGGGCAGCGGCCTGCTGTGCGGCACTGAGCGCCTCGACGTGGCTGTTGGCGGCGGCGGCCGAGGGCACGAGGGAGAGGGCGGCGACTGCCAGGGCCAGCTGGACGAGGGCGCAGAGACGCGCAGCAGCGAAGGTGGCGCGGGCCATGCTGGGCAAGCGCGTGTGGAGGGGTGGGATGGGGCGAGGTGGGTGCGCCGAGTGAGCCGGAGGAGGGGCTCGCCTGCGACGGGGTGTGGTGGAGAGAGACGAGGGAGTGCGTTGAGTCAGGCGGCGCTTTAAGGCCGAGTGGAGCAGCGTGCAGGAGCGATACGCTGATCGCCGTGTGGGGCAGCAGCCAGGGGCAGCGGCAGGGCGCGCGCGCACGTCGCCGCGCGTCAAGGGTCCGTCCGCGCCCGCCGGCCGGCCGCTTGCGGTGCGCAGCCGGAGCCGCGCCGCGCGCGCGCCGCGCCGCGTCACGCGATGCTGCGCCCTGATAAGCTCAGCGCCGGCCAGCCGCCAGCAGCGAGCTGTGCCCTCGGCCGGCGCTGGCGCCAGCGACCCCTGACAGCCGCCTCGGCCGCGACAAGGCACCTCGAGCGCGGCACGCTGCGTGCTGTCGTCTCTCGAGCCGCGACACAGAGAGGCTGCGGCGAGTCTAGTGAGCCTCGAGCACCGCCCCCCGCGGCGTCGCCATGCTGCCTCGCTGTCGCACCTCGCGCGGCTCAAGCACGAGATGCGCAGCGACGGCAAGCGACCTCCACAGTGCTTGTGCGCGCTGGAGCAGTCAGGGGACCTGAGTGTACTCGGCGGCACAGAGCCTCGGAAGGGAGTAGGAGGGCAAGCTCCATCGGCGGTGTGTGAGAGCGCGGCGATGCTCGAGGCTCCCAGAGCGGCGAGGGTGGACGACGCCCTCTTCGGCTCAGTCGTCGCTTCACCGCAGACAGCCTCGTCTCATCGCTTGTGCTGTCGCTTCGTTGCCGTCCACCCGAGGTGAATTACAGCTCCTCGCGCTCGCCCTCAAGTCGAGGCGAGCTCAGGCGCGCGCCTTCTTCTCCTCCGCGCCGTCCTGCCCCTCGGCCTTCCGCTTGCTGCTGCCCGCCCGTGGCTCTTCCGTCTCCTCGTCTTCCTCTTCTTCCTCTTCCTCGTCATCCTCGCCTACCTCGAACTCATCGCCGTCATCGTCCGATTCCTCGTTTGGCTAGGCGGTGGGAAGCGCATCAGCACGGGGCAAGGACAAAGGCAGATGCAAGCGGCACGCACGTCGCGCAAGAGGTACGCCAGACCAGGCGAGTCATCCTCCGACTCGTCATCCGAGTCTTCCTCGGATTCGCCATCCTCTGAGGCAGCTTGCTCCTCGTCGTCCTCGCCAGCGCCGGATGCCTCGTCCTGTTGTGCCGGCTCGCCGGGCGGGCTGGCTCCTGTCTCGCTGGCACTTGCAGCTGCGGCGCCTTCGACGGCCTGGTCGGCTTGCGGCTCGCTCGAAGCGCCCGCCTTGGGCTCTGCTGCTGGTGAGGCCATGCTGCGCTGCTGGGATGCTTGATGGTGGATGTTGAGGCTTGAAGCAGCGGCACGTGCTGCCATGCGGAGCGGGGCTCGCTGGCTCTTGTGCGTGGGAGCACAGGCTGCCGCTGCGCGCCCGGGCCACGCGCCATAAGCATGCCGCAGGCGCCGGCCGGCTGCGTCATGCCGCATATAGCAACCTCAGGGCCGAGCGCGCTGATCACCTCATCAGCCTGCAACGCCCCGAAGTGAGCTGAGGCCTCGCCCTTCCCTTCTCACCAGCACCATCACCCTCGCACAGCAGCATGTCGCTCACTCCACCGCACCCCGCGCTCGGCGTGCAAGACTTCGTCTCCACGCTCCTCTCCTACCCCTCCTCGCTGCCCTTCCGCTCGCTCGCCGACCTCGCCAACGTCGAGGCGCACAAGAGCTACTATGTCAATGCGCCCGTTCTGCACAGCGCCACGACCATCTGCGGCGTCATTACGGTCTATGTCTACGTCATGCAGATGATTACGGGCAACGCCAGCCAGGTGGATGGCCTGTGGACGTTCCTGCCGCGTGAGTATGCAGGCGAGAGGGCGGTCGAGGATAGTAGCGACGAACCGAGGCAGAGGAGCCGGTGTCAGCATCATAAGTGGCGGCTGGCGAGCACCTGCATCCTTATAAATAGACGTCAAGCTGTCCCGAACCAGCGCGCTTGGGTGCACACGATGCGTGGCCTGCAAATCCGTGTGGCTGCTGCCGAGGCAGCTGCTGCGGTTCGCTCGGATGGCTGGCAAATGCCGGTTGCTGGCGCTCGAGCAGATGCGTGCGCAGCGCTGGCATTCGGCCGGTCTTCCGCTCTGTCGCACGCCTCTGTGGCCACCCTTCTCGCTTTTGCGCTGACACCCCTCGCAGTCGTCTACTCGGGCCACTTCACCTTCCACAAGGCCATCTCGCACTGGCTCGCGCCGCCGTCCAAGGTGACGTCGATCTTCCGCGCCTCGGCGGCGCCCAACACGATCTGGGACCTCATCGAGCCGCGCCTGGCGCTGATGTTCTTCCTGCAAGTGTGCTGGAGTGCGCGCCTCACGTTCAACGCGCACCGGCGCGGCATGTTCAAGAAGGGCGAGGAAGACTACCGCTGGCCCTTGCTGCGCGCCGGCATGTCGCCACTCCTGTGGCACATCTTCAGCATCGTCTTCATCGCCGTGATCCAGAACATCCTGCTCGCCGCCACGGCCCTGCCGCAGTACCAGATCCTCAGCACCACCTTCACCAAGTACAACAACGCCGCCGTGCCCTCGCTGCCGTCGCGTCTCGTGCCGGGCGACTTTGTCATCGCCTCGCTGCTCCTCATCAACCTTGCGCTGCAGTTCGGCGCCGACCACGAGCAGTGGGTGTACCAGAACTTCAAGCGCGGCAAGGACTACTACGGCCGCCCTCTCACGGGCTCCGTCGGCGGTACCACCAGCCTGACGGTGCCGAGCTCCAGCAAGTCCACGGCCGCTGACGGTACCGTGTCCGCCGTGCGCGGCAACAACGCCCTCGGCTACACGCCCGCCGACGCACAGCGTGGCTTCGTGACAAAGGGCCTCTGGGCCTTTTCGCGCCACCCCAACTTTGCCTGCGAGCAGGCGACGTGGTGCGTGCTCATTGCAGGCCCAGCGCTGAGGATCACCTGACTGACGCTGCTGCCTCACAGGTGGATTCTCTGGCTCTACGTGCCGCTCACCTTCCTGCCCTCGCACCCGGCCGTGGCCGAGTGGCGCTACGTGGTCACCTACGCCCTCGCCTCGCCGCTCATCATGAATGCCCTCTTCATCGCCTCGACGCGTGCGTCTTGCCCTCTTGCCCTTCCTCTACACTTCACTGACGCTTCGTCTCCCAACAGTCTACTCCGAGGCCGTGTCCGCCGAGAAGTACCCCGCGTACGCCGCGTACCAGCGCCGCGTGGGCATGTTCCTGCCGCTGCCCGACACGCTCGTCCGCACCATCTACTACCGTCTCTTTGCGTCCAAGGAGGCGCGCGCGAAGACCGAGGCCGACGTTTGGGGCACGCCCGTCAGCGGCGTGAAGAGCGCAAAGGCTCAGTAGATGCGTATAGCTGTCGACCTGCTGCGAGCACACGTCTCCCGTCTGATCGACGCAAAAGCCTCCCTCCTTCCCTCTACGTCACGAAATCCACTCTTGTGTCGCCTATCTATCACCCCAAATCAAGCGCTGCTTACCACATCAATGAGGGTGACATCACGGGCGGCGAAAGGGAAGGACATGACGTGAGGGTCGAAGCGCTGTCCCGCATGCGGATGGGACAGCAGCCGTGGAAGGAACGAAGCAGAGTGGTGTCGCAGGTGAATGCTCGTGACGGCCGGGCGAAGCTAGCGGAAGCAGGCAGCGGGTAGACGGCAGGCGTGGAGAGTGGATGGAAGGAGGGAGAAGAGGCGCGAGCGATGAGCGAGGCGGCAAGAGCCGCGCGGCCGCAGATTCGCGCCGCGGCGCGCGCGGCGACTCCTCTACTCGGCCGCGGTCGGGCGGTCCCAACTCGTCTTAAAAAATCATGTCAGCACTGGCTACTCTAGACTCTGCGCAGCCAAACGCACCTTCTTCAACAGCGGATTCGCGTAATAAAACTTGTTCGGGTCGCTGCGGCTCATCTTCTTGATCCAGCCAGGCGGCAGCGGAGGGCTGGCGCCTCGTGCGGCCGCCGCCGCGCCCTTGCTAGGTCCCGCCGCACGGCCCGCCGGCGTGTTCGTAGCTGGCGAAGCAGCGCTTGCGGCCGACTTGCGGGCCTTCTTGGCCGTCGGCGTTGCGTGTGCGCCGACGTGGCCTGAGATGGGATGCATGTTCGCCGCTGCAGGCGAAGCGCTGCCCTCCGCCGCCGACGCGAGCGACTTGCGCTTGCGACCCTTGACGGGCGACTTGCTGCCGGCTGCAGCAGAGCTAGCGTCATCATCAATGATGCCGTTCTCCTCATTCCACTGGAGACGGATGAAATTGCGCAGCAGCGAGCGCGCCGTCTCTTGACACGTCGCAATTGTCGCGTCGCGGTCCAGGTGCATGGAGAGGGCGCCGACGTTCTTGACGGAGCCGGGGATCAGGCCGGCGAGACTGAGCTGGATCTGTGGAGAGGAGATCAGCAGGCGTCACCGAAGGAGCGCTCGCGCGCCACTCACGCGCTCGTCCTCGATCGACTCAGTCGGCGTGTATGCGCGCTCGCGCTGCTCCAGCACCTCGTTGACGCTGAGGTTGTTGGGCGCAAACGACGACCACAGCCGGCCCGCCAGCTGCGTCACGGCACACTCGATCTCCACCGTCGCCTGGTTGACGCGCTGCAGGACAAAGCCGCGCGGCACGACGTTGGACGGCGGCAGCAGCTGCAGGATCCAGAGGGGGTCAGCGGACGGCGTGGTGCAGCGAACAAGAGGCAGGACTCACGCCGTTGTTCGTCTCTGCCACGAACGCGCGCGTGGGCGCCACGTACATCGGGCGCGCCGAAGAGCCCAGCGCGCTGGCGGGCGCCATGCCGCCCGTCGCCTGGCGTCGGCTGTACTCCGTCTGCTCCAGCACCTGGTACACGTCTCCCGCGAGGCGCACCCGCGCGCTAATCTTCTCCACGAGACGCAGCTTCTCCTTGGCGATGAACTCGAGGCGATCAGCGTCCGTGCAGTCTAGCTCCTCCTCCTCGAGCTCGTCCAGCTCGATCAGCTCGTCGCGCTCGTCTTCTTCCTCCTCTTGGGCCGCAGCAGATCCTGCGGTGGAGACGTCGCCAACCGCAGTTGCCGACGATCCGGCAGGCTGCGATGCGTGCGGCGTAAAGGTCGGGATGCTGGCACTCTGGCCGTTGACGCCGTTCTGCGTCGAGGGTCCGGCCGCCGCCGTGTCAGTTGCAGACACAGCAGCAGCCTTTTCTCCCTCGACGGCCTTCTTCTTATTGTTGCGCGGGAGGAAGATGGCCTTGAGACGCATGAGATACGGCGCCTGTGCGTCGGGCAGCACGCCGAGCAGCCTGCACTGCGGCGTCAAGGCCTGCATCATCGACTCGATGTCCGCGGGCGTGAGGTTCAGGCGCACCGTGTCGCCGACCCAGATGCGCTCGCAGCCGAAGAGGATGCCCTGCCAGTAGTGGTGGAGGTCGACCTCCTCCTCCTTCTTGGCCGCGCCAGCCTCAGGCAGCGCGCCCGCTGCCGGTGGCGATGCCGAAGACGCGGGACGGTCTGCGGCGGCGCTCACCGTCGGCGGCGCCGCCTGCTTGAACTTCTCGCGGCTGAAGCGGTCGGTGAGCGTGTAGATGGAGCGCAGCATGCTGATGGACTGCACGGCGTAGGCGAAGACAGAGACGACGGTCTTGTACGACGCGCGCGGCATCGGCGCTCCAGGGCGCGCAGTTGGGTCTGTCCGCCGCATCAGCAAGAGCCCTGCTGAAGCGCGCGAGCTCACTCACCAGGGAAGAGATGCAGCTTCGGCACGTTCTCGCCAGTCTCGAGCCAGGGAAAGTCGGCCGGGTTGCCGTACACCGTCTGCTGCAGGCCAGGCGGCACGCGGCCAGCCAGGAAGGGCAGGAGGTGCTCCTCATCGATGCGCGCCTGCTCGCCGAGAGTCAGAAAGATCATGAGGAGCGGCGCGTCCCGCACTCACCTTCTCCTGGCTGCCAAGCAGCTGCACGTTGTAGACGGGCCGCTGCGTGACATGGCCCTCGAGGCCAGCTCCGTCCGCCTCATCCACCTCCGCCACAAACGTCTTGCCCTCGATGCGCACCGGGAAGATCTCGACTGTGCACTCTGCGTCGCCGTTGGGCGAAAGCACCGGCGGGTCGAGGCGCACGAGACAGATCTCTCCGAGGCGGAAGCCCTCGCACTGTCCCAGCTTGGGCGTGCCGTGCGGCAGCTCCTGGTCGCGCTGCGGCGCAGACGAGATGCGCGCCGGCAGGCCGGGCATGTGGTTGCGCGACTTGACGGGCCGCGCCATGATCTGCACGCCGCTCTTGTTCTGCAGCTGCAGCGGCTGCAAGTATGCCACGTCAGCACTGTCGCAGCGATGGTCAGGCGCTGGGCGACCCACCTTCTGCCGGCGGCCCGTGGCGCCCTTGCGCGTGTCCTTAGGCTTCGGCACCGCCGACGCCACGGGCTTGATCCTGGTCGGCATGCCACGGCCCGACTTGACATAGTCCGTCTCTCCCATCGTCTTCTTGCCGGCGCAGTACTTGCACTCGCAGTTGCCCTGCTTCATGCTCGTGTCGCGCAGCAGCCACACGGCGTGCGGAAAGAACTCGTTCGACGAGCGGAAGCGATGCGCGTGCGAGCCGAAGAGGTACGGGTCTGTGCGCAGTGACGACGGCGTGCCCTTGCGCTGCTCCGTCATGTCGTAGTTCTTGGGCCACCTCAGGCGCCACGTCTTGCCGCTGGTGGAAGCTGCAGGCGCAGGTGTCAGCAGCGGCCTTGACGGCGCTGAAAATGGCTTTGCCTCATCACGCTCCACCGCTCAGCGCAAGCGCGGAATGCCAACCCCGTTCTCCGCTGAGCCCACGTACGGCCGCTGGCCTCTACTCACTCTTCGGCTTGCCAAAGTGCTCTGCGAGCTTCTGGCCGACCTTCGTGCGCCAGTCGTACTTGTCCACCTCGTCCGCCTTGTACACTGTTCAGGCTCGCGTCAGCATGCTGGCTTGCCTCAATGCCGCGAGCCAGCGCCAGCACGACGCACCATGGAAGTAATTGACCTCGCGGTCGGACTTGGGCGGCACGACGACGTTGGGCGGCTGGTAGTCGGCCGCGCCGTCGGAGCGCGGAAAGACGATCCAGCCGTCGTGCGTGAAGATGCTGGCGTCGTTGGCCACCTCTGCGATGCTGAGGATCGCGCTCTGGCCACCGCCGCTGCCGCTGCCGGACGCGGTGGGCGCAGCAGGCGGAGCAGGCGAGGCGGTGGGCGGCGGCATGGCGGCGCTCGCGGCTGCGGCGGCAGCAGGGCTGGCTGCGGCACCAGACGCCGATGCACTCGCCCAGGGCGCAGTGGACGAGGAGCCGGCCGACATGTGCTCGGCGATGTGGAGCTGCAGCTGGGTGATGAGGACGGCCTGGAAGCTGCCTGTGCGCGCGGGTGCGGCGGCGCTTCAACGCGTCGCGCGGCGCGCGAGCGTCGTGGCTGCAGCAAGCTCAAGGCCAAGCGCGCAGCCGCGCTCGGGCGCCGGCGCCTCCCGTGCGACAGCGCCGCGCCGCCGCCTCACCCCCCCTCCCATCCCGACGTCCAGCGCGGGTGCGGCTAGCGACAGACTACAAGTGCCGCTGAAGTAGAGACTTCACCTCCATTATTCAGAGAGGCGCAACCTCTACATCGCTATTGCTTCAGCCGGGCCCCAGAGTCGAGTCTGCGCTGCCAGTGAGAGCATGCGCTGAACGGCGTCGAACTCCTCCGCATACCCGCTGCCGAAATCACCCTTGGCTCCTCGGGAGCGGCACCAAGACACACGTGGCTAACTGAATATCCCTTCGCTCTCTCAACGAGATGCTCAGCGTTGGTGCTTTACGACATCCACCCTCAAGCATCAAGCACGGCGTTCCAGCAGCACAGCACAGCGGTGTTGCTCTCTGGCGTGGCTGCTCGCCCGGCGCTAGGCATGCTTGCTCGCCGAGGTGCGGAGGCGATTGTCGATCTCCTGTCCTGCGCCTGCGCGATCCGCGAGGGTGCGACACGGCGTGCGACAAGGATCTGCGGTGCGAGACTCTGCCTCGGTGCGGTACAGCTCAGATAGGGGCTGCGAGCACGAGGTGCAGCAGCACAGCAGAGCTCGGCACGCCGACGGCACCACGCGACGCTCCTGCGGCTGCAAGGCGGCACCGCGCGAGCCGCCGCATGAAGCGCAAAGCCGGCGGAGCTTTCCGTGCCGTGCAGCTGCAGGTGCCGCCTTTGCTCAGCTGCGCCGGCGTGCAGGAGGCAGCGAGCGGCGTCGAAAGAGGTGCGCCGGCGGGCGAGGAGCGCGGCGCAGATGGACGAGGCGCGCGGCAGCGGGCAGAGGAAGGGCGCTTGCCGCCCTTGCGTGCTGGTGCTGCAGCCGCATGCCGGCGCCATCTCGCCTCCCCGGCCTGCACGGCGTGCATCTCGCAGCGTTCTGGCGGCGCAACCGCCGCATGGAGCAGCGGCCGCGTTCTCAAGCTTGCGTGCTGCTGCTGCTGAGCGGCTGCGTATGTGGCTGGACGGACGCGGCAGCTCGACTCGTGCCGTGCCGCGAGCGCCGGCGCCACGTCGCGTGCAGCGCGCGTAGAGCGGCAGCAGAGAGGCCGCACAGCGGCGGTGCGGTTGCGGCAGCGGCAGCGCAGCACGAGGCATGGCCGCGATGGACGACGCAGCGCAGTCAGTGACGGCGCTGCTGCCATGCACGGCCGGGCTGCGCAGCGCCGGCATCGCCGCGCAGCGTGGAGCGTCGATCCCTCTCCCCTAAGCGCGCGCGCAGGACAGCACCAGCAGCGCAGGCGCAGGGCCAGGCGGAGTTGCGGCAGCGAGGAGCAGAACGGCGAAGAGCACCGAGAGAACAGCACGGCGAGCTGTGCTGGCCAGCAGCGGGCAGCGCACGGCCGCGAGACGCAGCGGCGGATGCTCCTGCGGCGGCGGCGTTGCGGTGCCGGGACGGCGAAGGCGCCGCGCGCTGGAGGAGGGCGCCGGCGCTGCGGGCGCGGCGTCAACAGGCCGAGGAGGCGCCGCGCGCCGCGCCGCCCGCCCGCCCGGCCTCTCGCCCCTGCCGCGGCCACGGCTGCTTCTCATCCACATCGCACCCGTTCCCGCTCCGCGTCTTGCTCGTCACGCCTTGCCGGCCTCTCACGCCTCGTCCGCACGCTGCGCATCGCCTCGCCGCGCCGCTGCTGCTGCTCTGGCGCAGAGAGGAGAGGAGACGGCTGCTGCCGCCTGCTGCTCGGGCGTGCCTGACGCCGGGGCCGCCTCGGTGCTCCCGCATCGCACCCGCCGCGCACTCCAGGGCCTCTCGTGCCTCGATCGGCATCTAGAACGGCTCTCGCTGCCTGCTGCTCTGCCGTAACAGGCACCGCGAGCACCTCAAAGGGGCCACACTCTCGCGCACGAGCCAGAAGTGGAGCCTGGGCTCGTTTTCGCCCGGCACGTTACCGCCGGCGCGCCTCCTCTCCTCTCTCATCTCTCGCCCTCATCTGAACTCGCGCGACCATCATGTCCGCGCTGCCGTCGTCGCAGCCGAGCACGCCGCGTCTGGCTGCCTTTGCCGCCGCCAACTCGTACTTCCCGCAATCGCCCTCGTCGTCGTCGTCCGCCTTCGCCTCCGCCAGCGGCAGCCGCGTCGCCAGCGGCAGCAGCAGCAGCCACGCCGTTGTGGCACAGCAGGCACAGACGGGCGGAAGCAGCAGCGCCAGTAGCTACTACTCGCCCAGCCAGGCGCACTCGACGTCGCTGCCGCCGTCGCGCAGCGGCACGCCACTCCTCTCGCCGCGCATCGGCGGCGCCACTCCCTCCTCCTGGCACCTGCCGCCTCCGGGCGTCCCGCTGGGCGCAGCCGCCGCCGAGGTGCGTCGGCGCTCCTTCGTGCTCGGGCCTGTGCCCGCCACGCCGCCCGCTTCTTCGGCGGCCGGCTACGCCTCACCGCCTGCGTGCGCCTCGCCGGTACTGGGACCAGCACAGCCGCGACGCTCGACAAGTCACACCCCCCGGCGCTCGTCGTACGGCACGCCGGCGTCGAGTACTGGCTCTCCCAGCATCATGCCCGTGGCGGGTATGCCGAGACAACGGCCTGCGCTTGCCTCTCCCGCGCAAGGCGACGGCGGCTTCATCACTCCGGGCGAGGCGCGACCCGCCAGCGCGCCACCGCGGCGAGGCACGATGCCGACGCCACGATCGATACGGCGAAGCATTGAGCGGCCATCGCCGCTCGATGTGCTCGAGGGCTACGCGGATGGCCTGCAGCTGCCAGACGACGACGGCCTGAAGGAGGAGGACCCGCTCGCGACGGCGTGGGCGGCGCTGGGGCCCAAGCGCCGCAGCGTAGGCACCCTGGTGGCCGTGAGCGCCGCCGCGCTGGCGGCGCGCGAGACGTTGGCGGGAAGCTGGGGTGCTGTAGGTGAGTAGCCAGCGAGTCCCATGCGAGGCTGCGGTCTTGCGCTCTGGCAGGCGTCCATGCCCGCCGCCTCGCAAGCCCAGGACCTCAGATCTGCGCAGACAGCTGACTGTCGTCCCGCAGCGCTCTCGTCGCTCTCGCTGCATCCGCACCTCCCGCTGCTACACGTCACGCGCGCGCTGAGCCTGCTCGCCGTGCTGCCGTGTGCACGTCTCGACATGGCGTCGCGGCTGCGCGTGAGCTGGATCGCTCTGTGCCTGCTCGGCGCCGGCCATGTCTGCCTCGCCGGCCTGCTTGCACCTCGCGCGCTCCTGCTGGCGTCGATTGCAGCCGAATGCGGAGCACAAGCGTGAGTCTGCATGCGAGCGCTGCGCCAGCCCTTCGCTGACATGCGCCCTCGCAGCCTCGTCGTGCTCGGCACTGTCACCCTGTCAGACGTGGCAGGCCGCGACGCGCGGATCGCCACCGCTGCGCTGGGCCTGCTCAAGTCTGTTGGTGTGGCCGCGAGTGCGCTGCTGCTCGGTGGCACGCGAGTCGACAGTGCCGGCGGCTGGCGGACGAGGTGAGTTGCTGCGCAGCGAGAAGTGCGGGCTCGAAATGCTGATGCGTGCGCCTCTAGCGTCTTCGTCTTCTCTCTCCTGCCGCTGCTTCTATACCCAATGCTCTCGCTGCTGCCCAGCCAGGCGTCGCGCTTCAGCACTTCGCAGCTCTCGCTCTTCTCGCACGGGCTGCTTCTCCTTTCCCTCTCGCTCCTCACACTGCCGCCGGCGCTCTCCGCCGCCTCGCCGGAGCGACATGCACGCAGCGCGCATGCGCCACTGCTCTTCGCAGGCGCCGCGCTTTCGCTGCTCTTCTTCGCGACGCAGTGCCGCACGCGTGTGCCGCTCGTCAGCCATGCGCTGCTCGCGTCGCGCGCCTTCTGGGCTGGTGCGGCTGCGCTGGCTGCGCTGGCGGCTAGCACAGCTCTGCTTGACACGTACTGTGAGTGGAGCGTGTCGCGTGCATTGCCCGGTGCAGCCTCTGACACAGTCCTACAGTGCCGTCGTTCCTCTACGTTGCGCACAACACTGCGCCGTTGGCACAGCAGTTCATCTCGGCGCTGCGACCCTTCTTCCTCGGCGTCTGTGCGCTTCCCATCGCGCTGCTCACGCGCTACACGGGCCACGTCAAGGCTCTGGCGATCGGCGGCGCGCTCACGTTCCTCACTGGACTGGGCCTGATGTTCGGCACCAATGGCGAAGCAGCCAGTCTCTCGCGCATGGCTCTCGCGCAGTTCCTGCTCGGCTCCGGAGAAGCACTCTGCTTTGGCGTTACCGAGGCGCTCGTCCTCTCGCACGTCTCGGCTTCGCTCTCTTCGACGCTGCACATGAGCTTGCTCCTCGTCACGGCCGTTGGCCGCGCGCTGGGCGCCAGCTTCTGCGGCGCGCTCTGGGCTGCCCGACTGCCTGGCCTGCTCAACTCTGCTCTGCTGCCTCTGCACGCGCACAGTGAGTGCAATCTCGCGCACCTCCAGGCTTTGTCACTGACAGCCTCCGTCTCACAGACCTGCTCACGTCGCTGCTCGCCGAGCCGCTTACCTTCCTGCCCTCGCATCCGCTCACAAGCCCAGAGCGCGCCGCACTCGTCAACACCTACGTGCTGCTCTTCCGCGCCTCGATCGTCGCTGCTTCGACGTTGGCCGGCCTGGCGCTGCTTGCGGTGTGCACGTTGCCAGACTCGCGAGTGAGTCGAGCCGCGCCGCGCTATTTGCGTGCGATGCACTGCTGACGCTGTGCGCCCTCTCAGATCCCTCCTCCAGCACTTCCACGCATGCCTCCGCCGCCCGGCACCCCCGAGGCACACCTGCACGCGCTCGACGGCGCCGCCGCGCGCTTCAGAGGCTCTGGCCTGCGTTTCGACCTAGGCCGAGGCCTGCCTCGCAGCCTGCGCTCCTCGACCGACTCGCCGCTGCCGCTCGCTGTCACTAAGGCCAAGATCTCCGGCGAGAGCAAGGGCGTGCCGTCTCTGCAACAACCGCAGCCTCAGCCGCAACAGCCTTCGCCGCTGCTGTTGCAGCAGGACTTCGCGTCCAATGATGTCCCTACAGGCGCAGAGATCGCAGCGCGCGCCGAGCTCGAGACGGTGCATGTCCTGTCGCAGCGCTGATTCTCAGTCTCGCGTGCCTCTCTCTAAACCCTACCCCACACTCTCTTGCTTCTCATCGCTCTGCATTATTCCCGCCGCTGCAATCACACCATACATGCTAAGCACCAACCGCCGTTCTGAGACGTCTGGGACATCACAGATGCGCGCCGGCAGGGCCGACGTAGCGCAGCGCGCTGCGGTCGATCTCCTTGATGCTGCGGAAGCCGGCGACGTTCATTAGAATGTCGAATTCGGCGAGCAGGCTGCGCGAGGTCGGGGTGCATGAGCGGGCGACAGTCTGAGAGGCGAAGAGAGAGCACTGACCTGCGCAGCACATGCCGCACGCCCTCCTCGCCCTTGATGCTCAGGCCGTAGATCCACATGCGGCCGATCATGACCAGGTCTGCGCCGAGCGCGATCGCCTGTGAAGCGGCGCGTGAGCATGGCTGAAGACGGCAGCAGGTCCCTGGCACACCTTGAAGATGTCGGCGCCGGAGCGGACGCCCGAGTCGAACATCAGCTGCTCGAGATGTCAGCGCCAAGCCTGCATGCGCACTTGGGGCAAGCTGCTCACCGTCCAGTCAGCGCCCACAGCCTCGCGGATCTCTGGCAGCACATCGAGGCTGCCCACCGCGCCGTCGACTTGGCGACCAGCTGTAGCGATTGTCAGACTCTGCAGAGTGCTGCGTCGTGCGCAATCACTGACCATGGTTGCTGACCACAGCGCCGTCACAGCCGGCCTCCTTGGCACGCAGCGCATCGGCCACGCTCTGCACGCCCTTCAGCAGGAACGGCTTGCCGCCGCTGACGCGCTTCCATTCAGCAATGACCCACGGCAGCTGCAGGCGAGGCGTCAGCGATTGAGACCCTGCAGACTTCCTCGTTGTTGTCTCACCTTTGACCAGTCAAACGCCTTGCCGTGCCAGACCGAGTCAATCCACTTGCGTCCGACCTCCTTCGTGTCCTTGACAGGGTCGAGGCCCCACTCATCAAGCTTGCGGCGGAAGACGGGGTCCGACGCTCCCAGCTCGGTGCCGATGCCCTTGTAGAAGCCGTAGTTGCCAAGGCGGATGTCCTCGTGCCGCCAGCCCAGCTGCCAGGTGTCGACGGTGAAAATGCAGGCGTCGTAGCCGGAGTCGGCAGCACGCTGCAAGAGCGAAGTGGCGAGCTCGTCGTCGTGTGGCAGATAGAGCTGGAAGTAGCGCAGCCCCTTGCTGTCGACCGAGCCTCTGTCCTGCTCCTTGCCCAGCTGTGCACCCTGGTCGTTGTGTGCTGCAGCATCCTCAATCGAGCAGGAGCCGGCCGTCGAGAGCGAGTAGGGCAGGCCCAGCTCGCCGGCCACGCGCGCCACGGGCAGCTCGCCCTCGGGATGGTAGATTCTGCCGAGCTAGTCAGCCCGTGCAGGAGCGGCACACAGCTACTCTCTCACTTGTTGATGCCGACGGGCGAGAAGGCGAGGGGCGCGGCGAGGCGCTTGCCATACACCTCCGTCGTCGTGTCGCGCTCATTGGTGTCTACCATCATGCGCGGCACGATGCGCCAGTGCTGGAACGCCTGCCGGTTGGCGCGGTGCGTGTCGCCGAGGCCGGCGTTGCACGAGGCATACGACCAGCCGCCGGCGGAGAGACGCTCGTGTGCCAGCGCCTCGACCTCGTCGGGGTGGCTGGAGAAGAGCGCGCCGCCGGTGTCGAACGCTTGGCGCTGGTAGAGCGACCAGTGCGGCGTGGTGCGCTTCGGCAGGTTGGTCGGATCCATGGTGAGGCTATGGGTGGTGAGTGGTGGTGGAGTGATAGGCCGGTGTCGGCCAGCCAGCAGCAGACGAGCGGCGGGGCAAGCGTGGCCCTCCGAGGCCGAGGCGTCGGGATGCGGAGGTGGAGGTTGGCCGCATGGCGCACCCTTGTGTCACTCGCCGGCGCCGCACACAGCGCTGCCGCCCCGAGATCTCGAGATCGCGCCGCGCCGACAGCGTTGCCCCGCAAGCCAACCGCCGGCACAGCGGCACAGCGGAAGCGCACCGCCGCAGCGGTACCGGCACCGGATGCTCGGAGGCTCGCAAGCGCGATCAAGAGGGCGCACGCCCACACACGGCAGGACCAGCTGCTCAGGTGCACACGCAGCTGCATGGTAACTCGCTCGTCATTGCTCCGCCGGCCAGCACCGCACACCTGCCGGCTGCCACACGTCCTGCTTACACAGCGTGCCCAGGGGTCGGCTTGCGCGGCGTGTCTTGTCCTTCGGCAGGTCCCGACACCGTGCGGTGCCACTCGCACACCACCTCGTCGTCGCCGTGCGAGCGCTGATGGCTGCGGTCAACCGTGGCGCAGCCTGTAGCCCTGAAGTCAGCGACGTGTCATGCCGCCCACACGCCCGCCCACAACGCACCTGGCTCGGCGATGGTCGGGAAGCCGCGCCATGCCGGCGTCTGTAGCACATGTGTCGAGGTGTGACCAGTGTCAATGGCAGCAAGAAGGCCCTCGTGTGCGCTCTCGTGTGGTGCATTGGGGCCGTCGAGGCTGCTGATCATCTCCCAAAGCAGCACGAGAAGAGACATTCCCGCCAGCACGGCGAGCAGGCGCGTCGAGTCTAGCGAGGCCGCAGTGAAGCCCGAGGCGGCGCCCTCTGGGCTCGCCTCGCCCGCGCTGCCAGCGCCCTCTTCGACGGCACGCCGCAGCAGTCGGACCAGATGCACCGGCCCCTCCTCGCCGTGCTCCGGCTCGCCACCCTGAGGCGTCAGGGGCAGGAAGATGGCGACAAAGCCAGCCGCAAGACGGGGCAGCAAGCGGAGATTCTGCCGGCCCATCGTCAGCGAGCGCAGGCTAGGCGCAATTGCAGACGTACCTTGCGGACCCAGAGCTCGCCTGGCATGTCTGTCTCTTGCTCGAGCATCGCCAGCGCCCACATGCCGAGCATGCCGATCGCGTAGGTGCCGCAGGTGATCCAGCGGATGGCCTGCGGCACAAATTGCTCCTTGGTCAGATCCGCCATCGAGTCGCCGCACAGCGTGAGGGCGCTGTGCAACGCGGTCAGTAGCTCTCCCCGCTTCGCGCGTCTGCATGCAGACTTGCCTGACAATCGGCAGATGCAGCGTGAACCATGGGATGACCGTTCGGACGCTCTGAGCGGCGCAGCCGCATAAGCAAAGAGGGGTGAGAGGGAACGGCGGCGGGCAGACGCACATGGCGGATGGGATGTACGAACGCCTTGCTGCTCGCGCCCTGCATGTAGAAGAGCTGGAAGCAGAAGGCCACGGCGACGGCCAGCACGGCGCGCAGCGTCGAGAGATGCATGCCCAGGCCTGCCGGGCTGCCTTTGAAGACGGAGTAGAGGAATTCGCCTGGACGTAAGGCAAGGTCAGAGGGCGGCTCGTTGGCTGACAGAGGCCGATGGACTGACCCATGACTAGAGTGATGAAGTCACTTCGGGTACGAGAGGGGTCAGCGCGGCAGCCCGCGCTGCGGGCGCGGGTCTCACTTGAAGCGCTCTACCTCGTGCTCGATGTTGAGGCCCGAGCTGTACGCCAGCTTCATCTTGCGCTTGAACCAAGGCGAGTACACCGTGCACCAGACCGCTGCGCACACGTCAGCGCTGATCTGCGAGGCATGCGTCTAGGACCAAGCGCACCCCATTCGATGCTGCGCCAGAGCAGGTCAGCGAGTCGGCGCTGACGTCTCCTGGGACCTGCTGCGCTCACAAGATGGCGACGACCGACATCGCGATGGCTGCGCGGGTGCTCACGAAGATGGCACCGATGTACAGGGCACTGCGCGACGTCAGCGTTGCTCGCAGCAGGCAGTGGCCCGGCACGCACGCAGTGATGACCCAGCCTAAGCACGAGGCCCGCAGCTGCAGACGATAGGCCTTGACGTGGAAGCTGTACATGAAGCAGGTGAAGAAGATGGCGCCCTCGGCAATGAGATAGGCGCCGACCGCGGCGGCACGCGCGGGACTCTCGGTGTATGGCAGGTTCACGAGCGTTGCATTGTTGCCGAAGCTGAAGAGCAGGGGTGAGCGTCTGGCGGACTGCAGTGGCTCAGAACCCGTGCCTCACACAACCAAGGCTGCCATGACGGTGAGCACCAGCATCCGCTGCGACAGATCGTCCTTGTAGAAGGCGTTGAAGATCTAGACGGTCGACCGGGTTAGCTCAGCACCCGCTGCCCGAGTATGGCACACATACCTCGCGCATGAAAGTCCAGACGTAGAAGGCGGTCGTGTAGGTGATCAGATAGCTGCGAGCAGACGGCCTGAGCATGTTTGATCCGCCGGGCGCAGGCAGATGAGCTTGTCGCACCGGACGAGACTGCTGCCTGTAGGCTCTGCAATGACCTCCTCTGCCAGGACTGCGATGATGCCGACGAAGGCTGCGAAGGGATGAGCATGTCTGCTTGGCATGCCCAGCGTGCAGCTCACTGAGGTCGAAGAATAGCCTGCGCGTGAGCACGCTCGGAGTCAGTCTAGCAGTGAGAACCTCGAGCACACGCGCTCACTCCAGGCGTCCGCTTGCCCGCTCCGAATCGTCGCGCACGAGCGTGGTGCCGCGGAAGTACTGCAGCGGGCGCGGCTTGCGGAAGAGGTAGCGGCGCTGCGAGTGGATGCGGCGCGCCTCGGCGTCGATGAGCTCGCTGGTGCGGTCGCGCAGCAGGCGGCGCCGCGCCGGCTCGTCGAGGTGTTCGTGCTCGTGCGCCTGCAGCTCGCCGGGTGCGAATCCCGACGTTGTGATGGCGCCGTACTTGAGGTGGTGCGGGTGGTGCGTTGCCGCAGCGGCAGGCCCCGCGCCGTCGTGGCTGGAGCCGCCGGCGTGGGGCGCACTGGAGTGCGACACTGGCATCGAGCCTTGCTTGCCTACCTGCAGATGCTGCTGGTGGTTGCGAGAGAAGGAGCAGATGCGTAATCTGCCGCGCTTCTGAAGGAGGCGAGCAAGCCTCGCCGCCTTCATGCTGCCCTGCTCTGTGTGAGAGCGCGCGGCGGGCTCGCTTCGGCGCGCTAGCGTGCTGCTGCCCGCAGCGGCTCGTGCCTGCGGGCGCGCCGGGCCGCGCTGGCTGCGAGGAGGGCCATTCGTAACAGCTGCTTTTCACCCTCGCAGCTATACAAGTCAGGCTCATATCATAGCATCACAGTTGGCAGTACATGAGAGGCGCAATGGCAGCTATGCCGCGGGCCAAGCGGCCAGCCGCAGCGCGCAGCGCTGCGCACGCGCGAGAGGGAAGCGTGAGTCGTCATAGTCCAGTGGGGCGGAGAGAGCGCGGGTCACAGTCGAAGAGCGCACGGAGGGGGTGCGCAGCAATCTACTGCGACAGGATCTGCCGCACGAAGCTCTCGTAGTGGATGTTGCCGTCGCTGGCCGGGGCAGCTCGACGTCAGCCTCCTCTCGCTGCTGCATTTTCCAGCGGCTACACTCACCTGCCGACCTGCACGCCCTTCAGCAGCTCGTCGACCTCCTCGTCGCTCAGCTTCTCGCCCAGCGACGTCAGCACGTAGCGCAGCTCGCCGGCGCCGATGTAGCCGTTGCCCTCCTTGTCAAACACCTGGAAGCCGCGGATGAACTCCTCTGCCGGGCCGGGCGCACGCATCAGCAAAGCATGTCCATACGCGGCAGGCTTCGAAGCTGCTGCTCACCCGGTGTGCCGGCAGGCTTGAAGCCGTTTGGCCGGTGCAGGATGTTCAGGAAGCTCTGGAAGTCAACTGTGAGGCCCGCGAGTCAGTATGCGCGCTGCGGAGAGCCGGCCACAGGTTCGATCGAAGGAACGCATATACGAGAGTGTGGCACACAGACGCGGCGGGCCTGTCCGAGATCGCAGCTCGTCGCTCGTAGTCCTGCCGCTAGAGCGCCCACCGGCGAGCTAGAGCGCTGCGCTGCTGGACGCATCGTTCGGCGATGCCAACGCGCGAGTGGCTGCACCAATGGATGGCCCCTTCAAGCGTGCTCTCCCATGACATGCCCTTGCATAGCGCGCAGTACCAGCAGTGCCCGGCACCACACCAACAATCGCGACGCATCGCTGGGTCTGCGCGTGCCAGGGCAAACCTCGGCATGCGCTGGGCTCCAGCGAGCACGCTCGCATTTGCGCCTTGCGCAAGCGCCTTGCCAAGGTGTGCCCAGCACTGAAGCTTCTGGCCTGGCTAATCGAGGACCGTCGCGCCCAGGCACTGCCCAGCGTCTCTTGTGCTAATGCGCCCCTGAACACATCCCATGTCCGCCACGTCGTGCCCCCGCACCACCTTCCCAGGCCGCTCATCTGCACCGCCCACTCACTGTCCTTGCCCGCGCCCGACACGAGCTCGGCAACCTCTGCCTGCGTGGGGTTCTGGCCGAGGGCGCGCAGCAGATCGCCGAGCGACTCGCGCGCAATGTGCCCTGTGCCCTTCTTGTCGAACAGCGCAAAGGCCTCCTTGTACTCGGCGTCGGACTGCGCAAGGGGTCAGCTGGGTGTGCGCTGCGAAGGTGGACGCGAGCGCTGACCATGTTTGTGATGGATCAGGGGTGGCGGATGGTGGTGAGGAGCAGCGAGTCGCAGGCTCGTGCGCCGCTCGAGGCAGCGCGCCGCGGCTAGACGGCTGTGCTGGCGCGGCGCGGGAGAGGGGCTGCAGCGCTGCCGGCGCGCGCCAACACGCACCACCGTTCGCCGGCCGTGTTGCTCCTGACGCGCGCCTCGGCCGAGCACCGCCGCTGCTCCCACGCACGGCTCTCACGGGCGGCGTGCCTGACTGAGAGCTGCCTCCACCCGCGCCCGGCTCGCTTGTGCCCGCGAAAGTGCATCCGCAGAAGGTTCCCTCCTGCCTTTCAACCACCACGCAACACCCACCATGGCACGCGCACGCACGCATCTCGTCGTCCTCGGCGCCACGGGCTTCACGGGCCGCTTCGTGGTGGAGGAGGTGGTGCGCAAGCTGCCGGCGCTGCAGGCCGCCGTGCCTGGCTTCACCTGGGCGGTGGCCGGCCGCAGCCGCGCCAGCCTCGAGGGCATCGTTGCCGCCATCCGCAAGACGGCGCCCGACGCCAAGGCACTGCCGGCCATCGTCGAGGCAGACGTCAAGAACGTCGAGAGCCTCAAGCACATGGCGCAGGGCACGCACTTGGTGCTGAACTGCGTCGGCCCGTACGCGTTGCTTGGCGAGCCGGTGGTGCAGGCCGTCATCGAGGCGTCCGAGGCGCTGTCCAAGGAGGGCCAGGCGCCGGTCGACTACGCGGACCTGACCGGCGAGCCCGGCTTCATCGAGCTGATGGTGCTCAAGTACTACGACCGCGCCCTTGCTGCCGGCTGCACGCTCGTTCATGCCGCTGCTTTCGACTCGGTGCCGGCCGACATGGGCGTGCTGTTCGCGCGCGAGGCGCTGCAGAAGCGCGGCGCCACGCCGGCCAGCATCGAGATCTTCGTGACGGTGCACACCAAGGACGGCCAGCGCATGGGCGGCAACTACGGCACGTATGCCTCGGCCATCAACGGCTTTGCCACGCGTGCCCAGCTCAGCAAGACGCGCAAGCAGCTCTACGGCCCCAAGCTCCCCAAGACGACGCCCGTGGCCAAGCAGCGCGGCCTGGGTGTGGGCCTGCCGCGCCGCAAGGGACGCTTCGGCGTGCTCTGGGCCGAGGAGGTCAAGTCGTACCTCGTGCCGTGTGAGTTGCGCTCCAGCGTTGGCGATTGATGAGTACCTCTCACGCAACTATCCCCGCCCAGTCTTCTTCGCAGACCCTGCTGGTGCGCTGCGTCGATACCTAGACACGCTCGTTCTGACGCCTTTCCCCAGTCATCCGCCTCTCCCAGTCCCTCGCGCAGCTGCAGGCCGACCAGGCCGGCGGAGCGCTGCCCGAGAGCGTGCAGATTGTCGCCTGGATGCAGCTGCCATCTCTCTACGTGCTGTTCCTCGCCGCCGTGCTCATGACGTTCTTCGGGCTCTTCGCCTCCTCCGCACGCGGCCGTCAGGTCCTGCAGGCGCACCCCAAGCTCTTCTCCGGCGGCATCTTCTCCTTCGAGGGTCCTACTCAGGCACAGATCGAGGCGACGTCGTTCGAGACGACGATGGTCGCGCGCGGACACTCCAAGTCGTTGCTTAATGGCGCAAAGCAGGGCAGCGGCATCGGCACGGATGTGACCGCCAGTGCGTTGCCTTACCTGCGATGCCTCGCCCGCCCGCTGACGTCCCACACACAGCCATCAAGATCAAGGGCGTCGAGCCTGGCTACCGTGCCACGCCTGCGCTCTTCGTCGCGGTCGCGCGCACCATGCTGGCCGAGCGCTCCAAGGTGCGTGACAGCTCAGCTGCACGTCAGGTGCCATGCTGACTTGTGCACTGCTGCAGGTCAACAAGGGGGTGCTCGTGCCCGGCGCCGCGCTGGCGAACACACGTCTGATCGAAGACCTGAACGAGGATGGGCGCGTGACGTTCTCCGTGCAAGAGTAGGCAGGACACGTTTCTCAGAATGCAAGCTCATTGATGATCACGGCATATGATTACTCGAGGGAGTCAAGGTCGTGACAAGACGCAGGCGGTACAAGAGGTCGAATGGGGCAGAACGGGAAGGGTTGCGCACTTGCGCCGCGAGGCGAGCGAGTGGACGCGGGTAGTCGATGGTGAGAAGGTCGGATCAATCTAGGTCGGGCGGAAAGAGAAGGCAAGGCGGCACGAGTTGAGTGCTTTACTTGGCGACGCCGTTAGGCAGCGGCTGCGAAGCCTGCGCCGCATCGGGGTGCACGACGGCCTTCTGCAGCGCCGGGATGCTCTGCGTGCGCACGAACTCGACGACCTTCGAGAGGCGCGTCGTGACCGGCACGCTGGTGTCGCGCGCCTCCTTGCTGAGGTGCTCGTAGGCGTCGGTGAACGTGCTGAGCACCGGGTCGACGCGCTTGCGGCTCTCGGCGGGGAGGGAGAGGGCGAAGTTGCGCACGCGGTCGAGCTGTGTGACGTGGTGTGAGCATCAGGGTGATGAGAAGCGGTGGATGCGCAGCAACTCACCTCAGCGAAGATGGCGTTGGAGAGGCCCTGCGCCTTCTGGGCGGCAGCGTCGCCCTCGGCCTTGCCGCGGCCCGAGACGGCGTCGAGGTTCTTGGCGAGGTTGTTCTGCAGGTTGCCGACGATCTCGGTGGCGCGCTGCAGGTAGGCATTCTGGCTCTTGAGCTGCTCGAACTGCTGCGTTGCCGAGTCGTACGCCGGTGCCACGCGTGCCTCGTAGAGGCTCTTGGCCGGCGCCGAGACGCGCTCGTCGTACGCCTTCTGCAGCGCCGAGGCGTAGGCTTGCAGGAAGGACAGTGCCTGGTCGGCCGGAGCGCGCGCGGCAGAGTAGACATCGCTCGTCGTGGCGTGGAAGGGGTACGGCACGGTGCGCTCGGCGAGCTCGAGGCCCTTGACGGCCCAGGCGTCGGCGAGCGCCAGCTGCGGCTGCAGGTGGTGCGCAATGGGCTTGGCGGCCTCGACGCTCTGCGTGAAGACCTGCTCGCCCAGCTGGTAGCCGCGCGCCAGCAGCGGGTGCGCGCTGACCGTCGAGTGCGCGTACGACACCGTCTCGTTGACGAGCGGGATCGTCGAGATGCGCTTCACGGCCTCGCCGTACTGGGCGGGCGCGGCGGACTGCGGAGCGGGAGCGGTGGCGGCAGACATGACGGGTTGGATGGGGAGGGCTGAGAAGTGGAGGATGAGCACGGGTGGTGGTGGGACGGAGGGGAGCAGATGAGGCGGCGGCGCTGATAAGGCGCCCCGGAGGGTGCACAGGCCACCGCCGCAGCCCTTCCACGGCCGTCGCTGCCCGCGGCGCTTTCAGGGTGCAGCAGGCCGCCACGAGCAACACGAGGTGTTGGGCAGGCTGCCTCTCTAGGCGGAGCAGGTGCGCAGCGAGAGGGTGCTCCATGCGCACGAGCCCGCCTTGCTGCGCCGCGCCGCGCTGTCGAACTTTTGGCAGCGCGTGGAAGCGCAGCGGGCAGCCGCCGAGCCGCAGCTACCGCGCTTTGTGTCCTCGACGCTGCCGGCGTGCCTCCGTGACGGATAGCATCGATCGGGGTGCCGCAGCCGCCGATGAGTGCGGCACAAAGTGCAGCAGCGGTACGCCGGGCCGTGCGGCGCCGGCGCGACAGGGGCAGCGAGTGGGCGCATCCATCGCCGTGGACGCATCCCTCTGCTTACACCTCGCGGCGGATGCTGCAGCTTGAGCTGACCGCACCCCTCGTCGATGCCAGAGCCATCACCATGCTCCGACGTCGGAGAGGCGTTGCGAACAGGAGCGGCGGCCAGCAGGTGCAGCAGCTGCTGCACGCGCAACGGCTTGGCGGCACGATCTTCCCACGCCTCTTGCGCGCGTGCATCGCAGCCACGAAGAGGGGCGCACTCACCAACGAGAGACGAAGCAGAGATGAACGGGGATGAGGGTGACTGAGCAAGAGCAGCGCCCAGCGCAGCCAGATCTTATATACCAGCTCGCAGCAGAGGGCAGCGCAACGGCGAGCGTGATAGGCAGCGCAGCGCTCGCCACGAACCGTCAGGGGCGCAGCGCGTTTGAAAGGCGCACGCTGCAGGCTGGGCCCAGGGCCGTCAGGCACGCGCAGCGCAGCGCAGCACGCAGAGAGTGCTCATTTGGACTCCTCGAGCCCTCTGTGTCTCTCGCTCTCACACGCACGGTTCGTCCTTGACGGCACCCATGCGCCTTTTGTTCGGCCGTGCAAGACGCACGTCAAGGCACGCCAGAGGCGCCGCAGGCATGGGAACGCGTGTGCCTCGGGCACCTGGCCAGTCTGCGCATCTCAAACTTTTGCTGCATGGCGCCTCGCTGCACGCGCCTCGCCACCGCTCCGAGGCGGTCCGGGCCGCGTTTGAAAGCCTGCCGTCGTCGTTTCTTCCCCACGCTCGGCCGCCGTGTCGAGAGCCGCAGCAAAGCCGAGTTGTGGCGAGCGCAGTCCGAGTTGCAGCGTCGAGAAGTGCCAGAAGGTGATCGACGCCCCGAGGGTCTGAGCGGCGGCACCCCGTGCGCCCCGGAGCGGCGCCGTTGCCACACGCCGAGCGTCGATCACACGGCCTGAGACTCCGGGGCACGCCCTTCTTCCCCACAGGAGCCCAGGCACATGACTCGCAGCTGCGTTGGGGCGCCCGGAGGCTCGACACAGCCGCGGATCATGACGGAGGTGCAGAGGAGAGGAGCTCGGTGCTCGACGTCGGGGCCGCGCCTCACGTGCCAAGCGTCGGTGCCCGATCTCTGTTCCCACGGCCGGACATCACGTGCCAGTTCCGCTTGGCCGCCGGCGAGAGGCCAGCCCGAGTTGCCTTGCCTGCCTCTCCGCTGCGCGCACGCTCGCAGCATCGCACCGGCTGGAGTGTCTCCGCCAGCTCGTCGCAGCTCTTCATTCAGACTCACGCCTGGCCGCAGGTAGCAGACGCTCGACTTAGTCCGTCCGAGCACAGACGCTGGAAACGTACAGAGCATGGCGAGCGAGGCAGCTTGGACGAGCAGCAGGGAGGCGCCGCACGGCTTGGCCGGATGTCCCGGCGCGCGCGCTGCCGGAATATCCGCCGACACTGCTCTCCTGCCCGTGCCGTCCTACGATGCTTCCCCGCACTCGATTGCTCTTCGCGCCGCAACCGCGACTCCGCCAGCGGCAGCCCAGGCACTGCCCTGCTGCATTGCTGGTGCTGAGCGGCTGGCCAAACCACCAGCAGCAGCATCGCTGCGCAGCGCAGAGGCGGAGCATGCCGCAGCGGCGTTGCAGATGCAGCAACGCAACGATGCAGTCGCGCAGCGGCCAAGAAGGGAGAGCGCGCGAGGCGCAGGGCCAAGGCGCAGCGGACAAGCCACCGCGCCGCGCACGGTCCGAGGTGGAGCAGGCGCCCCGCCCCGCACCCGCAGCGCCTGCGCCAACCCCAGAATCGAGTCCGCAGCCGCCATGCCTCGCCCTTCTCGCCCGCCAGCGCCGCCGGCCCAGCGGCCTGCGCATCCGCCGCAGCGCGGCTCGATCAGTGCGGCCGGGGCAAGAAGCACACGCACGCCGGGCCGGCCGCGTCTCCGCCCGGCCGCTGATGAGGCGGTCACCGGCGTCTTTGCGTCTCTCTCTCTCACCACCACCACCATGTCCGACCTCGCCAGCTTCGTGCCGCCGCCGTCGTCGCAGGCGCCGCGCGCCTTTGGGCTGCGCATGAGCATGCCCGCCAGCATCGCACACAACTACACGCCCCTCACGCCCGTCGCCTTTCTGCTGCGCGCCGCCCTCGTCTGCCCCAACGCCCTCGCCGTCATCCACGCCGAGCGCGCCGTGCAGTACACGTACGCGCAGTGGGCCGCGCGCTGCCTCAGCCTCACGTTTGCCCTGCTCAAGACGCCCGGCTTCACGCCTGGCGCGCGCGTCGCCGTGATCAGCCCGAACAACCCCATGATTCTTGAGGCGCACAATGCCATTCTCGCTGCTGGCGGCATCATCAACCCGCTCAAGTGAGTTGCCGTGCTGCCGGGTAGGGGAGACTGTGCACTGCCGAGGTGAGCGCCCTGGCTGACGCCATACACAGCATCCGCAACTCGCCCGCCGAGATCGCCTACGTGCTCGGCCACTCGGGCGCCACGATCATCCTGTGCGACTCAGAGTACGCCAATCTGCTGCCCAAGAACCTCAGCAAAGACATCGTCGTCGTGATCAGCAACGACTCGGGCGGCCGCGATCCCAAGGACCCGTACGAGGCCTACCTGGCTGGCGGGCGGCGCGAGTGGGAGGCGCAGGAGCGCAGCAGCAAGAAGGGCCTGCTGGGCTGGGAGCTCATCACGCACATCGAGGACGAGAATGCACCGGCGGCGCTGTGCTACACCTCAGGTGGGTCCGGATGTCAGGTCACGGCGAGGCACGAGGCTGACTGGTGGCCCTAGGCACGACGGGCAAGCCAAAAGGCGTCATCACGACGCACCGCGGCAGCTTTCTGGGCGCCGTGTCCAACGCGTTTGAGGCTGGTCTGGGCCCTACGAGCGTGTACGCTGCGCTGCTCCCGTACTTCCACGCCTGTGGCTGGACCTTCGTGAGTCGGACGCGATCGTGAGCCGGCGAGCGCTGCTGAGCCCATTGTCGCAGCCCTGGGCCGTGACCGCCGCCTTCGCGACGGCATACACGATGCGCAAGGTGGACAACGATGCGATTTGGGACGCCTTGCTCAACGCAGGCGTGACGCACTACGCCGGCGCACCGACGGTGCAGATCGGCATCGTGAACCACCCCAAGGCCAAGAAGCTGCCGCGCGTCGTGCGCGTTGCCGTCGCGGCCAGTGCGCCGACGGCACAGCTGCTCGGCATGATGGAGAGCCTGAACCTCGTGCCCGTGCATGTGTATGGCGTGAGTGCAAAGCGACGTGCCCCGCAACCTCTGTAAGCTGATGCCTTCGCGAACAGCTCACGGAGACCTACGGCCCCGTCACGCGGCGATACACGGAGCCAACATGGGCTGCTATGTCGACCGAGGAGCGGGCACGGCTGATGGCGCGGCAAGGGCACGGCTACCTGACCTGTGCGTTTGCCAGTTCCGCAATGCTTCGCCTCATTGCTGACAAACTGCGTACTGCAGCCGATGAGGCGCGCGTCTGCAGAGTCCCACCGGAAGGCGCGGACCCGCAGGCGACGCCGCTGGAGGATGTGGCGCGCGACGGCAAGGAGATGGGCGAGATCATGCTGCGCGGCAACATGGTGATGAAGGAGTGAGTTGGCGCGAGCTGTGACCCAGATGAGGCGCCTCTTGACGCCCATCCGCAAGGTACTACAACGACAAGGAGGCGACGCGCAAGACGTTCCGGGATGGCTGGTTCTGCACTGGCGACTTGGCGGTGCGCATGCCTGGCGGCGAGCTCAACATCCTCGACCGCGGCAAGGACGTCATCATTTCTGGCGGTGCGTAGCGAGGATCGTTGGCAGGTGGATCACAGACTGATTGACTACCTCCTGCAGGCGAGAACATCTCCTCCCTCATGGTCGAGAGCGAGATGGCCACGCACCCGGCCGTGCTCGAGTGCTGCGTTGTCGGACGCAAGCACGAGAAGTGGGCCGAGGTGGGGCACGCATTCGTCGTGCTCAAGCAAGGGCAGAGCGCCGACATGGAGACGCTCAAGGCGCACTGCCGCGAGCGCATGAGCAAGGTGAGAGCGCTGCTGAAGGACAAATGAGGAGCGAGAACAGTGCTCAACTGCTCCCGCACGCAGTTCGCCGTGCCCATGTACTTCGACTTTGTCAAGGAGCTGCCAAAGGTGAGTCCCGCAGCAGTCAGCTACCTCAGCCCCTCGCTGACCACCTCTTCAGACGTCTACAGGAAGTGCGTCGCCATTGCCCCTTGCAGCCGGTCCCGTGCTGACCCCTTTGCTCCAGAGGTGCAGAAAAATGTCCTTCGCGCACGCGTCGCCGACGCGCCGCAAGCCAAGCTGTGAAGGACGTGCGAGCGATTCCGAGACGCGTATCAGCCACACGGCGGCCTGTAACGATGCTAATGCTATGCCATTTGGAGTTTTTGCAAGGCAGGGATGGCGGCGCGAGCAGTGCGCCGGGCGTGGCTTACCGGTTGCGAGTGCCGCCGAAGCCCGTGCTGCGTCGTGTCTCGCCGAAGCCGCCGTCGGTGCCTCCATACCCTCGGCTGGGGCCCGCAGCGCGGCCAAAGCGCCCGTGCTCGTCCTCCCAGCGCTCGCGCGCGTCGTAGCCGGGCCGCTCCCAGCCGCGCGTGTTGCCGCCACCGCCTCTGTTCAGCGCCCATGCTGCGCCGCCGAGCCCGAGGCCAGTCCAGAAGCCCGGCCGCCACCCCTGCGCCTGCTGCTGCTGCGGCGGTGCGCCGGCCGTGGCGCCCGGCACATCCTTGGAGTAGGGCGGCGGCGGGGCGCCTCCGCCGCCAGGGCCGAAGCCGGGACCACCGAAGCCGGGCCCGCCGCGGCCGCCACCTGTTGTGGCACCGGCCGCCGCCGCGCGCGACTGGAAGTAGGAGCGCACCATGTTGTACATAATCCAGGCGACGGCACCGAAGAAGACGATGGGAAAGGCAACGTCGAGGAATGAGCCGACATTGGCTGGCAAGATCTCTGTCAGCAGCAGCAGAGACGCAGGCGGCGCGCATACTTACAGTCTGACGAGCCGCCGGAGCTGCCGCCCGGGTAAGCCGGCAGCAGGTTGTAGGTGAGGGAGCACGAGTCTGAAGACGAGGCATCAGTGCAGCTCATGCGGCACAAGGCCACGCACACTCACCCTTGAGCACGAAGGGGTCGTCTGGGCCGCTCCAACCTTCGCAGGATACCTCCACGCGGCCCATGCGCGCATTCGAGGGCAGGTCTGCGTCGCACTGTGGAACGGCGTCAGCGGCAAGATCGCAGTGAACTCTCACATGCACGCACCTTCCAGTCGCCGCCGCCGAGCGCGCTGCAGGTGACGACGTCGGGGCGCGCATAGCGGCACGGCGAGCCGTGGCAGATGAGCTGCTCCTGCGGGCGCGTGCGGCGGCCCGCGGTGAGGGCGCCGTCGTAGAAGGTGAGGCGGCGCAGCGAGGACATGGCGACGCGCGAGCCGGCCAGCGGCGCCTGGCGCGCGGCGACGGTGCTGGCCAGCGCGGCGAGCAGCAGCAGAGGTAAGACTAGACGAGGTGAGGTGCGCATGGCGGGTTGTGGTGGTGGTGGTGGTGGTGGACGGAAGCTGAGCTCGCTGCGGCCCCTGGCGTGGCCAAGCCACACGCGCGGGATGGCGGTGCATGACGTGGAGTGCTCAGCGCGCGGGACTCGGGCTTGCGCGCCTGGGAAAGTGCTCGGCCGAGAAGGAGCGAGATGCTGCCGCCGCCGCGCAAAAGTCGAAAGTCACGCACCGCGCGCTGCCATCCTTCCCGTCGTCCGCTACATCCCCCGCCGCCGCCATGAAGGCCTCGTCCTTCCAGCTCAGCAACGTGCTCGGCAGCGTGTACCAGCGCGGGCCGCTCGCCTTCTCGCCCGACGGGCGCGTGCTCGTGTCGCCGACGGGCAACCGCGTGTCGCTGGTGGAGCTGCACTCGCAGCGCTCGCGCACGCTGCCGATGCAGACGCGCAAGCCCATCGCCCTCGTCGCGCTGTGCCCGCCGCGCCCGCACATCGCCCTCGTCGTCGACGTCGACGGCCGCGCACAGCTGCTCAACATCAACGCCGGCGCCACGCTGGCGCACGTGTCGTTCGGCGGCGAGGTGCGCGCCGCGCAGTTCAGCCCCGACGGCCGCTTCCTCGCCGTCGCCCTCGGCAGCCAGGTCAAGGTGTGGCGCACGCCCAACACGCTCGCGCGCGAGTTCAGCCCCTTTGTGCTGCACCGCACCTACACGGGCCACCACGACGACGTGCTCAGCATCCAGTGGAACAAGGACGGCACGTGAGTGGGCTGCAGAGGTCGCGCATCGAGAGCACAGCACGCAGCGCCGTCCGTCGTCGAGGATGCTCTAAAACTGATTTAATGAGTCTGCCGTCTGGCGGAAAGCATATCGCACAATGCCTGAGACTTCGACGCGCTGCTGCTGTGCTCCTCGCTGCTGCCGCCTTGGTGGCTGTCGCGCTGACACACGCCGCACAGCTTCTTCCTCACCACCTCCAAGGACCTGACCGCACGGCTCTACTCGCTCGACCCCATCGGCCTCGCCGCCTCGAGCTCTTCGCGCGGCGGCAAGTTCCGGCCCAAGACGTTCAGCGGACACCGTGCCGCCGTCCTCTCGGCGCACTGGAGCCAGGACGAGCGCACCATCTATACCATCGCCAAGGACGGCTCTTGCTTCGTCTGGCGCGCCAAGCTCGACGACGAGGACGACGAGGGCGTCGAGGCCGACAGCGACGACGACACGGCGGCCGCCCAGTCCATTGCGCAAGATCCGCGCGAGCGCATCGCCACGGCGCGCTGGGGCGTGTCGGAGCGCCACTACTTCAACGCGCAGAGCGTCGGCGTCGTGTGCGCCGACTTCCACCCAGCCAGCTCGCTGCTCGTCGTCGGCTTCGCCACGGGCGTCTTCGGCCTGTACACGCTCGCCGACGAAGGCGCCTGCACGCCATTGCACACGCTCTCCATCTCATCCGAGAAGGTCGCCGCCGTCAAGTTCTCGCCCGACGGGTCGTGGCTCGCGTTCGGCTGTGCCGGGCTTGGCCAGCTGCTGGTGTGGGAGTGGCAGTCGGAGAGCTACATCCTCAAGCAGCAAGGGCACTTCCACGACGTCGCCTGCGTTGCCTACTCAATCGACGGACAAGTCGCCGCGACCGGCGGCGACGACGGCAAGGTCAAGCTCTGGAACACGACCAGCGGCTTCTGCATTGCAACGCTCACCGAGCACACAGCGAGCATCTCGGCGCTAGAGTTCGCCACCAAGGGCAACGTGCTCTTCAGCGCCAGTCTCGACGGCACAGTGCGCGCCTGGGACCTGCTGCGGTATCGCAACTTCCGCACCTTCACCAGCCCGCAGCCCGTGCAGTTCGGCTGTCTCGCCGTCGAGGCGTCCGGCGAAGTCGTGTGCGCCGGCGGCGGTGGCGCCGCAGCCGACTCCTTTGACGTGTTCATGTGGTCAGTGCAGAGCGGCAAGCTGCTCGACATCATGGGCGGCCACGACGGTCCTGTCTCGGCACTCTCGTTCTCGCCCAACGGCAGCGGACAGCTCATCAGCGTCAGCTGGGACAAGACGTTCCGCATCTGGGAGGCCTTCCGGCCGACGGCCAAGGTCGAGCCCATCAACCTTACTGCCGAGGGTCTTGCGTCTGCATTCCGTCCCGACGGCGCCGAGGTGTGCATCGCCACGCTCGACGGCCACCTGTCCTTCTTCGACCCACGCGATGGCGGCCGGCAGCTCGGCGTGCTCGAGTGCCGGCGAGACATCGCCGCCGGCCGCAAGCTCGACGACAAGGTCTCGCGCAAGGGCAGCGACGGCGGCGCGGCCTTTACCTCGGTGCACTACTCGGCCGACGGCCGCTGCATCCTGGCGGGCGGCAACGCCAACTGGGTCTGCCTGTACGACGTGCGCGAGCGCGTCCTGCTCAAGCGCTGGCAGGTCTCGCTTGACGTCTCACTCGACGGCACGAGGGATCTGCTCGACTCGCGGAGATTGACTGCGGCCGGCCCGGTGGAGCTCATCAATGACCTCTCCGACGAGGACGAGCTGACCACTGCGGAGCGGGCTGACCGGTCGCTGCCGGGCGCCCAGCGCGGCGACCTTGCACGCCGCACCACTCGCGAGGCAGCACGAACGCGCTGCGTGCGCTTCTCTCCGACGGGCCGGGCTTGGGCTGCCGCGTCGACGATCGGCCTGCTCGTCTACTCGCTTGACCCGCCAGACGTCGGCGTCACGTCTGGGTTGCAGCAGGACTTCGACCCGCTGGAGCTTGACATCGACCTGACGCCCGCGTCCGTCCTGGCCGCTTCGCAGCGGGGAGAGGCGCTGTCTGCGCTCGTCGGTGCGCTGCGTCTCGGCGAGGCCGCGCTGCTCGCCGAGGTGTACGAGCACATCGTCGTCTCCGACATCCCGCTCGTAGTCTCGCAGCTACCGCTGGCGCATCTCTCCTCCGTCCTGCGCCTCATCGCCATGCGTCTCAACCCCGCCTCCAAATCGCCGCACGTCGAGTTCCACCTGCGCTGGCTCGCCGCCGTGCTCACCACGCACGGCGCGGCCATCCGCAGTCGTGCGCGCGGCGATCTGGCGCCGCAGCTGCGCCTTGTTGCCGCGGCGCTGCAGGAGCTGCGTGCCAATGTCAAGCGCACCGCCGATGAGAACACATTTGCCTTGCTGCATCTGTGGGACGCCATGCGCACTGCTGAGCCTGCGGCCGTCGACTCGGCCGAGGCTATGCAGATCGCCTGAGTGCCACCCCTTCCCCCGTCTTGCTTCTGTCTCCTCACCTCATCTGTAACACAACCCGCATGCCTCTCATGGAATCTACCATCTGTCATTCTCGTGCTGGTCGTAGCAGCCGACAGACGTGTGTCTTGTCGCCGACAGTGACGCCGAGGCGGGTGACGTGCAGCTCGAGTCGCCGCAGCGCCTCTCCGCTGTCGTCCTCGAGCTTTGCACACGCGGCCTCTGCGCGTGCCTTGCCTGCCGACAGCTCATCTGGGTCCGAGGGCAGCGCTATTGAGGCGAACGAGGCGTGGAAGCGAGACTCGGCGTAGTAGGGCTGCAGGCCGAACGGCCGCAGTGCTTCGTCGAGACTCTGAGCTACGGCGCGCAGCTGGCAAGAGAGGCTCAGGGCGGCCACCATCACCCGTGCCCGCGCAACTCACCGGCTGCCAGCCCAGGCCGACTTCGACAGCGAAGAAGAGACGTGACGAGTCGTCGTTGACCAGCGTGGTGTAGCGCGCAAAGGCCACCGTCGTCCTGCGATTGCCCCGTGTCAGCGCGAGCCTCGAATGAGGCCAAGTCATGCTCACCGCGGCGTGTCACGAAGAGCGGCCTTTGCGGCCTGCGCGAAGCGAGGACGCTCGGCATTCTCAATTGGCAACGGCCGCGAGAGTGAGATGTGCGGCTCGACAATAAGGTCCACGTCGCTGGAAGCAAACGCGACGCTCAGAGCGTCGCTGGCCGTCCTGAGGTGCTCCGCTAGCGCCGTCTCGCCTGGGACTGTGTAGAGGTCAGCGTGTGCTAAGCATCTCTGGCTCGACATACTTTCTGCAAATACGTAGCACAGCCACTGTCCCGGCACAACACCCGGCGCCAGCCGCTTTGCCCGCTCCTCAGTCCACGTGGTACGCCGCTCTCGTCCGGCGATGAGCGGACGAGCGGACGAAGCAAAGGGAGCTGGTAGACTGCAAGACGTAAGCCAAGCCCATCAGCGCAGCCAGAACTTTGCGCGCTCACCGACGCTGGGAGCCAGACGCCTGCACTGGCTGGGTCGACGGCTTCAGGCCCTCAACTCTTGCCGCCGGCCTGCGTGAAGGCTGAGCTGCTCGCTCCGGCGATGCGCTGCGCCTTCGACTCGAGGCGCTCCCCGCATCGCGCTCGTCGCCGGACGATGCCTCAGACGACGACGAAGCATAGGCAACAAGCGCCATGCCGATGCCGCACCTCTTCGAAGCCACAGTCCCTGCTCTGTCGGTGCGCTTAAGTTGCGCTTTTGAGGTAGTTGAGGTGCTGGAGGAAGGACGCAAGCCCACCCGGCTGATGGTGGAGGCGCGTCGGGACTCGGGTTACCGCGCAGAGGCTGGCAGCCAAAAAGTTGCCGCATCGAGGTGCAGCGAGCCTGCTCTCAACCACGACCTCCGCAACCGTCTCGATGGCGCTCTCAACACCCGCATTTTCCCTCTCGCAGGATGCCACACACGTCTTTGTAGACGTGCGGCCTGCGGAAGACGCCGACCTGAGCTCGCTTGGATCGCCGCGCGCCGTGGCCGAGGGCGTGACCTTTGGCCTGATCTGGGGCCAGAGCTACCTGCCGCTCGTACTGCCGCACGCCGTGCATGCCAACCCGACTTGCTTACTTGATGAAGAGGGCCGAAAGGCTCGCATCGCTCTGCGCAAGGTGCAGCCTGGCCTGCAATGGGCGGATCTCGATGCTCTGCAGCCGCAGATCCTGCCTGAGGCAAGCGCAGCCGATGAGCCCATGACTGCAGCTGGCGACGGCTCGCAGCCACAGGCGCCAGAGTCAGTCGCGAGAGAGATGCTTGCGCAGGCTGTGGGCCGCGAGAATGCTGCGCGCGGACAGCGCGGTCAAGGACGCATCATCGAACTCGATGCCGCGCCTGTCGACGGAGAGGAAGACAAGCCATCGGGCTCAGGTGAGCCTGGCGCCCGTACTTGGGCCCATTTGTGCAGCTGCTGACAGCTGGATCGATCAGACGTTTCGCTGCTCCGGTCACCACGAGTGCCTACATCACTGGCTACTCAGGTGCACGAAGCACCGCGCGAGGAGGCTGACGCGGACAGCGACGTGGAGTGGGCGCATCGGCATGCCATCGCTGAGGACCGCGAGAATGCTGCGTTCGACGAGGGCTGGTACCTGTGAGTGCCCTCGTGCATTCAGAAGGCTCAAGGAACTCATGAAGCGGCGCAGAGACAATCACGTCGATGAGAATCAGGAGATTCTCGAGCTGCTGGACTGGAAGCCGCGTCTGGTCGACCAGGCAGCGCCGTCAGCAGGAGAAGAAGGCGCGCTCCGGCCCGAGCACCTGCTCCTCGTCGAGCTGCTCTTCGCCGCCGCGTACGAAGCACGGACTACACAAGGCGAGGCGACTGTCGAGAGCGGCTGGACGATCGCCTCACTCTGCCGCTCGCTCGTTGTCTCCGCGCTGCCGCGCGCAGACACCACGCTCGCACAGACTCTGCGAGCCTCCTACCGACGAGCGCTGGTCCGTCCGCTGTATCGCTCGTGGCGTCTGTGCGATCAGGCCGCTCAAGACGTCGCACATGTGCTCCAAGGAGGACGCAGCAGTGCTGCTCAGCACCTCGACAGCGTCGCCGATATGCTGCGCGAAGGCGCAGACGCGGCCCTGCCTCTGTATGCGCGCGACACTGTCGAGCCGCTCAGCAGGTGGCTGCAGCACCACCCCGACGCGAGGTAAGTGAGCCGCAGCTCGTGCTGCGAGCAAGCGCTGATGTATGCACTCCAGCGACGCGAGACTTGCACAGCTGGCAAGTCAGTATCTCGCAGCGCAAGCAGCGCAGACAAAGAGAAGCGTCGGCGGCGACTGGGACCTCGAGGAGCTCGAGCAGGCCGCGCAGGCGGTGCTCGACGAGGAGGCGGGCATGCAGCAATGAGTCTAGTGACATTACGAAGCAGGAGATCGTACATCCGACACGGCGTGCGCATGGTCATCAACGCCTCGGAGGCGGCGGCGGCATGGCGCGCCCGCCAGCAGCGGGCTTCGGGGGAGCGGGCGGTGCTCTGCTGCCGCCGTTGGCTGCCGGCGGCGCGGGTGCCGGCGGCGCAGCGCTCTCGCCACGTGCGGCCGCAGCCTCGGCCTTCTTGCGCGCGAGCACGGCTGCGAAGCCGCCCGGCTCGCCCATGCCCGGCATGACGGACACGGGAGCTGCGCTGGCGTCCGGCGCAGTGTACGCGCCGCGCTCCACGGGCTTGGCCGCAGCAACGGGCTTGAACTTGGGAGTCGGGGCTGCAGCCGCAGCGGCTGGCGCAGCCGACCCAAACGAGCGCGTAGCAGCCGGCGTGGCTGCTGCAGCGGGCACTGGGGCCGGCGGAGGCGCACGCTTCACCGGCGCTGGCGCCGGCGGCGGAGCGCGCGGCTTCGGCGGAATGAGCTCGAGGTAGTTGGACGGCGCCCAGCCCTCGACACCGTTCTTCTTGACAAGCCACCAGCCGTTCTCTTCCTTCTGCGTGACCTCCACTGCCTCGTCCTTGACGAGAGCCATCTCGCCGTCCTGGTCCGTGTCGAACGCGTAGAGAACGAGGTACTTGGGCGTCTCCGGCTCCGCTGCCGGCGGCGGCGGCGGAGGTGGCGGAGGCGGCGCAGCAGCAGAGGCCCGCTTTGGCGCAGGGATGGCGCGCGCAGCACCATTGGTGGCGGGCGGCGGCAGAGCAGCAGCTGCAGTGCGTCCGCTGGGCAGAGCAGCGGGCGTCGGTGTCGGGCGAGGCACGGCGCGTGGCTTGGGCTTGTTCGCGCTGGACGGGCCGCCGGCACGCAGCAGCTTGCCCGAGGTGATGGGCCGCACAAGACCAGGCTTCTTCTTCGCCGGCGGCTTGCTCAGGCTCGTCGGCGACTCGCCGCTGGCGACGGTCACCGTCGAGCTCTTGTACACGTCCTCGCGCTGCACCGACTCGTCCTTGACAAACTTGATGTTTGTCTTCTTGTCCTTGCCCTTGGAGTACTGCAGCTCGTTGGCGACGATGACGTTGACGCCGCCAGACGTGCGCTGCAGCAGATGCGTGACGAGCTCCGTCTTGAAATGCGTGTGAAAGAGCGGGTCGGCCTCCTGCGTACCGGACACGTTGAACACGATCCAGTCGTCGCGCAGACCACTGAGGCCCACCGACGAGATCGAGCCGAGCACAATGCGCCGCTCGCACGTCGTCGTCGGCTGCTTGTTGACGAGCTGCGTGACGATGAAGTAGGCCGCCTTGTCCGTCAGCACGAAGAAGCGCGGCGACGGCTTGCTCGAGCGGCCGAGGCGCGAGACGAGGATCTGAACGCGCGCGCTGAACGCCACCTGCTCGCCGGCCGCCATGCCCGAGGCGCGCCGCAGCATCTCGCCCTCAGCGCTGCTGCCGCCGACGTCGAGGTAGTCGCCGGTGAAGCGGCGCATGCTGATGAGGCTGAAGCGGCGCCGCTCCTTGCGCCCCGCCAGCATCTGATGGCCGTAGTCGCGCAGCTGCACGAGCGCCAGGCGCGACGCCTGCGTGCGCCACACGCGCTGGATGCGCCGTGCGCACTCGTTCTTGTACCTCATGTAGTTGCGGAACGCCCGCTGGATCATGCGCGCCTTGTTGTTCCAGTACTCGGTGCGCATCTTCTCAAGCGCAAAGAGCGTCTCGGGGCTCTTGATGAAGGCCTTGGTGACGCCCATCTGCCACTCCTCGCGCGCGATGCCCGTGTCGGTGAGGATGCGCTCGCAGCCGCTGCGCGCGTCGCCCTGCCAGATGTACTCGCCTGCATACGACGTCGCGGGCGAGAGCAGGTAGAAGCGCTCCACGAGGCGCTCAAACGTCGAGCGGTACGCGAAGCCGGCGCGCCGCACGCGGATGTTCTCGGCGAGCGCGAGGTACACCGTCTGCTCGAGCACGCGCGACTTGTCGTACTCCGTCGGCGACTTGGACTCGTTGGGCTTGATCGTGCGGATGTAGTGCGGCTCGGCCTTCATCAGCGTGTCGACGAGCTGCGTGGCGCTGGCCTTGATGCGGTCGCCGGCCGTCGGCGGCCGCTTCTTCGAGTTGGGGTCCGGCCGCTCGGAAAAGAGGTTGCGCAGGAACGCGTTCGACGACGTGTCGACGAGGTCGAGAATATCCTTCTGCAGCGAGTCGCGGTTCTTCTCTGCCAGGCCGGCGATGTGGTAGGACACATCACCGGCATAGTGGCGGATGGTGAAGCGCGTGCCGCGTGCCTCGAAGCGCGGGTTCGACGTCAGCGCGCTGGCCCGCTGCATGAAGGCGTTGTCTGCGGCCGCCGGGTCGGCGTGCGCCGTGGCGCCGGCATCGTTGAGCGTGGCAAAGATGCCAGGCTTCGGGCGCATGCCCTCGATCAGCTCGCACACGACGGCATTGTCAAAGTACGGGATCGGCTTCCACTGGATCTGCTCGTTGTCGTACTCCCTGCGCGGCATCGTTAGCTCTGCGCGCGCGGCAATGCGCAGAGGCCACTCACTCCTGCTCCTTGCGCAGCACAAGCGCGATGAAGATCTGCTGCAGCTTCTCGTTGACGAAGTTGATGCAGAGCTGCTCAAACGAGTTCTGCTCGAAGATCTCGAAGCCGTAGCTGTAGGATACAGGGTCAGCGCTGTCTCTGGCGCAACAGCGCGCTCAGCTCACATGTCGAGGATGCCGATCATGTTCGTCACTGCGCCGCGCGGCGCCATCGACGTGTTGATGCGCGCGACGAGCCAGTCGAACATGTTGTTGTAGATCGCTGCGGGACTATCAGCACAGGCTGCGCACAGCCGCAGACTCGCACTCACCCTTGGCGAGCGCATCGCGCACCGCGCCGGCCTGCGCCGGGTTCAGCGGCGACTCGTACACCGAGCCTCTCCGCCCGCCGCCGCGCTGTGTCTCGACGATCTTCTCCGTCAGCGCCTTGGTGACGGCCGCCGAGTCCACCTCCAGCAGGTAGGCGACAAAGTCCGGCACGCCCGGGTCTGTGATCTCTGCGTTGCCCTGGGCATTCTCGGCCTGCAGATGCAGATGTTAGCCCAGATCTGGGCGCAAGCAGACCAGCAGCAACTCACAAAGTGCGCGTTGCCCAGCCACAGGATGGCAGCAAGCATGCGCAGGATGTCGTTCTGCTCGTCGCCGGTGAGCCCGATGATGTTCATGGCGTTGAGCGTCTGCTCAAAGTCCGCGACATCATCGATGCCCGGCACATCAAGGCACTTCGACTTGCTCGTGTACGAGTAGGCCTCGGGCCCCTGCAGGCCGAAGTACTCGCGCTGCTCGGGCGTCGCGGCCTTGGTGAGCTGGTAGAAGATGTGGAACGAGCGCTCGTCGCGGATCTGGCCGACGACGCGAGACTGCACAGCGGCGTGTGAGCATGTGCGCGCGGGTCACAATCAGCGCGCGCCGCACCTTCTCGAGCAGGAAGTTGGTGATCGTGGCGCCGGTGGGCGCACCCTGGTCGTTGTGCATGATCTCGAGGAACTTGCCCTGTGAAGTGGAGAGCGCTTGAGCTGTGCGCCGGGCGCCACACCCCTGCTGCAACTCACGTGGCGACTGGAGTTGTTGTTGCGCAGCGTCTTGGCACAGCCAAAGCTCTCCAGCAGCGGGTTCGTCGCCAGCACCATGTCCTTGATGTCGCCGATGTCGCGCTCGCTGGCATCGCCCGTCGAGACAGCAGCGATGTACTGCATGATGCGCTTGGCGGCCTCGGTCTTGCCGGCGCCACTCTCGCCCGAGATGATGACGCACTGGTTCTCCTTGTACGCCTGCATGTTGTAGTACGCCGACTCGGCAATGGCGAACACGTGCGGCGGCATCTCGAGGCGGTTCTTGCCGCGGTACGACGCCAGCGTCTCCTCGGTGTAGATGCCCAGATCCCGGAACGGGTTCACCGAGATGAGAACGTTGCCGATGTACGTCTGCAGGACGAGTCAGCCTCAGCGCTGCGCGCATCCTTCCAGCGCGACGCACGTAGATCTCGGCATTCTGGAAGCGCTTCTGCAGGTTCTCGTTGACGGCCTCGTTGGAGACCTTGGAGAGCAGTGTCATGTCCGACACGCCGACCTGCGGCTTCTTGAAGCCCTCGCGCCAGTCGGCCTTGGCAATGCCGCCCTTCTTGAGCGCGCCGCCCTTGGCCGGCGGCGGCTTCGAGGCCGCGCCGCCCTTCTTGCCGCCTGCCTTCTTGGAGATGGCCATGGCGCACGGACGCGCGGGGTGGGAGGAGCGCGCGGCTGAGAGGGTGGTGCGCTAGCGGCGCAAGGAGATGCGAGGTGGGCCCGGGACGCGAGCAGCCGCGTGGGTGAGGAGCACGCTGCGCTGGCGGGGTGGATGTGTGGATGGATGTGGATGGACGTGGAGTGAGAAGGAGCTCGAGCGTCTGTGCTGCGCGCGCGCTGGGCCGTGCTCGACATCGACAGCGCGCTCTCCCCGCGCCAGCGCTGCATGCGGGCACGCGGCGAGTGTGCGCACCGCGCGCCTGCACCCTGGCGCACGCCCGGTGAGGCGGTGCCGCCGCCGCCGCCGTCGATTCTACCCGCACCAAGCCCACGCCGTGGCCGCGCTTGCCACAGCTCAGCTCGAAGTGCAATGCACAATGCTGCGATATGCTCGCTTGCTTCTCAGCATCGCCGACTGCTCCCGTATGCCTGCTCAGCGGTGTGCGAGGGCGGACGGCGCGCGCTGACGGGTGAGCAGCGGCGCGCCGCGAATGACGCAGATCGAGAGCCTTCAACAAGGCGCGGCGTGCGAATACAACTGGCGCACTACAACAGTCATGCCGGCCGTAGTCGAGGATTTTCATATCCGCTGCGCCCCGCGATCTCCACCCACGCGACGGCGCCTCGAGCCCGCCTGCCTTTCGACCACACCCCTCACCACCACCACACAAGCCCAACATGCCCAAGGTACGCGCGCTTGCGCAGCTATGTCTCGCGCGCGGCAGCTGCTGACGCTGGATGATCTGCGCGCAGGCCAAAGGAAAGGGCGGCAAGAACCGCCGGCGCGGAAAGAACGAGACGGAGGGCGACAAGCGCGAGCTCGTCTTCAAGGACGAGGGCCAGGGTGAGTGCTGGCGGCGACGACGCAGAGCTTGCATGGCAGCGGGCGCACGACGGTAGCAGTGGATGTGCCACCTGGCCGCGCTCGCCCGAGAGTTGTGGCCCGAGGCGAGGATGTGGAGCACGGGCTAACGCTCTCGCCACGCCCGCAGAGTACGCCCAGGTCGTGAAGATGCTGGGCAACGGCCGTCTCGAGGCGCAGTGCTTCGACGGCGAGAAGCGCCTGGCACACATCCGCGGCAAGCTGCGCAAGAAGGTGAGTGTGGTGGAGGAGATGGCTGGCGAGGATAGAGGAGTAGGAGGCGGACAGACATGGGTAGGTGGAGGAGATGCGGGCCACTGAGGTCTTCATTCGCGCCTCGCAACGACTAGGCCGCGACAGCGGGCAAGAGTGGCGCCAGAGGCCAAGCTAGGCCTCATGTGTTGGTGTCCGCGCATGCATGAGTCGGCGAAGACCCGGTGACGAGCTGGAGCTGGACATGCGGGCCCGCACGGGTTGCTGGCCCTCGATGGCGCCAGTCCGGAGAGTCGGAGCATTTGCTGCGCGCACGAGGGATGCGGTTGCTGGCCGCCGGCGCTCTGCTTGCGCATGGAGGCAGGCAGGTGCCCGTGGCGAAAGCGGACCAGTCGCCGACCTGAGTCAGAAGGCTGCAGAGTGCTCTCTCGCCCTCTACAAGCCCTGAACACTTGCTGACACGTCTATAAATCAGGTCTGGATTAACCAGGGCGACATCATCCTGCTGTCGCTGCGCGACTTCCAGGACGACAAGGCCGACGTGATCCAGAAGTACACGGCCGACGAGGCCAGAAATCTGAAGCAGGTGAGTCTGGCTGCGGCAGGGGCGTCGCGCCATCTGCTGACGCCGCAGCCCCGCAGTACGGCGAGCTGCCGTCCGACGCCAAGATCAACGAGACCGACACGTTCGGCGGCGAGGAGGGCGAGGGCGACGTCGAGTTCGAGGAGGACAGCGGCGACTCGGACGGTGAGCTTGTGCTGTGGGAGTGTCTACCCTGTGCCTTGCCTGACCTCGCGTGCGCCCAGACGACGACCTGGACGACCTCTAGATGCGTCCTTCCGCCTCGTCTCTGTACCACAGGATGGTGTGGCCGCGCTTCGACAGACGTGCATCCGCGCTCTTCCCCTGTCACTACGCCTCTCTCGGCGGCCTTCTGCGCTTCCATGGCATCCCGTCTCGGCCTGTACATTCCTCACCACCAAAATGCGCTTCTGCCAGACCCCTCATGTCTGCGACGGTGGCGCGCTGTGAGCTGGGTCGCGCCGCCGACGCGCGTCCCTGAGAGATCTCCGCATGCGCTCAGCTGCAGGCGCCTCTGCTCGATGAAGCGCAGATGGAATGGAGCGGCGAGATCGGGACCCGCGCTGCGTCGGATCACCAGGCACGTCGCTCGGTCCGGCGAGTGGTAGCTTCATCTCTCTCTGACGTGCCCAGGCACGCTTGCGAGCTGAGCGGTGCCTGGAGCTAGCGGGAAGACAGGTCATCCCGTGCCGCACTCCCAGTGGCTGCACTCGTCTGTGCTGCCGAGTGCGTCTATGCGCCAAGGTGAAGCTCACAGCGCAGCGACGAGCACTCTGCGCGCGCGAGGGGGAGGGCTTTGCGTCATGCTGCACCCAGCTGCGAGATCCGCGGCCGCTGGATGGGCTGGCGGCTGCATGCTGCTGCCGATGCGCCCTTGGCACGGCTGCGGCACCGCACCCGGCACGAGCTCCGCCGTCGCAGCCAAGCTGCCTCCGCGCCGCGGTGGAACAGCCGCTGCGGCATCGGCCCCGGCGGAGCACCACAGCGCGCAGCAACGCAGAGGCAGGGCGTGCAGCAACGCAGCAGCAGGCATATCGGACAAGACGCCGATGCCGCGTCCACGTTCCACGCTGCGTCACGTCGCCGGCGGACTCGAAGACAGGCCAATCAGGAACGCTTCGCATCGCTCGGCACCGTGCCGCTTGCGTCCGTGTGTTGTCCCTCCCCTCTCCGTCGGCGCTGCCTCGAGCTCTCAGGAGCCCTGCCGGGCAGCCACCGCGCGAAAGTGCCTCTCAGGCACAGGGGCCCTGAGCGCTGGCCGATGATGTGAGCCCGAAATGGCCACCCTGCTCTCATCGCCGCGGCCCGAGGGGCCCTGATGGCGCACTAAACTTGTGCCTCTCCTCTCCTGCGCTGCACCTGATCTGCACCTGGCTGCGCTGCTGCGGAGCTCGGGTCGGGAGCGCTCATGATGGTTGCATGCGTCCTGCAAGCTGTGCTGCTGTTTTGCTGCTTGGCCTGCGTCTGCTGCTGGGAACAACAGCTGCGCGATGAGCACGGCTGCAGATCCGCCTGTCTTGCACGCTTCGCTGCACGCTGCATGCGCTGCACCTGCGCCTCGTGGGCTCGAGGTGCACTTCGCATGCGAGATCCGACGAGCGGTGACGCTGCACTCTCCATGCTGCTGCGCAGCGTGCAGCAAAGTGCTGGTGCTGCTGCGATGAGACGCGCGTGCGCTCTGGACGCTGACGCGCTCTGGGGCAGCAGCTCCTCCAGCGTCCAGGTCCAGCGCTGGCCCTCACGGGCACTCTCGCCGCCGCCTGCCGGCGCCATCTGTCCTTGCTGAGCAGAGCGCAACTCCGACGGCGGGATGGTACCGCGGCGGCGGTGCGGCGGCGGCACGTCTGCGTCGCGGCGGCGCGGCTTGCTCCTCGAGCTGCAAGGAGACGCCGGGCGGCGCGGCGCGCGTCTTCTGCGCGGCCGGCCGCCTGTGTGCCCCGCCTCTGCAGGATGCAGCTGCACCCGCTTAATGGCCTTCCACACCGGCCGCCTCGCTCCTCCTCACTCACTCGGCCCTATCACTCCCACCACATCACCACAGGCACCGCAGCACCGCCCCTGGCGCGACACGGCCGCTGCTCCCACCGCCTCGCCCGTCTGTCACCACCACTGCCGAGGGCGCGTCCGCGTCTCGCCGCCACGCCCCAGCTGCGCGTGCGCCCCGGCTTCGGGCAGCACTCCCACTGCGCCCGCGCCTGGCGCGCCCCGCGCCGGCCATGGCTGCCACCGCGTCCGAGCGGCCCGTCGAGGCCGTGCGGACGCGCTGGTCCAACTGGAAGAGCCGCCGCTCCATCGCCGGGCCCTCGAGCCCGTCGCAGGTCGACGAGGGCATGTGGGACAAGGTGAGCCGCCGCAGTGGCCGCCGCAGGCGTGGGACTGTGACGCTGACATGGCCTCGTGCGAAGAACGACGACGCCTTCCTCGAAGAGGTGGCGATCTTGGCTGCCAGCCCGTCGGCGTCGTCGCTGCAGCGCCTCGGCGCCTTTCCCTCGTCTGTCGGGCGCGACTCATTCTCGCACTCCGACACGCTCTACGAGGAGCCGCAGTTCCCAAAGGCGGTGCGCATGGGCTCCCTCTCCGGCTCTGTCGACACCTTCAGGGACCCCTTCGCGCGCTCGTCGCGTCAGCTGCTGGCGCCGCAGCTGCAGATCGACTGCGATGCGGCGGGCCTCAGCACGCCCAGTGACGGCAGCAGCGGCCGCTTCACCTTCTCGTCGCCCAGCTCGAGCCGCGATGAGAGCCAGTCGAGCAGCATGCGCGTCGCGCAGCACGGGAGGGACACGCGTTCGTCGCCGAAGAGCTCGCCTACTGCCGCGGCATTTAGCTTCAGAGCGCTGGACGAGTCACTCCTGACCCTCGACGCCGCCGAGGCCAGGGCGCGTGGCGATTATGGCGTCGACCCGCGCAGCGCGACAGAGCTCCGCGGCGACATGCTCTCGCCCGTCGGCGTGATGGAGGACGTGGGCCCCAGCGACGAGGTGTACCAGTCGCGGCGCAGCAGCGGCCTGGCGCCGGAGCTCGACGACCGCGGCTCGCAGGAAGTGCTGCAGAGCACCGACATGAGCAGAGACGACACGCGGCAGGGCCTCGGCATCGACACGCTGCGGGCGTATCAGCCGAACACGGCTGCACCTGTCCCCGCTCCTGCTCAGGAGCCGGCAGAGCAGGGCCTTGCCCGCTCTCACTCGAAGCGCGGGCTGCTCAGCAAGCGCACGCCTGCCATGAGCCCGCGCTCGCCAGAGAGCGAGGCGACGCTAGGCAGCGCCTTCGAGCCTGCGCCGCCGCGTCCGCCACGCTCGCGCGAGCAGTCGCTGCAGCATTGGGCTGCGCATTCTGCTGGCTGGACTGTCGAGCCTCACGCGCAGAGCCCGCGCACGCCCGAGACGGCGACGCGCCGCGGCAGCAAGAGCAGCGACACGACGCCACGCAAGAGTCCCGCGATCAAGAGCGGCTTCGTCTCTGGACTGCGCAAGCTCATGTCTGGCGGTGGCGCTAGCGCCGGCAGTCCAGGCAAGCGGAACACGCCGCGCCAGCGCGAATCGTCTGTCGCAAGCATCACGGCTACACCCGCTGCCGAGGAGGTGCAGATCGTCTCTGGCCCTCCTGGAGCGCGCGCCATGTACGAGCCGGTGCCTGTGCATCAGCTGCAGTCTCCCGCGCGACCGGCCACTGCGACTGCGTCGCCTGCCTTTGCCTTTGGCGCAGGCCAGCAAGCAACCGCGTCGGGCAGTGGCCCTGCCTCAGGCATGGTCTCGCGCTCTGCGAGTCTGCGCTCGTTCGGCGCCTCTTCGACTGCGAGCCACTCCATCGCTCCGCCGCGCCCGCCGCGGCCCGACGCTCCGCGCCATGTGCGGCAGCTCAGCAGCGGCGCAGGCGAGACGGAGCACCTTGCTTCTTCTGCCTCCTCGCACGAATCGCACAGAGGCACACGCACGCGCACAACGAGCATAGACAGCATGCGTGCGCGCGTCCTGATGCATTCGCGCGCCGGCGACCGTCTCAGTGGCGCAGGCTCGGTCGGGCCGGATGGCATGGGCAGGCGCAGCCGTACGTCCAGCCGCAGCAGTGTGATCGAGCACGTCGGACACGAGGAGGCACGCCGACGCAGCGGCCTGCAAGGGCCAGTGTTGCTCGGCTCAGCCAACAAGATCACGCGGCCGCATACGCGCGCAGGAGGCGCCTCGTCTGACCTTGTCGAACTGCTCGATGCCGCGTCCGGCGAGCCGCGCTTCGTCGAGCAGGCGCCGCTGCGCCCGCCGCGTGCCGGCGATGTGCGCCCGGGCAGCTCGCAGTCCGCCATGGCCTTCCTGGACAGCCCGAACGTCGCCTCGAACTTCAATCACGCCCACACACAGCGGTGGTCGACGCTGGGCAGTCCTGGCGGGCCGTCGTCTGGCATGTTCGCACGGCGCGGCAGCGAGACGTCGGCCAGATTCTCGCGGCGCGGCAGCGATGCCTCTTCTGTGGCCACGCCAGAGCCGTCGCCGCGCTACGCCTCGGGTGCGCGCGGCCTGCACGCGCACAGCCCCATCGGGCACATCGAGGAGCTGCGCGGGCCGGCGCTCGTGACGGCCTCGGTCGACGATCTGCGCTCTGGCGTGCTGTCTCCGTCGCCGCTTGCACCGCACGGGGCCGAATCGCTGGTGCGCTCCGGTAGCGCCCGGCGCAGCCGCCTCTCGTCTGCAGATGGACTGGCGAATCGGCCTGAGCGTCGCTCATTTGTCAATACGGGCTCAAAGCGCTGGTCTGGCCTGTTCGGTGGCAACGGCAGCCAGCGCAAGATCACCGCCTCTAACATCTCTCGCCCGACGTCGGTGTCTTCGTCTGCGCTCTCCGATGCAGCAGCAGACATGCTCGCCCGCCCGTTCGAGGACTCTTCGCCACGCTCCGCCAACTTCGGCGTCACGCCGGCGCAGCAGTACCCTGCGCGCGTTGCGAACCGCTCGAGCACTGCCACTTCGCGCGCCTCGAGCACACGCGGCACGGACAACACCGAAGACGAGTCGCGCGAGATGATGCCAAGCGACGAGCTGCGCGCCATCGTGAACCGCAACCGCTCCGGCTCCAGCGCCTCGACGCACTCGAGTGCCATGTCGCCGCCGCCGTGGGCGATGCCGATCTCGCCCGGTGTCGCTGCACGCCACTCGGTGGCGTCCCGCCGGCCATCGACCAGCGACGCCATCGGCTCTGCGTACCCCATGGCCAATGCGTACTACGCGCCCACCTACACGCCGCCGATCCACAGCAGCCTGAGCAGCGTCAGCGCCGACCGCTCGTGGGCGGCACGGCCAGCCAGCGCCAACGAGGCGCCGAACGCGAGCAGTTTGGGCCGTCGGCCGTCCGGCTTCGACGCCGCAGCCTTCGACGCCACCGCTGCGTTTGAGAGCATCCCGTCGCCGCATCCCGTACGGGGCGAGGACGATGCTGCGCCGCAGGACGTCGACGACGACGAGGACAGTGTGCTCGACGAGGACGCGGGCACCGGCTCCTCGCCCGCGCGCAGCCTCCGCGATGAGCGCCCGCACACGCCGCCGCAGCAGATCATGCGCTCCCGCAGCTCGCTCACGCCCTTCCAAGGCGGCCGCCCGCTGCCCACGGATGCGCCACGCTCGCCCGGCGCCGGCTTCGACGACCCGGAGGTCGAGCTGCTCGAAGACGACTGCGACGCAGCCGCGCCGCCGGCCGATGGCAGCGACGACCTGGACGGCGCGCGCATCGGCCTGACGACCATGCCGCTTGGCCGCTCGAGCGTGCTGGTGCGCAGCCGCAGCAACGAGGCGCTGCGTGGCGTCGCCGATGCCGTCTCGCGTGCGGCGGGCCAGGACTCTGGCATGCTCGGCGCCGGACGCTGCGACCGCCGCTCGTATGCGTACGTCTGACCTGCTCTACCACGACCTTCCCCTCCTAACGACCATCATGTATGACCATACCCCCTTTCCGCATCCTGCCCTGCATCTGCTGCCTCGCCGACCTGCCCCCTCGCGGACAATACAGGGCTGCTCCATCTCTGTGCCCAGCTGCGCGTGTGCTCGTGAGGACGGCATGCTTGCCCGTCTCGCCCGCCGCTTGCGCCGAAGCTTGGGGTCGAGCGAGCGCGGTGCTCCAGACGGCAGCCGGCGTGTGCTGTCTCCCGCGGCGGCGCTGCTGGGCGTTGCGCTGCCTGCGCACGCTCGTGCTGCTCTGCGGGGCAGCCAGCGCCGGCTATGGCGGGCGGAGCGGAGCCTGCGCGCATCGCAAGCCACCGCCGGCCGCCGTGCCGCGCGCGCGGCGCACGGCCGGCGACCCAGCGCGAGCTCGTCTGGCCAGGCTTCCATCTGCGCTGCTGCGACCTCGTCGCGCCTTCGCATCGGTGAGCGAGCTCACATCGAGCCGTTGCACCGCCAGCGCAGCAAACGAGGCTGAGACGCTGCATGCCGTGCGCGGTGCTGCGGGAAGACGAGGAAGAGGCAGCTGCAGAGGTCGCCGCGCGGGGCATGGCCGCCCTCCACATGGCGCCGCACACTGCTCCCGTGCCTTTCCCCCGGGTCAACGTCTGGCGCCATGGTGCAGGCGCTGGCCGCCTTGGCTTTCGTCACTCTGACTCGCTGCCGTCTGCACTGTGTGGGGACGCAGCCTGCAGGAGCGAAGACGAGCTCCATGCTCATGCGCCAACGCCAACGCACAGCGCCAAAGGTGCAGCGAGACAGCGGCCAGCCGTGGTCGCAGCAGGGCGCGGAGGCGGCGCTGCTGCCGTCGCTGCGTCTGTCGTGCCAGCATCGGCCGCCGGAGCGCCGCGCTCTCTGATGTCTCTGCGATGGCGGAGAGGCAGCTGCAGCGCTCGGCGCGGCGGAAGGCCTGCCTGCTCTGCTGCTGCTCAAGGGCGCAGAAGCCGTGGCTACGGCAGGCGGAGCTGCGGCATGCGGGCGTGCGGCGTCCGGCCAGCCGCACCGCGACCGCCGATGGCCGCCGAGACGCGCTGCGGCTGGCGTGCAGCTGCACGGCCGCTGCCGCCCCCACACTCGCGCGCTTCTTCTGATCGGAGCCGCAGCCGCCGTGCTGCGCTGCAGCGTGCGGGCAGCGTGCAGGAGAGCGAGCATCTCATGGCACACGCCGAGCGCCTCGGCGTCTGCGGCTCTTCGTCTTGGTGCCGCCGCCTCCGCAGTCCGTGCGCCGTGCCTGCCCCGAGACGAGGTGCTGCGGTGGCTCGTGGCCTGCCTGCTGCTGCCGCCGTCGCCGAGCTCGACGAGAGTCGGCGACCGCCGCCGCTCCCGCTGGCAGCCTCATAAAGCAGCCTCTGCCCCGCTCCACTTCCGCTCCCGCCTACACACCCGCTTCCTCACTACCACCACACCACTGCATACCACCGGGCGCATCTTCACGCTCCCGACTCACACACACACACCTGCTGCCAGCTACACCCACTTCTCGCGCACACCCCGCCAAGCTTCCACCCTCACCCCACCTCGCGCAAGATGGCAGAGTACGCCGACTCGCCCGTCTACGACATCCCGTCGCGCATCACCGGCAAGGGCCAGCCCAAGCCGTGGGTCGACAACGCGACGTACGAGAAGGACCACGCCGCCTCGATCAAGGACACCGACGGCTTCTGGGGCAAGGTGAGCAGCCGTGCGCGGTCCTGTGTGCTTCCTGGCTTCTGCTCTGGCTGCGCTGGCTACTGGGCGATGTCCTCCTGCTGCTCGGCCTCGTCTCGAGCCGCCCGCATGTGTGCTCTCAGCAGCATGTGACGTGCTCGAAGATGGGTGCCTTGGGCCGCGGCAGCGTCGGCGACCGACGCGCGCCGCGCGCGCAAAAAGGCCGGCCGCGAGTGCTCCGCGCGCGCGGCTTGGCCGCGACTGCCGCGCGCGCATACATCCCGCTCGGCACCCCGGCGTCTCATGACGCTCTGCCCGCTCCACCCGGCGCGCTTCTGCCACCTGCTCGTGCTCCTACCCGCATTCTTCCTCATCATGTAGCTTCTTTGTGTCCATGCTGCGGGCAGTGGGCCCGTGCGCGCAATTGCGCGCTGAGCAGCACCTCCTTGCCGCGCGCGCGCTTCTCCTGTCCGCTTGCCCTGCTCTACACCTAGCATCAGCAACTGATCGCCTCACCCCACGCGCAGCTCGCCAACGAGACCATCTCTTGGGATGTGCCCTTCAAGACCGTCCGCTCCGGCGGCTTCGAGGCCGGCGACATGGCCTGGTTCCCCGAGGGCCAGCTGAACGCCTCGTACAACTGCGTCGACCGCTGGGCCTTCAAGAACCCCGACAAGGTGAGTTGCGCGCGAGGCAGAGGGACTAGCACCTTTGCGCGTCGTTTGCGCGCGCCGATGCTCACACCCCTCGCCCGCAGGTCGCCATCATCTACGAGGCCGACGAGCCCGGACAGGCCAAGGAGATCACATACAAGGAGCTCCTCGCGCAGGTCTGCCAGCTCGCCAACGCGCTCAAGAAGATGGGCGTGCGCAAGGGCGACACGGTCATCGTGTACCTGCCGATGATCCCCGAGGCCGTCGTGGCGCTGCTGGCATGCGCGCGCATCGGCGCCGTGCACTCCGTCGTCTTCGCCGGCTTCTCGGCCGACTCGCTGCGCGACCGCACCGTCGACTGCGAGGCGCGCGTCGTCATCACGACGGACGAGGGCAAGCGCGGCGGCCGCACGATTGCGACCAAGTCCATCGTCGATGCCGCGCTCAAGGAGTGCCCCAAGGTCGAGCACTGCGTCGTCGTGCAGCGCACGGGCAACAAGGAGGTCGGCATGACGGAGAAGCGCGACCAGTGGTTCCACGACATCTGCAAGCGCGAGCGCCCGTACTGCCCGCCGACGCCCGTCTCGTCCGAGGACCCGCTCTTCATCCTGTACACGTCCGGCTCGACGGGCAAGCCGAAGGGCGTCGTGCACACGACGGCCGGCTACCTGCTCGGCACGGCGCTGACGGTCAAGCACGTGTTCGACGTGCACGAGAACGACCGCTTCGCCTGCATGGCCGACGTCGGCTGGATCACGGGCCACTCGTACATCGTCTACGGCCCGCTCATGAACGGCGTCACGACGCTCGTGTTTGAGAGCACGCCCGTGTACCCGACCGCGAGCCGCTACTGGGAGGTCGTGGCGCAGCACAAGCTCACGCAGTTCTACACGGCGCCGACGTCGATCCGCCTGCTGCGCCGCATGGGCGAGGAGCACGTCAAGGGCCACGACCTCAGCACGCTCCGCACGCTCGGCTCCGTCGGCGAGCCGATCAACCCGGAGGCCTGGGACTGGTACAACGAGAACGTCGGCAAGAAGGAGTGCGCCATCGTCGACACGTACTGGCAGACGTGAGTAGTGTGTGGGATGTGTGAGAAGCCTGAGGCTGACATGCGCTCCCAGCGAGACGGGCTCGATCATGATCACGCCGCTGCCCGGCGCGACCAAGACGAAGCCGGGCTCGGCGACGCGCCCCTTCTGGGGTGTCGAGCCCGTGCTGCTCGACCCGACGTCGGGCGAGGAGCTCAAGGGCAACGAGGTCGAGGGCGTGCTGGCCTTCCGCCAGCCGTGGCCGGCGATGGCCCGCACCATCTTCAACGACCACGACCGCTTCCTCGAGACGTACATGAAGCCGTACAAGGGCTTCTACTTCACCGGCGACGGCGCCGCGCGCGACAAGGACGGCTACATCTGGATCAAGGGCCGTGTCGACGACGTCATCAACGTCTCGGGCCACCGTCTCTCGACGGCCGAGGTGGAGAGCGCGCTCATCCAGCACCCCGGCGTCGCCGAGACGGCCGTCGTGGGTGTACCCGACGAGATGACGGGTCAGACGATTGCCGCGTACGTGACGCTGAAGCCCAACTTCAACTACGAGTCCGAGGAGGCGCTCGGCAAGGAGCTCGTGGTGCAGGTGCGCAAGCACATCGGCCCCTTTGCCGCGCCCAAGCGCATCGTCATCCTCACGGACACGGACCTGCCGAAGACGCGCTCGGGCAAGATCATGCGGCGGCTGCTGCGCAAGATTGCGTCGGGCGAGGGCGACCAGCTCGGCGACCTCTCGTCGCTCAACGACCCCAGCTGCATCGACAAGATCAAGGAGAAGTTTGCCGCTGGCGCCAAGAAGTAGGCTGCCTCACGCTCGCTCCATCCCACACGCTTCCCTTGTTCCCGCCCGCTGCTGTGTCCAGCCTCGCTTCTCCTGCCTCGTCTCATTGTCCGCGAATATGAACCTTTGACACTGCCGCGAGCGAAGCCTCGGGACGGGGTCGTGGCGGGTTGCACGTGGCGCAGCAGGGTCCCGCGCGCGTCCCGTGCGAACGTGGCGCCCTCCGCCGGTGTGGCTGCTCCCGCCGAGGCTGCTGCCGCTCCCTCAGAGCGTGACATTTCACGTTTGGCAAGCAGCGAGCAAGCTATTCTTCGCTTTTCGAGCAGATCTCGCTGCATCAGATATAGCTCGCCGGCCACTTTGTGCCTACCAGGCACCGGTGACGCGGCGTGGCGGTCATGGCGAGAAAGAAGCACACCGCCAGCCGCGCCAGCAGCACGGCACCGCCAGCAGCCAGGCACGCGCGGGGCGGCGCGCGTCGCGGGGTGCTGCACCGCCTGCGCTCTGGCGACCTGCCGCTGTGCGGTCGCTGCTCCGCCTCGCCGCCTGCGGCTTGTGCTGGCTGCTGGGCTAGGGGCGTGCGCGACGTGGCGCCCAGCACCGCCGCGCCGGCCTTCCCTCTCCCCGCATCACCAGCACCACGCCTCTTTCTTCTCTTCCTCTCCCTTCCGTCTCTCTCCTCGCCGCGGCGCACACACCTCCCGGCCTGGCTGCCGCCGTCTGAGCCAGCATCGTTGTTCCCCGGCGGACAGCGGCCCGCTGGCGCACCCCGCACAACTCACCGCCTCGCATCCACCACACTCCCTTGCCCCATGGCCGCCGCCCTCTCGCCGGCGCTCAAGGCCGCCTTTGAAGCTGCGTCGCTGCCGGGAGATGCAGCGCCCCCGCGTGCGCTTCATGTAGTGCCGCAGGCGCGCGGCGCCCTCGAGCTCGAAGCGCAGCTGCCGCCGGCCGCCGGCAAGACGGACCGCGAGGAGTGGGATGGCACGCTGAAGCAGGTGAGTGTTGCGAAGCAGTGGCAGCGGATCGGGACTTTGGAGCGCGGAGGTATCTCTTGCGCCTCTCGGTCGTGTGGCCGCACCCCGGCCTCGCCTCGCATGGCCGGACATCGCCCTCGCTTCGCGTTGTTGCACCTACGCCTTGCTCTGCATTCTGAAACAGCCGCTGATGTCGTTCGCACCAGATCTTCTCGGCGGCGCCGACGACGCCGGCCTACGTGCTCTGGCGCCTCGACACGTGCTCCTCAGCTGGTCTGTACGAGTGGCTGCTCGTGGCCTTCCGCCCGGCCGGCGCGCCCGTGCGCCAACGCCTCCTCTACCCGACGACGCTTGAGGGCATCCAGTCGGGCCTGGGCGAGTGGAACTTCCTCGACATCGTCTACGTGAGTAAGCGCGGGTGTCGAGGCGCTCCTGGCACGCAGCTCACCACGCTTGTGCGCAGGGCTCGTCGCCGACCGACTTCACGTACCCGACGCGTCTGCGCAACGCCCGCAAGCACGACTATCGTGCGTGCCTCTCTGCATCTCGCTGCCGCTGTGAGCGCGACTGACGCGCGTGTACACTCTGCAGAGAACCCTCAGGTACGCATCCAGGCGCCCGCTTCCGAGGCCGCTGGAGCAAGTGTGGGCGGCGCCCGCCGCGCCTTTGCGCCCATCGTCGGCGGCGCGATCAAGTCCGCCGGCTCGGCTCAGCCAAAGGCGCCCTCTCCCGAGCCGCGTGCTGCGGTAGCGCCCGCAAAGGCGCCGGTCGCTGCTGCCGTGCCCGAGCAGAAGGCTGCGGCGCCTGTAGCCGAGGCCAGCCCGCTGCCCAAGGACGAGCCGGCGCCTGCGCCGTCTCTTCCTGAGCCCGTGGCCGAGCCCGAGGTCGCGTCTGCGCCGCTGGCGGCTCCCGAGCCGGAAGCGACTGAGGAGCACGGCGAGGCGTTTGGCGCCGTGGAGCAGGTGAAGCCGCCTTCCGAGAAGGAGATCGCGGAGGTCATCGCCGCTCCCGCACCCACGCCTCTGCCGCCTCTGCCAGCGGACGCGCCCTTGCCGCCGGCACCGCAGGTGGAGGAGCCGCAGCCGGAGCTCGACGCCAGCGAGAGCACGGCGGCCGAGGTTCCGGCAGAAGTGCTCGAGGTGCCGCCGCCGCTGCCCGCAGACGCGCCTCTGCCGCCTGCGCCAAGCGCGTCGGACGAGCCTGCGCCGAGCGCCGAGGAGACGCAGCACGCTCTGGAGCCACTGCAGGACGCGGAAGAGCCGGCAGCTGCCGACGCCGAGGTCGCGCCGCCTCTCCCGGTGGACGCGCCGCTACCGCCGGCGCCGCTGCCGACGGATGAGGACGCGCCCGACGCGGAGGAGGCGCAGCGCGCTCTCGAGCCGATGCAGGGTGTCGAGTCGACCTTGGACGCCGCTCCTGATGCTGCCGCTTCGCATCCAGATGAGGCGGAGCAGCAGAACGCGCCGGAGTCGAGCGACGCCGCTGTGCCGCTCGTAATCGCCGACGCCTCTGCCAACGGCAGCGACGCCCAGGCACCCGCGTCTCCGGCGACGGGCGGCGCTCCGCGTGGCGGTGCCGATGCGCGCAAAAAGTGGGCCTCTGCGGCATCTCGCCGCTGGGAGGTCGCTGGTGCGGGCAAGCGCTAGGCTGCGGCGGCGGATGTGCATGCACTGCCTGACAGGTGGAGATACATCGCAGAAGGCTGCGGGGGGTGAGGAAGCCACGCCGGCGCGGCTTAGTACAGCGCAGGAGGCACCCCCGCACGCCCCGGTGGGGCCTCTTGTAGAATACTAGGCCACCCTGGCGAGGCTCCCGCACCCTCCGCACGCCCCATGCATGTATCTCCCTCCTCCAGCAACCTCTGCTGGAGCGCTGTTGGCACCTGTCTGCACGTACCCTGCCGGCCGCGTCCGAGAGTCCCGTTGCTGTCCCTCGCGGGACAGCACGGACTCGAGGATGCGCGCTCTCCCGCCCGTGCAATGCGAAGACGTTCTCTGTGCTCCGTGACGCGGCCACCAGGACCGCTGATGAATCTGTGCTGACCGGCGCCTCTCACTCCCACAGGATGCCTCGTCATCGCCCCTGGGCAGCCCTCGGTCTATCGCCTCGGAGTCTCCTGCCGCTCAGGCCTTGCAAATAGGCTCGCCTGCCCTGCCGGTACCGCGGTCGCCTCCCGCGGCAGACGTGTTCGGCGACGCAGACCACCAGCTCCGTGAGTCGAGCGGCCCTGAGCACATCGTGGCGAGCTTCTGACATCCGTGATCTGTGCCACCAGCCGAGGCGTCTGGCAGCAATTTGTCGTCCAGTGCGGCGTCCGGCGGCGTCAGCATCGCCCAGCTGCGCCAGTCAATACGGCAGAGCAGCGAGATCCACAGCTTGTCGGGCTCTCTGGGTGCCTCACGGGGTCCCAAGACGCCTCGGAGCCCCACTGCCGACGCCGACGAGTTCGGCGCGCTGACATCGGCAGACGTCGGCGACGAGCTCAATCCGACGAAGCGCGTGTCGGTGCTCGACTTTCTGAACGCCGAGCCTCGGGTCGAGGTGCGAAGCTCGCCGAGCCGGAGCGTCGCGCCGCGTGCATCGCAAGAACCACAAGGGACGGGCGTCGCGGCGTCGCCTTCTGTAGGCACATCTTCTTCTCCGAACGGAGCGACAGACGCTGCGCAGCCGAGGCCACGCCCCCCGCCAATCTCGGCACAAGCCGGCAACCGCATGTCGACGCTCTTGCCTCGCGAGCCGACGACCGCTCCGCTGCCCTCAACGAGTCCGTCACTCGCCGGCACATCGCGCTTTGCCGCCGCGTCGCCGCGGATAGACGGGCCGCTATCCGCATTTGAGTTCTTGCAGGGAGAGCCCCGGGGCAACGTCCGGCCCCTGGACGGTCCTGCGTCTGCCACGCCCGGCCCATCGTCGAAGCGACGCCCGTCGAGCTATGCGCCGTCCGAGCGCAAGCTCAAGGTGCGCGTCACGCCGGTCAGCGACCAGGTGACCATGTTCGGCTCCACTCAGACATCCTCAAACTACTCGATCTCCGGCACGGTCATCATCACGATCGCGCCGCGTGAGATTCCCGCCTTTGCGAGCAGCACTGGTGCGCAGGGCACGCCGACTCGCAGCGAGATGCGGCGCGCCACTACGCCAGCCTCGCCATCCGACCCGTCGATGTCGCCCACGACGCCGCGCTTCCGCCCGGAGCCATTGGGCAAGTCCGCCAGCGACACCGAGCAGCCGCCCTCGCCTCTGGTCAGGCGGACAAGCGTCGCATCGCCGCGAGGTAGGCCCATGTCGCCGAGAAGCAGCGCTGGCCTGGCGACACCAGGAGGGCGTCCGCTCTCCACGGACTTCTCACACATGCTGCCTGCGCTGGACTTTGGCCTCGGACCGAGCTACTGGGACGCTGATGGCATGTCACGGCGACCGAGCGGAGGCGTAGCGCTGGACGACGCAGCCGTAGCGACCTCAAGCGCAGCGAAGACCGAGCAGGCCGTGCCAGAGGTGCTCGTACATGCTAGCTCACCGAGCGCGGCTCGCAGACCGCGGCCCAAGGCTCCGGTGCCCGACAGCGAGCGCGAGAAGCAAGACGAGCTGAAGGTGACCTCGTTGAAGGTCGCTTTCTCAGGCTACTCGTTCTACGCAGACCATGCTGGGCGCTTCTCAGCTGTCCGCCTGGTGAGCATCGTTGTCAGCGGGTCATTGCGTGTGCTGACCCCCTCGCCAGGCCGAAGTGGTGCAGGAGCTGCTGCCGACCGGATCGAACCTCCCAATCTCGGGCGTCGTCCAGCCGCACACGCCGCTGAAGTACGACATCCAGTTTGACCTCTCGATCCCCGGCTGGCTGCCCGCGACGTCTTGGACGAAGTTCGGCGGCACCTTCTACTGCGTGCACGCCGAGGCGCGCTACCTCGAGACCGACGGACGGGCGCATCGCACAATCTCGACACTGCTCAGCTCGCCGCACCGCGCCAGTGCGCCGAGCGGGCTTAGAGTCGCGCCAGATGCGGGGCTGCCTCACATCAACGGAGCTGAGCCCTCCTCGCCTCGTCCTTCTGGACTGGCCCAGCAGCGGCCGTCGGGCTCTAGGCCGTCCGCGAGCCCGTCGCCCGCACGACTCTCGGTCAGCGAGCGTCGCGACAACGCGTCGTCCGGGACCGAGGGCGACTCAGCGGCCGAGGCTGGCCCCTCAAACGGTCCAGCACGCAGCGGAGGAAGCTGGCTGGGCAAGCGTGCCCGCCAGCTGCAGTTCCGCAAGAGCACGGCAGTACCGCCGAGTCCGGTGACTCCGACCACGCCAAGCATGCTCTTCGGCACGCCCGAGAACCCCGTCGAGCCGGTTCGCCCGCCCATGACCTCTCGAAGACGCCGAAGGCGCGCTCCTGAGATCGAGCCGAACGACGGCTCGCTGAAGGCACGAAGCCGCACGTCGGTCATCATCGTCAGGCGATGCCGCGACGTTGTGCCAGTGCCAGTGGCGCGGCTCGCCATCGTCGGTCCGGAAGGGTTGCCGTCTGTGCCTCAAGATCCGCCGAACTGGGTGCCCAGTGCTCGTCCCGACTCGGCAGAGAGAGCCAACGAGCAGGTGCCTGCGTCACCGAGCGCGACTCTTGCCAGTCCTGCTAGAGCTACGCCGGCGGCGCCTGGCATCGAAGGCAGTCCGAGACCGGGAGTTGCCTCGGCGATCCCCGCTTCGCAGCTTCAAACAGCGCTCAGCGAGGCGTCAGCAGGCGCGCGACCTGCACGTCTGCTCACGCCGCTCGACTCCCCTCGGCCGCGTCTCACTCCGCGAGTCTCGACCGAGGCGCTCAACGAGAGCGCATTGGCGAGCATGTTGCCTCTCGCGCCTAGCACGCTCGATGCGCCCAGCGACCCTGCCAAGTTCGCGGCCTTTGCGCGAGCGCCTGCGACGCCAGTGCGCGGCTCGAGTGCTGTGGGCAATCGCAGCCCTGGCAACACTCCCAGCGGAGATGCGAGGCAAAGTCGCGGTAGCTCTTCGAGAACCTCGAGCTCGAACAACGCCATGCGGCACTTCCTCCATCGTCCCGTCTTGCATCCGCCTTTCGACTCTGGCATCGCACCGGGCGACTGCGACACCAGCGATGGCGGCCTGTCGTTTTCCCTCACGCTGTCGCTGCCGTCGCACGTGCAGGTCGGCGGGCCGAAGGCCGACATGCTGAGCTTCGGCGTGCAGATTGAGGTCGGCCGCTCGCTCGGCTGGTCCAAGGTGCGCGGGATGGGCGGTCTCCGTCTGCGCGACATGGACCTTGTCTGCGTGCAGCAGGAGCGCCACTGGTGAGTCGCGATCTGAGGCTGTTGCACCTTCAGTGCCGGCATCTGACACCTTCCTCCAGTTCGATTCCTTCGCGCACCTTCTGCAACGCCTTTCCGCTGCCGACAGAACCCGCCGTCGATGCTCAGGACCTGCCGGATCTCATCGGACAGACGTCCATGCGTGAAGAAGCAACCATGACGTCGGACGAGCTCAAGAAGCGGAACGGCTACGACCACCAGCTCGTGCTGAACCACGTCAATCTCACAAAGGCAGGTCAGGCGCCCGACGCTGACATGAACGCCGTCGAGCGCCTGCGCACGGCGATCGTCGGGCCGCCGCCGACGGCCAAAGAAGCGCAAGGCGAGGCGAAGGGCAAAGGCAAGGGCAAGGACAAGTCGATGAGCAGGACGCCGACTCGCAGCGTGCAAGGGCCCTCTCTTGCCGAAGCAGAGCGCCGAGCTCGTCGCATGCAAATGGAGCGGTCGCGAGCGCAGGCCGCGTCGGCCGCTCGCTCTGGCCCATCCGGCTCGCGCCTCGCTTCGACCGTGACCATCATGGAGCCTCCCTCGCCAAACCCGTTCGCACCCAGCGTGGCCGACGAGGCCAACGCGGAGGGCACCACGCCCGGAGGGCGCCGCGTTGGCCGTGGACGGCGCGCATACGAGACGGCCATGCGCGGCCTCTCGACCTTTGCCAACGCGCTCGCCGAGATGAGCATCGACGGCGACGTCGACTTCAACAACACGGGCGCGCCGCTGCCGAGCGACCTGCGCCGCGCTGCAGCCGCCAAGGACGTGCTCGACGACGACTCCGATGGCCCTCGAGCAACGTACCACTTCGCAGGCGACGACGGCCACGGCGTTGATCTGACGCGCGGCAGAGTGCGCATGACGATCAACCTGCCACTCACGCCCGCCTCGGCGACTGTCGCACGGCAGCACAATGTGCCGCGCCTCGTCGCCGACTTCGAGTCGCCGTACGTGCGCATCAAGCACAAGCTGCGCGTCAAGCTCGGCTTTGGCTTCGGCTCGAAGCCGCTCGGTGGCGACAATGACTGGGGTCAGGTGAGCATTACCACGAGCGGCAGCGCGTCGCGACTCCAACTGACATTTCCTTCAGGCGCTCGTGCTGCAGGTGCCCGTGCGCTTCACCGAGGCTGCTCCGAAGGACGTGCGCGAGCAGTTCGCTCCGATGAACCTCGCGACCGTCGCAGCGGGTCCCTCTGGCGCCCTGGCCATGCCGCTGCCGACGATCCAGCAGGACAGTCACTCGGCGCCTGTGCTGCCGGCATACGCCCAGCTCTTCCGCGAGGATGGCTCGCGCCTGGCCGACGAGGGCGAGGACCTGCCGCAGTACCCAGGACCCGCAGCGGCTATGGCAGCGGCTGCGCGAGGTGCTGTCTCGGCAGGCAGCCCGCGTCTCGGCGGAAGCGTGTCACGCTCGCGCGCGTCTTCCATCACTGGGCGTCCGGCCTCCGGCGTCGCAGCAGGCGGGCCGCTCTCCAATCACGTCCTGCCGAGCAGCATCTACGACGAGGCGCCCGACGCAGGCTCGCCGGAGGCGGCCGAGCGCGACCAGGAGCGCGAGCTGCAGGAACTGCGCTCCGAGGCCGAGATGCTCGCCGTGCACGTCGACGACGCCTCGTCCGAGGACGAGGACATGCTGCGCCCCAGCGCCCTGCAGCGCTCGCGGCTGGACGAGACGATCAACGCAAGCGATCTGGAGGAGGAGGAGCACGGCGCGCTGATGCACAGCAGCAGCGACCACGGAACCCACTCGCCGCTGCCGCACGGCGGCGACAGCACCACGGACACCAGTAGGCGCGGCAGCGTGGCCACGGGCCTCGACAGCGCGCACGGCTCGTCGTCGCCGGCGCCCAGAGCCTCGCAGGACAGCGCTCGGTCGTGAAAGCAATGGCAGTGATGCAGCAGTGACATACTCGTGAGATTACAGAGAGAAGACAGACACAGGCTCGCGGGCAGGGCACGATCACCGGCTCCACTGCGACTTGCCGCCGCGCTGGGACGGCCCATTGCGGCGGTACACCTCGGCGCCCGGCTTGCCGTTGGCGGGCTTCTGCTTCTTGTAGCTCCGCCGGTCGACAGACTTGTTCTGGCTGCGCGCGCCCTGCTGCTCATCGCCCTCCTCCTCGCCCACCGGCACGTCCTCGTCGTCCTCGTCGGCGTCCACCTCGGCGCCGGCGCCCTTGCGCTTGCGCCCCTCGGCCGCGCTGTTGCCCGACTTGAGCCCGGCGCCGATGGCAATGTTGACCTTGGGCGGCACGGAGAAGCCAAACGCCTTGGCCACCTTTGCCAGGTCGAGCGCGTGGATGTCGAAGATGCGCTTGAGCGAGTAGGAGCCGTACGCCTGCAGGTACGAGCGGTAGCCGTCGCGCGCCGACTGGTGCAGGTAGTAGTTCTTGCTGATGAGCTTCTCCAGCTGGCCCTGCACGTTTGCGATCTTGTTTGCCGGGAAGCTGTACTCGTTCAGCGGCACCTTAGCCACCTTGAGGAAGCGCAGGAAGCCCAGCTCCGACGGCAGCAGGAACAGTAGCGACTTGCCGTCCTTGCCGGCACGCGCCGTACGTCCGACGCGGTGGATGTAGTCGCGCGGGTCGTCCGGCGGGTCAAACTGGATGATCCAGTCGACCTTGGGGATGTCGAGCCCTCGTGCGGCCACGTCGGTGCACAGCAGGATGCCCGACGGCGCGTTGCAGAACTCGAAGAAGGTCGATGTCCGCTTCTGCTGCTTCTGCTTGCCCTGTGAGATGGATGCGTGAGCCGCGTAGGTCAGAGCTGAGCAGATTCCTGCACTCACGTGCAGGTCCAGCACCGGCACGTCGATGTAGTTCAGCAGCTCGCCGTGGTACTTGACGCCGTTACAGCTGCTCATGAAGACAATGATCTTCTTCCCGCGGTTGCGCTTCAGGAACGTAAAGAGCAGCAGAAAGCGCCGATCTGAGTCGCACACGACGTAGCCCTGCTCCAGGCGCGCCACCGTCGAGGCGCGCAGGTCGGCGTGCACGTTGATGTACAGCGGACCGGGGCGCAGCGAGATGCGTGCAAGATCCTGCACCTTGGTCGTCTGCGTTGCGGAGAAGAGCATCGTTTGCCGGTTCTCTACGAGCGAAGGGGTGAGCGATGCGCGCTAGCAGCGTGGTGCCGGCACGCACCTGGCAGCAGCTTGATGATCTGGCGCATCTCGTCCTCGAAACCGATCTCGAGAATGCGGTCAGCCTCGTCAATGCAGAGCGTCTTCAAGTTGCTGAAGACGAATGCGGGAGTGTTCTGCAGAGCATGTTCAGCGGCAGCCTATGGCACGGCACACTTCTTTGCTCACCTGCAGGTGGTCCAGAAGGCGGCCCGGCGTGGCAACGATCAGGTTCACGCCCTTGCCGAGCTTGTCCGCCTCGGCCTTGCGGTTGGCACCTCCCATGAGGATGCCAAATGTCTGGTGGTGGCCGCCCTGCGTCATGACGTCCTTAGCGACGCCGAAGATCTGCAGCGCCAGCTCGCGCGTGGGCGAGACAATGATGGCGCCGGTGCCGTTGCGCGGCTTGAACTTGAGGCGCGCGAGCATGTCGATAATCGGCAGCAGGAAGGCGAGCGTCTTGCCCGAGCCCGTCTGTGCAGCGCCGAGCACGTCCTTGGCGGCGAGCAGCGGCGGGATGCAGCGCGCCTGCACCTCGGTCGGCTTGGCCAGGCCCATGGCGGCGAGCGCCTTGAGCGTCGGCGGCGAGAGGTCGAGCTCGGCAAAGGACTGCGCCACGGGCGCCGACGGCAGGCCGGCGATGGCGGCGCTGCTCGACGCCGACGCCGGCGCGGCGGCATCGCCCGAGAGGCCCTCTGCGAGCGACACATCGGTGGCGAGCGTGCGAGCGAGCTGTGCCTCGGCGCTGTCCGGCGGCGGCGTAGCGTCGACGGCGCGCGACGAGGAGGCGGACGCCATGGCGGGCCGCGGGCTGCCTGTGCGGCGACTGCGAGGCGGTGTGGGTGGAGTGCGATGTGCCTGTGGCAATAGCGAGGCGCGGCTGAGAGTGAGCGTGCGGATGTGCGGGTGGTGTGGGAGGAAGGAGCGCTCCACAGCTGCTGCGAGACGGGAGGCGGCGGCGGCGCGCGGCAGCTCCCAGCACGGCAGCACGGCACCCGGGCGAGGGCCAAATTCTGGCTCACTTTTTGTGCTTAGTCAGCAGCTTGGCTGTGCCGTGCCCGCTTCTTCCTCCGCCCAGCAGCGCCGCTCTCCACCCCTCCTGCCCGACCACGTCTCCTCTCTCGCAGCATGCCCTCGTCGTCGGGACCTGCCGCCGCTGCGCCTGCGCCCAAGCGCCCGCGCAAGTCGGCCGCCGCCGCGACGCCCCAGGCCTCGTCCTCGGCCGCGCCGCCACGCCGCCGCCGCGCGCCGCTCTTCACGCCCTTCCGGGCGCTGGGCTACGTCTGCAACGCCGTGCCGGCGCAGCTGCAGGTCAAGAGCGGCGGCAAGGATGCGCGTGCCGCCGACGTCAGCATCCTCACGTCGCTCGGCACGTCGTGGGCGCTGTGGGACGCCGCACGCACCACGCTCCTCTTCGTCGGCGCAGCCACGCCCGTGCCCATCGTCGACCTGGCGCTTGCCGAGGGCAAGACGCCGTTCCTCGCCGCCGCCGGCTCGGCCGTGTACGCCTACGAGCGCAGCCGCATCGCGCATGTCTTTGACGCTACCGACGACGCCGGCACGCTGCACCAGCTGGCGTCGATCCTCGTCTTTGGCGACGCGCTCGTGGCCCTCTCCGCCGCCGGCTCGCACCTCTTCCACTGGTCCATCTCGACGCAGAGCATGCTCTCCTGTCTGCAGCTGCCGGCCGACTTCGCAGCATCTGTCGCGCTCCACCCGGCGGCGTACGTCGACAAGGTGCTGCTCGGCTCGGCCGAGGGCGGGCTGGCACTCTACAACATCCGCACCTCGTCGCTCCTCCACGCCTTCCCCGCGGCGTCGCTGCGCCTCGCTGCTGGCGCCAAGGGTGATGCTGCGCTTGTGGACCTCTGCCAGAGCCCTGCGCTCGACATTGTGGGCATGGCGTGGGCCGATGGTCACGTGCTCGTGCACGACATCCGGCACGACGAGCCGCTGCTCGCGCTGTCGGTCGACGGCAGTCTGGCGCGCGGCTGCCTGGCCTTCCGCTCGGACGGCTCGGCGCACACGCTTGCCGTGGGCAGCACGGCCGGCGACATCTCGCTCTTTGATCTCGCTGCTGCGCCGCCAGCAGCGGCAGCGGGCCTTGCACGCCCGTGCCCGCTGACGCACACGCTGCGCGCCGCTCACGCCGGCGCCATCTCGTCGCTGCGCTTCGTGCCGAGCAACCCGCTGCTCATCTCCTCGGGCGCGGACAATGCCGTGCGCCAGTGGTTCTTCGAGCCCATCGCTGCGCCCAGCATCGCCCCTGGCGCGTCAGTGCCCACGGCGAGCGTGCCGCGCCTGCTCAAGAGCCGAGAGGGTCATGCGGCGCCGCCGACGCTGGCGCGCTACTACGGCGATGATGGTCGTGCCATTCTCTCTAGCGGAGAGGACCGCAGCGTGCGGTTGCTCAGTGTCGTGCGGGATAGCAGGAGTGCAGAGATGAGCCAAGGTGCGTCTGCATGCTCTGTCAGCGTGGCTATTGTGTCTGACATCTCTCCGCGCAGGCGCCATTCTCTCGCGCGCTGCTCACCTCGCTGTGGCGCCGCACACGCTCAAGCTGCCCAGCGCCACGTCCTTGTCGTTCAGCACCACTCGCTCGCGCGACTGGGACGATGTGCTCTCGACGCACGCCGGCGTGCGGGCTGCACACACCTGGTCAGCGCGAGACCGGCGCATGGGCAGCAAGCCCTTCTCCACCGAGAAGGCAGAGGCCACGGCGTGCTGCGTCTCGGCATGCGGCAACTTCGGCCTGGTGGGCGACGCGCAGGGCATCGTGCGTGCCTTCAACATGCAGAGCGGCATGCTGCGGCGCACGTACGCCGCGACGTCGCCGCTTGGCATGCAGAAGGGCAAGAAGCCGGCAGCCAAGCGTGGCTCGGGCTCGCCGGTGACGGGCGTCGTGAGCGACTCGCTGAACAGCCTCGTGGCGGTGTCGACGCTCGACGGCCAGCTCTCGGTGTACGACTTCCACACGGCCGAGCTGCTGGACGTTCTGAAGCTCGACAGCCCTATCGCCTCGCTGGCACTCGACCGCACCACGACTCTGCTGGCCACCACACACGACGACTTGACGCTGCGCCTCATCGACCTCTCGACACGGCGCATTGTTCGTCAATTTGCCGCGTTCCGCGCCCGCATCCTCGACCTTACCTTCTCACCGGACGGCCGCTGGCTGATCGTCAGCAGTCTCGACGGCGTCGTGCGGACGTACGATGTGCCGTCCGCGCGACTCATCGATGCCTTCCGGCCACGACGCGTCGCGACCAGCGTCTCATTCAGCCCCTCGAGCGACTTCCTGGCTACGACACATGTCGGCGAGCTGGGCGTTTACCTCTGGGCGAACCGCGCGCAGTTCTCAGCTACGGCCGTGCGCGGCATGGAGGAGGACGAGGTGTGGGAGGCAGAGGCCGAGGGCCCCGTTGCGCTGCCTGACATGCGCGGCGAGGACGAGGACGGCGAAGACGACGGCCCGACCGAGCTGGGAGAGGACGAAGAGGGCGATGCGATCCGCCGCGTGTACACCAGCCCGCCGCAGATGGAGGGCGCGCAGGAGGGTGCACTCGTGACGCTGACGACGATGCCGCGCACGCGCTGGATGACGCTGCTCAATCTCGACACGATCAAGCGGCGCAACAAGCCGACGGAGGCGCCCAAGAAGCCCGAGCGCGCGCCCTTCTTCCTGCCGCAGCTGGCGGGCACGGAGCTGGCCTTTGACGCGCAGAAGCCGGCCCAGGCTGGCGGCAAGGAGGAGAAGACAGGCCTGCCTTCTCGCCCGGCGTTCGGACAAGAAGGTCTTGACTTCGAGAGCGACTTTGTGCGCCGCCTGCGGAGCGCACAAGAGAGTGGAGAGTGTGAGTTGCGGCGCCTGAGATCCTCTCTGACGCCTCTGACCCCCTCTTTCGCAGACGGGCCTTTCTTCCAGTACCTCCACACGCTGTCGCCACCAGCGCTCGATGCTGAGCTGCGCTCGCTGTCGACTGCCGCCGAGCTGGAGCTCTTCATCGGCGCCCTCACCGCGCGTCTCCGCCGGCATCTCGATTACGAGGCCGTGCAGGCGCTGCTGGCCGTCTTCGTGCGCGTGCAGGCCGACGTGCTCATCGCGCTGGGCATCAAGGTCACGGCGCCGCCGCAGGGCGATGCCTCGATGGAGCGGGACGGCGAGCTCGCCGACGAGGGCGAGACGCTGGCCGAGGCGCTGCGGCTCCTGCTCGTGGAGCAGCACCGCGAGGGCACGCGCGTCATGGAGCTGCTCGAGTTCTGCATGGGCAGCCTGGCCTTCGTGCGCGACCTGCCCCTGACATAGCGCTTCGCAATACATGCAGTCACACGCACAGAACGATGGATGACGTAGAATTGACAGATGCAGAAGCCAGAGCAAAGTGTGATGGTGCAGAAGCAGTGATGATGAAGCAAGTCCCCTTGGCGATGCGCGCGCGCACGGCGCCCCTCTTTTGGTGTCTACTCGGCGACGACGAGCGTGGCCTTGCCGTAGCCGGTGCCGCAGCAGAGCGTCGCGACACCCGTCTGCTTGCCGGTGCGGCGCAGCTCGGCGAGCAGGCTGGTGATGAGACGGCCGCCCGACGCGCCGAGCGGGTGGCCAAGGGCGATGGCACCGCCCTTGACGTTGACCTGCGCCTCGTCCAGGCCGAGCGTGTCGATGGTCATGAGCGCCTGCGAGGCGAAGGCTGAGGAGAGAAGGGGTAAGCGGATGCGTACGGCATGCAGCACGCGGCACGCACCCTCGTTGATCTCCCACAGGTCGATCTCGGATGCCTTGAGGCCGAAGCGCTCAAGCAGCTTGGGCGTGGCGATGGCCGGGCCAATGCCTGTGTGCGCGTCGTCAGCGTCGATACGAAGGCGCTTGCACGGTCCGCAACTCACCCATGACGTCCGGCTTGACACCCCGCGTCGCCGCGCCAACCCAGCGGCCAAGGATCTCCATGCCGGCCTTCTCCGCAACGTCGCGGCGCGCCAGCGTGATGGCGACGGCGCCGTCGGAGACCTGGCTCGAGTTGCCCGCCGTGCTGCCGCCGTTCTCCTTGAACACGGGCTTGAGCTTGGCGAGCGACTCGTACGTCGTCGAGGCGCGGATACCCTCGTCGAGCGACACCTCGCGCGTCGTCTCCGTGCCGTCCTCCTCGACCCAGCGCACGGTGATCGGCTCAATCTCGCTGGCCAGGCGGCCGTCCTTCTGCGCCGCGAGCGCGCGCGCCTGGCTCTGCGCAGCGAAGCGGTCTTGCCGCTCGCGCCCGATGTTGTACTGCTCCGCCACGTTCTCCGACGTCATGCCCATGCTCATGAGGCAGTCGCGCGCATCCTGCGAGTGCGAGTTGGCCATGGCGGGCGAGAGGCGCACGGGGATGGCCTTGGTGCCCCAGTCGCGCGTCATGCTCTCCATGCCCGACGCAATGCCGCACGCAATCTCGCCCGTGCGGATCGAGTTGGCGATGTTGGTGATGCTCTGCAGCGACGAGGCGCACTGGCGGTTCGTCGTGCTGCGTGGCGTGTCAGGTGATGTGCGGCACGGCAGCGCAGGGCACTCACTAGTAGGACGAGTTGATGGGCATGCCGGCGTGCAGCGCCGCGAGACGGCCGCTCTTGGCACCGCCGAGCTCAGCAAGCACAGTGCCGGTGCAGATGTCCTCGATGATGTTGATGTCGACGCCGCGCTTCTCGAGGCGCTCGCGCGTGCGCTGCAGCACAAAGGCGAGCAGCTCCTCGGGGTACTGCGCCAGGGGTGTGAGCGCGAGGTCATGCGAAGGGCGAGGCAGGATATGCGGCGAATTCCGGCTCGCGGCGCAGATTGCTTCGAAAGCCAATACAGCACACACCAGCTCCCGTCGCACGCCCGCGGTCCACCCTCTCGGGCACTCACAGCGTGCTTGAAGCCCTTGCCGAGGCGCGCCACAGGCGTGCGCAGCGCCGTGGTGAAGACGACGTCGTCGGGGCGCTTCTTGAGCACGCTGGCGAGGCCCGAGCGCACGGCGGAGGAGGAGCGGAACGCCATGGTTGCTGCAGAGAGAGAGGGTGGTTGAGGTGGTGGTGCAGAGCAGAGAGAGAGAAGCGCAGCGGGTGTGCGCCTTTTGGCGGAGGCGAGGCCCTGGCGAGGCGAGGCGCGCTCCGCCCGCGCCCCGGTCGGCGGACCCGCATGCGCCGGACGGCGCACGTCGGCCGCACGCCCCGCCAGCCAGGCAGCGGCCCAACAATCCTCCGCCAGCGCCACAGCGCCACTGCTCCCACGCTGCTGCTCCCACGAGCCTCGCTCTCGCTCGTCACTCCAGAGGCGTGCGGTCTCTGACTACGACGTGCAGTGTGCCTCAGATGATGCATGTCTTCATTCCTGTTCTACGCGAACGCGGCGCCGCTGCGCTGCAGGAACTCGCGCACCTTGCCGTCGAGGCCGCGGCGGTCGCCCTTGACGGAGCGCAGCACGGCAACGACCTCCTCGGGCTCGAGCTGCGTCGGCGGGCTGCTCGGGTGGTAGCCGCTGACGAGCGCGGCGATCTCGGCCTCGGCGGGCAGCGCAAACATGTTGTGGCCGACCTGCCAGCCGAGCGGCGGGAGACTGTGACGCTGCGTCAGTGCGAGGAGAGAGGGTGGCGCGCCCGCGCGGCCGCTCACCCCTTGGTCTTGTTTCGCTGCGCACGCTGCTCGTCGGCCGAGAGCGCGTTCGGCGGCGGCAGGCCGGCGAGGCGCGGCACGTCCATCGTCATGCCGGCCGAGCGCGCCGCCTGCTGGTCGCCAAAGAAGAGGTCGGAGATGTGCTGGTCGCTGACGTCGGCGACGCTGCGCACGTCCCACGGCGCCACGCCCGTGCGTCGCTTGCCCGTCTCCGGGTCGCGCGCCAGCGTGTGCATGACGCCCGTGTGGAAGTCGCGTCCAGCGCCCAGGTCGCAGAAGGCCGTGGCGAGACGCATGTCGAGACGGAACGCCTCGGCGTCCTCGAGCTGCCGTGCGGCGGCAATGGCGCGCAGCGAGACCTTGATGCTGCGCGGCGACTTGGTGAGCAGCGCGTCAAGCGTGGTGCGCGCCCACGACACGACGCCTTCGTCGAGCTCGGCGCCGCGCGTCCGGAGCTCGGCCGCAGCCTCGGAATCGGCAGCACCGGCGGCCAGCTGCTCGAGCGCAGCAAAGATGCCCTCGGCGCTCTTCTGGCCGAAGACGTGGTCGAGCGCCACGCGGCGCGAGCCGAGCAGCGCTGACTGCGCGAGAATCTGCGGGCCCTTGGCCACCTCCGTCTCGGAGAAGGGGTCGGCAGAGAACTCGTCGAGCACGTTGGACACGGAGTCCGACTTGGCGTCGGGGCCGAGCGAGCCGAGGCGCTCGAGGGCCTCGGCCAGCAGCGAGCTGGGAATGTAGTGCGTCGCGAGGCCGGCAATGCTGAGGGCGAGCGTCAGGCCTCTTGCACCAGCTACTTGACCTGCAGCGCACTCACTAGGCCTCCTCGCCGCTGATGCGCGCGCCAGTAATGCCAAGGTAAAAGCCGACCTTGCCGTCGAGGCGCGCGAGCTGGCGCGTGACGCCGACGTCGGGCCAGTAGCCGATGCCCGTCTCGGGCATGGCGAAGAGCGTCTTCTCCGTCGCGATGCGGATGGGTGCGTGCACCGAGAGGCCGACACCGCCGCCCACTGTAGGAGAGTCAGCCAGCTGTGGGCGACACGCTGCACGCGCAACGCACTGGTGATGCCGTCCATGACCGAGACGAACGTCTTGCCCGTGCGGCGGAAGAGCGTGGCGATGGCGTAGTCGAGCTCAAACTCGGCCTTGAAGAAGGTCAGCGCCTGCTGCCGCACCGCCGGGTCCTCGTCGGCCGCCTGCTTCACGACTGCCATGACGTCGCCACCGGAGCAGAGCGCACGCCCGACGCCGCGCAGCAGCACGACCGGCGCAGGCGTCTTGCTGAAGGTCTGCAGATGCAATGTGAGCAGCGCAGAACTGGCAGGCTGCGGCGGCACACACCTGCAGCGCATCGGCGATGAGCAGGATCATGTCCATGTCGAGAGCATTGAGCGCCTTTGGCCGGTTGAGCAGGATGGTGCGCACCGGGCCAGCAGCGAGCTGCTTGACCTTGGGCTCGCTGCCATCCTCGCCGCCGCCGGTGGTGCTGGCGGTGGCCGCCTCGCGTGCGACGGCGACGCCGGCCTGCGATGGCGCAGACGACGACGAAGAAGCGTCACGACGCGGGCCGCCGGGACGGCCGAAGGCCTGCATGGCGGCGGGAGCGCGGCCGGCGGGCGGGCAGGCGAGGTGCGAGGCGATGAGCGAGACACGGCGCGACATGGGCGGCGAGGCGGCACGGGCGTGGAGCAGGCGGGCGTCGGCGAGAGGAGCGGCAGACGTGGAGGCGGCGGCGCTGCTGCTGCTGCTGGCGCGGCGGGACGGCGAGGAGCGGCGGAGGAGCGAGGCGGCAAGGCGCGGCGAGGGCATCGTCGTGGACGGCACGCAGGCGGCTCGCGGGAGGGCAGCACCGGGGCGGTGCGGCGGGCAGGCCTGGGCTGGGGTGCGGGGCGAGGTGATGGCGGCAGTCACGGAGAGGCGCCGGCTGCCGAGAAGCGGACAAGCCGGCTTGGGCGGGCGCGACGCACGTGACCGCGTGCGCATCGGCTCTCGGGCGACAGGACGTGCGACGCAGCCACATGCGTGGGAACATCGGGCCAGCCCCTCTTGACGAGCTCCGCAGCGAGGCAGCTCTGCTTCACCACCACATCAGCCCGTCATCGGCTTCGTCGCATCGACAATTCTCTTCATCAAGCCTCTCATCCCCTCGCGCCTTCAGCTTCGCACTTCTCGCTGCTGCTGCTGCTGCTGCTGCTGCTGCTGCTGCTGCTGCTGCTGCGCTCTCGCGCGCCCGCACGCCCCGCCCAGCTCTCTCGCGCCCGCCGACCGCACATTCGAGCGCACCTCGCGCTCGCGCACAACCGCAGCCATGCCGCTCTCACTCGACGAGCTGTCTGCACGCTTCACACGTCAGGTGGCGCTCGGCACGGCGGATGACATAGGCGCGGCGCTGCGCGAGCACGTCGTGTCGCAGCAGAGCACCATCGACAAGCAAGAGCGCATCATCGAGGCGCAGGATGCCATCATCGCTCAGCACAAGGCCGATGCCGTCAAGCAGGACGATCTCATTGCTCAGCAAGAGGCCCACGGAATCAGAGCAGAGCGCCTTATCGCCAAATATAAGGCTCACGCCGAGAAAGCAGACGGCCTCTCCGCTCAGTACATGGCCCACGCCGACGAAGCAGACGGCCTCCTCGCTCAGTGCCAGGCCAACGATGCCACAACTGATCGCATCATCGCTCAGTACGAGGCCAGCACCGCCACAGCAAACCGCATCATCGCTTGGGACGAGGCCGAAGCCGAAAAGCAGCAAAGCGTCATCGACGAGCAGAAGCGCACCATCGACGAGCTCCGCCAGACGATCGCTACGCTGCAAGCTGCTGAAGGCCGCGGCCACGTCGAGCCACAGCAAGTTGCACGCACCCCAGTCGACCGCACCGCAGCCAGCGCGCTCGCGCCAGCAACGGCCTCGGGCAGCGGAGCTCAAGAGCAGGCCGAAGATTGAGGAGTAGATGACGGGCGTGAAGGGAACGTCTTTGGCGGCCGAGCCCGCGGGCAAGCCCCATTCGCGCTTGCCTCTCGACGGAGCGCCGAGCTTCCCTCTGGTCCACGAGAATTGGGCGCACAACTTCGCCATCGCTGCATCGACCAGTCCAAGGCGGCCTGCAACGCCCTCATCTGCATCTCCTGTCGCGTCTTCGCCGATGCCTAGATCTTCGGCGTCCGCCTGCCTCGCCTCGCTCCACCTCGCCTCGTCTCGCCGGCAAGCAAGCGCAAGGCAGCTGGAGCAAGATCTGGCTTCGTCGCCGATTCGACCTCAACTTCGCCGACCTCGCGCTCTCGCTTCCTCCATCACTATACCCCAATCACGCTCATTCCCCCCACGTCATCGCCCCTGTCCTCTCCACTATGTCTGCCACGCCCGCATTTGGACCCGCCATCTCCTCCATGCAGCATCGCGCGACACTCATCCGTCACCTCGCCTTGGCAGCCCCCTCACGATCACTCTTCCTTCCTTCGCACCTGTATGATAGCCACGAGTCACCTCCTCACCCAGCATCTCGCATGACAACGCCTTCCGAGCCGAGACCAGCAGCGCTCGCGCATGACGCAGAGAGACGCCGCGTGCCGGCGGTTGCCGTAGCCGTGCATGCGCCTTCCTGCGGCTCGGAGTGCGGAGTGTGGCGGGCGGCGGCAGCGGGAAGGGAGAGCGAGAGCGAGGCACACCCGCAGGAGCATCGCCAAGGGGCAGGCAGGCACGGCCAAATTCTCACGCGCAGCGCCGCCGGCGAACTCGAGATGCGCGCTGCGGCGCGCGGCGGCGGCGAAGAGAGGCGGGCGGTGTGCCGGCCCTCTTCTGGCGCGCGGCGCGTCGCTTTATCGCCTTATCTCTCGACCGCATCAACGCAGCGCAGCGAGACGAGGAGCCGCAGCTCGGCCACTCAAGCGGCGAGAAGAGCATCATGCACGCAGCTCGCATCGCCGCCCTGCCGCCGCAGCAAGCCGCTGCTGCCGCCGCCGCTGCAGGCGTGCCGCGGGCCCAGCGCCGGCCGCCGGCGTCGACCGAGATGGTATCTGCGTGCGGCTGCGGCTGCTGCGCTGCCCGGACGCCGATCCAGTGACGGACGCTTGATTGCCGATGCGCTTGCTCAGTCTTCGCACGGCGGGATGCGAGTGACGGCGAGCCGCTGCGAGGAGCCGGCGGCGAGAAGGGGCCAGCAGCAGCAGCAGCGGCTCCTTTATAAAGCCTCGCTCGAGCATGTCCCTCGCGCACATCCGTCACCCACCCCTCGCCCGCCATGAGTGCCCCGCAGTACTCGCCGCCGTCGTCGTCAGGCGCCGCCGACACCTCGTTCCCGCGCGAGAAGGGCAGCGAGGATGCCATCACGCCCGCGCCCGCTCCCGCGCCGCAGGTCATCAGCACCGGCGGCCAGGCGACGACGGAGGAGTACGTCTCTGAGGCGCAGCGTGCCGCCCAGGCCGGGCAGCTGCCGTTCCGCTGGGGTGAGTGCCGCGAGGTCACGTCTCCTGCTCCGTGTGCTGACACGCCGCAGCATCCCTCTACGAGCCCGCCGTCGTGAACCCAGCCAACGGCAAGAGCTACACCTTCAACCTGCTGCGCTTCTGGGACCCCTACGCCACGTCCTTCTGGCTCGCGACGCTCGGCTTCTTCACCGCCTTCATCTGCTGGTTCTCGTTCGGCGCGCTCATGACTGAGGCCGTGCGCGGCGACCTCAAGCTCACCGCCGAGCAAGTGGCCAACAGCAACCTCGCGAGTCTCTCTGGCACGGTGCTGGTGCGCTTCATCGCTGGCCCGGCCGTCGACGTGAGTAGCATGGGAGTGCATGAGCCGTGTGCATGACTGATAGAGCATTTGTAGCGCTACGGCCCGCGCAAGGTGCTCGCCTCCCTGCTCGTCCTGGGCGCGATCCCGTCAGCCCTCGTGCCAACCGTCACGACCAAGGGTGGGCTCTACACCATCCGCTTCTTCATCTCGCTTTTAGGTTCGTTATCTCATATCTTTATCTCGAGTTAAGCTCATGTCATTTCAGGAGGAACATTCGTTCCCACGCAGGCATGGACCACGACGTGGTTCGACCGACAAGTGGTGGGCACGGCCAATGCCTTCTCAGGCGGCTGGGGCAACCTTGGCGGCGGCCTGAGCCCTGTGCTGATGATCAATACGTGAGTGCAGCGTCGATGCTTCGCGTGCCTGGCGCTGACGCTGGCTCGCAGGTTCGAGGGTCTTGTGCGCGCAGGCATGACGCACCACCTCGCCTGGCGCATCTCCTTCCTGGTCCTGCCAGTGCCCCTGCTCTTCGTCGTGGCAGCCCTCATCCTCCTCCTCGGACGGGACCACCCGGCGGGCAAGTGGTCACAGCGCCACCAGCTCGCCGGCACGGCTATGGCCGTCGCCGCGGGCCGCGAGGTGCACCTCGACGCACGCGAGATCCGCGAGCAGGAGCGCATGCGCGAGAACGCCGGCGCCGAGGGCGGACGCAGCGAGAAGGTGCGCGCTTCGGCTAAGGGACAGGACTTCTTCGAGAGCGGCATCAAGGCCGACGCCGTCGACACGGCGCAGAGCGAGCCGCTCACTCCCAAGTCGGCGCTGGCGGTGGCTAGCGACCTGCGCGTGTGGATGACGGCGCTCTGTTACATGACGAGCTTCGGCCTCGAGACGGCGCTCGACGCCGCGCTACCGCAGCTGCTTTATGGCCTCTTCGGCGGGCCGAACTTCACCGTCGCCGACGCAGCGTATGCCGCGTCGATGTATGGCCTGCTCAACCTCTTCGCGCGCCCCGGCGGCGGCGTCATCTGCGACATTCTGTACCGCAAGTACCGGCCGCAGGGCCTCGGCGTGCGCGCCAAGGTCACGTTCCTCATCGCCACGGCGACGGCGCAGGGCGTGCTCATGATCGGCCTGGGATTCTACATCGACAAGGGTTCCCCTCCCACGCTTGGCGGAGTGCTGGGCTTCCTCGTGGGCGTAGCCATGACCGGCTTTGCGGCCAATGCGGCTGCGTGAGTGATGCGTGTGCTGCCTCGCATCGTCGTGGCTGACCCCTGGCCCCTGCACAGCTACGCATGCTACGGCCACTTCCGCCCGCAGAACGTGGGCACTGTGGCAGGCTGCGTAGGTGCATTTGGCGCTCTCGGTGGCATGGTGCGCAGAGATACATCACCGCTGCTGCGCAACGCTGATCTCTTCTCGCTCAGATCTACACGGGCATCTTCAAGTACCAGCCGGGCACCAAGGCAGCGCGGACGTGAGTGCTGCGCCGTGCCCCACGGAGGCGTGCTGCTGACACGCATCTCGCAGACTGGGCAAGAAGTTCTGGATCGCGGGCATCTTCAACGTCGTGGCCATCCTTCCGTTTGGCTTCTTGCCGCTGGGCGATGCTGCGTGAGGTCCATGTGTCGAGGCAGAGCAAATGTATCATATACCTAGAGCACCGGCGGCGTGAGCGCGACACGGGAGGCAGCTCATCACGCGGCGCAGAGAAGATGCGCTCGTCCATGTGCCTGCCTCTCACGGCATGTGACACAGAGCGCCTACGGCTCCGGCTGCGCGCTTCGTTCCGGCACTCTCGTCCGGCATGCTTCTAAGCGAGAGGGTGAACGTGTGATCGCAAAGCAGACGTGTCGTTGTGTGCGTGGCAGACGCAAAGAGGTAGGGCGCTGCTGGTGGGCGCTGTGGTGGTTGCAAGGCAAGGAGCGCGGCACGGCGCGCGTGCATCTCGGGCGAGAGCGCCGAGCGCGCGGCGTGGCTTGAGAGCAACACAAGCGCGACCGATGACGGCCCTTACCACTACCACCACCCTCGACGCTCTACAGCTCGTGCTTGCTGCTGCGGCACGCAGCGCCCAGCGCCATGTCGTCCGACGCCGCCTTCACCGCGGCGCGCTCGCGGCCCGCGCCGTCGCTGCACGCACAGCCGGCCGTGCTGCCGTCGTCGTACCGCGCGCTGCTCGTTCCCGGCCATCCCGAGTCGGCCGCAGGGCCCAGTGCCGATGCCGGCGCACACCTGCTCTCCGACGGCGGTCCATCGCGCCGCCTGCTTGCGCCGCCCAGCCACGGCGCAGGCGTCGCACTGCACTTTCCGCCGCATCCGTCGGGCGTGCGAGACGATGACTTGACATCAGATGCGGCTCGGCGCGCCGGCTACCCAGGCTGGCACCGCGCGGTGCTCGAGCGCGACGTCGGTGAGTCTGCTGTGAGAGAGACAGCTGCTAGTCGTATGGAAGGGCAGCGCAGCGGTGACGTACAGTGGAGTGACTGCAACGCGTGTCTGACGCTGCGCACTCGGCAGACATCAGCGTTGACTGGTCGCTGCTGCCACAGCCGGCAGACGAGGCCGAGATGCTGCCATCAGCAGTGCATCCCTCGTACCCGACCGGACACCCCTATCGCCGGCCGCGACCGTACATCTCCACGCCGAAGCTTTCGTCGCTGCTGCACAGCAACCTGGCGCTGCTCGGTCCGTCCATCGGCCCGGCGAAGGGGAGCAAGAACCAGGCGGAGTCAGGCGAAGGCAGCGATGCCGCTCTCGCTCGCCCACTGAAGGGTCTGGCGCCACACGTGCTGCTGCGAGCAGCGACCGACACGGCGGCGAACCCGCCGCACTGGCCCTTCCGCCGCTTCGGCCCCGGTCCCGGCGGCGCATCTGCTCTGCAACGCCACGCTGCGCGGCATCCGCATCGTCCGACACGAGACGTCTGGGCAGATCTGGGCCTCTCGGAGATCCTGCCGCTCGGCGTCGAGCAGGATCCGCTGAAGATGGGCGTCGCCGAGGCGCGCGAGGAGCTGCCGCTGGCGATGAATGAGCACGGCGAGGAGGAGGAGATCGACGAGGAGGGCCTGCTGGGACAGATCGGCATGACGCAGGCAGACAAGCTGGCCGCCGAGCTCGAGGGCCTCGCTGCGCGCAACCGGCCGCCGGGCGACGAGACGCTCGCAGACTGGGCGGCCGCGCTGCCGCTGCTGCACGAGCGCCGGCGCTGGGGCGTCAAGGCTGAGTGACGGTTGATGCGGTGACGTGTGTTTCTAGTGTACAGTAGCGCTCCAGGCAATACCACGGGTCATGTTCGAGTGAGCCACACTGGCCGATGCGCGGCGTCGGCGCGCAGACGAGAAAGCGGGAAGAGCTCGATGAACTGCGGGCGACGGAATCAGAGCACGCTCGCAGCCAGGCGGGCACTCTTCACATGGCGTACCTCTTCGTCCGCGATCTTGCTGCCTGCGAAGCGCTCGTACTCCGAATAGACGGACGTGAGGCTCCAGCCCTGCAGGCGCCGCACGAGCGCAGCCAGCACGCCGACTCTGTACTTGCCTGGGCTGCGGGTCAGCGCGACGCAATGGAAATGAGCGACAGCAGGTGCTCACCCTTGTTGCAGTGTATCAAGACGGGCAGATTGCGGCGGTCCAGGATGTCGGCCAGCGCGGCCGCGACCACGTCTTCGTCCACTGCGTCGTGCATCAGGTCGTCGCGGACTAGAAGTGGCTACGACGCGGCACTCACTCTCGCCAAAGGGCTCCTTGTTCACGTTCAGGCGGTGATGCAGGATCTGCACGCCTTGCGACTCGGCCCACTGGACCACATGTGGCCGGTAGTCCTCCGCCGAGAGGTACCTGCCGCGCTGGCGTCAGTGCTGCACAGCGTCAGACGAGCACACGCTGCTCACATGATGGAGCGCAGGCCAAGCCGCCGCATAAACTCAAAATTGCGCTCGTTCGGATGGCCAGAGCGATACACGCCGGCTGCAACCATGTCGAAGTTGAGCGGCGGCACGACGAGCGCCTGTGCCGCCAGGATGTCGAGGCCGGCGGGCGCCGGCAGCGGCTGCGTCGGCACGGGCTTGGCGAGGGCGCCGGTCTGCGTCGGAGTCGCGTCGGAGCGAGGCACCTGCAGCTTTGAGCCGCTTGCTGCGCTGGCTGCCGGTGCTGCGGGCGAGGCTACCCGTGGCGGCGTGATGAGGGGCGTTGCTGCGCCGACGATGGGCACGGCCGAGGTGATGCCGGCGGGCGAGGAGAGGGGCCGCTCGGGCACGCGTGCCGCCGCTGACGTCGGGCCGGCCTCGCCAAGCTGCGCGGAGAGCGAGGCGAGCAGGAACGGCGGCACGTTCGCAGCGGCGGACATGGCAAGTGAGGATGATGGGAGGGTGAAGCAGACTGGGACGAGGTCAGGTCGGGGTCATCGTGGAGCACGGACGGGCGCGGGTCCCGAGTCCCGGGCGAATACAGGCTCGGGCTTCAGATTTGCCCTGCAGCACTTCAATCGCGCTTGTAGTGCGATTTTTTGCCTCCTCACCCGACCTCGCACCGCCGCGAGTTTGCTGCCTTCTCGCCGCCGCTGCGACACTGCTCAGCTCCACCACACTCCGCCTTACCATGGCGGCCACTACGAGCGCCTTCCCCTCGCGGGTAGAGGCGTCCGCCGACCTGGCGGCCAGCCTCGGCAAGATCCGCCACCACACAGCCTCGAAGCTCGAGAACCAGAAGGCGCCTGCGCAGCTCCTCGTGGCCATCGAGGCGACGCTCGACGAGCAGCGCATGGCCGACGCCGGCGACGCCGAGCGCAGCCCGACCGAGTACTTCTGCGCGCTCGAGGCGATGCTGGCCAAGGCGCTGGGCGATGGCGTGAGTGTTTGTGCTGCTGGCGCACGAGGATGCGACCTGTGGCTGACCGCCTCTGCAGGCGCCCGCCACGCTGCTGCCTTCTTCCTTCTACCTCCTCTCCATCGTCGCGCCGTACGTCGCGCCGGCTGTGCTCAAGGCCCGCCTTACGGGCCTGATGGAGCCGCTTGCTTTCGTGCTCTCCAACCCGCACCCGTCGGGCTCCTCCACTGCCGAGAACCACGCCGCGCTGCTGCGCTCCGCCCTCGGCGTGCTGCAGGCAGTGCTGCTCGCACTCTCGACGGACCGCGCCACGCTCGACCGCGACCTGCGCCTGCGCGGCTGCTGGAACTCGGTGCTCGAGCTCTGCACCGACTCGCGGCCAAAGGTGCGGAGACGTGCCCAGGACGTCGTCTCGGCCGTGCTGGCCGAGAGCGGCGCCGGCTCGTCGACGGGCACCAAGGCGCACCCTTACACGGCACGCACGGCCGAGTGGGCCATCAAGGCGCTGGAGGGCGTCGCAAACGCAGGCGGCGTCGCGAGCACCAAGGGCAAGGCGAGCAAGAAGCCCGTGGCGCTGGCGCCGGAGTACGACAAGAAGAGCGGCAAGGCCAAGGGCGCCGATGCGGCTGCCGCCGCTCGGCAGCAGCAGGCGTCCGACGGCGGCGCCAGCGCGGGCATCTGGGTGTGCGGCTTCCTGAAGCTGCTAGCGCCGACGATGCCCGGCAAGTACCTCACGCCGCTCATCAACGTCCTGCTGCGTCTGCCCGGCCTCACAAATCCGTTCTTGACGGTCGCCGCCTTCGAGGTGTTCGAGTCGCTCTTCCGTCCTTCTCGGCCCGTTGCAGGCTCGGAGAACCCGCTCGCTGCGCTGGCGTCCAGCGGCGCTCACGCTTCGCGCGCTGTCAACCAGACTGACTCGCTCGTGCGCACGCTCGACGCGCTCGCCTCGCCCTCGATCGCCCCCAGCGCAAGCGATGCGCAGCTCCTGCCGCCGTACCTGCGCGCGCTGGAGCACGCCCTGGTCGCATACTCTCGCGTCGAGCAGGGCAAGCCGGCATGGGCGCGCGTGCCGGCGGTCTGGGCTGAGATCTTCGAGCTGAGCCTGTCGTCGAAGAGCAAGGCCAGCCGCGAGCAGCCGGCTGTGCGCTCCGCGGGCCGCGACTCGCTCTGCGCACTGGCGCGCTACTGTGTGCCGGACTCGGCCATCGAAGAGGCGCTCAAGGCTGGCAAGGGTGCCGCCGAGACGCAGCTGGGCGGCATGCTTTCGCTCATCTCCGACGCTCTCGGACGCCAGGCGATCCGCTACAGCCACGCCCGGCCCGAGGTCCTCGCAGTGCTCTCTGCGCTCGTCACTCGTCTGCGCTACCGGCCTACGGCAGCTGCGGGCAAGCAACGCGCTCTGCCGGCCGCTGCCAAGCTCCTCATGCCACTGGTCTCCATCGTCGCCGAGCTGCGCGTCGAGCCTGCATTCGACCACCGCGAGGCGGCAGACGGCGTGCTTGGCGCTGCCGTGGAGGTCTGCGGTCCGCGCACCTTCCTCGAGACGCTGCCGCTCGGCCTGCTGGGCGAGAACGACGCCACTGGCGGTCGTGCCTGGCTGCTGCCGCTGATGCGCGGTCGCATCACCAACACGGAGCTGGAGCACTTCACTGGCACGATGGTGCCGCTGTCCGAGGCGCTCTTCAACCGCCGTGCCCAGGCAGAGGAGCTCGGCCAGGACGGCAAGATGAAGCGGCCGGTGGAGGCCAAGGTGTTCGAGGCGCTCACCGAGCAGGTCTGGGCGCTCTTCCCGGGCTACTGCGACCTGCCCGTCGATCTCACTTCTGCGCTCTCGCCCCACTTCATCGAGCTGCTCGCCAACGTGCTCTACACGCAGCCCACGCTGCGGCCATCCGTCTGCCGCGGCCTGCAGGTCCTCGTGGAGCGCAACGAGGCGCTTGCGTCGTCGGGCGCGCCCGCCGACGTCCTGCGCGCCAGCTTCGGTCTGGACCAGGACGCCGGCCGCAAGAACATCGCACACCTCGCCGACCTTGCGCCGAATCTGCTCGCCGTCTTCTCGAACATCTTCAGTCAGAGCCCGGGCGAGAGCCGCGGCTACGTGGCCGAGGTACTCGCGGCGTACCTGCGCGTAATGAAGCCGGCCGACGTCGCCAGCACATACGCCAAGATCGTGGGCATGCTCCGCTCCTCGCTGCCGACGCTCGTGCCGGCACACGACCGCGAGACTGGGCCGAAGGTCGTGCCGCCGGTGCCGCACACGATGCTGGATCTCCTGATCGTGCTGCTCCCCTTCCTGGACGCCAGCAAGCCCGACTCGGAGGCGTCGCAGCTGTTCGACCTCGCCACCGAGGACGAGCTGATGCGCGCCAAGGACGCAGGCCTGCAGAAGAAGACCTACCGCATCCTGGCTCGCCTCATCGACGGTCCGCGCGGCGTGGCGGTACTGCGTCTGCCCTCGACTGCCGAGGGCGGCGAGGGTGCCGGTCGCGTCGGCGAGCTGCTGGCAAAGCTGCGCGACTCGACAGCGAACGTCGTGGCGGGTGCCAAGCGCGACCGTGTGGCGCTGCTGGCTGCACTCGTCCCGCGCATTCCGGCCACGGAGCTGCACTTCCTGCCGTCGATCATCCCTGAGGCGGTGCTCGCCACCAAGGAGACGAACCAAGGCACGCGCGAGCTGGCCTACGACCTGCTCGTGGCGATGGGCCACAAGATGGACGCAGGAGGCTCCATCAAGCGCGGCCTCGTGGAGGGCGCGGCAGGGGAGGAGGCGGACGAAGACATGGAGGGCGGCCAGGCTGCTGCTCCGGCTCCGGCCGCCGTCAGCGAAGAGGTCGCAGCGGCCTCCGTCAACGAGTACATGACCATGGTCGCCGCTGGTCTTGCCGGCTCGACGCCGCACATGATCAGCGCATCGATCACGGCGCTCTCGCGCCTCGTATACGAGTTCCGCGCGGACGTGCCGGTCGAGACGCTGCACGAGCTGCTCTCCACGATCGAGGTCTTCATTCGCTCGGCCAACCGCGAGATCGTCAAGTCCGCGCTCGGCTTCGTGAAGGTCGTGATCGTCAGCCTGCAGGCGTCCATCGTCGACGAGCACCTGCCGGTGCTCATTCCGGCGCTCTTTGGCTTCAGCCCGCAGCACCGCCAGCACTTCAAGTCCAAGATCCGGCACATCTTCGAGCGTCTGCTGCGGCGCTTCGGCTTCGAGCGCGTCGTCAGTCTGACGGGCGAGGAGGACAAGAAGCTGCTGAACAACATCCGCAAGCGCAAGGAGCGGGCCAAGAGACGCAAGAACTCTGCTGAGGACGGCGAGCGGGCTGCCGACGATGATGACGACGCTGGTCCTGGCATCGGCGCGCGTGCACTCAAGTCGCACGGCGTCGACGCCTTCGAGGAGGCCATCTACGGCTCCGAGTCGGACCTGTCCGACAGCGACGACGACAATGCCGGAGACGGTGCGGAGGCACTTGCGCAGCGCGCATCAGACGCGCGAGGCGCTAAGGGCGGCAAGAAGGGCCAGCAGCCCGTCAAGCCGAAGAAGACGCGCCGGCAAGAGGAGGAGACGTACATCCGCGAGGACGACGACGTGCCCATGGACCTGCTCGACCGCTCGGCTGCGGCAGGTGGCATCTCCACTGCTCGGGCCACGTCCGGCAACGGCAAAGCGGCACGCGCCCGCAGACCCGGCCAGGAGGCTGCCACGTTCGAGCTCGACGAGGCCACGGGGCGCATGCTCATCAACGATCCGGACAGCGCCTCGGGCCAGGCTGCCGACCCGGCTAGTGTGGACGTCGATGGCGCAGGCCGTGCGTACACCGATCGCGAGCGCGGCACGCACGGTGTCACGATGCGCGACGGCGTGGTGCGCGTCAACAAGAACAACAAGCGCAACCGGGCGGAGGACGAGCTGCTCGACGAGGAGCAGATGGCCGTCGAGGCCGCAGCCGAGGGCGCCCAGGACGCGGCCAAGGCCAAGCGCAAGAAGAAGGCGCCGCAGGCCATCGGCGCCGCGTACGCCGCCAAGCGCGCACAGGGCGACGTCAGCCGCAAGGGCGCGCCCTCGCCCTTCGCGTACGTCCCGCTCGGCCAGGTGGCGGGCAAGAAGGGCGCGCGCGCCGACAAGATGGACATCACCGGCAAGGGCAAGAAGGGCCCGCGCGGTCGGTCGTAGAGGAGACGTGGCGCAATGTGACTCCTCCGTGGCGCAATGTGACTCTTTGATCTATGCAGGTCGCCGAGCGACGGGTGTGCAGGACGTGCAGTGCAGGGAAAGGATGGCTGGTGGTACATGATGAAGACAAGGCGAAGCTTGTCGGGCGTCAGCAGAAGGTGTGGCGGATAGGTGCGGCAGAGCTAGCCCCAAGGGTTGTCCGCGCCGCTGCTCCACGCGTTCGCGGGCGGGTTCAGGGGCGTGAAGGAAGGAGTGCCGGTGGCATCGGACGGATCCTCAGTCGCGAGGCGGCCGAAGGAGAGGCTGCGCGGCGGCGCCGCGATGGACGACTCGCTCTCCGTGCTGTCGAACGAGGTGTCGCCGCCAGCCTGCTCGGCAGACGACCAGTCCGGCGCATCTGCGGGCAACGCGGCCAGCGGCTTGACGCGAGGCGGCGAGGCGGCGCGGCTCGACGTCTGGCTAGACGACGCAGCGTCGTGGCCCCACCCGTCGTCGACAGGGATCGGCGCAGCGGTGTTTGATGACGCTGCAGCGCCGCCCTGGAAGCGGCGCGCAAGCTCGGCAGCGGCATCCGACGACAGACCGTAGCCTTTGGCGGCCTCGAGCGAGGGTGCCGCGAGCGGAGGAGCGGGAGCTGACGACTCAGGCACAGCCTCGTCCTCATCGTCGTCGTAGTTCTCGGCGAACGACAGGCTGACACCGCCCATGCCGTCGTCCAGCGGCAGCGCCGGCGGCGCAGGCGGCGGCAGCTGGCTGAACGGCGACTGGTTGAAGGAGCGGGCGTACGGAGCAGGAGCAGCTGGCGGTCGCGTAGGCAGGCTGGATCTCGATGACTCTCTCGAGTGGGTGTCCAGCGGCGGCGGCTGAGGCTGAGACACAGCAGACGCTGCTGGTGCGTGCTTGGCGTCGAAGCGTGTAGTCGCCGCAGAGGGCGCAGCGGGCTGCGCCTTTGGCCGCTCTGGCTCGCTCCGCATGGCCTGCGTCACGAGAGGCGGCAGCGAGCTCTCGAGCTCGCGCACCTCGACACCGCTTGCCTTGAGCTCGGCCAGGATGGCCTCGGTATCGAAGTGCACGGCGGTGAATGGCGGCCGCTCGGCCTCAGGAGTCGGAGCTTGGCCGGCCGTCAGGTTGTCTGCTGCTCTCGCCGACTCAAGAGCCGGGTTCATTGGCTTGACATCAAGCTTCAGGGACGGTGGAGCTGCCGCAGCTGCAGCTGGCTCCGGCTCGGCAGCCCGAGGCGGCGTTGAGGCTTCTCGCGGCGGCAAGTCGTCTTCATCTTCGTCATACTCGTAGGCGCCAGCAGCGCCCGCAGTGCCACCTGCAGCCGTGGCCGAGGCCTGGTAGCCGGGCACTGGCGATGATGTGCCAGACGTGCTGCTCGAGGCTGGGTCTTTGCTGCCCTTGCGCCTGAAGATCTTGCCAAAGCCGCCGGTCTTGGTCTTGACGGTCTTGAGCTGCAGCTGCTCCTCCTGCGCGGCGAGCGCCTCCGCCTCGCGCACGATCTCTCGCTCCGGGATGTTCGCCATGTCCTGTAGTGGAAAGTCAGTACTCGGCTGCCAGGGTCGAGCGGCCACACGCACCTCTGGCTCGTCGAAGTAGTCCGCCGTCGTGCGGAAGCCAAGCTGGTCGAGGACTAGCGGCATGAAGGCGCGGTACTGCAAGTGGCCCGGCACCGTGTTGGTGACATCGATGTTCTCCAGGTCCGGCACGCGCTCGACTGGATGCAGACCGGCAATGGACCGCAGGCCGCCAGTCGTCGCGCGGAAGAGGTAGCCAAGGATCCAGTCCGTGCTCGAGAAGGCTGTCGCACGACTGTCAGCGAGCGCTCAGAAGGGCGGTCCACTGCTTCACTCACCGTTGACGAAGCGGCCAGACACGACGCTGCGCGCTTCCCGCCAGGCCGCATCAGTTGCCGTCACTGGTGCGCCGATGAGGTAGACGTTCTGCACGATGCCGAACTTCTTGTTCTTGGCCAGCTCCTGCAGCGCGTAGAAGATGGAGCGTGCGCCCAGGCTGAAGCCGACGAGCGTCACGGGCCGCACGCCGAGCTGGCGCCGCGAGAGCACGTCGGCGAGAATCAGGCCTGCCGACCACGAGCGATCGAGGGCGTTGCTCCACGGGTTGTCGATGAACAGTCCGAGCTTCGTGAGCCACAGCGGCCAAGCCAGAGCTGAGAGCGCAGAGTCAGCAGGTGCACACGACCCATTTCGCTTGACGCGCTTACCTCCGACAAGACCACCTGCGATCGTCGCAGCGAGCACCTGCTGCAGGCCCTGGATCATCGTCTCGCTGTAGAGCAGGTAGATGGCGTCGCCCATCTCCTGCATCATGTCGGGCTCCCAGAGCACGCTGAACACGTCGCCCATGATGCTGTCGATGACGGAGAAGGGCAGACGCGGATCGTCCTGCGCGCCGTTCATGAAGCTGCGCGAACAGCCGTCAGCTATACTTGTCCGTCTGCTGCACAGCTGCCACACTCACCCGCCCATCGTGACGATGCAGTTGACGCGCTTGTTGTTGTGGATCGGCCGGAACTCGAACGTGCGCACGCTGCGGGTCCTACGGCTCATGCCTCGGCCACCGATGGCCATGCCGCCGGCCGTCGCTGTGCTAGTGATGATCGCAGCGCCGCCCACGCCGCCAAGGAAGGTCGTGGTGCCGCCGATGCCGATCGTTCCGAGCGCCGCACCGAGGCCCGCACCGATGACAGGTGCGAGCAGGCCCGCAGACAGGCCGATGACGATGCCGCCGCCCACGGTCGCCAGGCCCATCATGACCATGCGGCGCTTGCGTGCCATCTCGGCGCGCTTGCGCACGGCCTTCTTGCCGCGCAGGCTGCCCGCGACGCCCTCCTCGATCTCGAGCGCGTCCGTGACGCGCTTCTCGAACTTCGTCACGTCCATCCACGACAGGCCGAGCTGCTCGGCAACCTCCTCGAGCAGCACACGCGAGCGCGCGTCGTAGACGCTGTCGGCAGTGAGCACGAGGAAGAGGTCGCAGAGCACGGTCCAGCGCAGATCCAGCGTGATGTGCTTGTCGGCGCTGCTGAGCTCCGTCGTGACGCCCTCCAGCGCGGATGGCAGCGTGTCGATCGCCTGCGGCGCAGCAGTCAGGCCGAGCGCCTGGCCAGCGTTGCCTTCAGCGAGCTGAGCGGCCGTGTTCGGGTCAAGTGGAGCGCCATTTGTCTCAAGCGGCGGCTTCTCGGCGCTGTCGTCGCCGTCTTTCGCTTCTGACTCGTCGGGCAGAGCAGCGAGCGAAGCCTTGGGCGTCGTGGGGCTTAGCTCGGCCTTACTTGGCACCGGCGTGCTGAGCTGCTTCGACTCGACGACCTTCGTGGCAGATCCGCCGATATCGCCGTCCTCGTCGTCATCATCGAGCGCAGCGCCAATGTCTCCATCGTCTGCGTCGTCTTCGACTGGCTGAGCCTTGCGCTGGTACGGCGGCGGTGGCGCCTCATCCTCTTCCAGCGACGCTCCGATGTCGCCTGCGCTGTCGTCGTCGCCGCCGCCGCCCAGATCGCCATCGCCCTCTGGCACGGCGTCCTCCTCGAGCGCGACGTCGGACACCTTTTGTGCCACCTCCTCTGCTGCGGTGTCCGCCTCCGGAGCCTCTTCGGCAGGCGACTCAGCGGCAGGCGTGCTCGAAGAGGTTTTCTTCTTCTCTGCCTCTGCCTCCTCTATCCGCAGAGCCTCGGCCTTGAGTCGTTGCCGCTCCAGCTCTTCTTCCCGCTCGGCCTCAGCCTCGGGGTCAAAGTCCGGATTGTCGACGCTCTTCGTTGTGACGAGGCTCGGGGCCAGGTCAGTCGACAGGACGCCGTGATGCGCCAGCGACTCGATCATGTTTTGTTCTGCCCGCACGCAGATCAGTACAGGCACTCCTTCTGCGCCGCTGCTGCACACTCACCTGAGACCTCGATGTCCATGTGCTGGTACAGCCGCGCCATGACGCGCGTACACCACTCTTCGGCGGATGCGACGCTCGGCTGCATCTCCTTGCCGGGTACGCGTGCCAGCCGGCGCACGAGCTCCTTGGCGACGAGGCTGACGAGGCCCACGTACGCGATCTTCTGCCCCTCGCTCAGCAGCTGCTTCGTCGTGGCCAGCTGGCTCAGCGGCGTGGCGCCACTGCCGGCTGTCGGCTCGTACAGGCCGTCGTCGGCAGCACGATTGCCGGCGGCTGGCCCGCCGAAGAGGTACTCGGTCGCAGCATGCAGCTCTTCGCCCTCGACGTCGTCGTCGAGGCGCAGCTGCGTGTAGCCCTTGCTCGCGCCCTCGTCCTCGTCCTCCGACGAGTCCGAGTCGTCGCTGCCCGCCTTCTTCTTGCCCTTCTTGCCGCCGCCGTCGTCGTCATCGTCGTCGAGTATTCTGTTCTGCGCAGCGGCGCGTGCTGCGGCCTCGGCCGGCGACACTCGCCAGTTGTAGCCGCGTGCATCGTCGACGTTCAGCGACTGGCCCGTGGCATTGCCCTGCGCCCCACCCGGCCCCATGCCTGAGATGCCGGCAGCGCCGCTTGCCTGGACGCTGCGCTTGCGCCCGTGCCCAGACGACTTCTGGCGGCGCCGCCGTGCACTGCTGGCGCCCGGCGCACCATAGCCGGCGTCGTCGTCGGACGACGAGTCGGACGTGGAGAGATCCCGGACCACGGGCCTGAGGGCAGGCGTCAGCGCCGGCGGCACCAGAGGCAGATCACTCTACGTACATCTCCTGCCACTCGTCATCGTCGAAGAAGGACTGCATCATCGACATGGTGCTGCGCGGCCGCGCTGAGCAGGACACCGGCCGGCAGGAGCGTGGGACGTGGCCGCAGCCCGAGGTGCCGAGTGGAGGGACGGACGCTGCAGGCGTGTGCGAGTGCGCAGTCGCGGATGTTTCGCAGGCGGACCAGGTGCGCTGTGCACCGGCGACGAAGCAGCTGGATGCGTGGGATGAGGCCGAGCTAGGATGATGTGGAGAGGAGTGTCGGCGTGATCGGGCGCCTGAGGCTGGCTGAGGAGGCAAGCCGGGAGCAGCAGCGCCCGTGCAGCGCCGCCGCGGTCTCCGCGGCACGGCGGCCAGCGGCAAAGGCGCTGCCTTCCTCCGCGCCATCAACATCCTTCTCGCCGCCCTCGCGCCTCTTGCTTCCCTTCCATCCGCATCGCCGCACCTCATCCACGCCATGCCGCCCCAGAAGACGACGCCCGCTTCCAACGGCGCCGCAGCCGCACCCGCTGCTGCGCCCGCGGCTCGCGGCACGAAGCGTGGCCGCGCCGACGCCGACAGCGAGGCCGAGGCGAGCAACAAGACGGCTCGCACTGCCGCCTCGGGCAGCACCAGCGCCGCCGCTCCCGCAAAGAAGCGGGCCGGCTCGCGCGCCTCGTCGCCGGCAGCACCGGCGGCCAAGAAGCGCACTGCCTCGCGCGCCTCGTCGCCCGCGCCGCCGCCCACGCCCGCCAAGAAGCGCGCCGCCTCGCCGGCGCCCAAGCCGGCGGCGAAGCGTGTCTCGGGCGCCGGCGCTGCCGCAGCGGCGCCGAGCAGCAGCAAGACCCGCGCTGCCACTGCCGAGCCGTCTGCCTCGCGCCGTGCGCCCGCCACGGGCCCGCGCTCGCGTGTCGCCGGCACGCCTGGCCCGGGCGGACGCCGCGGTGCACCGGCATACGTGGTGCGGACGGGCATGAACCCGCTGCCCGCACCGCTGCCGCCGAGCAGCGACGGCGCCAACGAGCTCTTCGTCTTTGGCAACGGCGACATGGGCCAGCACGGCCTGGGCACGGACGCTATCGACGAGATCAAGCGCCCGCGCCTGCACGTCTGGGTCGCCGAGAAGAACCGCTCGGAAACGCTCGGCAAGGGCGGCATCGAGAGCATTGCGGCGGGAGGCATGCACACGCTGGCCATCGACAGCACCGGACGGGTGAGTGACTCGCAGCCGCGTGCCCGACATCTCGCTCACACGCTGTCTGCAGGTGCTGAGCTGGGGCATCAACGACAACGCGGCGCTCGGCCGGCGCACGACGCGCGAGACGGGCGTCGACGCAGAGGTGTACGAGACGGAGCCGATGCCCGTCGAGGGGCTGGGTCCGCAGGGTCGCGGCCCGCTGGCTGGTCCGCTGCCCGAGGGCGGCAAGGAGGGCGACGTCGAGACGTTCCGTGCTACGCGTGTCGCAGCCGGCGACTCGGTCAGCGTCGCGCTCAACGACCGCGGCGAGGTGCGCGTCTGGGGCAGCTTCCGCGTGAGTGCAGCCGGACGCCGGTGCCATGCTCCTCTCGCTTACTCTTGCTGCAGTCCAACGACGGCCTGCTCGGCTTCGACGGCCAGGTCGGCTCGGAGCGCACGCAGTTCCAGCCTGTCGCACTGCCGTCCCTCACGAAGCACTCCTTCGTGCAGATCGCATGCGGCGATGACCACGTGTTGGCGCTCGCGACGGACGGCAGCGTCTTCTCGTGGGGCAACGGCCAGCAGTCGCAGCTGGGCCGGCGCATCATTGAGCGGCGCAAGATCAACGGCCTGACGCCCGAGAAGCTCAACCTGCGCAAGATGGTCGTCGTCGGCGCCGGCGCGTTCCACAGCTTTGCCGTCGACCACAAGGGCGAGGTGTGGGCGTGGGGCCTAAACAGCCTGCACCAGCTCGGCCTCGACACGGCCGACGACATTGTGCCCGTGCCGCAGCGCGTCGAGCACCTCTCCCCCAAGGCGCTCGGCGGCGCGCGCGTCGTGGCCATCACCGGCGGCTCGCACCACTCGCTCTTCCTGCTCTCCGACGGCCGCGTGTTCGGCACGGGCCGCTGCGACGGCTGCGAGCTGGGCCTGGCCGAGGACCACCCTGCCAAGAAGAAGGTCGAGGAGACGCGCGTGCTGTGGGAGTCGAAGCGGCGCGCCGAGCTCGAGGAGGAGCGCAAGGACTGGACGCGGCGCATGGCCGAGAAGCGGCAGCAGCACGATGACGCCGGCGCCGACGCCGCGGCGCTCGGCATGGTCGTCTCCGAGGGCGACATGGAGCCGACGATGGGCCCGCCGCCGGACGAGTTTGTGCCGCAGCCGGTGCACATTCCCTTCCCGCGCGCCGCCGACGGCAGCGAGACGCGCATCCAGAGCATCGCCAGCGGCGCGCGCCACAACATCGCCGTCGCCGTCGACGGCACGCCGTACTCGTGGGGCTTTGGCGTCAGCTCGCAGCTCGGCCAGGGCGATGAGGAGCAGATGGAGACGCCGACGGCCGTGCGCTCCAAGCAGATCCTCGGCTTCCGCACCGTCGCCGCCACCGCCGGCGGCCAGCACTCGGCGCTCCTCGCCGTCAAGCGGCCCGAGGCGTGAGCGGCGGCATGCATACATCTCTCAACGGTCCACATCTCTCTAGCAACGGCAGCACGTCGTCAGGTGTGGCATTGCGCGCGTGCGACAGCTCAAGTGGGCGCTGCGATGGGACAATGCGTGGGTGACAGGGTGACGAGCACGGGGAGAGAGGGTGAGGAGCATGGTGGACGAGCAGGGCAGGGACGATGCGGAAGGTGGGCTTGGCGCGCTGGCCGCTCGAAGATCGAGCCGGCGCTGTGGTGCTCGCGTCAGTGTATGCTAACAAGCTGATCCAAAGGCATCACTCACCTATCGGACGCTCGAGGGGCTGCTCAGTTGAGCTTGTCGACCGAGCGCATCGCGCTCTGCAGAGCCATGGTCAGCCGGAGTCGCGGCGCATACAGCGGGTCGTGCTCACCTTGGCCTGGCCGCTGGCGTTGGTCCAGCGGACCTCGACCATGTCCGAAGAGTTGCCGTTGCCGAAGCTGGCGATCTTGCCGCTGATCTGTGCGACGATGGCAGCAACGTCGGTGGGGGTGACGGTCGGGACGCGAGGGTAGGATGATGAGCGATGGACAGGCGTGCGCTGCTGGCCGAAGGCGTCAGCCACGCACAGTGTGCTTTCCCACCGTGATATCGACTGCGGGCGGCAGCGTGCGGTCAGCCATGGGCCCTGGATGCGATGCGGCTAGTACGCACCCTTGTCGCCGACTGTGGAGCGCCCGGCGGTCAGCAGAGGCAACGACGAGCAGGCGACGGCGGCGAGGACGCACTCTTCCACTCGGACTCGGAGGGCATGGCGAAGGGGTGTGTGGGCTGGAGGTGTGGGTGCAAGGTGGTGTGCGAAGGCGACGACGACGAGGGTGGTTGGCGTTGGTGTGCGAGCGAGGTGGTGGTCGGGAGAGCAGCCGGCACAGCGCTGCGCTCGCCTTTTGAGGGGTCCTGGACAGGCGCACCCGCGGCGGGGAGCAGGCAGGCCACCGGCGGGCGCGAGCTGCTGCACCCGGCGGGAGCAGCCCACCTCCACCCGCTTTCAAATGCGGGCAGTACAGTGATGTAGTCGCACTACAAGGTCGGCGTGCGGCCGCGGTGGCCGGCGGCACTTCCACGCTGCGCCGGCCGGCCGCGGGCCGACAGAGCAGGACGAGGCAGCACCAAGGGCAGCGCGTAGAGCACAGGCGTGGGAGCAGCGCGTCGCGCCGGGAAGCAGCGGCAGCAGGGCACGGCTGCGCTTGGGCCGCTGCCTGCGAGCACGGGGCGCATCGTGCGCTTCGCCTCTTGCCACATCAGCATACACGTGCTGCTCGCCAGTCTAGAGAGCCCAGCGAGCCAGCCGAGCGGCGAGACGTGGCAAAAATCGAGCGGCTATGCTTCAAGAGCCATTCATCCCGCCAGCGAGACGGGTGCTTGCTCTCAGGGGCTCGGCCGCGCCGCTGCCTCGATCGATCGCACTGCCGCGCGCCGCGCGGCGGCTCTGCCAGCACATCGCGCGCGCCGCGCCCGAGCTCATCATCTCGTTCCATCTTCACACCTCCCACTACCAACCACACGGCATGCAGTACCGCGTCACTACCCAGGAGCAGGCGCGCAGGCTGCTGGAGCGCTGCACCACTCGCGAATACCTCGTCGCTGCATCGGGCGCTGCCGCTGCCTGGAAGCTGCTCCGTAACGCCGACGAGCCCACAACGCTCTCGTTCAGCACCGTGCTCGACGAGTACCGCCGGCGCGCCGATCCTCTCATCCAGCTGCAGGCCGTGGCGCTCGTCTCGCCTGAGTTCTACCTCAGCCAGGCGCAGTTTGAGCTCTACACCGGCGACGACTTTGAGCCGGCCGAGCACCATGACCTTGCCGAGTGCCAGCTCTCCGGGCCGACGGCTGCGCAGGACAGCGCCTTTGCTCTCAGCTTTGCCAACTCGTCTGAAGTTGTGCCCGCTGGCGCCAAGCGCAAGGCTGGCACGGCCGCAGATGCAGCTGCCAAGCGCCGCAAGATCAAGGACGAGCCGGCATTGGGCAGCCAAGAGGACGAGGCAAGCGGCGCTGTCAGCGAGCACGAAGGACCTGCGGGCAACACCGAGGTCAGCGTGGCTGCGTCTGCAGAGTCCAGCGTGCTGAGCTGCGCTGTTCGCTTTGGGGGCAACCTTGGCGCATTTGCGCAGCTCGTCGACGCTGCGCTGTCCCTGTCACGCCCGCACGGGCAGCTGGACATCTCGAAGCTGGACGGCAAGTACGGTCTGGACCTCTGCACCGACGTCATGCGCCGCTTCATTGAGTCTGTCAGCGCTGCCAACACAAGGGCGCCGCCGGCAGTTCTGAAGCGCTACGACGGCAAGGGTGACCCGCTTGCCTGGATCGACCTTGTCGAGAGTAACGAGAAGGAGCGCGCAGACACTCCCGTCGAGAGGCTCAACAGCTGGTTCTGCTTGCTCGGACGTCTTGTCGAGATGCATCGGCGCAAGCTGTCGCCCAACACCATAGCCGGTGTGAACAAGAATGCCTCTATCTCACCTAGCGGTCAGGTGCAGACGGTCTTCCGCTCCGACGAGGAGGTGAAGAGAAATCTCTTGAACATGCAAGAGGCGCATAGGGCTGCACGGCACTTTGCTGCTTGCCTGTGTTACAGCGGCACTCTTGGCGCTGCGGTTGCATTTGCCGTCTGTCCGTCAATTGTCGACGCCTTTTCTGGTGACGATGGCGGCGACATGAGCGTACCGCTGGTAGACCTGCTAGGTACGCGCGAGGAGTGGTCTGGCTGCGCTCCTCGAGTCCACGACGGCTGGGACAAGCTCTACCTGCTCAACAAGACGCTCTACGACGCCTTCGCCAACGTCCATGAGCACTTCTGGGCCTCGCTCATCTTTAAGCTTCATGACCTGTTCCCAGTCAAGAAGATTTCGTGGAACGGCCAAGAGCCGTGGGACCTCGAGGAGCTTGCGAAGGCAATCGGACACAGCCAGGACTACAGTTGGTCGTCTTTGCTGGTGGGCGGAGGCGGTTCGTACGGCAACCACGACATGCCATCGGTGAAGAAAGTCAATTGGCCCTCTGTCATCGACGAACGCGATCTTCTGCGCTGCGACAAGCTCTACGGCAAGACGGCTCGCCCCGAGAAGGTGCCCAGGCACGAGCTTCCTGCGGAGGAAGAGCTTGTCCGCGTGGGCATCTGCGGCTCGACGGCGCTGCCGGAGCTGATCGCGGCGCACAAGCCGACGCCACCACCCTCGCCGCGGCCAGCACCGCCGGCCAAGAAGGCCAAGAAGCCTGCTGCGCCCAAGAAAGCGCCGGCCAAGAGCAAGAAGACGACGTAGTGTGCTCCAAAGAAGGCGCGACGTACTGTGGGGCCTGCCCGAGCGAGGCGAGGTCGCAAGCGACAGCACCCCGCGATGTGGCACCTTCGATGTGCCCCTCCCATCCTGTACAAGTTTGCGAAGCTCGAGTGCTGAATGCGATGCCATGCGATTCCCTCGACGCTCCTGAATTCATGATCGAGTGCGGCGAGAGCGCGCCCCCGGACTGCGCAGGCATGATTGCCTCAGGAGATTGCCTCAGGAGAGGAGCTGCTCCAGGGCCAAGACCGACGGTGCTGCCAGTGTCTTGTCTGCTTCTCGCGTGTCGCACGTGCGCGACGCTCTTCCTGCCGAGACACGCCTGCCTCGCGCACTCTGACTGCTGCGCTCCCTACCTCCGCCCTCTCGCACACACAGATAGCAGCATGCAGAATGGTAGTGTACAGCCATGGTGTAGCGTGGTGCGCAGGAACAAGCAGGACAGGATTGACGGAGAGAAAAGGAGGAGAAAGCTTCCCAGGGACTACTTGCTCGCGGCCGTGTTGCGCCAGGCCATGTACGGCAGGCGCATCACCGCGCTCTGCTCGCCCTTGCTGCGGTTCGAGCGGCGCGTCTCGACGATGTTGTCGCGCCAGCCGCCGGCAAGGTCCTAAAGAGCGAGAGAGATCGTGTGTGTCAGCAATGCGTCGCCATCGTGCACTGGGACGTCCAACTCACATGTGCGCGCTTTGCCATGCCCGGCCCGATGTAGGCGTGGAACTTGAGCAGCTGCGTGCGCAGCGCCAGCTCGCGATTGCCCTTGGCGCGCAGCCAGGCGAGCAGCTCGTCGACCTGTGGTTTAGGGGTGAGCGGACGGCATCGCTGCAGTGCTGCTGCGTCGGACTCACCTGCTCAGGCTCGCTGTACACGGCCCACTCGTCAGGCTGCAGCACGCCCTCGGCCTGCTGCTCATCCTTGCGGCGCTGCTCCAGATACTTGGGACCACGCTCGTTCTCGGCCAGCGCGATCTCCCAGTCGTCGCGACGAGCGCCCTGGACGAAGAGGCGACCAGTCGAGTAGGACACGGCGCCATTGGACGTCAGCAGCGACGCGCTGCCGATGCCGTCGAACCACCAGTAGCGGTCGAAGAAGCGGTCGCGGCCGAGCGGCGTCAGACGCGGCGCGAGCGCATGGCGGCGGAAGTCACGGTCGATGGCCTCGTCGCGCTTGTTGAGGCGCGCCTCTTCGTCGTCGAGGCGCTTGCGCTCCAGATTGACCTGGCGCGACTCGGCAGCCTTCTGCTTCGACGCCTCGCGCGCCGCCTGCAGCTCGGCCCGGCGCTCCTTCTCTTCCTGCTCGCGCTGCAGCGCGCGCTCGCGCAGCGCCTCTTGGCGCGACGGCAGTGCCGCTCGGCGTGCGCGAGCCTTGGCGTTGGCTGCCTTGCGCGAGGAGCGGCCGGCGCGCGAGTCTTCGACATCCGAGAGCGAACTGTTGCTTGGAGGCGAGCCCGGCGGCGTGCCCATCTCGCTCGACGACTCCAGCTCGTCCTTCTCCGAGTCGCTGTCGCCGGCAGCCTCTTCGGTATCGCCATTGCCGTTGGCCTCGGCGTCTGAGCCGTCCTCCTCGGCTTCGGCAGCCTCTTCTCCTTCCTCCTCATCACCCTCCTTCACGTTGGCTGCCTCGAACGCAGCACGGTCCTCAGCGCTGTGGTGGAGACAATGAGCAAAAGCTCTTTAGACTTCGGCTCCACGGGCTACTCACAGCTTCTTGCGGGCACGGCCGATCTCGACGCGCTCCTTGCGCAACTCGGTCAGGTGTGCCTCGCACTCCTCGTAGAAGTGCTTGATGGGCTTCGTCATGACCGCCAGCTCGCAGAGCGCCTGGATGGCGAGCAGCTTGTCGCTGAGCGGCAGCACGCCGTAGCGTGCCTCGGGCGACGCGTACGTGTCGGCGATGAACTTGCCGTCGATATGGCCGTCCGGGTGGGCGATGCCGGTGAGGTGAGACAGAATGCCCGTCAGACGCGGCATCGTCTCCAGCGAAGCACGCTGCTAGCGAGGGTGAGCAGCGCACACTGTGTCCGGACAACACTCGCACGCACCTTTGCTAGAATGCCGATCAGACTGGCCTCCCAGCCGTCGCGGTCCTCGTCTAGCTTCAGCACACGCTTGTCCCAGCCGCGGCCGATGTCGCGCGCGGCGAGGAGGAGCGCGTCGGCCTCGGCATCTGCCTCATCATCGTCGTCCTCCTCGTCTCCCTCGGGGGCAGGCGTGTTCGCAGCCGAGTCGAGCTGGTCGCTCTCCTCCGAGTCCGCCACGCTCTCGTCGTCATCGTCGCGCGAGGCGGCGCGCGCCGCAGCAGAGGCAGCCGCCTTTGACGCCAGGTTGGCTGGCGCGAGGTCCTTGGAGTGCGTGCCGTCGCGGACGACGATGTTGATGAGACTCGCGTGCACCTCGGCCATGAGCGTGCACGAGGGCTCGTTCGTCGAGTGCCGCAGCGCCGCCTCGTAGTCGTCGAGGCTGAACGGCGACAGCATGAGCGGCTTGCCGCACGCCTGCAGGAAGTAGTACGTGTTCATGAGGATCTCAAAGGTGTCGCGCGGCACCGGCAGCTCGCGGCTGGGGATCGGGCGGTCGCGGCGGCGCGGCAGCAGGTCCTCCTTGCCCTTCGAGTTAAGCTCGCGCACCGAGACGGGCTCGATGAGCAGGTCCTCGACGGGGTACTTGACGATCTTCTTCTTCTCGAGCAGGCGCTTCTCCTCCTCCTCGCGCTCCTTGGCCGCGGCAGCCTCGGCTGCGGTGAGGCCCGGGTCGCCCTTGATCTTGCGCGGCTTCTTGTTGGCGTTCGCCTCTTCGTCCTCGACGGTGAAGACCTGCAGACGAAGTCAGCGGGACAGAAAGCAGCGCAGACATGGGCAACTCACCTTCTTGCGCTTGCTCAGCTTGCCCTCCTTGATCTCGGCGTTCATGCGCAGCAGCTCCTCCGACATCTCCGTCGGGATGCCGAAGCGCTCGGCCAGGCTCGGGCGCACCGTCCACGGCGCGCCGACGGTGGCGTCGCGCAGCAGGCAGTCCTTCATGTACTTCTTTAGGATCGTCTTGGAGAAGGTGAGGCGGTCGCGCAGCAGCTGCTTGGGCTGCACCTCGGTGAGGCTGCCCACGAAGGCGTCCTTGTCGTCGAGGAAGCGCACGTGGTAGAGGTAGCGCGACGGGTCATCGAGCTCGTATGCCTCCTGCGCGTCCTTGTTGAGGTCTGCGCCGATCTGGTGCGCCGCCTTGGCGAGAATGGCAGACTTGGCCTCCTCGGAGAGCTCGCTCTCCTCGTCGCTGAGGTCGCTGAGGTCCGACGTCGAGTCGAACGAGTGCAGGCCCGGGCGCTCCTTGCTAGCGCCGTTCGTGCCGTTCTTGCTCTTCTTGACGTTGTTGCGCTCGACGCGCTCTGCCCTCGCGGCACGCTTCGCCGCCGCCGCCTCTTCGAAGGCCTTGCGCTGCAGCTCACGCGGCGGGTACACGCTGACGATGCGGGCCCAGTACCTTTGCAAGCAGAATGAGAATGCGACAAGACAGACGCTGGACAGACGACTCACCTCTCGCCAAAGCGCTCGACCATGACCGTCTCCTGCACGAAGAAGCGGTCCTTGAAGCGGTCGTATGCCTTGTCGACCAGGTTGTCCAGGCGGCCCGTGACGACTAGTAGAGCCTCATTCAGCCGCTGAATGCTGGCTGCACGCGTGCCGACCCGCTCGCGACTCGGTGGCCGCAAGCGCGACCCTAGTGTATGCCCCCGTTACTCACCGAACTGCACCGCCTTCAACACCGGGCCCTTGAGGCTCGCCGGGAACTTCTTCTGCGTGGCCTCCGCCTCGAGCAGCTCGCTCGTGTGTGCCTCGAAGAAGGTCAGGTTCTGGCGGCCCGAGACCTCGCACTGGAAGCGGCGCTGGCGGTAGAAGGACATGCGGGCGGCGTATGACCTGTGGGAGGAGCAATCTCAGCTGCGCGGTCCTGTACTGCCACCGAGATCTGCCCGAGCTGCTGCCATCACCAGTCGCGCCGTGCCAGGCCTTTATGGTGCGCACGACTGCTCAGCCGCTCGAGGACAAGCTTGCAGCCTTGCGACATAGCAAAACGCGTCGCAATGCCCGACCGTATCTGACTCATCGCGCCTCGTCAGCTCTACGCACTCATAGTCCAGGAACACCTCGCCCGTTTCTGCAAGATAGAAGGCCTCGGCGTCGGCATCGTGCATGGCCGGGTCCGGCGGCGGGACCATGTCCACGGGACGGCGCTTGATGAGCACCATGGCGGCCTAGTCGGCGCCGCGCGACGCGCGTAGGACGTGCTTCGTGCGAGGACGGCCGGAGTATGGCTCGACGCGACGAAAATAGGCCGAGGCGAGGAGCGTGGAGCAGCGGAGCAATGTGGAGGCAGCGCAGGGCACGGCCGGCGCACGGGGCAGAGGCAGCGCTGAGTGAGCGGTGCGAGTGGGTGAAGATGAGCAGCCAGATGCGCCGCAGACGAATGCGCGCGCGAGGAGGGTGACGGCGACGAGGAGAGATGCGCTGCTGACGGGACATGCGTCGGGCGTCGAGGATGGGCGGGCGGAGCAGCAGGAAGACCGGGGCCGGCCAGGCACGGCGCCTGTGTCGGCATCTGCCGCGCGGGAGACGCGTCGCGGCCGCGCCGCGCATGGCGGCGCCGCTCTGGCACGCGCACGGCAGATGGCATGGCGGGGCGCGACTGCCTCGCACCAGGTCGCCGTGCGCCCCTCCACCGCCCCGAGTCCTTCGCAGGCCCCACGAGCAGCATCTCACGCGACAAGAGAAGGCGCAGCGAGGCGATGTAGGACTCAAAATGCCGGCATACAGCACAGGCAGAGGACGCATCCTCTTAGGGGGTCCGATGGCCTGGCGAACGTGGTGTAGCCGATGCTCGGACGAGGACTCTCTACTGCAGGGTCCAAGACAAACCGCACCATCGCGTGCCCCAGCACACGCATCACGCACCTCACTCAAGTTGGCCACGAGCAGACAAGGCTTCGCAGGCGACATGTAACCTGCAAGTGTTGGTCTCGACATGGCAGCTGTAGGCTCGGTCTACAAGGGACAAGAACTTTCGGCGAAGCGGAGGATTCTTCTGGACCCCCCCCCCCCCCCCTCCGACGCCGATTATCATGTGTCATCACACGCAGCGCCGCTGACAGCATCAAGACGTGCGGGTGACTCGATCGTGTGTGTGCTGGCGAGACGTCTGCCTGATGCTGCCAGGTCCAGCTCCGAGCCGCCTTTGCCGGACCTCTGACGCTGACGCGTGCGCTGCTGCTGGCCGGAGGGACGCGCGCCTCTCGGAGCCGCACAAGAGGCCCCCACTGCCGAGTAGGTCTGAGAACGCGCAGCGGAGCGAGGGCCTGCATTGCAGCGCATTGCGTCCGAGAAGTGCAGGAAAACTTCCCGGGGTGGTGCATCTCGGGTACGCTCGAGACAAGAGGTCGGAGGCGAGGTGCGAGGCCAGAGGGAGAGGGAGGTGCGCCGCGGCGTGCGCGCCAAGCAGCTCGTCCATCCGCGCGCTCCGCATGCGGCGCTCACGCGTCTCTCGCGCGCACGCAGGCGCGTCCGTCACCTTTGCCCGTGTCGCAGGCGCCTTTCCGACAACTAATGCGGAGCCGCTCTGGCTTCTGGATCCGGACGACACTGGGACCTCGGAAGACGTGCGTTGGACCGCGAGGTGCTTCCTCCGGGCGCAGGCGCCGGCCTCCGAACTGTGTCATGGCGATCCACAGTGCGCTGTGGCGTGGGACCAGCATCGGCGCACTACAAGCGTGCGGGCGCCGGCTCGCTTCCATGCCTTTGCGCCCCCCAGAGCATCGCTGGCCATCGATCATCCGCTGACGTTCAGTGAGCCAGATCCGATGCTGCTCGACCACCCGCCCGTTCGCATCTGGCAGGACCAGCCTCCTGCGCAGCGCCACTCGCGCGTACCGTCGGCCGGCGGTGACAAGGAGCAGCATGGCTTGGCAACTACCGGCGGCCATCGCGTCCAGCAGAGCTCCAGGAGTGCAGCAAAGTCAGATCTTGCGACCCGTCGGCGGGCCCTTGAGGCCCGCAGAGCAAGACGTGCAGTCGCCGAGCTGCGCCATGGCCGCTCGAGGAGATTTGCAGTCCGCACCGGCTCGCCGTCGGACGTCGGCGCCTCCGCTCGAATTTGCTAGCTGTTGAGCAGCAAGGCGTGGTTTGGAAGCGAGCCGGCAGCCTCCGGAGCCCGTGACGTCCCTGTCTCTCGACTCAGCCGTGCGAAGTGCTTGCTCCGCCCGAAGGCGTCTCTGCCAACGTCACGGCGGCAAGGGTCGTCCGTGGGAGCAGGGCAGAGCGGGGCTCAGGCGAGTCGCTGCCCAGCAAGCGCAGCGCTGCCCGGAATGACGCCTGCATGCCTCTCCGCTCTGGGGGCCGCGACTCTGGGGAGCGTGAGCCGATGCGGTCTCCCCTGCGAGCCGCTGCGAGCTGGCCGCTGCGCCTGCTGCGGCGGAGGTGCCCTTTGCAGCGCCGCTTCGCCGTGCCCAGCTTCGTGCTCGGTGCAGAGAAGGATCGGCGAACGTGGCTCGTCTGCCGTCAGTCCCGCGTGCCCTCCACGAGGTTGGCAGCAGGGAGCGCATGGAGAGCTCGTCCACGCTTAGCGCCGCGTGCGCTGCCAGGGGCACGCGTCGCCCGTTCATGCTGCGGGCTCTTTAGCGCGCGGGCGACCCACCGCCGCAGCACGACCCGATGCCGACCCAGCCGCAGAGCCGCAGCTCCCAGAGGCGCTTCCTGGTGCTGCAGCGCTGGGTCACCGTCCATATCAATTAGTGCCCCTGTCAGCCAGGGGGCATGAGATGAAGAGCACGTCCATCATTGCTCATGCGCAGCTCGGGCACTCGCATCAGGAACGCCGACGTGAACAAGGGATGGGAAATGAAGGCCTACTGCTGAGAGCCTCCTGCAGCGGTTCGTCGAGCCTCAGCAAGAGCGAGCAGGGTGGCCTGCGGTAGCGCGAGCACATGCTGCGGATCTCGCGGCTGCCAGGCGCACGCAGATCTGCCCCTCGCCGCCCTTGCCGCAGACCAGCGTTGGGTGCGTGCAAGCCAGTCAATGTAGCGTGTGTGCAAGCGCTCCCTGCGTGGTGCAGCTTGCCAGCATCCAGGTGTCACACAGCGCACGAGAGGTGGCGCTCGCGGGAAGGTCGGCATTGCTCATGCCGGGCCGCGACGTGCGCATGCGGCGCTGGGTGCTGCGAGCGGGACGAGACGTGCCTTTCTTCCTGGAAGCTCTCGGCGCAACGACGCGGCCCTTGACCCGCTCGCTCGGCCAAGACGAGTGCCACACAACAACAGTCCGGCATGTGTGCGTCTCTCGGGTGCGGGTACACACGCACATGTGCATGCTTGGGCCGCAGGTGCAGCGAATGCGCAGAGCGTTCCGGAGGAGCGCACGCGGAGTATCCGGGCGTGGCGAACGCGGCGTTGCAGCTTGGGCAGCCCGCGCCCGCAGCCCGACGGTGCGGCGTGCGGCGCGCGGGAACAAGAAAAGCTCAAGCGCACCAGCACGCAGCGCAAAGCTCGGCACATCCGCACGCTTGGCGTGCGGCGAGCGCACGCACCCCGCCCGCATGCCGCAGGGTGCAGGCTGCGGCAGCGCAGCGGCAGCATGAGCGCTGCCGCCGACCGCCGAGGTGTGGCTGCAGCAGACGCAGATCCGCACAGCAGCGCTCTCTGATGCGCGTCCAAACGCGTCCGCCGGCCGCCTCGCCAAGTGTGCTTCTCCTCGCCGTCAATTGCCCGCGCCGCAAATGGGCAGGAGGAGAGGAGCCTCGGCGAGGAGGAGAGCGACTCGTGTGCGCTGCCGGCCGCCTTCGCGCTGCACGCTTCGCAGGCAAGCATGCTCGCGAGCCGGTCTAGGCTGCGCCTGGTGCTCGCCTGGCGCGCCTCATGCTGCTGCCAGCCGCTGCGGTCTCGGCGGCGCCCAGGCTTGGGAGCGGGTAGCGTGCAGCCATCGGCGCCGCATGCTGCTCTCACCACAGGTGCCCGCCGGCGCGCCGAGGCCGCTGCGGCGAGTGCCCCTCTCGGCGCCCCCTCTCGGAGCCCCTCTCTGTCAGCGCTCCACCGTCACTCGGGCCCTGACGATCCCTGACGTGCGGGCGATGCGGACAGCGCGGCCCTCGCGCTCGCGCTCGCCCGCACCCTGTCTCGGCGGTCGTCGCTGCAGAATATTCATTTTCGCTGCAGGGCCTGATTACGCATGGCATGCCGCCTGAGCGCTGTGCCGCGCCAGAGCCGCAGACCTGCGCTGCCGGATCCGAAGGCGGCGGGAGCTCCGCACCGGCGCATGCAGGCGCCCATCTCCGCCGCGCGTGCGAGTCCACCGCACCTGCGCAGGCACATCCGCTACGGCGAGGCACAGCGCCCGCGCCTGCGCTTGTTGCGCGCTGCGCTCTGCAGCGGCCCTCCAAACAGACGCAGCAATCCGCGGCACGCAGCAGCAGCGCAGCAGATGCAGCCGCAAGAGCAGCACCGCGCACACGGCCGCCACGCCTCTGCGGCGTGACGGGTACGCAAGGGGCAGGCGCCGCGCCGCAGATAGCCTGTCGCTGCAGCCTGTCGCGCACGACACCTGCCCTTCTCGGCGGGCCACGCCCCACGCGGCCCCCACCACATCTCGCGCTGCAGCGAAGCAGCCTCCAGCACGCAGTATGCGAGGCAATGCAGGTGCAGCATCAGCCGCTCAGCGTTCAGGTGGGACCGCAGCAGCAGCAGGAATGATGCGGTCGCGCCTCGGGCTGCGCGAGACAAGAGACGCAGCGGCGGGCAGGGCGGAGCACGGCGACGGCGCCTCGGGCAGAGGGCGGCAGGATGGCTGGCGTGCGCTCCAACGCCGCGATGCGGGTGCGGGTGCGGCCGTGCGGCAGCAGCGGCACCTCGGGCCGGGCGTGCGCTCCTACAGCAGCAGCAGCGCAACGCAAGCCCGGCAGCGGTGTGGACGCTGCCGCCGTGCCCGGCTCCGTCGCTTGCTGCGCGGGCGCTCAGCTGTGCTGCTGCCGCACGTCAGCGCGGGCGCAGCGAGCGGCGAGGCCGAGCCAAGCCTGCCGAGGTGCAGCAAGGCCCGAGGGTGCGGCGCCCGCCTTGCCGGCGTGCCGCGCCAGCAGCCCAGCAGCCGCGCCATCCGCGTCCGCTTCCGCTCGGCGCTCGCCGCCGCCGTCAGGCGATGCGCGGCCCGCCTCATAAGGCAGGCGCCGCGTCCGGAGGCGCTCCTCGCCGCCGCTTGCCGATCATCTGGACATCCTCTCCACTCGCCGTCTCCGCAGTCGCCGTCGCCGTCGCCGTCGCCGCTCCATCTCCTAGCCCCCATCTCCATCCGCACGCACGCACGCCTCTGGCAGCCGCACCTTGCCGCAGCAGCATCGCGCCCGCCGCCTCGGCCTCGTCGTCCACGATGTGGTCCATCATGACGCCTCCCACCTCGCCCGACAGCACGGCGCCGTCGGGCAGCGGGCTGGCGCTCCAGCCCGTGCGCTCCACATCGCCGCCAGCACAGCGCTCCAAGCTCGGCTTCTTCCGCAGCAGCGCCGCCAGCGCCGGCGGCCGCAGCGCCAGCTACAGCGCCGCGTCGCCGACGGCCAGCAGCAGCAAGCTGGCGGCCGCCGCCGCACCGTCGACGCCGCCGCAGCCGCCCTCCGCCAACTTTGGCTCGCTGGGCCGCCGCACGCGCCGTAGCCTCACGCTACCGCGCAAGCTCTCCATCTCGAGCATGCTCGACTTCGCGCTGCCCACCGCCGTCGAGGAGGTCGCCTCGTCGTCCTCCACTCCGGCGCCGTCGCCGCCCGTCGTCGAGGAGAGCGAGGGCCCGCGGACGCCGCGCCGCAGCAACATGCCGCTCAACGGCCGCGCCCGTGCTTTCTCGCTGCGCTTCCAGCGCCGTCTCTCCGTCGTGCGCTCCACCGTGTCGGACCCGGAGTGCAGCTCGGCATCGGCGCCGCTGCCGGCCGCCGCAGAGGATGTGCGGTCCGCGTCGCCTGCCAGCGCACGCGCATCGTCTTCCGACGGCAGCGAGGGCCGCCGCCTCTCGCACCGCCCGTCGATCGAGAGCTTCCAGTGCCGCGGCCTCGAGGACGACGAGGCGCACTACAGCGACGGCTCGGCGCACTACGAGCGTGCCGCCATGCCGGGCCTCTCGTCGGGCAGCGCCGAGAACGACCTCGACGGCCTGGGCATGCTCACGCCGCGCGTCACCTCGTACGCCGACGCCATGCTGCGCATGCAGGACTTCACCTTCGCTGCGTACGACGAGCAGCGCGAGAAGGCACTACCCTCTGTCGAGCCGCTGTTCAACGTTCGCGCCTCGTCGAACCAGCCCTCGGCCCTCAGCCTGCGCCGCCGCAGCCCGTCGCGCCTCGTCACGCCGCCGTCGCTGTCGAGCATCGCCACGCCGGCACGTCCGCCGCGGCCCGACTCGATCCGCTACGTCTCGCCGTCGCCGAGCTCGGTCGCCACCTTCTCCGTCGCTTCGTCGCTCTCCGGGCACGACGGCCGCGAGTCGATGGACGGCGACGACGCTGCGTCGCTCGTGTCGTACAAGGCCGTGTCGTGGACGGCCTGCCCGCCGACGCCGCCGTCGTCGCTGCGCCTGCGTCTGCGCTTCTTCGGCCGTCTGCCCAACAGCAGCCTCTCGCCGCCGTCGCCGAGCACGCCGGCGCCGATGAGCCGCAGCAAGTCGGCGTCCGACGAGCAGATCGTGCCGACGCCGCTGTCAAGCGTCTTCATCCCGAGCTGTGCCTCGGGTCTTGAGCTGCGCGAGCTGCTTGCTGAGCGTCTCGCGACCAAGGGCATCACGCTCTCGCCGCGCAGCCTCTCCGTCTCGCTGCGCCTCGGCCTGTCCGCCGGCTCCAGCTCGGCATCACCCACGACGCCGACTGCGCTGGGCCTCGCCTTTGGCTCGCCCGCCGACGGCTGTGTGCGCCAGCTCGACAATATCGACGCGCTCTACGAGCAGGGCCTCCTCGACGACGACGAGATCGACGTCTGCATCCGTCCCACCTACGAGTCGTCCTTCTTCTAACTCTACCTCCTCACCTTATGCGGTGCTTTCTCGCCACTGTCTCCACTGCCTTGCTACTTGCCTCCTTCCGCATCACTCCTCGCTCGCTGCAAAGCGCAGTCCTTCTCACGCATTACCCGCAACTCTGCTTGAGCCCACGCACGTCTGTTTACCCCCCATCTGCAGCGCATCATACATCTCTGCGCAGCCGCTCTTCCCTCGTCACTCTGCCTCCATTCAATACCACATTTGATCTGCCAGTCCAATTTCGTGACGCGGTGCGCGGGGGTGACATGAACGAGGCAGGCCATCAGGTCCACGCGGGACTGACGGCCTCGAGGAACGAGACGCTCCACGGCCCGAAGCAGCGGCGAGAGGGTGGGTAACAGGCATTGGCGGCGGCGAGCGCCTCGAGCAGCGCCGCGCAGCTGCGCGCCGGGTATGTGAGGCGCTCGACGGCGGCGGGCATCGACCACGGCACGGCCGTGGCGCCGCCGACGCTGCCCTGCTGCCGCTGCTCGTGATGCTCGGCGACCTCGTCGGCAGTGAGGTCGCGGAAGAAGACCTTGGACGCCGTCAGGACGACATGGCCGCTCTCGTCCGGAGAGCTGGCGTGCAGGATGCGCGACAGGCGTGGGGTTGGAGACAGCGACAGCTGGCACGAGGCGAGGAAGAGCCAGAGCTGGAGGCGAGGCGTCAGCAAGAGGCGCATGTCATGGTCCGCGGCGTGCTCACCATGGCTCGAGGACGGCCGGTGTCCTCCTCCTCGACGACGAAGTGGCGCGCGGCGTGTGCTTGCGAGAGCTGATAGAGCTCGTTGGCGGCCAGGATGGGAAACAGCGATGGGCACGCAGTCGCGACAGACTCGGTGATCGGCAGGAGCGCTCTCTTGTGCAGGCGGACGGAGGCGTCTTGCAGCGCCGGCGGTTCCGGCGACGACGGCTGCCCGAGCTCGAGGTTTGGCGCTGCGTAGCCGAGCGCGACGCCGCACGCAGCGCAGTGCAGGTCCCAGAGAGGCTGCGAGGCCTAGAGGGTGATCAAGTGTCAGTGGCATTCGGAGCAGCGCAACTGCGGTGCGAGCAATGTGTCTCCCGTGAGTGACCCGGCTGTCAACGGCTCTCTGACAGCCGAGTGTATGTAAAGAGACAGACAATGTGGGACTGTTGGTATCAGCCGATGCGACAGCCCCGAAGGACCGCGCCCGCCTGCAATCTCCACGTCTAATCAGGCATAAGGTGCGAGCTGGTCACCGGGACAGGCCCAGCTTGCATACCTGCGTACACACTGCAGAGCAGCGCCGCGGTTCGCAGGCCGAGAGGCTGTCCGTGGTGCACAGCTCAGCACCAGACCAGAGGGACGCAGAGAAAGCACGCGCGCCGGTGGGTAGTCCGACGTCGACCTTCTTTAAGTCCGGAGCGAGAAGCCGAGCCAAAGACAGAAGCCGCGCCGCACTCACATCGCTGGATGTCGGCCGCGACTCCATACGCAAGCTGCCCGCCGACGCGCACGCGCCAGGCCAGGCGATCAGCGCATCAGCGACCCACGCGTCGCCATCGGCGATCCTGCGGCCCTCTTCCATGCCTTCGCGCCCGCGCGTGACGCTGACGTTGATCTCCTGGTCGTCGTGGCACATCCACGCGTCGATGAGCTCCTCCCAATGCTGCGACGGTAGCGCACGATACGTCTTGGTGCCGCTCGAATCGATGATGACTTCTTGACAGGCGTCACACGCAAAGTGCGAAGGCAGCCTGCGCTGCAGCACCTCGGCTGACAGCGGCGCAGAGAGCAGAGCGTCTGATGTGCCTCTTTCCGAGTGTGACGCCGTCTGCAGCTTGAATGCGAAGTGATCGTCGCCGAGCGTGGCCGAGCCGCTCTGTGCCGCCTCGACAGGCACCGGCAGCAGGAGAGACGCCGGCGCGGCACTCCCATCCGAGACCGAGACGCTCACAGCCTGTGACTGGCCACCAGCGCCCGTATCGAAGGAGAGTCGCGACGCTGCAGAGTTGGTGTCCATGCTGCAGATGACCGACACCGCGCCTAGCTGTCCATGGCACTCGGCGATGTACGCAGCTCTGTCGTCCATGCCGGACGCGTCAGGGCGTGCCGTGGCGAGCTGCACGCCGCGCTCTGCACACTCACCAGGTGCGGCGCGACTGCTCGACGCAGCAGCCGCAGTCTCGCCAGTGGAAGCCTCACCTGGCGCTGTGTGCGCAGTGGCACTCTCCGCCGGAAGCACCCGTGGCGTCTGGAGCGGTGTGGCAGAGTCGGGAGTGTCGAGGACGGAGCTTGATTGCTCTAGGTCCAGAGCCTCGGGCACCTTCTTGCGGTAGCTCGGCGACCGCAGCGGCAGGCTCGGCGAACCAAGAGGAGAGCGACCGGCGGCGTCGAGTCTTGTGCGTGCAGCGCTGACAGAGGAGAGACGAGCCGTGCCGCGGTGAGACGGCGGAGCGGCATCTTGCCCGTCCATGCGACGCGTGCTGGCCAGCATATTGAAGAGCTCGTCGTCTTCGTCGGCGTGCGACGCCGCGTCAGGAGCGTCACCAATGCCCTGTGACTCGCTCGTCAGCACAGATATCTGAAGTCCGACGCACAGCACTCACCAGACCCATCTGCGCCAGCTTGCTCTGGCGGCCCTGAGAGGTGTGCGGCCGCTGAGCGGTGCGCGGCCTCATCTGGGCCTGCTGGTCAGAGAAGCGCATCTCGTTGGCGGCGCGGATGCCGTCGAAGAGTGGGTCGAGGTCTGCTGCAGTCGGCCTCGTCTTCTCCTCGCTCTTCTCGAAGGTGTATTCGGACATCGATGAGCGCGGCCCACTCTCCCGCCCCTTCCCCTTGATGTCGAACGTGTGGTTCGCCGCACGCCGCAGAGACTGGAGCGAGCCGCCAACGCTGAAGCGACGTGCGAGGGAGTTGCGCACGGCAAAGGAGCCCACTGGCGACCGAGGCGCGGGAGCTGGCGCCTGAGTGGATGAGGAGGCCTGGCTGCTCGTCACAGGCGCAGCACGCTGCTCCTCCATGCGCCCGCCACGGGCCAGGCGCTCGACGACGTCTTCGAGCTTTGCATCGCGCTGCAGTCGCGGGCTCAGCGCGACGCGCTGGTCGTCCAGCTGCGGCACGGCCGAGTACAGCCTGTCGATGCTGCTCTCCACAACGCGCAGATCCTGGCTGGTCCGCGCAGCGTACGCAGAAGTTGCCGACGACACCTCTGGGCGCTGCATCTCCGGGATCGCCTCAGGCCGGCTCTTCTCGTCCAGGAGCAGCTTCTTCTCCTCGCGCGAGCCCGAAGGCAAGTGGCTTGCGTAGGCCGGCAGGCTGGCGTTGGTCGAGGATGCACTCAGAACGCTGTCGCGTCTGGCGGCGTCGTTGAGCTTAGCCGTCGGCGAGCTAGCGCCGGCAACAGCGGGTGTGGTCCATGCACGCAGGCTCTCCTCGCTGTAGCGCGGCGGAAGATGCCCGTGCGTCGTCACAGATCCCGACTCGCGCTTGAGACTGGGCGAGCGATGCTGGATGCGCTCTTGAGCCAGCGGAGAGTTGGCCGAGGCCAGTCTGGGACTCTGCGCCAGCGCAGCGTGTGCCTGACTGCCGGTGCTGTGCATGCTCAAACGGGAGCGTGCACGGACGGGCTCCTCTAGCATCATGTCGCCATTGAGGGACGAGGTGGTGCTGCCATGCCGACTGCGGCTGCGGAACGACAATGACGGCGAGTCGAGGATCGAGCGAGGGTGAGGCTGGACGAGACGCTGTGCTGCCACGAGCTCGCGTGTGATGCCGAGAAGCTGCGAGAGCTGCTTCCAGTTGGCCGAGTCATCGAGCGTCCCGGACGCAACATCGGCAGGCGTGTTCCGTGCCGAGCTGAGCGTGCTCTGCGCCGGATAGAACGGAGCGCTGGTTGGCGGACTTGGGGAGTGCAGCAGCGGGCTGCCGCGGCCGTTTGCCATCAACGGCGAGCCTGCGGGTGCGCGAGGGCTGCAGCGCAGCACGAGGTGACCCATGAGCGAGTGCAGATGCGTGAAGACGTCCTGCTCGCTCTGCGCGGACTCTGCGAATGGATCGCGCAGCTCTTCGCGACTGGCGCTTGGGCTTGAGTACATCGCGCTGATGTTGCCGGCGCTGCCTTGCCTGTTCCGCCGAGTCATGCCCGGCCCACTGATCTGCGAGGCTCGGGCCGTCTCAGAGCGAGTCAGACTAGTGTCGCCGTCCGCTGAGCCGCTGTTGCCGCCCGAGGCAGCAGGCTCTCGCACGCGATCCAGGCCGGAAAGCAGCGCAGCGAGCGCAGTGGCCAAATTCAGGTTGTCGAGTGCCGGCGAGCCAGTCGAGGGCCCGGGCGCAAAGGAGAAGCGGTCGAGCTCCATGTTGAGCTGCTCGATGAGCGCGCTGAGCTCCGGACTGCTCTTCAAAGCGCCCGGCGCGCCGCGACCGGCAGACATGATCTCAATGCTCTTGGCGAGCGATGCGATGCGCGAGAGAGATGTGCTCTCTTCTGGCGCCTCGGCCGAAGCACCCGATGCCATGCTCTCCAGAAGAGACTGCAGAGCAAGCACAGTCGCGTTGTGCACTGCAAAGAGCGTGCCGCCAAGGTCGGACTGAGGGCAAGATCAGCAGGCCGCTCTGCCGACTACACCGCACGCACTCACGAGCAGCACATCTGGCGAGACGAGCTCTTCAGTCTCGTCGCGCAACTCTTCCAGCACCTCCTCGTCGCCCTCATCTGCGGCGCTGGGCTCAGCGAGCGCCTGGTCCGTCTCTGCGCCGAAGAGGGAGCCGAGGCCCGGCGCCGCGCTGAGCAGCTGGCCCGGCAGCGGCTCGTCCTCGGGCTCGTGCGTCGGCGCGGCAGGCAGGATGTAGGCGTCGCCGTGCTCGGGACGGAAGATGGTGGGCGACGAGGGCGCGCCGGCCAGGAGCGGGCTGCGCGGCGCCAGCCCCGCCGACGCACGCAGGGCCCGGTCGCTGTAGCGCGGCCGAGCCTGCTCGAGCAGCGCCATGACGAGAGCTCCGGGGACGCGCTGCTGCGGACTAGATGCGGACAGGCACGCGCTGTGTGCGGATGGTCACGGAGCGTATGAGCGTGAGCTGCGGCGCGGATAGGAGTGTCGGGGCGCAAGCTGTGGGGATCGTGGTGGAGTGGAGGAGAGGAAGGAGCGGCGCTTTGTGCGCGGACCGCCGGCTCTTTGGCCGAGACGCTGGCACGAGCGGCGCGCGCGGCTCGCTCGGCCTCGGTCGCCGTGCCCCTCTCTCGCTTGTGCCCCGCTCCCCGTCGACGCCGCGCGGGGTGCGCGCCTGCCTCGCGAGCAAGGCGCTCGGCTCTGACGTTGCGAACCTGGAAGCTTCGTAGCTGCGTGCGCATCACTGAAGGCAGTGCAGGGCCTGTCCCGGCCCGATATGCCCTTCCGAGAGAACTTCTCTCCGAGGCCCTGATCGGCCAGGCACGCGCGCTCGAGCCGCCTGTGCCGTCGATCCGCTCGGGCCGGCTGCGCGGACACACTTCCGCTGCGACGGCGGCGACCAGCCAACGACTACTTGCCGTTCCGCACACAGCACACAGGCAGAGCTCATCTGGGTCAGATTGCGACAGAAAGGGGGTACAGCGGTATATGCAAAGAGGAGAGACGAGAAGGTGATGACCCCGCGCGGCGAGCGGCGAGATGCAGAGCGGACCCGGGAGACGCGAGCAAGCGGCGGCAGAGGAGAGTGAAAGGGGACGGTGGACGCACAAGAGCTGTACTGGGCGAGAGCAAGGGGGCAGGGGTGACGAGGAGAAAGCGGGGAAGCGTGAGCAAGGCGAGAGCGAGCGAGGGGCTAGAAGATGCCGGAGAATCGTGCAGGCATCGTGATGGAGACGAGGCGAGGAGAATTGCGTGAGGGGCGCGGCGCGGCGCCGAGCAGGTCGCTTTTGGCCAGCCTATGAGAGGATCGCCCACGGCTGCAGCTGCGGCGCATGGTCGGCGTCCCACCAGTCGAGGGGGTCGTCCTGGCTCTTGCGCTTCTGCGACGTGCGCCCGTCGCCGGCAGCGCTGCCGCCGCCGGCCATGATGGAGCTGAGCAGGTCGTCGGGGCTCGGCTCGCTGTCGTCGCTGCTGTCCATCGGACTCGTCGACAGCGGGCCGCCGACGCCGCCCAGGCTGGCGGCCTTCTGCAGGATCATCGAGCTCGTGGCCGACGACGCCGTCGACGACTGGTTCGAGCCCGACACGAGCTCCGGCGTCTCGGCCGGCGGCTCGTCGCCCGAGACGAGCCTCTGCGCGGCCGACTCGCCGCCGCCGAGCAGCGTGGCAAACTCGGACGGGTCCTCGATGTACGAGTCAAAGTCGAAGAAGTCGACCTCGACGGCGGCATCGGCCTCGGCCTGCAGACGTGCGCGCTCCGCCGCCGCCTGGTCGTCGGCGAGCTGCGTCTGCTGCCGCGACGGGCTGCCGCGCGCAGCTGCCGCCTGGCCGTGCGAGGCCTGCGGCGCTTGTGCGCCCTGCTGGCTGGACATGTCCGAGGCGCCGTTGCCCACGATCGAGCCCTGGCCGAGCATGGACAGCAGGTTGTCGAGCGTCTTGCCGTCTGCCGTCGACGCGGACGCGTGCGAAGCCGTCATGGCGGCCATGCCCGACGGATCGGCAGCGCTGTTGGAGAAGAGGCCCTGCCACGCCGACTCGGCAAGGCCGGCCGGGTCGCTCTGCGCCAGCTCGGCCTCGCGCTGCCGGCGCGCATTGAGCGCAGCCTCGGCCGCCTGGCTGGGCGACTGCGCCGTCTCGGCGCCGCCCTGCGCGAGCGATGACGGCGACGCTTTTGCGACCGCAGCCGCGGGTGTCGAGCCGCCGGCGGCCTTGCGGCGCGCCTCTTCCTCAGCGATCTCGCGCTTGACCTCGGCCATGATGTCGGCGCTCGTCTTGGCCTTCGACTTTGGCTCGTCGGCCGTCTTTGCCTTCTTTGCTTTTGGCTTGACGGGCGCCTTGCGGCCCTTGCCCGCGGGCGGCGAGGCGGCCGAGATCTGCGGCGACTCGGCCTGCAGCTGCGGCGACTTGGCCTGCGGCGACGCACCGGCCTGCTGCACGCTCGCGACGGCGCCCTTGCCACGCTTCGTGGGCGGCGGCTTGAGGTCCTCGACGCGCAGGCCGCGCTTGATGCCGTGCGCAGCGAGTGCCTCCTCGGACTCGTCTGGCGTGGCCGTCGCCTGCGGCTGTGCTGGCGTCTGCGATGCTGCCTGCGCCGCCTGCGCCTGTGCCTGAGCCTGTGCTTGGGCCTGAGCCTGCGCTTGCGCCTGTGCCTGCTGCGCCTGGGCATGCGCGGCCTGCTGCGCCTGGAATTGCTGCTGCTGCTGTTGCTGCTGCAGAAGCGCCTGCTGAGCGTGCATCGCCTGCTGCTGCTGTTGCTGCTGCTGCATCTGCTGCGCCTGCTGCTGTTGCTGCATCTGCTGCTGCTGTTGCTGCATGGCACGGAAGTGCTGCTGCTGAGCTTGCTGAGCTTGCTGGGCTTGCTGCTGCTGAGCTTGCTGCTGCTGCTGACGCGTGCGCTGGCGCTCGGCGGCGAGCTCCTGCAGCAGGTAGCTCGTCAGGTCCGGGTTGTGCGTCTTGACGAAGTTGATGCAGCGGTGGATCTGCATCTTGAGCTTGTCGAGGTCGCTCAGCGCGAGGATGCACTTGCGCTGCGGCAGCATGTCGAGCTGGTCCTTGAACATGTACGCCATGATCTTGAGGCGCCGCGCGCCCTCGAAGTTGCCGTTGATCGCGTAGAACGCCGGCAGCAGCGCGTTGACCGTGTCGAGGATCGTCGTGAGCTGGCCCATCTGCGAGAGGATCTGCTCCTTCTCGTGCTCCGAGAGGTTCTCCTTGACCTCGAGGCGTGCTGCAGGAGGGCAGTGTCAGCGGACGGTGCAGGCATGTTCGTCAGTAAAGCTGCTCACGCCGCGTGATCTTGAGCTCGGCGTCCACGCGCGCCATGGCCTCCTTGGCCTTCTCCAGCTGCTCCTTGCTGACGGGCGTCGGCTTCGGCAGCTCGGTGCCGGCAGGCGACGGCTGCGCGCCGGGCATGCCGTGCTGCGGCTGCTGCTGCGGCTGCATGCCCGTGTTGCTCGGGCTGAGCACAGAGGCCTGCGGTATTTGCGGCGACGTGGCGGCGCCCGGTGCGGGGAAGCGTGCGGCTGGGTTCGCGGCGGCGTTGAACGGCTGCTGAGCCGCGCCTTGGAACCCTCCCGGCTGCTGCTGGCCCTGCGGCGCGGCGCCGCCTTGCTGCTGCTGTTGCTGGGCCTGCTGCTGTTGCTGCTGCTGCTGTTGTTGCTGCTGCTGGGCGAGCTGCTGCTGGCGCTGCTGCTGACGCTCGCGCAGCTGGCCGAGCTGGCCGCTCTGCACGATGAGGTTGAACTGCTCCTGCGTCAGGCCGAGCGCCTGCAGCTGTGCGGGCGTGAGCTGCTGCGGGATGTTCGTCGGCGGCCCGCTGAAGCTGCCGTTCGGCCGTCCAGGCTGCTGCGCCTGCTGCTGGCCGGGAATCACGCCCTGGGCCTGCTGCGGCGTCTTGAGCTGCTGCTGTTGCTGCTGTGCCGCTTGCTGCTGCTGCTGCTGCTGCTGCTGCTGCTGCTGCTGTTGAGCGGCCTGCTGCTGCTGTTGTTGCTGCTGCTGTTGAAGCGCCTGCTGCTGCTGTTGCTGCTGTTGCTGCTGCTGCTTCTGCTGCGCGGCCTGCGCCTGCTGGTACTGCGTCTGAATGGCGCGCACCCACACCTGCTCAAACGGAGCAAGCGAGATGCGGTACGCCTCGGCGACGTGCGGCGCCAGCTGCGTGGGCAGCTCGAGGCCGGCGGCGATGGCGCCCCACGCATTCTTGCGCTTGACGACCTCGCTGCCGCCGCTCGACTGCACGAGCGTGTAGAAGCGGTGCATGTCGAGCGGCCGGTTCGCCACGCTGGCCTGCGCCGCGCTCGGCGTGCCCTGCTTGACGTGCAGGTCGTAGAGGGCGCGCAGGAACTGATCGGGCTTGAGCGTCGGTATCGACGGCTGCACGGGCATCTGCGCCGCCTGCTGCGGTGGTGCCTGCTGCTGCATCGGGTGCGCCGGCTTGCCGGGCTGACCGCTGGGGCCCGAGACGCTGCCCTGCGCAGAGGCGGGCCGCAGCGCCGGCGACTGCAGCTGCGGGTTGGCGCTCGGCGGACGAGGCGTCTGCTGTGCTTGCTGCTGCTGCTGGGCCTGCTGCTGCTGAGCCTGCTGTTGTGCCTGCTGCTGCGCCTGCATGGCGGTGGCCTGCTGCTGCTGGCGCTGCAGCTGCGCGAGACGCTGCGCCATCTGGCCCTGGATGGCCTTGGCGTTGTTGATCTCCTTCTGCAGCGTCTCGCGCTCTGCCGGACTGGCCGAGATCATCTTCTGCTCGAGCTCGGCCACGCGGTTGCCCGCGGCGCGCACGACCTGCATCATCTGCTGCGGGTTGTTCATCGCCAGGCGCTGCTGTGCCAGTGCGTTCGGCTGCTGGCCCGCCGGCTGGCCGGGCTGCTGCGCGAGCGGCTGCGGCATGGCCTGCTGCATGTGCGGCGTCGAGCGCTGTGGCGGCGCCTGCTGCTGCTGCGGCTGCTGCTGCTGCGGCTGCTGCTGCTGCTGCTGCTGCGACGGCTGCGGCTGCGGCTGCGACGGCTGTCCGACCATCTGGGCGCCAGGCTGCGCCGACGGCTCGCCCGTCTGGCCCTGCTGTTGCTGCTGCAGCATGCGCTGTTGCTGCTGCTGGTACTGGCCGATGGCGTACTTGAGCTTGTCAACCTGCGCCTGGTCGAGCTGGCCCTGACGTGCGCGCTGCACGGCCGCCAGCAGCTGTGGCGGCAGCGAGTTGACGTTGAGCGGCGGCCTTGGCTGGCCCGACGGTCCGGCGACGGGAGTGGCGGCGCCTTGCACGGGAGAGCCCTGCTGCCGGTTCATCGCGGCAGCCTGCGACGCGGCAGCGGCAGCCTGCGCACCCGAGACGATGCCGGCCTGCTGGCCTGCCGGGCCGCCGAGGCCCTGCTGCATGTGCTGCTGCATGCCCTGCGCCTGCTGCTGCGGCTGGAACTGCTGCGCCTGCGGCATGACGGCGGCTGCCTGCTGCTGCGGCGACGCCTGCATCGGCATCTGCCCCGCGCCGGCGCCCATCAGCATGGCCTGCGCCTGCATGTGCATGGGCAGGCCGCCGGGCATCTGGCCGAGCACGTTGGGGTTCATGCCCTGCATGCCCGGCTGCTGCTGCGGCTGCTGCACGCCGCCCTGCGCATTGGCGTGCTGCTGCTGCAGAAACTGGCGCACCTGCTGCTGGGAGAAGCCGCCCGCCTGCGCAAAGCCCGGCATGGTGCCGGCCAGGTTGCCGTAGGACTGCTGCGCCTGCGCCTGCGGCTGTCCCTGCATGCCTGCCTGGCGCTGCTGCTGCTGCTGCTGCTGCTGTTGCTGCTGCTGTTGCTGCTGGGCGAAGACATTGTAGAGGTTGGGATTGTTCCCGTTGAAGGCCATCGCGGGCGTGAGCGCGGCGGAAGCGCCTAGACGGAGCTAGCTGACCGTGCGCACGCAGCCGCTGAGTGCAGGCGCGGCGAGGAGAGCTGGTGTAGGGGTGGAGCAGTAAGCAGAGGCGACGTGCGTCCGTCGATGGCAGACACTCACCGGTGAGACGCAGGCCAGGGTCTTTGGAGTGCGGCAGGCGGGGGGTGCGAGCGCGGATGCGATGCGCGTGTCTCGAGAAGCGAGACGGGCACGAGGAGCTCAGGCGCTCGGCATGCGCCAGGGTATGGCCAGCTCGTGCAAGAGTGCGGTGGTGGTGCTGCGGTGCGCAGGCTGGCGAGGCAGCTGACGCAGCCGGGCGGGCGCGAGTGCGAGTGCGACGCGCCTGGCTGGGCGCGACGGGTGGAAGCGGGCCGCAGAGCAGCGGCTGGCACGAGCAGGTATAAGCGCTAGGAGATACGAGATGCAGCGTAGATGGCGATGCGACGAGACGAGGTACGGCGAGGCACGGCAGGTAGAGGCCGAGAGAGGAGAGAGGTGTGGGAGCGCGGCGCGGCGGCGTGCGGTCACGCGGCGGCTCGCGGCGTCTTCACGAGAAGAGCGCGGAGGGTCTGGGAGCGGCGCGGATGACACGGGCAGCCACGGCGGCACTGCAGACGGGGCGGATGAGAGGAGAGGGGATGGTGAGGAGCGGGAGATGGCGTCGCCGTCGTCGACGAGGGCCAGCGAACACAACCGCCGCTGCTGCCCGGCGGCGGGCGCGGCGCGGCGCGGGCAGCGGCAGGCAGGCCGCCTCCCTGCGCCTGTGCTGTGGCCGCGTCTGGCGCGCGAGGCGGAACGCGGCGGCGCAGCGGCGTCTGCTCGCCGCCTGCCGCATCTCGCGCCGCGGCGCGCCCGAGGCGCGAGGAGCGGCACCGTCGCGCTCCCACCGCCCACGCTCGCTCTCGGCGCTGCAGCCGCGCCCCGCAGCGCCGAGCCGCCGCGCGCGCCACGCTCCCGCACCTCCCGATGCCGCGTTGTGGCTGACGCTCTCTGTTCTCGCATTCGCGACACACGCCTGCATCTCTCGCTCAGTTCAGGATCTCGCTGCATCGCAGAAGCATGGCCGGGGGCCGAGCATGGCAGACCCGTGCCGCAGGGCACTCGTGCGCTGCGGCTGCTGGCCCTCGGGTTTGGCGCCGCCCGCTGGTCTCCTGCGCCGGCGTCATCCCACGGCGCGCCGGCGCGATGCACCGCGCCATCGCGGGCGCCTGGGCCGTGTGATGCGGGTCGGAGGTCTCACCTCGCCATTTGCCTCCTTCGCAGCACCCAGGTCCGCACGTCTAAGCGCTGCTCTCTGCATGCATAAGGTGCTGGGCGGTGACTTGCAGCGAAGGCCTCTTGCGACGAAGCGCAGCAAGCGCGGCCAGCGGCACGGATGCGTGCGCCTCTCGGATCTCATCTCGAGATGCTTTGTTGATGGATGCATGCGCCGCGCACCACGCCAAGCGCAGCACCAGAAGCGGCCGAGTGTGCCTTGCACGTGACGCGGCCCTGGGGTCAGCTGATGGGCGCCCAGCGCAGCGACAGGTCCAGCTCGGCCTTCCGTCCACGACTTGCGCAGCCTATGCCGCACCCGGCCATCCCGCATCTTGAGCTGCACACAGGGGAAGCCGGTCGCTCTCGCAGATGAGGCCGTGAGATGCAGCGCAGATGCGGCGCGAGGAGCGAGATGGCGCATCGCATCGCGTCCCACGGTGCGGCGTAGCGCCGTGCCTGGCAGCCGCGCTGCGCCCGCCGCGCGAGATCGTCCGCATGCGAGGCGCGGCGAGGTCCAGCGTCGAGATGATGCTCCTCAAGGGTCAGCAAGCCTCACGGAGGCTCAAATTTGGGCTCGATATCCACGCAGTTACAGGCTCTTTGCTTCGCCTTGGCTCGTGGAGGTGTCGCAGCCCAGCCTTGGCCGCTGGAAGCGTTGCTCACGAGCGGAGGTGACGCTCCAATCGCGTCGCCCGACGTCCTGACCACGGCGCAGGTGCAGCGGCAGGTTTGATCGAGCAAGACCGGGTCGTCGCCATCCAGAGGTCGTCGAGCTGCAAGCGCCATTTCTTCGAGCGCTCGGCAGCTCGCTCCAGGGGCATTCCACCGACAGAGCACAACGTGCGGCCTCGCTGTGCAGCGGCGCAGCCCCCTGACGCGCAGTGCCGCCGTCGGCACTCTCTTCCGCCTCGCAGCTGAGCAGCCGCCAGACACGCCAAGCGCCATGCTCGCTTGCGCCGAGATCAAGAAGAGCGAGCAGACGAGGTTTCCGCACGTGCTCGCCGACTCGCTCGAAGCTCGGCTCATCCTGGTTCTGCCGCGGGACGCTTGCGAGGGTGCATCACGACTTCACGAGGCGCGAAGGGTCTCGCGGCGCACCTCCACCTGCGCGAGGCGTCGATCAACCGCAACGACCCTCCGGCGAGGGGCTACGACGCTAGCTCCAAAGCGAGTAAGCCCTCGGAGGCATTTTGCTACTCTTCGGAACGCTAGACTAAGGCGCAGAATACAAGCTGGAGCTACGCATGGACAGGCGCGGCGCCGCTGGATGACGTCTCGCTGTGCCATGGCGAGCCCTCAAGAAGACGTCCTCGCTCGGCCGGCTTGTCTCTCCACCACCACACCACGCACATCCACGCCTTCACCCACCACCAAGCCACTTCCATCATGTCCGCCGAGTACCAGGGAAAGAGCGACGAGCAGATCATTCAGGAGAATGTGAGCCTGCTGCGGCACCCCGCCCCTCCGCCGCACCGCTGACACCTCCCACGCCAGGCCGCGGCGCTGAACAACAAGACGCCGTACGCGCAGTCGTCGCTTTCCGAGGACTCGGGCGTCAACGACCGCGGCATCGAGGGCTTCGCCGGCGCCTCGGTCACCACCAGCGGCGAGGGCCGCGACATCATCCCGCCGTCGGAGGGCGGGGACGACCGTGCCGGCCGCGTGGGCACGCACGCCGACAACTTCGAGGGCCGTGGCGGCCCCGAGGAGTCGCGCGTCGACGTGAGTGTGCCTCTTTGCCTCGCTGGCTATGCTCCGGCGCTGACGTCGTGCACAACAGAACCTCGCCTTCAACACCGGCTCGTACGAGGCGCCCGGCAGCGCGGGCAAGTCGTCGGACGACGTCGTGCCGCGCACGGAGGACCAGGCGCTCGAGGCGGACCAGGAGGGCACGGCCTCGTCGTACGGTGCTTGAGCGCATCCCAATGAGAGCCTGAGCCACCCAGCGCTGAGTGTCGCTCCGTCGAGTGTCCGTAGCGTGTGACCTCTGCTGCGGCAGTGCGACCTGGCACGCGACCTCGCCGTTCCGGCCGGACCTGCGTCGGCGTATGTGCTGGTCGATGCGCAAGGCCATTCATTGGCTCGTCGTAGCCATCGCAGCGAGCTCACCGTCCCGCATCCTGCCGACAGCTTGCGGTCTGGACGTCAGCGGTGCTCCCAAGAGTCGAGAGCGAGCGTGGAGTCGGTGTCTGCATGCTGCACCTCGGGAGGTCCGCCGCCGGCGGCACGGGCGGCAGGGCAGACATTGCTGTGCGATGCGTGACAGAAGGAGCGCCTGTCGGCGCCCACGCCGACGACACTCGCGGCTCCGCAGAGCCTGGATCGCGCTGCGAAGACGACTCCGCTGCGCTGCCCCCGCGGGCAGAGGCGGCTGCGACGCGGCTCCGCAGCGTGCCGAAGGGGCGGGCGCGCGAGCGAGTCCGAGGGGCGGAGGCAGAGGAGCAGCGCAGGAAGAACGAAACGAAGCGCTCGAGGAGGCGCGCCGCGGCGAAAAAAGCGTGTGGCTTGTGCCTGCTTCGGCGCGCCGCACGCGTCGCTCCTCCTCTCCCGCCTCGCTCCCGCGCCGTGCTGCTGCACCGCGCCGCTGCGTGTCGTGACGGCGTGCATGCGATGCTGATGCTGCTGCCGCTGTTTCTCCGGCACTCCTGCGTGCAGCCGCAGCATAAGCTTGCGTCAGACGTCGGACCATCGCAGCTGCAGCGTGAGCAGCGAGAGCGAGAGCATCACCAGCCGCCGCAGCGAGCTCCGCAGCGAGGATCGAGGGCCATCGTTGCTGTGGCTGGCGGCACGGCTGCGGACGAGGGCGTGACAGAGCAGCAGCGGACAACCTCTTGATTCAGGGCATGCGCCTGCAAACGGGCACACTTTGGCACAGCAACGCATCATCAGGCACAGACGACGTACGCGTGGAGCCGGCTCGCCTGATCGTTCACGCTGCTGTTCTGCTGCGCTGCTCTGCGGTTCGTCGGAAAAGCACGGGTCGGCTGAGGGCTCGAGACAGCCGCCAGACCGCCAGAGCCTCGGCATGTGATGGAGCAAGAGCATCGTCACCGGCCGGCGGCAGCGGTGTGCGAGCGTCGGCGTGAGAGGCGCGCTAGGCGCCGGTGCGCTGCACGGGGACAGAGGGAGGGAGGTGCGGCACGGGAGCAGCGGCAGCAGCGCGCCGCGCGCAGGCGTGGCCCAGGGTGCGCCTCGCCTTGGCGGGCCCGCAGCTGAGCATCGGACGCTCTGGCCGCCTCTCTCTCTCTCTCTCTTTAGCCACGCGCTGGCCGCTCTTGCTTGCCTTCTCTCACCTCACACTCCATCTCGGCGACACAGACCCCGCCACACTGCCGCCGTCTCGCTCCTCTTGCGCCTGCACCGCTCGGCACTTCTCGCCCGGCAAAGCAACACGCTCACGGGTCCGCGCTGCCGCGAGTCGAGTGCGCACCACGTCGGCCTCGGCGTGCACGCGCCTCCTCCCTCCCGACGCCCACACTCCCGCGCAGCTCTCGGCTCGCGACTGCGCACGCGCCCGCGCCTCGCCACGCAGCGCCAGGCCTCGGCGGCTGCTGCACCCCGCCCACCACCACACGCCTCGCGCCAGCTGCAACACCACTCCGGCAGCACGCGACCTCCACCCCGGCCCGCCGACCGCCCGACGCCGCCTGCCGCATGAGCTCGCACACGCGCTGCTAGACGCGCACCGCCGCGTCTCACCGAAGCCGCGCCCGCTCCCGGCCCAGCCGCCACCATGCTGCGCTCTGCCCGCTCGACGGCCTCGGGCGCGCGGGCCGGCGGCGGCGCAGGCGGCGCGCTCGGCGGCAGTGCCGGCCACGCGGCGGGCGCCGGCGGCCTCTCGTCCGGCGGCGACGTGCTGCATCCAAACCTCGGCATGCACAACGCCGCCGCCACTGGCGATGTCGGCCTCGTCAAGTTCGCGCTCGACAACGGCCAGCCGCACACGAGCGTGCTCAACGGCGTGCTGCCGCTGCACGCCGCCTGCTCGGGCGGCAGCGAGGCCGTCGTGCGCCTGCTGCTGCAGCACGGCGCCGACGCAAACGCGCCGCGCCTGCGCCGCAAGGGCTCGCACGTCGGGCCGGGCACCGAGGGCTCGACACCGCTGCACTTCGCTGCGGCCAATGGCCACCTGTCCATCGTGCGTGTGCTGCTCGAGCAGGGCGCGCGTCCGGGTGCGGCGGACAAGGACGGCCTGCTCGCCGAGGCGCTAGCTGCCGCCAATGGGCACGCCGCTTGCGTGGCGCTGCTGCGCTCCTGGACCGCGTCGTACGGACCGAATGGGCTCGGCCACGCTGGCAGCAGCTCGGGCCCGGGCACCGCGCAGGCTGCTTCAACTGGTGCACCTTCGCCGTCTGGCAGCAGCAGCTCCGCGCAGACGACGCGCGGTGGAGCATCGGGCGGTCTGCGTCCACAGCGCTCCCTCGAGCAGCTCTCGTCGGCTGCTGCCGGTGTCAAGGCGAGCCTGATCTCGCGCCGCAACCAGGCCATCGCCAAGGTCAGCTCGAACCCGAACCTCAAGCAGCTGGCCGTCGGCTCGCCCGATCGCACGCCGCCTCCTTCTCTTCCGACCACCCTCTCGCAGCGCAACCAGCTGCAGCAGTGGCCGTCTACTCCGTCCGTCGAGACGGCCAAGGCGCGCAGTCCTTCGCCCGTCAACTCTGCCGAGGCCGAGGAGCTCGGCTTCGCGAGCTCGATGACGCTGCCGAGCGCCTCGCCGCTGCCGCCGTACCTCTCGCGCGAGAACAAGCGTCGCCCGTCGCTGCCATCCATCTTCGAGAAGGCCGCGCATCCGGCTGCGTCGATCCGCGCCGCACTCGGGGTCTCGTCGAACAACAGCTCTGATCCCATGGAGGAACTCTCCGAGTCGCGCGAGCGCCACAACATGGTGCCGCCGAGCCCGGGTCGCCTGGCCCAGCGCATCCCGACCAAGCGCTCGCTGTCGAACATCCTGCGCAAAGCGACGGGCGGCAGCACGTCTGCGGACGCACCGCTCCCGCCTGGCGCGTCCTACTCCACCATGCAGAGCTCCACGCGCTCGTGGGGTCGTCCGGATGAGAGTCCGATGGGCATGCCCTCTGCAGCAGACTCGTCGCCTCATCTGGCAAGCCTGCCGAGTCTTCCGTCGCTCGAGCAGCAGTCCCGTCTGGCCTCTGCTCCGCCCTCGCAGACCAGCTTCTCCAGCTCGCCGGGCCGGCCAGGAGACACGTCGCTCGAGCAGTGGCCGCCAACGCCGCTGCGTGCCACCGCGTCCTCATCGCCCGCGCAGCAGGCAGGCCGCCTGCGGTCGAGCTCGAACAAGAACCCGCAGCGCCCGTCACTGTCGACGCTTGTGCCTGAGGGACCGGCACGACGCGGCTCCGGCGACCGCAGCACGCCGACTGGCGTGCTCAGCGACAGCTCGTCGGGCACTAAGACTGGCAGCAGCGGCGCCACCTCCGTCGTGCAGAGCAGTGCGACGTCAAGCAGCACGCACGGGTACCGGCCGCGCAAGAGCTCCAACCTCTCGACGTCGACGTCGCCCGCAGCGACGCGCCGCTCGGAGGACAAGCAGTTGGGCGACGAGGAGAGCGGCCGTGCGGCGGAACAGCCGGGCCGACGCAGAGCGCAGAGCTCGGCAGACGGCACTGCCAATGGCCGCGGCGCTGCAGATCCGCCGGCCTTCGTGCGGCAGGCTCCCAAGTCCTACCTCGACGTCGCCGTGCCGACCGACAGCGCCCGCTCGTCTCGCACTGACATCGCGTCGATGTTCGAGGATGCGCAGGAGTTCCTCGGCGATGCGCCGGCTTCGGAAGACGATGCCGGCGAGCACCACGATCGGCATCGGCTGCCTGACCGTCTGCGCAACGCGACCGCTTCGCGCAGCCCTGGCTCGACGCGTCCGTCTCTTCTGGGCGCGGCATCGTACTCCAGCGGCGAAGAGCCCTCGCCGGCGACTGCCAACCGGACGATCTCCGAGAGCTCTGGCGCACTTGCAGGTTCGTCGGACCCGTCTAGCCCTTTGACGCGGCCGCAGCCCGACCTTGGCCACAAGGTCTCCTCGAGCTCGATCTCCGGCGTGAGCTCGAGCTCGGTGTCGCACAGTGCTTCTGCGAGGCTCAGGCCCGCGGAAGGAGATCAGGCCAGTCTCAACGTGGTGCCACGCCTGTCGCCGCGTCGCCGCCCGTCTGGAGAGGAGTCACCAGCGCCTGTACTGGCTCTCACACGCGGCTCGCGCTCGGGCTCGACGACAGAGAGTATGCTGTCTCGGCCGTCCTCCTCCTCCCTGCGCTCGCTAGGCATGCCAGCGAGCGCCGCGGAGCAGGCTCAGGCGATCCTGCGCCAAGCCAGCTCCATCAAGGTCGAGACGGAAAGCGACGATGCGTCATCTGCCGGCTTAGTCGCGATGCTGGCTGCGTACGGCGAGGCACTGGCTCAGGAGCGCAAAGCGTCGAGCAGCGCGGCGACTGCAAGCCCGAAGATGCTTGTCGAGAATGTTCGCCGACAGAGCAGTCTCGCGAGTCTCAACGGCAGACAGCAGCTGCCGAGCGTCTCGGAGGATCTCGCGCAGCCGCACCCGTCCATCAGCAGCACCATCAGGACGCCTCCGCCTGCGGCGCTGAGCACCATCGCCGCCAAGCGCCCGCCGGCAAGCAACACGCCGCCATCTTCGCCTGGCTTCGGCGCCCGCTCCAAGTCGGACTCTGCGACGCAGCTCACGGCGTCGCTGTCTCCGGCCAGTGCGAACCGCTCGCGGGCTGCCAGCAACGAAGAGAGCAGCGGACGCGACTTCAGCAAGCCGTTCGCGCCGGACGTGAATCGTGCGCAGACATTCGCTGGACGCGGCGCGAGGGTCGCCGCGGGCAAAGGTGACCTCGGCGCGCTGTTCTTGGGTAAGTGGACACACCACACAGTCTCTCTTGCAATATGACTGACCCTCTGCGCAGGCCAAGGCAGCAAGGCGCTCTCTTCGGACAGCGCGCTGGCGCAGCAGGGAACGCGCTCCGGCGGCGACGTTCCTCGCATGCCGAGCCTGCCGCGCGCAGCCATCATCGGTCGCGCAAGCGAGGACATGCTTCGCCCGTCGCGCACGGCGATGAGCCGCACTCCGACGGGCGACGGCAGTGGGCGTCCTGGCGCCGGAGGTGTGCACGGACAGACCGACGCATCAGGCATGCCCCTGCAGTACAGCCACCCGCCGCACAGGCACAGCCCGTCGCTGCCTACCGAGCTGTCCGGCATGTACGGCCGTGCTGGCAGCATCGGCGGCCTCATGTCGTCCGGCGCGGTCTCGTCCGACGCTCGCCTGATGCCACAGCACCACCAGAGCACGGCCGCGACTCGAGACGCCGAGCTTGTCGGTCTTGGCATGCAGCGCCGCCAACGCAGTCCCTCGCCTGCGCCGCCCAGCGCTTCGGCGTCGCCTCAGCTCGGCTCGGCGCACATCTCGCCGTCGACTTCGTCGCAGGGCTGGGCAGCCGGCGGTAGCGTCGGTCGAGCAGGTGCGCGTGGCTTGCCGCAGAACGCCTCGCAGTCGAGCCTCGCCTCTGCCTCGGCAGCTCCCAGCAACCTCTCCAGCACCGACCTCAACACCTTCTTTGCGCGTCCGCCGGACTTTGACCCGTACGCCTCGAACCAGTCGCTGTCGCCCAGCGGCGGCAGCTCGGGCGGCCGCGACTATGCCGAAAGCGTGTCGAGCACCAAGTCGCGCACTCGCCGCATCAAGACGTTCCTCACGAGCATGAAGCGCTGATCGCCCCTACTCTCCCTCCTTCTCGCACGGCTACCTTATCCACGTCTCCACGCCTGTCACTCTATGTAAATCTCTCCCTCCTGGTCCATTCGCGCACTCATTCATCAACCCTCTCCGACCACGCATCCCGTCACGCGCCTCAGACCCTTTACGAGCCGGGTCGCACGTCCCCCTCTGGCAGAAATACATGCAGCTGAGATACGTCGGGAGCGGATGACGTGTGAGATTGCGAAGAGATGGAGCAAAGCCGAGAGGAAGAGAGATCGTGACGGGTCGTGAAGAGATAATCTAGGAGGAGAGGAAGCGCGACCACAGCATGCAGAAGAGGGCGAGATAGAGGACGATGAGCGCCTTGACGATGGGGCCCGTGAGCGGCGCCTTCTTGCGCTGGCGCGCCCGCAGCGCCTCGAGCTCGTCGTCGGAGAGGTTGTGGATGCCTGCCTTCTCGACGACCTCCTCGTAGCCGCGCACCACGGCGTCCATGGCGTCCCACCAGGTTCGGCGCGAGGCTCCGACCTGGGCGCGCTGGCCCATGGCGGCACGCAGAGCACGGTCGCGCACCAGGCGCTCGAGCAGCATCGAGTAGCTGCGAGCACAGGCGCCGAACGCCGCCGAGGAGGGCGTCATGGCAGCAGCAAAGTCGCCGACGCTCGGGATCGGCGTCGGCAGGCCCGATGTCGGTGCGTTGCTGCGCGAGGCCGACGACGACGGACTGCGCTCGTACGCCGGCCGCAGCTTGGCAGCGGCCTGCGAGGCCGCACTGGCGAAGTCGGCCGCCGATTTTGGCGAGCTCGACTCGGAGTTGCGCAGCGCCACGAGACGCGGCGAGAGCGGCGCACGGCTGCCGCTAGCCTCGACCTCGGCCTTGCTCGAGGGCGGCGCTGCCACAGACTTGGCGGCTGCATTGACGTCGAGCAAGAGGCCAGTGCGGCCGTGCGACACGAGGTCCGAAGTGCCCTCGGCGTGCAGGCCGACGACGGGCAGGCCGCTAGCAAGCGCCTCGAGGACGACCTGGCCGAACGTCTCGGTGAAGCTCGGGAAGGCGAAGATGCTGCTGCTGGCATACATGGCGGCGAGACGCTTGCCCTTCTGGTGGCCCATGAAGGTGGCGTCGAGCTTGTGCCGCGCACACAGGCGCGTGAGGTCGCCACGTGCCGGGCCATCGCCGACGAAGACCAGCTTGGCGTTCTCGCGCACGGCGGCAGGCAGCATGCGGAAGGCCTCGATGAGCAGGCGCAGGTTCTTCTCCCACGAGATGCGGCCGACGTAGAGGATGACGGTCTTGCTCTCCGGCGCCGGCGGCGCCGGAGCTGCCTCCGACGAGCTGCTGGCGTGCAGCGCGTGGAAGGTGTTGGTCGGCATGGCCGGCGGCGGCAGCGCGAATGCTGCCCCATCGAGGTCCGGAATGCTCGACAGGCTGTCGTAGCTCGGCGGCGGGCTCATCTCGGGCGAGCCAGTGAGGCTTGGGCCGCTCGGCGGCGTGCGGATGAAGCTGTCGTCGTAAGGACTGCCGGCCGAGGTGCGGCGCTTCGGCGAACCGCGCAGGTTCAGGCCCAGCTTGCTGGCCAGCTGGAAGAATGCGGCCTCGTCGGCGGAGCTGCCTGCGATGGCACTGCCGCTGACAGAGGGCGTGAGAGGTGCCGTGAGACTCGCTGGCTTGGGCGTGCAGCCCCAGCTGGCACGCAGGTTGTCATCTCGTGCCGCAGGCTGCGAGGAGCGCAAATCAGCACATGTGCAGGCTTCTCTGCAGCACCTACACTCACCGTGAAGATCTCCGTGTCAACGCCGCGCGACCAGATCTCCACATTGCTGAAGCCCTTGGAGCGCAGCATCCTCCGCGTGCTCTCCGACGGGCAGAAGACCATCTCGCAGCGGTCGTGCAGGCTGCGCGTGAGGCGCCACATCGTCGCCTCGAGCCACGGCATGCCGAAGAGCGTCGCGTACGTCGGCAGGTTCGTGTGGTAGCTGCTGACGCACGGCACCAGCGGCAGCCACTTCTGCACCATCGGCAGCATCTGCGCGCCGAGGAAGATTGGGTCGACGAAGTGGACGACCTGAATCGGGTTGTCAGTGAGCTCGTCACACGAGCGCTTCTGACGCAGCTCACGTCTGGCTTGAACTGCTGCAGGCGGCGAATGAAGCGTGGCCGCAGGAAGTTAAGCTTGAGGCCCGGGTACACGACGAGCGGCAGGCCAAACGTGCCGACGACCGGGTGGCCGGCGTAGCTGGTCTGCAGAGGCCGTGAGCATCTCTTGTCGAGCTCACACGACCAGCCCACTCACCATGCCCGTCTCGGGCCCGCAGACGATGGCCTCGTGTCCCTCCGCATTGAGATGCTCCAGCAGGCGTGCAAGCGTACGTGTCACGCCATCAACCTTTGGCAGGAAGTTCTCTGGATACAATCGCTCGGCATCAGCACGCTGCCGCCGCCAGCATCACGCGTGTCTGCCACTCACCCGTCACGATGGCGATGCGCAGCTTCCGGCGCTTCTCGTCGACAGGGTACGTGACGCGCGGCGTGGCGCTCGCGGGCGCGGCCGTGGCACTTGACAGAGCGACCGACATGGCTTGACGGGTCCGGGCTGCTGTGTGGTGGTGGTGGCGAGGAGACAAGCACAGGTGAAGGCGACGCGCTTAAGGAACAGACGCGTGTGTCGGGCGTGCGAGAGGCGCGGGCGTCGGCGAACTCCTCTCGCGTCTCCATCAGCGCCGCCAAGCAGGCCACGGACGCTGACGCTAGCCCGGGCATGCAGCGCTGCAGGCAGCCGGGCAGCCGGCGCGCCCCGACAAGACGGAAGATGCGCACACCGGCGTGCCTGCCTGGAAGCGCTCCGTGCCTCCTGGGCAGTGTGTTGTGGCGCGGTACACGCCGCCTCTGCTGTCCTTCCCTCTCGCACACACTCCTCGTCCACCCCAGCGGCGAAAGCAGGACGGTGCCGGCGGCTTGCTTGTTCGTGCAGCAGATCTGCATGCATCTGCTCCTCGGACGATGCATGGCAGGAGCGGCGAGGGCGTGCCGAAGCGCCCGCTCCTGGACCCCTTGGTGCTTCGCCCGCCTCCGTTGGCGCCCCAGAGAACCGGCAGGCGGTCAGCGTGAGCCCCGCCGCTGCCACAGGGGCCGTTGCGCTGCAATGCCCGAGGGCACGGGGACAGTGCCGAGGCACGTTGAGCTCATTGCGACGTGCGTGTGCATATGCCGCGTGGGCGCACGCACGCCGTCAATGGGCTTGCGGGGACGGCGCCGCGGCGGCACTCACCCAAGGCGCGCAACGTGCGCAGGCGCGAAAGCAAACGTGCCCCGCACGCGTGCAGCTGTTCCCACGCCAACGCGCCCCCCATCCGCGATCACGTGACAGAGCCTCCTCGATGAGTTGCGCAACACCAGCCTGCTGCTCACTCTGCCCCACGCCACGCGCACATCGAGAGAGAGTCCCACTCTATTTGCCGAGCAGAATTGGTATTGAGCGCAGAAGAGCAGGCAGCAAGTCGCCCCTCTCTACTTATCTAGGTGCCGTGTCGATTGGCCGTCCGTCGCGGCCTCATGCGCTGCTCAGGCCCGAGCGAGCGCGCCACATCTCCGTCTTGAGGCGCATCACCTCCTGCCACACACGCTCCTCCCACACCAGATCGGCGCCGCCGGCGACGGGCAGCGTGACGCGGCGCGGCGCCACGGTGGCACTGCCAGGCGTAGCGGGAGCAGCGGCAGCGGAGAGGCCTGCCTCGTCCTTGCGCGCTGCGGGCGGCGGCGGCACCGGGCGCCGTGCGTTGCTGCGCTTCGGCAGCGGCGGTGCGGGAGGCTTGGGCGACGAGCCGCCGGCATCGGACGAGGAAGAGGCAGTGAGCTGCGACGGAGCCTCCAGTGCACCACTTCCGGCAGCAGCCTCTTCGGTGCTGTTGGAGGGCGCCGCGGCGTCGGAGTCGGGCGCCGCTTCCGCAGGCGCATCGTCGGCGTCGACGAAACTGTCGCCGTCGTTGGTGCCGCTCGGCGTGGCGGTGCCCGACGCGCGCTCTGGTGACTCTGCCGCTTCCTCTGCGCCCTCGGTGTTCGCTTGAGGGGTCTCAGCGTCGCCGGCGCTCTCAGGCTCCTTGAGAGTCGCAGCATCTGCGGACGCCGAGTCCGACTTCGCAGCCGTCTCCTCGGCCGGTGCCTCCACGGGCTTTGGCGAGCGTGGCGGCGGCGGTGGCGGCAGTGCAGCTGCCACCTGCGGCGGGTCGTCCCAAGCCAGCTTGCCTTCGAGCACGACGGCGCGCTCGATGGAGCGCAGGTAGCCCCAGAATGCGCACGCCGCGCGCAGGCGGGCGAGACAGTGGTGCGGGCACAGCAGGTAGCGTGCCGTCGATGTCTCGCTGATGCGGAAGATGTGCGTGGGCACAGCAAGTGGCGCGCTCGGCCCGTCCACCTGTAATGAAGAGTGAGCGACACGAAGCTCTACGCACGACAGCAAGACTCACGTGAATCAGCTGGCCACTTGGCGTCTCGCCATCTGCCTCGGACTGCGGGCCTCCTGGAGAGTCACCCACGGCGCCAGTGCTGCTCGTGGCGCTGGACACGCTTGGGCGAGGACTGCTGCTGCCCATGCTGCGCAGAGTGCTGAAAAGGCCAGTGCGCGTCTTCGGCGTCGACGTGCCGTCCTTGTTGCTGCTCTCGCTCTTCGCTGCGACGCCCAGCTGCTGGGCGGCTGTGCCGGCGGCGCTGATCCAGCCCGCGGCCGTCGCCGCGGCTGTGTTGGATTCTGCGTGCCCGCCGCCTGGCAGCGGCACGTTGACGACAGGGATGCCGCACATGGAGCACGCCGCTGGCGGGAGATGCGCATTGGCTCGCCGCACCGCCTCTTCGTCAGGACATGAGCCGCCAGGGAAGACTGGCTCGATCACGAGCGAGCCCTCGAGCACTGCCGTGTTGGCTTGCCGGCGCGAGAGCCAGTTGAGGCCGGGCGCAAAGTCGAAGCGCAGTGTCGGGTCGCTGTCTTCTTCCTGCGCGCGCTTGATGAACGGCAGCGAGGACTGGCCGGGGATGTGGACCAGCTGCTCGGCGTTCGACGGAAGCATGGGATAGTCGCGATGCCGCGTGACGCCCGCGGCGACGAACGGCGAGGTGGATGACGAGGCATTGTAGGACGCGGAGCCGCTGCCCAGACCGCCAAAACTCAGCGGCAGCGAGGGCAGATGCGGCGCGGGCGAAGATGTGCGTGCGACAGGGGCACCGGGGCTGGCGGGCATGCCGCTGACGTTCCGCGGCGACGCGAGCGATGGCGGATCGTGCAGCGGGTAGTTGTAGAAGGGCGCCAAGCCCTTGCGCAAACGCCGCAGGTGCTCGAGAAAGGAGCGCAGCTCTTGGTACGGCACGATGTTGAGCTGCCACTCGTCCTGACCCGGCGAGACCGAGACGCGCCGCTCCCAGTAGCCGCTGGAGGGAGCGCGCTGCGACGGCGTGCGCACGAGGGCAGAGACGTGCAGCTTGCCGTCGTCCTCTTCCTGCTGCTCGTCGTGCGACGAGGTGAGGCGCAGCTGCTCCACCTCGCGCTGCAGATTGCCGAGGATCTTCTGCTGCTCGAGCATGATGCCCTCCGTGTCCTTCAGGCGCTCCTCCATCTGCTGGCTCTTCTCCTCGGCGCGCGCCCGCGCCAGGCGCTCGTTGGCAACCATAGCGTTGGCCTCGCTGAAGAGACTGGCACTCAGCTCGTCGAGCTCGCTCTCGATCTTCTCCTTGTCGCTCACGGCGCGGCCACGCTGCGCCGTCTCCTCGATGACACGCTCCATCATCTTCTGCATCTCGCTGCTCACGTGCGCCTTCTCGACGAGCAGGCCCGTGTTGAGGGCGGCCAGGTGCTCCTGCCGCTCCTTCTCCAGCTCGGCGATGCGCGTCGTGTGGGCCATGATGCGCGAGTGTGCCTCGCTCACCTCGTCTTCGAGATCCGAGCGCTTGTCGTACGACGAGACGAGCTTGCTGTTGAGGCTCATCACCTGCCCCGAGAGGTCCGAGACCTGCAGGCGCAGCGCCGCCAGCTCGGCGTCGGGCGTCTGCGGCGGCGAGGCGTCGGGGATGCGGAAGCTGTGCTGCGTCGGCGTCTCGGACATCGGCGACGCCAGGCGTGCCGCTGCGCCGCTGCGTCCGGCCGCCTCGGGCGTCGCTGGCTGTGCGCTCTGCGACTGGAGCGCCCGAGCCGCCGCCGCAACGGCGTCGCCATCCTGCTCGCCCGCAGCGCCCTCTGCCTGCGCGGCGCTCACGCGGCTGGCGCGGCGCGACTCGAGGCCGCCGGCTTCCGAGTCGCTCTCGGCGCCGAGCAGCGCCTCGGGGTCGGCATCGTCGGCGAGGATGGCGTCGGGGTCGAGGCGCGTGAGGTCTGGCGTGGCGACGGCCTGCTCGTCGTCGTCGTGCTCGTGTGCCGTGCCGTCGGCGCGAGGAGCCATCGCGCGCGGGCAGCTAGTGCGACGACGGGCGCAGCAGGAGACGGCAGCTGAGGCAGAGAGGATGAGGAAGGCGGTGCACGCTGTGTGTGTGGCAGAGCCGCGGCGAGGTGTGTGAGGATGGTGAGCGGTGTCAAGAAGGAAGCGCCTGAGATGGCGCGCCTCGGGCGCAGGATGCAGCTCGGCGCGTCGAGGGCGCAGCGCGCGGCGCCGCATCGAGCTCTGCCGCCGCTACAGGTAGCCGCATGCCGCGCCCGCTGGCGGCGCACGGCCTTGCAGCTCAACGTCAGCCAGTCAAGTCTGAAGTCCACTCCATCTCGACGCGGGACGGCGAGGTGCAGCAACGGTGCACGGGCCTGTCTGCACTCTAGACTGTCGCTGTGCTCCAATGCGCTGCTGTCGCTCGCTTGTGCTGGCCGACGAGCCGGCCCGCTGCACGGTGCGGCTCGCGGCGTGCGGGGACGGCGATCTTAGCCTCGTCCGGCGCTGCTCTCATGCCGCGCGCGTGGCGCGTGAGAGCAGCTCGCTCGGCACCTGCCGCTGGCCCCGCTGCCGCTTCCCCGCATTTCGCTCGCTTGCTCGGCTCTGAGCTTGCCTTGCGACCGTCACCTCCAAGCACGCAGCCATGGCCAAGCCGGCACAGCAGCCGCAGCAGGACGCCGACGACGGCAACCTGCTCAAGATGATGCTGGCGCAGGTGCAGGACCTCGACCTCACCGACCCCGACCAGGCCGAGGAGGAGCGTGCGGCGCAGGACCCGCGCCGCCTGCTCGTCGAGGGCTTCGAGTGCGTGCGACGGCAGGCAAGCGAATGCTGGACGCTCTGCTGACCCCGCGGCAGGATCTCGAAGCTCTTCACCATCATCGAGTTTGCGCTGCAGCAGGCCGGGCGCGAGGGCGGGCTCATGGACGGCTTCGACATGATGTCGCGGCAGGACACGGTCAAGCAGATCAACGGCGCCTTTCTCTTCATCGTCAAGAACGCCGAAGGCAGGGAGCAGGAGTTCTTCGTCGACATGCGCAAGACGGGCTCCTTCTCCACGACGCGCCCCGCCAAGCCCAAGCCCGACGTGACGATCCGCGTCTCGGACCGCGACATGGTGCGCCTCAGCACGGGCGAGATGAACCCGCAGAAGGCCTTCCTGCAGGGCAAGCTCAAGGTCAAGGGCAACATCATGCTCGGCCTGTGAGTAGCGTGGTGGTCTGCATCTCGATGGCTGCTGACGCTCCGCCGCAGTCGATGGTGCGGTGCTGTCCACGCTGCGCTGCCCGCGCCTCGACTGACTTGCCCTCACAGCCAAAACCTGCTGCTCCGCGAGGTGACCAAGCTGAGCCGCCTCTGATGCTTCCCATACCCCAGCCAGCGCCGTCTCATTCCCACATACGACTTTATCGATCAATTAGCGCTAGGTGAGAGGTTGGTCACGACGAAGAAGACGGGCCAGTGCCAGAGCCCGGTCAGAAGGCGCCGGCCAGTGCCCGGGCACTTCACCAAGGGTACTCGCCGGGTCCGCCGGTGAAGATGCCCGTCTTGCCGTCGGTGTCGACAATGGCGCGCACGATGATCTCGGCGCCCGACTCGGGCGTGTTGGTGCCGCTGAAGTTGTTCAGCTTCGTGGCGCAGTAGCCTGGAAAGCATGAACGAGGTCAGCACCGGCCGGTGGAGTGCCCGCAAGCGTCCGAGAGACGCACCAGGCGTGGCGGCGACGACGCGCACGTCCTTGTACAGCGCCGTGTAGTGCGTTGTGAGGACGTTGAGCGCCGTCTTGCTCATCTTGTACGACAGCCACATCTGCGCGCCGTGTCAGTCGGCGGCACGCGGCAGCGGGCTGCCATGCGGGCACTCACCGTGTGCAGCTCGGGCGGAAATGTGGGTGTGAGGGCAAAGCTGCCCAGCTCGCTCGAGACGTTGACGATGGCCGGGCGCACGCTGCCGCGCTCCAGCAGCGGCTCGAGCGTCTCGGTGAGGTGGGCCGTGCCGAACACGTTCGTCTCGAACGTGTCGCGCATCACGGCGCGCAGGCCGCGCTTGTCCACCTCGTCGTCGTCGAACGCAATGGCGGCGTTGTTGACGAGCACGTTGAGCTTGATGCCCTGCTGCTCGAGCTCCTTGCGCAGCGCCGCGCCGCTCGCCTCGTCGTCGAGGTCGAGCACGACGGGCGTGAGCTTGGAGGAAGACGCCGCCTTGGCGCTGAGCTCCTTGACGGCGCCCTGGGCCTTTTCGCTCGAGCGCGCCGCGACGATGACGTGCGTGTCGTCGCGCGCCACGAGCTGTGCGGCGACGGCGAGGCCTATGCCCGCGTTTGCTCCGGTGATGAGGACGGTGAACATGATGAGCGGATGTGAGGTAGGGCTGGTGTGTTGCGCGAGAGAAGCGGCGGGTGCGGTCGGAGCGTTGAGGATGATGGGCGGGCACTGGTCCGAGCGGCTTCGGTCCCCTTTTATGTTCGCGAGGAGGAGGCACTCCGGGGTGTGGCAGTCGAGTGCTCACCGGCACGAGGTGGACGCGCGTCGCTTTCTCTGGGTGCGGTCGTAAGGAACGCTCAGCGCGGCGTTTAGTGGCCGGATCGGCTCGTCGTAAGGAACGCTCAGCGCGGCGTTTAGTGGCCGGATCGGCTCCTCCGGGTGTGATCTTCGTACTTTCTGTCGCCGAGTCGCGAATGCCGCTGTCCGCACCCCGATGCCAGACCGCGCAGGCGGGGCAGTCCAGCCAAGTTCGCGGGTTGACAGCGCCGTCCCCCGCACGACTTTATCGCCGAGGCACCGGAGATTAGCTCCGGCCGGGCGGCGCAGAGGTGCCAGCACAAGCCGCCGGCTCCGCGTCGTCAGCGCCGCGCCGTGGCTGCAAGAGCGAGACGCAGAGCTGAGCAGCGTCTAGCTCGACCAGCGGCATGGCTGTCATCTCAGCGCAGAAGGTGGACCACATGGCCGTGCCGAGGGCATGCCGAGCGGTGAGCTGACAGACCATGCGGCATGATGCGCGTGGGAACAAGCGCACGAATTTCTGAGCGCACGAGTTGGGAGACGCGCGCGAGTGAAGGGAGTCGCGCCCAGGCGCGAGCGGCGGATCCCTTGTCCGGTGCTGGCGCGCGCTGCGGCTGCGGAGCGCGACCACGTGGCTTTTCACCGGCGCTGCCTAGCCTTCCAGCGGCGCGGCGCCGCATCGCCCGCCGCACCGCCGCGCCCTGCGACCCGTCCTCCCTCCCTCCCTCACCTGCACCTCACTCTCCTCAAGATGGCACCGGCACCCAAGGAGCAGAAGCAGCGCAAGCAGCGCTCCGTGAGTCGCCACCCATGTGCACGCAGTCCTGCGTGGGGCTGCCGCACGCTTTACAGGCGAGCCGCGACTGACGCAGGTGTCCTGCTTCACAGGCGCTGAACGACGTTCGCACGATCGAGGCCACGATCCACCTGCACAAGCGTGGTGCGTACGCGGCAGCCGGGTGCTGGACGTATCTAGGAGGGCTGGAGGTCTTGGAGACGGAGGAGAGGGGAACAGCAGCCAGCAGGGGAGGAGCCGCATCCTCTGGCAGCAGGCAGATGGTGCGCGCCAGACTGCTGCCAGGCCACTCGGCGCGCCGCTGCGCCGCTGCTATTGCAAGTCTGGCGGCAGCAGACAGCGGAGCGCTCCTCCGAGCTCGCACCCGAGCCCTCCGCCGGGCGTCGTCAGGCGCAGGCCGATGGTGCCCGCCGCAGATGCCGGACCTGGCGACGTCTGCGCAGAGACAGCTTTGACGGCATTGGCAGCTCGGGCGGGCTGCTTGCAAGGCGTTGCAGTACGCTGCAGCAAGCGGCACGCAGGCTTCATGCGTGCTGCGGGCAGATGTCTGCCTACTCTGCGGCGCTGCATGGTCTTGGGTGGGATGCCGTGTGATGCGCTCGACCACGTATGTACCTCGAGCGCCATGCTGACATGCACGCTCCTCTCAGTGCACTCGGTCGGCTTCAAGCACCGCGCACCCAAGGGTGTCAAGGCTGTGCAGAAGTGGGCTGCGGACCTGATGGGCACGAAGGATGTGCGCCTGGACCCCAAGGCCAACCAGGTCATCTGGGGCCTCGGTGTCAAGGATGTGCCGCGCCGCCTGCGTTTCCGTCTTGAGCGTGAGTAGCCGAAGCAGGCAGAGCGACAGGAGCGGATAGCATGTGGGACCGACGGTGCAGGGCCGGTGTGGGTGAGAGAGGCAGAGCATAGCAGCGGACAGGCGAGAAGACAGACGACAGCTCGAAGCGCTGCCCCACCGGCCGGATGCTGGCAACCGCGAGAGCTGGAGATGAGCATCTCGCCGGGACGCGACCGCTGGCCTACCCGCTACAGCCGCATTGCGAAGCGCTCTTGTCAGAACAGGCGCTGACCCTGCTTTCGCTCTGCAGGCAAGCGCAATGACGACGACTCGGCCAAGGAGCGCCTGTACACCTACGTGACGTGAGTAGCTGCGCTGTGCGCCTCTTGCAGCGCCAGGCACTGACGCCGGCGCTCCCCAGCCCGGTCATGGGCATCACGCAGTTCCACGGCCTCGAGACGACGGTTGTCGACCAGGAGTAAATGCCACCTCGCTTTTACTTTGATCTCGCACTGCCTCTCTTGCATCGCCTCCTTTCTGCCTGGTCTCACCCATTTTCACGCACACTCCACACTCATCCACGCCTACCCCACGCACACTGTACTCTCACCGAAAAATCGATGGGCGCTGGGCGCGCCTTGACCACTGCTGCCACGCTGTGCAAGGCTTGGACGAAGGGCAGAGGTGATGGCATTGCTAGAAGTACAAGTGGTTGAGCGGAGCAGGAGACGTGCGAGGGGCGAAGTGGAGCGAGCGCCGCGCTCAGTTCTGGAAGCGCCGCTTGGCAGACAGCGTGGAGAGGAGATCCTCGAGCTGCGCATGGTCCTTGGGCGCGAGCCTGAAACGTGGAGTCAGCTGTGGACCGCGGCGCGGTGGCAGAAGGCGAAACGCACGTAGGAATCAGCGTGACGGCCTCCTCGACATCCTCGATGGACAAATTCGCGAGCTGTGCCACTGCAGAGCGTGTCAGCGTCATGAGCGAGGGAGATGTGTGTTGATGCTTGCAGTCGCTGCAAGCAGGCGCCTCAAGGTGCATGTCGCTGGCCGGAGGGCGCGAGGTGTAGCACACATGGCATCGACAGCTTCACAGCTATCATCACTGCACCACGAGCACCGCAGACGACCGCGAGCGAGCCCTCTAGCGTAGTCATCCCCGATCTCGCTGCAACATCGCAACTCCTCCGCGGGGGCAGCACCTCTCCCGCCCGCCGACTCACTCTCAAAGCGCGTCAGCCGCAGCCGGTCCTTCTCGTCCTCCTCCTCCTCGGCCGTCTCGATGCGCGGGCGGCCGTCGTCGTCCCACTGCGCGGTGCGGTAGTCGTGCTCGATGAGGTCCTGGCGCACGCGGCGCACCGTGTCCTCGTCGCGGAAGCGCGAGAAGAGCGTCACGTACTCGTGGCACTTCTGGAAGACGCTGCAGAGGAGCATGTGAGACGTGCGCGACGAGCTGACGGTACGTATGTGCGGGAGGTTCGCAAAGCAGCGTGGCAGCAGGAATGGCCGTCGGCGAGAGAGCGATGTCGCGCGTTGGGAGACGCGCTGCCAGCCACGATTCACACTCTTCCCTCACACGCCCCCCCCCCCCCCCCCCCCCCCCCCCCCCCCCCACACGCAGTCAGCCCTGGCAGCTGATGCACCGCCCGACACGCACCCACTGCCCCTGCAGCATTCTCTCACTCACGGCATCGTCATCGGGTCGCGCCCGCCCGGCTCCTCGTCGCGCTTCTCCTCGGCGCGCTCGCGCTCGAGCAGCAGGCGCGCCTCGGCGATCGTCAGCGCACCGCCGGCGGCGCGGTTGGCCTCGGTCTCGTTGAACTCGAGGCCGAACTTGCCGAGCGCCGCGTCCTCGGCCTCTTCGCGGCTCGCGAGCTGGCGGCGCGCGGCCAGCGAGTTGGGACGCACGGCGCCGAACATGGAGGGCGAGGGGGAGGGTGGTGGTGAGAAGGACGGCGCACGTGATGGCGACGGCGTGGCGGTGCCTGTTGCGCGCCTGGAAGTGGCGCGGCGGCGGGCCGAGTGCCGATGCGTGCGGCCAGGCACGGACCCGTGCGCGCTGCCCGCCTGCGTGGAGTGTGGCTGAGCGCCAGATCGCGAAGCCTCGAGCTCGTCCTTCCGCTCCACATCGTCGCATCCCTCGCATCCATCTGCTCACCCGAGCCTGCGCACCGTCACACACGCCGCCTGAGCATCCACGCCGCACCCGACGCCGCAGCCGCGCCGTCTGCCTCTCTCCCGTCCCGCCGCCTCCACCCCCTCCACCTCTCGCCCAGCATGGAGGCCATCAAGCTACAGCGCAAGTGCGTCGCCGCTGCGCTGCATCCAGCCCGCACTCTGACTGACGCTCGCACCTCTGCAGATACCCGCAATTGTGCGCACACGCCCTGCCGCACAGCTCATCACCCACTGACGCCCTCGCACAGCTCGCAGCAGGAGATGATGGCGCTCATCCAGCGCTTCCACCAGATCGACGTCGAGGACAAGGGCAGCGTCGGCAAGCAGGACGTCATCAAGGCCATCACCGACGCCGGCGACGCCACGTACGACGAGGCGCGCGAGACGCTCAAGGAGGTCGACGTCGACTCGGCGGGCCGCGTCGAGCTCGCCGACTATGTGGACGTGAGTGCGGAGGCGAGGGTCAGGGGCCAGCCATGGCAGGGCGGTATGGGCGAGGCGTAGTGCAAGCAGGCGAATGGCTGGTGTGCCATTGGTCAAGCGGCTGGGTAGCCAGAGAGGCTGCGGGACCAGCTAGGGGATGGGGATGGCATCGAAGTACCTGCGCACTTCCTCTGCGCGCATGTCCTGCTCGGACTACCGTCGCGCGCACGCTTGACCTAGCGCGAGGCTCTGGCTGACGCCCGCATCGTTGCTTTCCAGCTGCTTGCCAAGCTGCGTGCTGGACGCAACGCCGGCGCTGGCGAGGCCAATGCCAAGGGCAAGGTGACGGTGAAGGGCTCGAATGCCAACGTGCAGCACACCATCAACGAGGACGAGCGCACCGAGTTTACGCGGCACATCAACCAGGTGAGTCTGGCTGAGCGCGGGCGTGTGCTGGTGTCAGGCTCTGAATGCCTTTGCTGCTGCAGTCGCTGGCCGGCGACGTGCACATCGGCTCGCGCCTGCCCGTGCCCACCGACACGTTCCAGCTGTTCGACGAGTGCAAGGGTGAGTGACGCCTCTGTGCACCATGCCCGGCTTCTCTGACACAGCGCCACAGACGGTCTCATTCTGTGCAAGCTGATCAACGATGCGGTGCCCGAGACCATCGACGAGCGTGTGCTGAACGTCGGCAAGGGCGGCAAGGCGCCGAACGCGTTCCAGATGACGGAGAACCAGAACATCGTCATCACCTCGGCCAAGGCCATCGGCTGCAGCGTCGTCAACGTCGGCGCACAGGACCTGATCGACGGCCGCGAGCACCTCATTCTCGGCCTCATCTGGCAGATCATCCGCCGCGGCCTGCTGAGCAAGATCGACCTGAAGAATCACCCGGAGCTGTACCGCCTGCTGGATGAGGACGAGACGCTGGACGAGTTCCTGCGGCTGCCGCCGGACCAGATCCTGCTGCGCTGGGTCAACTACCATCTCAAGGCTGCTGGCTGGGCACGGCGGTGAGTGGCGTTTGCTGCCATGAGGGGTGTCGGCGCTCATGCTCGCATCGCTGCAGGGTGAATAACTTCAGCAAGGACGTCTCGGACGGCGAGAACTACACGGTGCTGCTGTCGCAGCTCAAGCCGGAGAGCTGCGACCGCGCGCCGCTGCAGCAGAAGGACCTGCTGCAGCGTGCCGAAATGGTGCTGCAGCGCGCCGACGCCATCGGCTGCCGCAAGTACCTGACGCCCGGCTCGATGGTGGCGGGCAACCCCAAGCTGAACTTGGCCTTTGTGGCGCACCTCTTCAACACGCACCCGTGCCTCGAGGCGCTCGAGGAGCCGCCGCCGATGGAGATTGAGGACTTTGACGCCGAGGGCGAGCGCGAGGCGCGCGTCTTTACGCTCTGGCTCAACTCGCTCGACGTTGACCCGGGCGTGTACAACCTGTTCGAGGACCTCAAGGACGGCACGGTGATCCTGCAGGCGTTCGACAAGGTCGTGCCGGGCTCGGTGACGTGGCGGCGCGTGTCGAAGGCCAAGGAGGGGCAGGAGCTGTCGCGCTTCAAGGCGGTGGAGAACACCAACTACGCCGTGGACCTGGCCAAGGGCAACCAGATGCACATCGTCGGCATCCAAGGCGCGGACATTGTCGACGGCAGCAAGACACTCACGCTCGGCCTTGTGTGGCAGCTGATGCGCCTCAACATCTCCAAGACGCTCGACTCGCTCGGCAAGGGCGGCAAGGGCGTGTCGGACCAGGACATGGTGCGCTGGGCCAACGGCGTCGTGCAGGGCGCGGGCAAGAGCAGCAGCATGCGCAGCTTCAAGGACCCCAGCCTCAAGACGGCCCACTTCTTCCTCGACCTGCTCGAGGGCATGCGCAAGGGCATCGTCGACTACTCGCTCGTCACGCCCGGCAGGACGGAGGAGGAGCAGCGCATGAACGCCAAGCTCGCCATCTCGATTGCACGCAAGCTCGGCGCCCTCATCTTCCTCGTGCCGGAAGACATCGTCGAGCTGCGCCAGCGCCTCATCCTCACGTTTGTCGGCTCGCTGAGTGAGTGCGGTGCGGCGCTGCGTGTGCTGCCGAAGCTGACAGCGCAACTCTTTAGTGGCACTGCAGGCATGATCGCACCTGCGAGCTCCAGCCTTTCTGCTGCACGCGCACTGCACCGCCCGTCACTGGCCTTCTTCCCTTGCTCTCGGAGCGTACGCTGCGCTGCCGCCCTTTGCTGTACATATCCTATGCTCTCCTTCGCCCGCTCCTCTGAAAAAACCGCAGCTGTGCTCGCCCGATCGCTGTGCGCTCTGGTTTTGCGAGTGTGTATTGCCGCGCTCTCTTTCCTCCCTTCCTCACGCAGCCTAGACGTCGATCACCCGGTAGCCCTGGACCTGTTGTGGGAGAAGAGCGGTCAGCTGCGGTTCGGCGCGGGGCCCGGCAGGGAGCGATGCGAGGGCACAGCGCGTCCGGCCTGCCTGCTTGTCGCAGCTGCCCACGGCGGCGCGCCAGCGCGACCGCGAAGTGAAAGAGCTGCGACGAAGCGGCACGGCCCCAGCGGACGCATCGCTTGGTAGACGATGGCTGGCGACTGCAGAATGCGTGCCCTGCCCTGCTCGCCCTCGCAGGTCCCAGCACAGAGCGCCGCTGTGCGCTGCTCCTCGCTGCCAATGGGCGGCATGCTGGCGTCGCGGCCACGAGCACGAATACGCTGTGTTACGGCTCTGCGTCCAAGCGCCACTCTCTGCTCCTGGCACCTCCGTTGCAAGCGCTCAGTCCGCCTCAGCCCGCTCGCCCCGGCGCAGTGCCCACACACCAGTCGCCCTCTCTCTGCGCAGCTCACCTTGGCATCCTTGAGCAGCTCGAGGTACTTCTCGGCAAGGCCGTGGCAGACCTGGTAGTGGTTGATGCCCTCTGCCTTCTGGCACTTCTGCAGCTCCTCGCGCACGATGCGCGCCTGCATGGTGCGCACCCAGTTCTCGCGCACCTTGGCGTCGCGCGCATCGAGCGTCGCTGCGGGGGGCGCACAGAAGCGGCGGGTCAGTGGGAGGCGAGGTGAGGTGGTGTGCGGGAAGGCGCACCCTGCATCGAGTCGGTGGAGGGAAGGGCGGACATGGTGGACCGAGGTGTGTGGAGACGGGACGATGAGGAGACGAGCCAAGGTGTGGAGCCGCGCGCCGTGCGATGGCAGCGCCAGCCGCCGCCGCCGCCGCCGCCGCCGCCGCCCCCGCCGGCCACCGCACGCCAGCCAGACGCGCGACGCCCGCCGCTGCGCGCGCGCATGCGCCCAGCCACCTGCTGATGGAGACACCGCCGCCGGTCACACCTCAGCTTCACGAACGACGCCAGAGCCGTTCTGCAGAGCACATGCGGGTTGTAGCAGTGTGCATCTTCGCCAGAAGAGCGCGTAGTGGCAGGGTGCGGGCGGCCATGGCTCACGCTAGAAACGCGCCCGGAAGCGAGCTGCTGCAACTCGGGCAGCCGGGCGGCCCTCAGCGAGCAGTGCAGCTTGCGCAGTGGCCACATCTGGATCAGATTTTGGGTGGTGTGGGTGTGATGAATGATGGAGCGAGGGGGTGGGGTCACGCATGCAGGGATGAGGCAATGTCGAACGGCGTGGGAGAGAGGAGAGACGAGGTGGGCGAGATGGGCGGGAAAGGGTGCAGTTGCGAACGAACGGCACCGCAATTCCCGTCCGTGCGCAGTCCACGAGACCAGGAGGCGAAGCAGAGATGCGGCTGCGCAGCTCTGCTCCTGCCCTTTCGTGCACGTTGCCCGCCCTTCGGCGGGCCAGGGCAGGCATGCCGACCCCCGCACGCCTCGCACACTCCGCCTCCTCCACCCCGCACGCCCCGGCGGCAGCAGCACTTTAGTCGAGCTTCTCGACCTCCGGCTCGTCCTTCTTCTCCACGACGTCGTCGAAGTTCTCGACCTGTGTGCGCGCGCGCGTCAGCCTTGCGCAGCGTGCTTCATCGCGCTACGGCCATGCCTCTCCACGCCGCATCCCCTCTTCGAGCCGCGCCGCCGCAACTCACCACGTCCGGCACCTCGTCGTCCTCCGCACCCTGCGCCGCACCGCCGGCGCCGGCGAGGGCGTTCTGCTGCTGCGCCGCGTTCATGGCCTGGTAGCTCTCGGCGAGCTTGCGCAGGCTGTTGAGCGAGTCGGGGCCGAGCTGGTTGAGAATGCCGGGCACGAGGTCCGTCAGCTCCTTGTCCTGCCCTGCGCCCATGATGCTGTACGTGTTTGCCGGGCCGGCCGAGTGGACTGTGCAAGCGCATGAGCACGCTGCATCGCCGCACCACTGCACGCTCGCTCTCACCCTTGGGCGCCTGGAAGTGCAGCACGTTGCCGTCCTCCTTGAACATGTTGACCTCCTCGATGCCGCTCAGCGGCTGCACGTCGAGCTTCTTGAGCGCGGCGCTGAGCTTCTTGTCGCCGTCGACGCCGCCGGGGCCCTTGGCCCGCTTGACGACCTTGCGCCGCGGCGTGCCCTTGCCGCCTGCAGCGTGCGCCCGGCGTTAGTAAGTGTGCAGTGGAGCACGGAGGGAGACATGCGGCAGCGCTGCCGGTGCGCAATGCTCTGTACATGCCAGCCAGCCAGCGTGCCTGCCGCCCGGCATGCGGCGTCTGCCTCCTCTCTCTCTCTCTCGCCGGCGCTGCTCCTTGCATCTCTGCTGCATCTGCTGCCCAATCCCTCGAGCTGCGCGGCGGCGACACGCACCGATGCGGCTGGCAGCCTGCAGCTTGGCGAGCTTCTCCTGGTCAAGCACCATGGTGTGAGTGTGGAGGAGTGGGGAAAGGTGAGGATGAGGGTGGGAGCAGAGTCAGGTGCGATGGGGACCGAGCGAGCTGCAGATGCAACGGCGCGGCTCCGTGCGACCGGCCAGCGCCTCTGGCGGAGGAGCAGCCTCTCTCTCACCGCCCCCGCTCACCCAAGGCCACGTCGGCTTCTTCGGCCGTCGCCGCCGCGAGCGACGGCGCGCATGCCGGCGCGCTTCGCCCAACTCGTGAGTTTGGCGCGCTTGCGTTGCCAGGTCACGTGGGCCTGCCTCACGCACCTCCTGTCAAGCATCACCTCGCCTTCTCGACGACCAGGTCAGCTGCACGGCGCTGCTACAGTCCAGACAGCGCATCGGAGAGCGTCATGGCGGTTCCAGTGAATTGCTCGTCTCAGCCGTCTGGCATCGGTCTGCGCAGCTCGATGCCGTCGCAAGTGGACAAGCCAGCAAGCCTCCCTCATAGCTCAAAACGGCGCAAAGTAGGCCCTACAATCCGCAGAGCAGACCTGCGCTGGTCCCTGCTGCAACCACGAGCGCTCTGCGAGGTCTGTCAGCGCCCGATGGCAGCTCGGCTTCCTTCAGAACGGCGGGTCTGGGGCGCCCCAAGGGGGCAGAAGCTTGCTCTCGCGCTCGCCGTGGCAGCGCCGCCGCCGCCGGCCCCTCTCTGGGCTTGCCCTGCCCTGCCTGTGCCTGAGATCTGCCTTCTGCCATCACGGAGCGCCGCCGGCGCATCTCTCTTCCTCTCGTGCACCGAGCGACGGTGAGATGCGGCGTTGCACGTGTGTGCGCACCACGAGCGCGGCGCTGGACCCTTGAGATGGGCAGCCGGCCGCAGCGGCCTTGAGCGGGCGGTGAGAGCGCCGTCGCGGCAAACTCGCGCGCGCAAGGCAGGCGCCCGGCCAAGGCGCTGCAACGCGGCAGGCGGGCGTCACCGAGCATGCCCTGGCGATCGGCGTGGCGGCGGCGGCGGCACGGGAGCAGGCTAGGTGTGTGCGCACGCGTTGGGTACGTCCGTGCGTCGCGATGGCAGCTGGCAGCCCAGCCGCCCCCTCTCGACTCGACTCTCTTGCCACGCTCCGAGGCTCGGCAGCACACGACAGCGCCGAGGTGCTGCTGAGATGCACCGTCTTCTCGGATCTGCGCTGCCCTGACTTTTCTGCGGCGCGGCCGCACCGAGGCACAGGCGGCGGCGGCCCGGCGTGCGCACGCGGGAAGAAGTTCACTGCGCGGCGCCGATCACGGCACCCTGCCTCGGTGCCTCGAGCTCGGCCCGGCTGCCTCGGCTGAGCACAGACTCGCAGCACAGCAGCAGCTGGAGCACAGCAAAGGCCAAAGGGCGAGCATTGGCGCTGCTCGATGCTTCTTTGGGGTCAGAGGGCGCGCAGGAGCGGGCGAGGGGTCCGGCGGAGGATGCACGATAGCGCGCACTCAGCGCCGCGTGCGTCAGAGGAGAGTCGCGCCGGGCGGCAGTGCCGTGCCTGCCACGCCGCGAGACAGGCGGCGTGCCTGCAGCACAGCGCTGCCGGCTTCGCGCGTTCGCAGCGCTTCCTTCGCGCGCAGCGAGGCAGCAGCAGACTGAGAGGCAGGCGAGCGGCGCTCGACCGTTGCGCTCGGCAGGGGGCACGGACGCTGCTGCTGCTGCGAGGGTGCATCAGCAGGCAGCAGCAGCTGGCTGGGCGCCTGCCTGTCTTGCCCTGCCAGCGCCGGCAGGAGTTCGTCCAGCGGCGCCTGGTGCTGTCCCTGTCGCGCTGGCCGCGTGCTGTCTTGGCCGCGCGCTGCGTGGCTCCCTCCTGCCCTCCCACCACCACCACCCCACCCCACCCACACACACCGCCCATCATGCCCTTCACGCCCTCGCCCACCGACGAGAAGGCCATCGCCACGATCCGTGAGTGGCGCCGGCGGCCGTGCGGTGCTGCGCCGTGCTGCACCCTGGCTGCCCACCTCCACTCCCGCATGTGTCGCTGACCCTGCCCGCGCCTGCCAGGCACGCTCGCGGCCGACATTGTCGCAAAGGTGTGTCGCACGGCGCCGCATGTCCTTGCCACACTCGCTCACACGCCTCCGCAGAGCAACTCCGGCCACCCGGGCATGCCCATGGTGTGTGGCCCTGCGCCGCCCTGGCGCGCGCGCCGTGTATGCGCGCACTGATACAGCAAAAACTCACCCTTTTCTCTTCTCTTCTCCAGGGCATGGCCCCGATTGCCCACCTGCTCTTCTCCCGGTGAGTGTTTCCTGCCGCAGCGGCAGGATTTGCGACGCTCTGGCGGCGCAGGTGCTCGGGTGAGCGGCCGGAGCATCTGGGCGAGATTGCCGAGAGAAGCGCCGCTCGCGCCGGGCGCCACGCGCGCGCAGGTGATGCTTCTTCCTGTGCACGAGCCTGGTCCGCCGAGCGCTCCGCGCGCAAATCCTGCACCTTCACCTACGCACAGAGTAGCGCCACTCACACACTCGCCTGTACAGCTTCTACACCGGCAGCGGCAAGGATGCCAAGTGGGTGCGTACGCCCGGCACGCGCAGCTCTCTCGCGCGCGCACATGCTGATCCGCGCGCGCACAGATCAACCGCGACCGCTTCGTGCTGTCCAACGGCCACGGCTGTGCGCTGCAGTACATCATGCTGCACCTGCTCGGCTACAACCTGAGCATGGACGACCTGAAGAGCTTCCGGTGAGTGGCGTGCAGATGCGGCGGCCACTGCGAGCGTGCAGCTTACGCGCCGCTCCGCTCCGCAGCCAGCTCGACTCCAAGTGCCCCGGCCACCCGGAGACGAACCACGGCGTCGACGGCATCGAGGTCACCACGGGCCCGCTCGGCCAGGGTGAGTGGCGTGCGTGCGCGCACGTCTCGTGTGCCTGCTCACGCGCGCGCTCCAGGCTTCTCGAACTCCGTCGGTCTCGCCATCGCGCAGGCCAACGCCGCCGCCACGTTCAACAAGGACGGCTTTGAGCTGTTCAACAACAAGACGTACACGTTCCTCGGCGACGGCTGCCTGCAAGAGGGTGTCGCCTCCGAGGCGGCCTCGCTTGCCGGCCACCTCAAGCTCGGCAACCTGATCTGCATCTACGACGACAACCACATCTCCATCGACGGCGACACGGCCTGCTCCTTCACCGAGGATGTTGAGCAGCGCTTCCTCGCCTACGACTGGCACGTGCTCGCTGGTGAGTGATCGCGCGCGCGAAGTCCGTACGCCCACGCGCGCTGACACACACGCGCGCTCCAGTCAACGACGGCGACAAGGACCTGGCTGGCATGTACGCCGCCATCGAGGAGGCCCACAAGGTCACCGACAAGCCCACGCTGATCCGCCTCAAGACGACGATCGGCTTCGGCTCGAAGATCCAGGGCGGTGCCGGCACGCACGGCGCGCCGCTCAAGGCCGACGACATTGTGCAGCTCAAGGAGAAGTTCGGCTTCAACCCTGAGGAGAAGTTCGTCGTGCCCGACGAGGTGTACGCGGCGTACAAGGAGATCCAGCAGAAGGGTGCCGACGCCGCGAGCAAGTGGCACAAGCAGTTCGACGAGTTCAAGTCGAAGTTCAGCGCCGAGCACAAGGAGCTGTCGCGCCGCATCGCCGGCGAGCTGCCGCAGGGCTGGGAGAGCGCGCTGCCCACCTACTCGCCGTCGGACAGCGCCGTGGCGTCGCGCAAGCTCTCCGAGACGGTGCTTGCCAAGCTCGCCGTGGCCATCCCGGAGCTGCTCGGCGGCTCGGCCGACCTGACGGGCTCGAACCTGACGCGCTGGGGCGACGCCGTCGACTTCCAGCACCCGAGCACGCGCCTCGGCGACTACAGCGGCCGCTACATCCGCTACGGTGTGCGTGAGCACGCCATGGGTGCCATCATGAACGGCCTCAACGCCTACGGCCTCTTCATCCCCACGGCCGGCACGTTCCTCAACTTCGTCTCGTACGCCATCGGCGCCGTGCGCCTCAGCGCGCTGAGCAAGCACCAGGTCATCTGGGTCGCCACGCACGACTCGATCGGCCTCGGCGAGGACGGCCCGACGCACCAGCCCGTCGAGACGGCCTCGGCCCTGCGCGCCATCCCCAACCTCGACTTCTGGCGCCCGGCCGACGGCAACGAGACGAGCGCCGCGTACAAGGTCGCCATCGAGGCGCGCCACAACCCCTCGGTGCTCGCCCTCACGCGCCAGAACCTGCCGCAGCTCGAGGGCAGCTCGATCGAGAAGGCCGCCAAGGGCGGCTACGTGCTCAAGGAGGTCGAGAACGCCGACATCACCCTCGCCGCCACGGGCTCCGAGGTGGCCATCTGCGTCGATGCCGCCAAGGAGCTCGAGAAGCAGGGCCTCAAGGCGCGCATCGTGTCGCTGCCGTGCATGAGCGTGTTCGACAAGCAGCCCATCGACTACCGCCTCTCGGTGCTGCCGTCGGGCCACCCGATCCTCGGTGTCGAGGCGTACGGCAAGCACGGCTGGGCGCAGTACTGCCACGTCTTCCACGGCATGAAGGGCTTCGGCGCCTCGGCCCCGGCGCCGGCGCTGTACAAGAAGTTCCTCCTCGAGCCGCAGCCGATTGCCGAGAAGGCGTCCAAGGTCGTTGCGCACTACAAGAAGTCGAACGTGGCCGCCGTGTCGCCCATCGAGCTCGAGGCTGCCTTCTCGGGCGAGGCCTGAAGCGGCGCAGTCTCCGCTCCTGCCTCTCTCTCTCTCTCTCCTTCTTACATACCGCCTGATCTCACTGTACCTCACATGGCCCGCTAGACCGAACTCTGTTGATTTGGCTGATCTGCCCATGCGTGGCGGTGAGCGTGCGGGCGAGGCGACAGACGGCAGTGGCAGAAAGGACGTGCTGATTTGGGAGTGACTGGCGGGGGTGCGTGACCAGGGTGACATGCGGGAAGGAAGAGGGACGCAGAGGCAGGGAGAGCGACCGTGTATGTGACGCAAGGGTGCCGTGTGTGTGTGTGTGACGCGGGAGAGATGCGGAGAGGCGCTGCTACAGGAAGAGGAGGGGACGCGGGTGAGGCAGGAAAGGTGAAGTGACAGAGGTCGAGACGGCGAGGAATAATGCTTGCGGAGAAGAGCTTGAAGTGGAGTGTCGCTCGAGGAGGAATGAGGCAGAGATTGGCAGCCCGGTCGCTTTCGGTTTCGGAGGAGGGCGGCCTGTCAGACTGCCAGGTCGGCGCCGCCGACGGCAGGAGGGGCCGGCTGCGTGGCAGGGCCGTGCTCGTGGGCCTCGGCGTCGAAGCCCGCGCCGTCCTCCCATCGCGGCGCATTGTCAAACTCCTCCTTCCACACGAGCAGGTCGGCCTTGAGGTTGCGCACGGCCAGCGGCTTGGTGCGCCAGTCGTCGCAGCCGGCCTCGTAGCCGCGGTCCTTGTCGGCCTGTGAGGAGCTGAGAAGGGCAGAGAGTAAGTGCCGGCAGCGAGCGAGGCGGCGAGGCAGTCAGACGCACAGTGCCGTGATGGCGATGATGCGCGGCGAGATGCCGAGCGACTCTTGGTGGCGACGCATGAGGGCGCAAGCGGCGAAGCCATCCTGTGAGGACGAGTCAGCAGGATGCACACGTCCAGCGTTCGCGAATAGACGCACCATGACGGGCATCGACATGTCGAGCAGCACACACGCCGGGCGGAAGGTGAGGAACTTGTCCACCGCCTCCTGTCCGTCGCGCGCCTCGTCGTACGGGAAGCCAAGGCGCTTGACCACCGTCGAGAGAAGACGCAGATTCAGCGGGTTGTCCTCGACGATGAGCACGCGGAATTCCTCGGCGGCAAGCGCGGACACGTCTTGCTCCGGCAAAAAGACTGTCGTGTCCGCCTGCGCGACGACGTTGTGAGGTGCGACGGAGTCGTTCAACGGCGCCGAGACTGGCGACTTTGTGGCAGATCCATCGTAGAGCTGCTGCGGCGGCACCACCTTGATGTCCGCAAACGAGCTTGGCGATGGCACCGGCGGCTTGATCTCGGGCGCCAGCGGTGCAATGGGCACTGGCGCTGCTTGCCGGTACGAGTTCTGACGTGTGGGCAGCGGCCTGTCGCTCGAGACGGTGCGCTGTCCGAGCGAAGGCAGCCTCAGCTGCAGCGGCGTCTTGTCCGAGAGGAACGCGTCCATTGTCTCGAGTGCCGTCGGGCCGAAGGGCGGCTTGAACAGCTGCACTGGATGCTCGGAGAGATGGTGCAGCGTGCGGTGACGGCCGATGGTCGACGATGCGACGACGAGGATGCGCGCATTCGCCCCGCGCGGAGGCAGCACTGGCAGCGATGCCGTCTTCGCGGGGGCGTCAGACTCGCTCATGGGCGTCTGTCCCAGCGTGTGCTCGGCAACCACCAGGAGGTCGCACGCGGCCGGCGACGACGTGAGGCGCACGCCATTCTCGTCCAGGCGCTCCATGATCTGCTCGCGCACGCGCTCCATCGCGCGGCCCTCGAAGCCTGCAAAGTGGACACTGAGGGACAGAGTCGCCGTCAACAGGGAGGCAGGCGCCGCAATACACACCCGACTCACTTCTGCACGCAGTAGTCCCTGCGGCGCGGCGGCGGCTCGACTGCCGCCGAGGAGAGCGGCAGAGAGAGGGGCAGTGTAACAAGCACGCGCGTGCCAATGCCCGGTGTGCTGTGCACATGCAGCCGGCCGCTCATCTGCGCCACCAGCGACGAGGCGATCGTGAAGCCGAGGCCGATGCCCTGGCTGAAGCCGTCGCCACCCTTGACAAAAGGCTGCCGAGTCTGGATGAGCGCTTGCCGCGAGCTCATGCCGCTGCTGCCACTCACCTTGGACAAATCGTTGTTGACAAACGACTTGCTCATGCCGATGCCCGTGTCGGCGATGGTGATGTCGACCTGCGACTCCGAGCCGGGGTGCATGCGCACCTTGACCTCGACGAGGCCGCCCTTTGCGATGTTGTAGCGCAGCGCATTGTTGAGCAGCTTGCAGAGCACCTTCTTCGTGCGCGTGCGGTCGATGCGCCAGCGCTGACGCATGGTCGGATCGACGGAGATGACGACCGTCGGCACAGACTCGGGGCGCAAGTGCGCGTCGACGACCTGTTGCGCGTCGACGAAACGGTCCTGCCGCGCGGCCATCTCGGCCTGCTCGAGCTCGCTCTCGACGGCATCCTCGATCTCTGCAGCCAGAAGCACATCCTCCACACGGTGGCTTGCCGCATCGCTCTCAGATCGCAGGCCGCTTGCGGTGCCGAGGTCCAGCACGTCGTCGAGCGTCGCACTCAGGTTGCTGCCGGCGAGACGGATTGACTGCAGCAGCTCGGGCAGCAGGTTGTCTTCGAGCAGATTCTTGGCGCCCTCGCCGTCGGCCGCGGCGCCGCGCAGGAAGTCCGTGATGCCCAGGATGGCATGCAGCGGCGTGCGCAGCTCGTGCTGCACGCGGCGCACGAAGGAGAGCTGCGCCTGGTCGACAAGGCGGGCGCGGTGGCGCAGCACAGAGCTGAGAAGCAGCGTGCCACACGCGCGCGAGAAGTGCAGGTCGGCCTCCTCCATGGCCCGTGCCGTAGCATACGTCACCACAAGCAGGTACAGCGGCTGGCGCTCGTGGTCGAAGACGGGCACGGCGAGGTACGTGGGCACCTCGAGGCCGTCTCGGAAGATCTCCAGCTCCGTCTCCTCGACGGACGACTGACTGTCGCTGTCGGCATCGCTGCTCAGGTCGGCGCGGAAGACGTACATGTCAGACGAGCGTGGCCGGCGGGCGAAGAACGTGCAGATCGAGGAGCGTGCCTCGGAGGTGGAGAGGCAAAGGTCCTCGGCGCGCCCGTTGGCCGTGGCGACGACGGCCACGGCCTGCTCGTCGCCATCAGGAAAGCTGCAGACTTGCTCCTCCACCGCCGCAGGCGTGCCGCTGCTCGAGGCCGAACTGCCGATGGACGACGAAGAGATGCTGCTGCGGCTGAAGTGCTGCGACGGGCGCCGGAAGTTTGGTGACGAGGGAACATGCGCGCTGTTCGGCGCGGCGCGCGAGCCCGCACTGCTGGTGGGCCGCGATCGCGACGCGCGCGGCTTGGCCGGCGGAGTGGCCTGCTCCATGTCCTCGTGGCCCTCCTCGGGCGTTGCCGGGAACGCGGCAAGCTGGGGCCCGGCGTCGCTGTCGGCGATGGGCGGCGTCGCGACGGGCAGGCTGCTGGAGGCGCTGAGCCACGGCGTGCTGGGATAGCCGCCGCCGTTGCGCGGCGAGGCGGACGGCTGCCTCGACATGACACCGCGACTGGACGACATGCGGAAGGAAGACACGTCGATGCCGTACACGGCGGTCGCCTCGAGCGACTCGCGCATGGTGTCAATGACGACCTGCACACGATCGGGACAGAGCGGCGTCTTGTTCTCCAGCGAGACGGACGAGTAGTGCTGCGGCTGAACGTCGGCGTCGCCGAGTAGTCCCTCGTTCTGCGGCGGGTCCAGGGCGGCAGCAAGACGCGTGACGCTGCGCTGCATGCGATGCGTGCGCTGCGCGTTGGCAATGTGGTGCTCGTTCTCGAGCGCCTCGGCGCACATGTCTGCAATCTCCTGCAGCAGCAGCGCATCGGGCTCGCCGAAGTGCGGTCGCAGTTCCGTATCGAGCAGCGTCAGGCGACCGACCTCGATTCGCTCGCAGGTGGGCCCGCTGCCGTCGCCCTCGCGAAGACCGGAGCCCACGCCTGGGCGTGACAGAAGCTGCCAAGGGGCCAAGTAAGCGTGGTGTGGGGGCAGCATGGCGCATGGCACGCACCAGAGGTGCCGATGCATAGAAGCGGACGCGAGCGCCTTGGGCGTCCGTGACGGGATAGTTGGCGAAGCGCCAGTCCTCCTTGAGGTCTGGAATGCACACGACGGTGTTCTCCACGCTGCGCAAGGCGAGACAGCGGTGTCAGGCCAAGTCGCCGCGCGCACAGGCGCCGAGACTCACAGCATGGCGTGGCTGCAGAGCGCCTGCACCGGCGTGCTCTCTTTGACCGGGTTGAAGCCGCTCTGGCCCAGGAAGAGCACGGCGTTCCTGGCAAGAAGCATCAGACAAACGCGCACACCACGCATGCCTGCGGCCGGGCTCACCTGGAAGCGCACGCCACTGTCACAGTCGCCGAGGCGACGCGGAACACATCGCGTGCATGGCGGGCGTACCGCGCCGCCGACTCTCGGTAGCCCACCTGCTGGAAGCGATGTCGCAGCAATGCGGCCTCGCGCTGCTTGCGACGGCCCTCTGGCATGGAGGGCGGCGGAAAGATGCCATGCTCGAGGAAGTACGAGCGGTTGTCGACGGGCACGCCGTCGGAGCAGACGTACTGGCAGGCCGACTGCGTCGCCCGCCTACGACGAGAGGTGACCCTTCTCATTTCGCGCGACGACTTTGCGTTGCCTGCGCTGCTTCCCGCAAACTCGGCCTCGTCGCCGGCATAGCGGCCCGACGCCGCGTAGGCCACCCAGTCCCGCCAGACGCCCGCCTGGTACGCGACAAGGAAGCGGGCCCACTCGTCGGCATCGTGCGGGTTGGGCTTGGGCGGCGCACCGAGCACGAAGCGGCAGCTGCCGCGCGCGGTGCTGCGCGCACGGCCAGGCGCCGCCGCGCCGCCGCCGCCGCCGCCGCCGCCGCTGCCCGCTGCGTCAACCGTCGACGGCGCCGTGCTCGAGCTGTCGTGCGTCACCGTGTCGCCGGAGCGCGCATGAGAGGTGGCGTAGAGCGCCGGGCCGCAGGAGGGCGGCGGGTGCGAGGGCGCGCCGATCTGCGCACGCAGGCGCTCGAGACTGGCGCCATCGTGGCAGCTGCCGCTGGTGCGGCTGCGGCTGGCGCCCGTCGAGTCGCTGCTCGCCGTGAGGCAGTCCATGCTGCGCGCAGCACGGAGAGCAGCAGCGAGGATGAGAGTGCAGTGCCAGGCGCCCAGGCGCTCCGCGCTGTCGAGCGGCGTGCGGCGCAGGCGCTGAAAGATGGGCGAGGCGCGCAGCACAGACGCAGGCGGCACGCGTCGGACGGCTGCGCAGCGCAGAAGGGCGTGGGCGCACTCGCGCGGTGAGTGCTGGACGAAGAAGAGGTGGAGCGCAGAGAAGTGCGAAGGAGACGGCGAGCACGGCGGAGCGGAGGAGGTGGGAGAGGAAGAGCTCGCGGTGATGTGCGGGTGCGGATCAGGGAGCGGAGCGAAGCACGCGCGGCAGGCGGCGCAGAACGAGCAGCCGCCGCCGCCGTGCGCGCGCGGCGCGCCACGGCCCCTCGACCAGCCTACGCGGACTCTTACTCGACTTCAGAGCAGCCCTCTCCTGCAGGCGCCGCCCGACGACGCACTCCGACCTCTTGCTCCAGCCGGGAGCAGCAGACTCGCAGCCGCACACTCGACTCAGAGTCATCCCGCACGGCAGCGCGGCTGACAGGGCGAGCACCACGCCCAGAACGCAGTAGGAGTGCAGCGCGAGCGCGTGCCTCGGCCCGCAGGCGCCGCCGCCGCAGAGGCAGCAGCAGCAGCAGCCTCGAGCCGGCGGCCAGAGGTTGCGCCACGATGCAGCCGTGTTCGTCCACCCGGGCGCGCGCGGCTGCATCTCTCGTCTGGTGCTGCTGTGAGCGGCTGCGCATCTGCAGAGGTTGTCCCGCAAGAGCCAGACCTCGCGCCACCTCCCTCATCAGCACCAGCACGTCGCGCGTGTCGCTCGCGCACCTTTTCGAGGCCTGGAGTCAAGGCTCGTGGGCGCGCGTCGCAGCGGCTCACACAGCGACAACGCCCTCGCCCGCAGGCCGAGGATGCTGCCCATATCGACCGACTGCCCTGCGGCTGGCCATCCTGCACCTGCATCTGCGTGCCGCGCCATGCGCATGAGAGACCAGGAAGACTCGCCGCACAAGAGCGAGACGCAGCCAGCCGCAGCGCTCGAGCGTTCTCTGCACCTCGCTGCAGCGCTGCAGCCAGAGCTGGGCCCTGCAGCCAGCTGCAGCACCAGAGAGTGCACAGCACGAGGCAGCATGCAGCGTGCAGGCTCTGCGCTCCGCTGCGGCACCAGCACCACCTGCGCTGCTGCTGCCTCCCTGTGAGCGGCTGCATGCTGGGCTGTTCTGCACCCGCTCCAGAGGCAGCGCGTTGTGCCGCTCCGGCGCGCTCTCGCAGCTGCTGCGGCAGCCGATGGCCCTGTAGCCCCGCCGAGCGCTGGCGGAGCGGCACGCGAGAAGCAGCCGCAGCCGCAGCGGGCAGCCCAGACGCTGCGGACTCTGACTCTTACTGCCGCCTCGGCACCAAAGGAAAGGGCAGGCGCGCGGCGGGACGCCCTCACGAGGGCCCTAGACGCTGCCCTCTGGCGGCTGCTCCCGCTCCCGCCTCGCCCCTGCCTTCTTTGCTCTGCCTGGTGGTGCGTCGACATGCCCCTCCATCCCGATGCACAATGCTTCCATCCCATGCGGCACGCCTCAGGCAAATATGCGCAGGCCAGCCCAGGGCTCGGCCGGCACGGCGCGTGCGGCCGAGGCGTGCCGATGCTCCCGCCGTGCGGCTCCCATCGTTGCGCGCTGCCTTGCTCACTCTTTGCGACGAGAGGTGCAGCGGCAAGTTGCCTACGGTACGCAGCAGCAGCAGCAGCAGCAGCAGCAGCAGCAGCAGCAGCAGCAGCAGCAGCAGCTAGCCTCTGCGGCCACCTTCGCCCACAGCAGCTGCAGCCGATGTCGAGCGAGGCCGCAGCCAGGTGCCGCGGAGGCCCAGCCGTGGTGGCGCACCGCCGGCGCGGCGCATCCGTGCGGCGTGCCTCGATGCGGGCGAGCCCTTCACCTTGCTCGGAGGCACGAGCCGCGGCTGCTCCTTCCGAGCGCCCAGAAGAGATCACCGCAGCGCGCAGCCGCAAAAACGTCAGGCCTGGTCGGATATCTGCGTCTGCCAGGTGCGAGGCGCAGCGTCGCACGGCTCGTGCTGCTGCTCGCGGGGCCGCTTCCAGGTGCAGACCGCAGAAGCATGGCAAGGCGGGGCGTGCGGCATGGAGCAAGCGTGGGTGGTCTCCTCGCACCTGCGCGTCATCTCCTCTGCCGCAGCAAGTATCGCTGCCGAAAGAGACGGACGTGCTCTGCGTCTGGCGACGAACATAGCCTCGCCGGCGCTCGAGATGCATGCTGGCGTGCGTGGCGGGTGCTGTGGATGCACAGCAGGCCGGAGTTGGGCTGCGGAAGCGGAGGCTGCTGGCGGCTGGGCTGGCTTGGCCGTGCGAAGGGCGCCAGCGCGGTGCGGCCACTTGTTTGCCCTCCGCCCTCCTCGGCCCCATGTGCCTCGCTGTGCCTCGACGGGGGCTGCCTCAGAGGCAGGGGAGGACGACCTGCCGGAAGATTCCCGCGGAGAGGCGGCGCCGTGTGGCTTGCGCGAGCATGCCTCCCTTTCTGCCTCTGCAGCGTCTGAGCCGCTGGCGCTGCGCTGCATCAGCAGTGCAGCAGTCTAGTAGCGCCCAGCATCGCAGGGGCAGGCTCCGCCTCTCCGCCGCGGTCCTGCTCGGCGCCGAGCTCGCCCAGGAAAGCGCAAAGGGCCGCGCCATTTGCAGTTGCGAGGCATGTGCGCCTCGCTGCGACGAGGAGCCGCAAGAGCGAGCGGCACGTCCAGAATTACCCGCTCCGCTCCCGCCTCCGAGGAAGGTGAAGCGACTGTGCGAGCTTGCCCCCGTTGGAGCGCTGGTGCTCGACGGCGCTGCGCTTGGTGCGCCACACGCCTGTCTGGCATGTACGCTGAGGGTGCGCTGCCCCAAACGCTTCTGCTGGCAGCAGTGGACGAGCACACTCACAAGCGCAGCAGAGGCAGTTCTGCCGGCCCCGAGGCCGCACACAGCCCGAGCCCGCAGTTCTCACGCGTGCTCCATGGGCTGCTTTCTCGGGGCGCGCCATGTCCGGCGTGGCCGGCCTCTTGGCGCCCCACTCGCCAGCGTTGCGGCGACAAGAAGTCGCTCCGGTACAGACGAAGATACGCTCTGGTACGCAGCGAGCCTGGCCGCCCTCAGTCTCGTCCCGTGTGCGGTTCAGACGCATGCGGCAGGGATCGTGCAATCGTGGCTCTTAATTTAGTCGTCTCTCGTCTCTCGTCGCTGGTCGTACATAACGATACACATCGCCGTGCAAGCGCTGGCCCTTGCACACTTCCGGCCGCGGCCGGAGCCTTACACGTAGCGCTGCAGCAGGCCGTCGGTGACGTTGTACGCCCAGCCGCTGACCTGCGTGCTGTTGATGAGCGGGTGGTCGCGCAGCAGGCGGATGTCGTCGTGCAGCGAGTGGTTGAGGCTGGTGAAGGTGTTGAACGCGATGCTGTCCGCTACGCCCAGCGGTGTGGACGTCAGCGTCAGGCTGCAAGCGAGCAGTGCGCGTCAAGACGTACTGTAGGGACGCGCGGTGTCGTTGCCGTAGTGCGACTCGAGCGCCTCGTGGATGCCCGCGTCGGTGTACTTGTGCATGCCGCAGTCGGTGTGGTGCACTAGGGACATTCAGCAATTGTTAGGGCTGGGTAGCTGGCAAAGACTCACCGACGATGATCTCGTGCGAGCCGAGGGCCACCTGCGAGACGAGGATGCTGGGAATGGCGCCGGCCACGCGGCCGCCGGCGTTGCGCAGCACGTTGACCGTGCCGGCCTTGATGCCGAACGCCTCCTCGGGCAGGATGCGGCCGTCCATGCAGCTGTGCAGACGGGTCAGGTCAGCCCAAGCCACGCTCTGAAGCGGCGCGCAACACGCACGTCACGAGGATGGCAGTCGGCTCGTGGTCCATCGGCGCGAAGGTGTGCGCCTGTCACAAGCACCCAAGGTGAGCAACAGGAGGCCGGCGGGCTCGCTTCTCGTACTCACAGCTTCGGTGTTGGGCGTGACGAAGGGCAGCGTGTGCGTGCCCTCGAGCGAAGGGTGCTCGCGCGGCACAAGGGCGCGTGGAGCCGAAAAGGGCAGGGCGAGCGCCGCAGCGGCAAGCAGAGGGGCGGAGAGGAGGAAGCGCATTATGATAAGGACGGGTATGAGGGCGGAGGTGTCGTGTGACTGGGGATGGAGGGAGGTGGAGGGCAAAGGATGAGATTTCGAGAGCAGGAGAGCAAAATCTGCTGCCTTTTGACCGTCTCGAGCGTCCTCGGACAGAAGCTACCGACGATCACCTCATCTTCGCGCGCCCGTCTGCTCGCTCTGCGCTCGCGGTGCGGGGCTTGCCGTCCCTGGGAGTCCGCACGCCGACGCTGCTTCGTGTGAGCACGACAATCGGCCCATCTGAGGAGCCTCGTCGGCCTTGGCCCGGCGCTCTACCTCCTCGCGGAGTGGCGAGGCTGTGCGCCGAGCGCCGTACCGCGGGAAAGCCGTCCGCTTTGGGACAGAGCGAAGAGGCAGAGCGATGCTTAAGCCTGCGAGCCTGCGACCCAGCGCAGCGGTGTCTCGGAGCCGAGCACAAGGACGCAGGAGGAGGATAGGGGCTGCGACGGACGGAGCCGCGCGGCACCTGGGGGCCAGACTGCAACTTCCGTGCCTGAATGTAGAAGTCCAGGCACATTGTCCTCCATGCGGTCATGATTGTGGCGCTCATTCAGGCGTCTTGCGGCGAACCCAGGGGGACGAATGAGGTACACTCAGCGGATCAAGTGCCCCGGCAGCCCCTCGGCTGCACTCATCCGTCGCACGTGGCGTGCACACGAGAGGAGGCATACGTGTCTTGAGGAGGCGTATGGGCCAGCCGTCCCCTGACTTCTCCTCAGTGTGACGACATCGATAGCCTAGGCCGGCGAGCTGAGACTGTGAGCGCTCTTCGCTGCCGTGGCACAAAACACGTGTGCAACATCTCTCGAGAAGAACGGCCGGCTGCAGCACAGCTGGCCGTCACCAGAGCGTCCAATCGTACGTGGTGCCCCTGCTCGGCGTCTGTTGTGGCGTTAGAGCTCGTCATCTGCGTGCTCAGTCGCCAAAGGGCTGGCTCGGCGACTCGCCACGGCATCCTGTTTGCTGCGCCCTGCAGAAAAAAAAGACAAGAGGAGCATTCCGGAAGCAAGATGCCGCTTGGCAACTCCTCTTCGGTCTGGATTCGGTCGGGGAACAGGGGGTGCGCGGAATTGACGGTCCCAATGCGTCCCTCGAGGCCATGATGACCTGTTCCGCGTCGTCGCCCACGCGGGCACCACACCACGGCTTGGCGTACCGCGCCGCAGCAGCACCGAGCACGACGCAGCCGTATCAGGCCAGACGGCCTCGGCGAGGAGCCTGATGCGGCCTCGGCGAGGCGGAGCTGCACATAGGGGCCGAGCTGCGGAGCCGGATAGGGCGACCGCGGGCATCGCCGACACCCAGCTCGGAGCCGACGCATCTCTCGGCGTCCGATGGAACAGCAGCGAGCGCGGGTCTTAGAACGTGCTGTGCTTCGAGACGTGCGGCCAAGAGGCTCGGCGCAGGTACCAGGGGCGTCGAGAGGCTCGACGCAGGAACGAGCCTTCCGCCGCGGGCCGCGATGCCGGCTCGGCGGCGAGCTCTCCGCTCAGTGGGACGGAAGCGTGCACAAGCTGAGCGAGAGCGCAGCAAAGGCCAAGCAAGTGCGACGGCTCTATGAGAGCGGCGCAGGCCCCGAGCCGGCGGTGCGGGGTGCGCTGCCAGCTCCGCGGCTTTGCCCCGCGGCACAGGCATGCCTAGGGGCGCCTCGCTGCAGCCAGAGCCGACGCCGTTGCGCTCAAGACATCTCTTGGGCAGAGGTGTGCGAGGCCATGCTCTCCTTGCTGCGATGATCCGTCGTTGACTCTTGGACGTGGTGGTGTGTCTTTGTGAGAGAGGTCTGCGCAGCGGCGCGCGGCGCAGACGCGCAGCGCCGGTCACCGGGGCGCTCGGCACGGCCGAGTCAGCGGCGCCGTCTTCCTGGCGCCCGCAGCGTCTGCTCCTCCACCTCACCACCACGCCTCCCGACTCGAGCGATGCGCACACATCGCGCACTGGCCGCTGCATGCCGCCGGCTGGGCGCAGCGCCCGGCGAGGCGCTGCGTGCCCCTCGGCCGCTGGCCGCACCGCTGCCGCGCGCCTTCAGCTCGGCGAGCAACGCCCGCGCCTCGTCGTCGCGCCTGCCGCCGACGCTGCACACGCTCCTCGCCGCCGAGCAGCGCCCTGCCGCCGCTGTCGAGGTGCATGCGTGGGCGCGCGCCGTGCGCAACCACCGCAACATGGCCTTTGTCGAGCTCAGCGACGGCTCGCTGCCCGGCGCCGCGACGCTGCAGGCCGTCGTGCGCGGCCCGCTGCGCGACCGCCTCGGCACGGCCCTGGCGCCGGGCGCGGCGCTGCGCCTCAGCGGGCGCCTCGTGGAGAGCAAGGGCCAGGGACAGGCGCTGGAGCTGCAGGTCGAAGAGGCGCACGTCGAGGGCGCGACGAATGCGATGGTGAGGCGTCCCGTGTGGGGGAGAGCCGAGGTTCTGGCTGACGAGGGCCGCAGGAGTACCCAATACCGCTCACTGCCTCGACGGCGCCGGCCGACCTGCTGCGGCGCAACGCACATCTGCGCTCGCGAGACGCACGGCATGCCGCAGTAGTGCGGGCGCGCGATGCGCTCGAGCGCGGCCTGGCGTCGTACTTCTACGTGAGGGCCACGAGCGCGAAGCTGCGTGCGCCGGTGCTGACGGGCCTGTGCAGGACGAGGACTTTGTGCGCGTGACTGCGCCGATCATCACGTCGTCCGACTGCGAGGGCGCAGGAGAAGTGTTCCGCATCGTTGCCGACGCCGACGCAGCCGATGCTGAGCCTCAGCGCGACGCATCAACTGCATCGGCCGATGCAGCATCCGCCGCACCTCACGCAAAGCCAGGCTTCTGGTCCGGCCTGCCGGCGTACCTAACCGTCTCGGCACAGCTGCACCTCGAGGCGCTCGCACACGGCCTGGCGCGCGTGTGGACGACGGGCCCGTCGTTCCGCGCCGAGGGCAGCGCAACGAACCGGCATCTCGCCGAGTTCTGGATGTGCGAGGCCGAGATGGGCACGTCGGGCGGCGCCGGCGCCCTCGACGAGGTCATGACGGCCGCCGAGGGCAGCATCCGCGCGGCGATGCGCAACGTGCTGGGCGAAGGCGCGCCGTCGCCGCGCACCGAGCGCGCCCAGGCCGACGCGCGCTTCCTCGTCGGCGACGAGGACATGCTCGCCGTTCTGCGCGAGATCGCCTCGAGCGCCGAGCCGTGGGAGCGCATCACGTACGACGAGGCGATGCGGCGCCTCATGACGCGGCACATGACGGCGGCGTTCGCGGTGCCGCCGTGCTGGGGCGACCAGCTGGCGTCGGAGCACGAGCGCTGGCTCGCCGTCGGCGGGCCGCTCTTCGTCACCGACTATCCGGCGACGGGCAAGCCGTTCTACATGCGCGTCAATGAGGCGGAGCAGGGCACGGCGCGCCAGACGGTGGCGTGCTTCGACCTCCTCGTGCCGCGCATCGGTGAGCTCGTCGGCGGCAGTCTGCGCGAGGAGCGCGCCGACGTGCTGCAGGCGCGCATGCGCGAGCTCGGCGTCGCAGAGGGCCCGCTGCGCTGGTACGTGCACGACCTGCGCCGCTTCGGCTGTGCGCCGCACGGCGGCTTCGGCCTCGGTGTCGAGCGCCTGCTCAGCTGGGTCACCGAGACGGAGAACCTGCGCGACTGCGTCACCTTCCCGCGCACAAAAGGGCCGGTGCGCTTCTGAGAGCTGCGCGCTCGCCCACACACGCACCACGCCGCGGCTGGAATAGGCATGAGCATTACCGCGCACGCGGCCTGCATGATCGCCGCGTGCCTCTGAGTGTGTGTGTGACGTGTCCATCTGCCGGGCGATGGCGCTTCCAGATCCAGCACGACGCCGCCTGCAGACGTTTTAGTAGCGCCCGCGCTTGGCCGGCGGGCCGTCGCTGTGCCCGTAGCCGCCGCCGTTGGGCGGTCCTCCGGCCGGCGGGCCGCCGTACCCTCCACCGTAGCTGAGGGGTGTTTGTCAGGCTTGGCAATGAGCGCGGGGCACGGAGCGTACTCACCCAGCTGCCGGCGGTCCGCCCTGCGGTGGCCCTCCGTACCCGCCGCCGTCGCCGCCAGGGCTGTAGATAGGACGCATCAGTAGTGAGCCTCTCAGAGACGCCGGCCGCACTCACCCCGGCGGGCCTCCATAGCCTCCCCTTGGCGCAAAGCCGCCTCGCCCCGGCGGTGCGCCGCCGTAGCCTCCTCGTGGTGCGAAGCCACCTGGCGGACCGCCGAAGCCGCCGCCCGGCGGACCGCCGTAGCCACCGCCCGGTGGGCCTCCAAAGCCGCCTCGTGGCGCGAAGCCGCCGCGCGGAGCAAAGCCGCCGCCCCGTCCGCCGAAGCCACCCCGGAATCCACCGCGGAAGCCGCCGCGGAAGCCACCGCCGACTGTGAGAGGGTGAGCACAGGCCAGACGCCAGACAGCAGGCACGACTCACACATCATGTCCGGCGGCGGCGCCACCTCCTTCTTCTTGCGCGTGGCGCCGCCGAGGCCGCCGCCCAACCGCATCGGCTTCCAGTCCTTGACTGTCCGGCCCCGCTCCACGTCGACCATGATGCGGCGCCCGCCAATCTTGATGCCCTCCGCCTCCTTGTATGCAGCTGCATGCACCGTCAGAAGGGCGCTCAGTCGCAGCGCAGGCTGGCACTTACTCCGCATGTCACGCTCCCGCTCGTACACGACAAAGGCATAGCCGCGCGACTTGCCCTCCTTGTCGCGCACAATCCGCAGCCGCTCGATCGGCCCGTACACCTCGAACTCGCGCGTGAGCTCCTTCTCCGACAGGTCATAGGGCTGCGCAGAGGGTGAGCACGGAGTAGGCGCGCCCGCGCTGCGCTGTACTTACGAGCCGAGAGAGGAAGAGCGTGGTGAAGGGGTCGCCGATGGCTTCTGGGTCCTTGGCCGGGTTGACTGTCGCAGGTGTCAGCGCAGAGCGCAATGGCAGCCGGCAAGGTGACAGTGCCGTGCTGCACACGCTGCACTCATCGCCTCTGGCCCCCACTTCCAGGCTCTACGCGGCGCCTGCGCTCTCGCGGCACGACTCACACTCGGCCTCGCCGCGCTTGCGTGCCTCCTCGTGCTTCTTGCGGCGCTCCTCGCGGCGCATCTCGCGCTTCGTCTGCTCGGCGTGTGTGAACTCGCCGTCCTGCTCGGTGACCTCGCCCTTGTCGGCGGCCTCCTGCTTGGCGCGCTCGAGGAAGGCGGCGACGCCCTGCAGCGGCGGCACGCGGCGCGAGCGGCGCGGCGGCGCGGCGGGGTCGCGGTCGAGCGGCAGCGGCTCGGCGGCATCGAGCGGCGGCCGCGGCGCAAAGAGGCGCAGCAGGTTCGGCGGCAGCTGGTGCGTCATGCTGGCTGGGAGCGGGGGGTCGCGGAGCGGAGGCTGGCTGAGGCGCGGCGCGCGCGCGCGCGGTCGAGCGTAGCGGCGGCGGCGGCGGCAGCAGCGGTGGATGAGCGGCGGCGCGCCGGCGCGGCACGTGACCGGCGACGCTGCTTCGCTTCACAGGCCGCACCGCGCCGCTGGCCTTCCTTCCTCTCCCCCTCCTCCACCACACACGATGAAGCTGCACCAGCTCAAGGTGCGCCCGCGCAAGGTCGCCCAGGCCGGGCCCTGCGCCGCCGAGTTTGCCGCCATGCTCGCCTGCTGGGCCAGCTCGTCGGACGTGGGCAACACGGGCGTGTGCCAGGAGAGCGCGGCGCGCCTCGGCGAGTGCATGAAGAGCAAGGTGAGTTGCGGGCTGGGGGAGGGGGGACCAAGCAGCAGAGGATCGCTCTGGAAATGGGCACTGTCGCTCGCTCGAACCACCACTGGCCGTCAGGGGCAGCGCAGCGGGCTCTGACGCCCCACATCGCCAGGGCGCTCGCGGCGCATCGGCCAAGCCGACGATCAACTACCACCTCGCACGCCTCAGCAAGCGGCTATGAGGGGCGCTCGCACCGACAGCGGCGCTTTCGCAAGTGGGGGCATGATCGAGAGGGGGATGGAAGGAGCGGTTGGGGTCGATGGGAGGATGGTCAGGCAGCTGCCAGCGCAGCTTCGACCAGGTTGACGGGAGATGGCATCGAGGGCCAGAGAGGGAGTCACGAGGAGGGATGCGACAGCTGCACATACGTGCACACTCGCAGCGAATGGGATCATGCTGTCACACGATGCCGCCACGCAAGCAGAGCGGTATAATGTATGCATTGGGCTCATGCAGCTCGCTCATCTTCCTCGCCTCGTATCCGCTCATAGCCGCCGCGCCGCCACCGCGCTGCTGGCTCGGCATGCGCTGCTCGACCGGACGGCAGGATGCGGAAGCGCTGCTCGCGCCAGGTGACTGCGAACTAGAGGGTGAGAAGCGGCACATGGAGGCGAAGGCAAGCGACGCACCTGTGTTGCCGCACATCGCGCCGACCCAGATCGGCAGCGCCAGCAGCTCGCGCACGGCGTACGCAATGCGGAACACGCCGCGCTCGCTGGGCGGTAACGGCGTGCCGGCTCGCAGCGCAAGCATGACGCCGTAGTCGACGTTGTACCAGAGCACGTGGTGCGCTGCAAGAAAGGCGGCCAGAGCGCACGCCTCCGCGGTGCCGCCGAGCTCGCGCGGCGCCAGCACAAGCCGCCGCAGGCCCCAAGCGGCGAGCAGGCCGGCGACGATGCTCTCGGTGATGGGCTCCAGCAGTGTGGCGGCAAGGACCATGCGCTTGCGCACGCGGATCCAGCGCATGCGCCGCGAGGCGTAGGCGCGCAGCGACGAGATGCCGCCGACCGACGTGTGCACTGCATCGCCGGGCGCCAGCGCGTGATGCAGGCCGAGCGGTGGCCGCATGAGCGAGAGCGCCAGCATGTTGTCCTCTGCCAGGTAGATGGAGAAGCGCGCCAGTGGCCGTGCGGCGCCGCTCGCCACGCCCTCCGTCGAGGCGGTCGCGGCAAAGGCACTGCTGCCAATGGCGCCCGCCTCGCCGCTCGTGCCCTGCTCGTCGACGCCAAAGAAGGCGTCGGGCACGCGCGCCAGATCCGACTTGCAAAACAGGTTCGACTTGCCCATCACGCACGAGTCGACGCTCAGCGTGTTGATCGCCAGGTACATCTTGGCGTGGTTGGTGCTGAGGAAGGCCCGCTCCACCTGCGAGCCGAGATTGGCTGATGGCGAGACAGCAAGCGGCACATGGTGCACCAGCCCGACACGCGCGGTGCTGCCGCGTGCGTAGGTCGCACCGCCGAAGAGCGGAAGGCGACGCAGGAAGCGCGGACTCGGCACGGCTGGCGGAGAGCGCACGAGTGCATCGACAGCACGGCCCAGCGCCGTCGGCGAGAGCGAACACTGCGCGTCGAGGACCCAGAGGATGTCGAAGGCGGCCAGCGAGTAGGGCACAACGAGGTTGTTGATCTTGGGGTTCACGCCCGCGGTTTCGTCGCCTGCATCGAGCAGCGTGAGCAACGACTCACTGAGGCGAAAGCCGAGACAGCGGCAGTGGCAGAGACATGACCCTCGGCGTTTCTCCATACGCCCAGCGGAAGAATAGAGCTGCATGCCTTTTCCACCCTCATCAAGCAGGCTCTTGGCATCACGACTCACCGACGACGATCCTGCTCTTCACCTCCGGATAGCGCGCCGCCACATCACGCGCCACCGCGAGCGCCTGGTCGTGCTCGTCGCGCACGCTGAGGATGATCTCGAACGAGTCGCGCGGGTAGCGCTGCTCGAAGGCGGCGCACAGGTTGCCGAGCAGGTTGTGGTCGAGGCCGGCGAGCGGGCGCAGAATCGAGACGCCGGGCGCGCTGGGGCTGGCCGATGCGCCGCAAGTCTGCGCTGGAGTGCCGTTCGCTGCAGCGCGCTGCACGTCGTCTGCCAGCGACGAGAGCGGCGAGGCAGGAATCGGCGGGCTGTAGAGGCGGCGCGCCGTGTGCAGGCCGAGCAGCGAGATGCACCAGATGGCCGCGTACCACGCCAGCGCCAGCGCGGCGAGCAGCGACGGCAGCGGCGGCAGGGCCGATGCAGCGTCGGCTGCAGACGCAGCGGCCGCCATGGACGTTGAAGGGTGATGAGGGACGGAGGGAGAGGAGCAGACGCGCGCGCGCTCCGGGCTGGAAGATCGCCCGATGCATCTCTCCTCCTCGGCCGGCGCCTGCAGCTCCTGGCGCGGTCCGTGCACGTCGCGCCTCCTTTCTCTCCTCCACTCCACTTCCACTCGCTCCGACGCTCCTCGCCCACGTCACTGCCTCTCTCTGCGCCGTCCGCTCACTCCGGCCTCTCCTTGCGCCGGCCTGTGTCCGTTTGGCTGCTCGCTGCTGCGGCACGCGTGCTGAGCGTCCGCGGCCATGCGCCGCAGCACGACGGGCCGCCTGAGCGAGGGCGTGCGAGGCGGCACGGCCAGCGCTCAGGGTGCGGCCGGGGCACAGCAGCTCAACGGCACAAGTCGCAGCGCAGCAGCCCCGCGGCGCTCGGCTGCCAAGGCTGAGCATGCCCAGCCACGGCCGCCAGACGCAGCGGCGGACGCAGGCAAGCCCGCTGCCGCAGCCGCACCGGAAGCTGCCTCTGCTCCGGCCACCTTCGAGCTGATGGACGAGGAGCAGCGCAAGGTCGTCGGCGCCATGGAGCTGCGTCCGGGTGCGCTGAGCCCGTCGGCGGAGGACAAGGAGAAGGGCGTCGTGTGGTTCGACATCGGTGAGCCGAGCTGCATCCCTCCTTGCCTCGCGTGGAGCTGAGACGCGGCGACGGGGCGCAGACAATACGCTCTACCCGGCCTCGACGCAGATCGCCTCGATGATGGCCACGCGCATCCGTGCCTACTTCCTGACGCTCGGGCTCGACGAGGCCGAGGCGGAGAAGCTGCACCAGCACTACTACAAGTCGTACGGCCTCGCGATCCGCGGCCTCGTCAAGCACCACCGCATCGACCCGCTCGACTACGACCGGCGGTGTGATGCCTCTTTGCCGCTCGACCAGGTGCTGCGGCCCGACAGCGAGACTATTGCATTACTGCGCGACATCGACCGCTCCAAGTACCGCGTGTGGGCGCTGACGAACGCCTATAAGACGCATGCGCTGCGCGTGCTCACGCTGCTCAACATCCTGCCGATGTTCGAGGGCCTCGTCTTCTGCGACTACAGCAACGCCGACTTTGCCTGCAAGCCCGAGCCGCGCTTCTACCACGCCGCCTGCTCCTACGTGGGCACGTCGCCCGAGCGCTGCTGGTTCGTCGACGACTCGGCGCTCAACATTCAGAGCGCCAAGCGCCTCGGCTGGGCCAACTCGGTGCTCTACCGCGAGGAGGAGGCAGTCGATGCCGTCAATGCGCCGCCAACCAACGGCGAGTTCGTGCCGCGCGAGCTGCGTGCCTTCAATGCGCCAGCGAAGCTCGAGAGCCTGGCTCTGTCGAATGGCAACGCCGAGCACGATGCAGAAGGCGTCAGCCAGCAGCTGCGCGCCCTGGCACCCGCTGCACGGGTGCGCCTCCTGAGTCTCCTGCTCGACAGCGCCTCGTCGCCGTCAGAGCTGAGCGTCATGGCGCGTGCGGTCGAGCGGCATATGCGGCTGCGCCACGACTTTGTCTCTGCGATCGGCAGCAGCATCACGCTGGCCATCTTCTCGCGCCTCTCCGTCAGCGAGTTGCTGCGCTGCCGGCAAGTGTCGAAGAAGTGGCGTGAGCTCGCTGCCGAGCCGGAGCTGTGGCGCTCTCATGCCCTAGCGCTGACGGAGAGCGACCCGTCGCCCCTCGTTGCCCCTACTACGCCCGAGGGCTGGGAGCCGCTCGTGCGCGGCCTCTACTTCCGCGAGCGCAACTGGGCACGCGGCGTCTCGCAGCGCATCGTGCAGATGCCGGGGCACACCGGCTTCGTCACGGCCATGAAGCTCAAGGGCCGCACGCTCATCACGGGCAGCTACGACGAGAGCATCCGGATATGGGACCTGCCGACGGTGCGCTGCACAAAGGTCATCAAGGCGAAGGCCATTGCCTGCCTGGACTTTCTGCCGAAGCAGGGCGTGTTGGCTGCGGGTCTGTACGACACCGGTCGAGTCATGTGAGCAGCGCGCTTCGCCAAAAATTCGCCCTGCTGACGCGAGACCGACGCAGGATCTGGAGCCTGAAGACCTACGAGCTGCTGCACACCTTCACGGGCCACAACAAGGGCATCCGCTCGCTGGCACTCAGTCCAAAGGGCGTGCTCGTGTCGGTGGGCCAGGACAAGGCCATTAACGGTGAGTCGCGCTGCAGGGCTGGACCACGCAGCGGCTGACACCTGTCGTGCAGTCTGGGACTGGCGTACCGGCGAGAAACGCTGCCGCTGGGGCCAGCAGAGCAACGTATCGCTGGGCGTGGCCATCGTGAATGACGACCAGGTCGTTGCGGTCACCGTCGACGCTGTCATCCGCGTGAGTCGACTCCTGCTCGCTGCCGCGATACTGCTGATGGACGTCGCTGCGCAGACGTTCTCGATTAGACGCAAGGAGATGATCGGAGAGTACCACATTAGCAAGCTAGCCGGCGGCGGCGCCAAGGCACGCGAGCTTGCTGGACTCGGAGGCGATGCGAACATGATGCTGTGGGTCTGCGCCTCGCATGAGACTGCTCGATCAAAGCTGACCAAGGATCTCACACTACAGCTGGTTTGCGGCGCAAAGGCGCACGCTGACCGTGGCGAGCAAGGACGCCATCATCCACCTCGAGTGGCAAGAGCATGTCGTGCCCATCGAGGACGAGCCTTCTCCGACCGCATCGCGCGCTGGCACGCCGATGCGAGGCGCGCCCGGTGCGTCCGCACTGCGCTCGCGTAAGGACGCCGCCGAGTCGCCTCTGCGCTCGCGGCGCGAGTCTTCACAGGGCAGCATGAGCGCCGCTGCAAGCTCGCCAAGCTTGGCTGGACGTGCTCGACGGGATTCGATCGAGAGCAACGCGTCTGTTGCCAGCAACGCGACCGCGATGACGAGCGCCACTTCAAGGCGTTCGCTCGGCGGCGCGCCAACGTCTGCTCGTTCGCCGCCATCAGGAAGTCGCAGCGCCGCTCCGATGCATGCGCTCACGCGCTCGACATCTCTCGCCACGCCATCCAGGCCGCAGCCGGCAGCCGTCGCGGACCAAAGACGCGCCGCTAGAGCGAGCGGCAGCCCAGCACCGCCGCCGTGGCCCGCGCCTCGCAACTCGCCGCGCCTTTCGCTCACCACGTCGCCCCGCCTCTCCTCGTCGGCCTCGCTCTCCTTCCCGAGTCCGAGCCCGAGCAGCCCGTCTCTCTCGTCGCTTGCATCATGGCAGGCAGGCGTGCAGTCCGCCGCATCGGACGAGCCACGAGCAACGCGCATCGAGGCCAATCTGGGCGCGCCGCCACAGCTGGTGGACATCATTCGTGGCATCCCGGACGCGGCGACTGGCTGCGTGGACCCGGGCAAGCGGCGCCTCGTCAGCGCCAGTCGCTTCAGCAGCCGTGCGGGCGCCGATCGGCGTCTCTATGTCTCGACGCTGCAGACTGACGGGCCTGACGCGACCGCAAGGCGCAGCACGGTGCCCGTCGGAGGCGCCTGGCAGGCAGAGGCAGAGACGCTGGCGCAGCCTGCAAACAACCCTCTGTGCATCGTGCACGATGCCGACACGCTCGTCGTCGGCACGTCATCCGGCCTGGTCTACTCGATTGGCTTCGTCGGCGACGAGCACAGCCGCGGCTGGATCGACACGGACGAAGGCGCCGACGACGAGATGCTGCGGGGCACGAACGCTGCGCGGCAGGACGTCGTCATCTCGGACCTGGTGCAGCTGCGTCAGGTGTGGAGCGAGCTCTTCCTGCCGGCAGACGCGCCGCCCGATCATCCCGGACGCTTCAAAGACGACATGCAGTGCGATCTGGTCGCTGCCATGGGCCTCGCCTAGACACAATGCAGCGGTACAAGCTCATGATGGTGACGCGTGTGCATTGCTCAGCCAGTGAGCATCGCCGTGAGACGCCCGCGGATCTCGTCAGCGCCCGGCAGCTCCGACTCTGCCACGGCCGGATGCCGCTCGCGAACGACTGCTGTGAACGCTTCGTAGCTCTCGATGACTTGGCTCTGCAGATGCGCAGCGCGTCAGTGGGTAGTTCGGCCGGAGGTGTGCACCGCCGACTCACCAGCACGGGCTCGACGAGGCTGCCCATCGCCCGCTCGTCCTCGAGATACGCGCGGATGGCGCTGCGTGCCTCCTTTAGATTGACCTCTGTGCACTTGCAGAAGGCATCGTACGCGCCGCGCGCCTTGCCCACTGCTCCGACCTCCGAAGCCCGCCGCTTCGCAAGCGGCGAGGTGGGCGAGGTCACGCCGGCCTCTGGCGACTGCGCGTCCGGCGAGCGCGGCTCGGTCGCGGCGGGCAGCGGCGTGCGGCTGATCTGCGAGATGTAGACGCGCAGCGGCAGCGCCGTGCTCTCCGCGATGATGGCGACCAGCTGCGTCGACGCGCGCTGGATGTCCTCCTCGAGCTGCTGCATCGCGGCGTGCGAGGTCTCTCTAGGCGAGCTGGGCGGCATCGGTGATTCTGGCGCCGCGACTGCCGCACCTGCGCCTCTTGCGAGCTGGTACAGCGACCGCGGAGCAAGCAGTGCGCTTGTGCCGGCCCACAGAGCGTTGACGACGGACGCGACCGTGGCAAAGTCCAGTGCCATGCCGGCAGACGCGGCAGGAGCGCCGCGCGCGTGGCCTGTAAGGGCAGCGATGCGATCCGCTGGGCCGTGGCCGCCGGTGTCTGCGCTCAGCTGCACCGAAAGAGCGATCTCGCGCAGGAGAAGCAGATGCCGCAGCCAAAACAGTGGCCCGTCGAGACGGCCGCTAAGCCCGATGCGACCAGTACCGAGCCCGCCGCCGCCGGTACGCAGTGCTTCGGCGCCGGTGACGAGTGACGCTCGGCATGCCTCGACCGCGCTCATGCCTACGTCGTAGAACACACTCGTGGGCACGCGCTCGTAGACGAGCGAGAGGCCTTGCAGTGTGCGTGTCAAGGGCGTGTACCACGTGCGCGTGACAGACGCAGGCGGCGCAGTGAAGAGACGGATCTTGCCCTCGTTCTCTGCGCGCTGCGCCGACGCCGCCATTGCACTTGCCGCCTCGGCCGCTTGAAAGAGACCCGCACCGCCGATGCTGCTCTTGGCTCGTCGATGAGCAGCGGCTGCGGCACCGGCAGCGCCACCAAGTTTGGCTGGATAGTCGACGTCGTCCGCTGTTGGCGTGTGCGCGGCGATCTTGCCAAAGTCCTCTCGGGCCTTGAGCACGAGTTGAGCTTGCGCGGCATCGAGCAAAGGTCGCAGCAGAGGCTGCAGCAGAAGTTCGGCAGAGCGGGACGGTGCATCATCCGGCTCCTCGGCGGCAGGCACTTCGAGCAGCGCAGCGCAGATGCGCGAGAGGACCGCAGGGCTGGTCTCCTTCTGGATGCGTGGCCGCACGCGGTCGTGCAATGCCGCGCAGATCGTCTCGAGGTATGCTTGCAGCTCAGCGGCGCTTGACTGGCCAGTCGCACCGCGCTGCTCGTCATCGTCGACGACGAAGAAGTGGTCGCAGAGCTTGTACTCGGACTCGCACAGCGCACGCAAGAAGTCGAGGCCACGCCGCGCCAGACGTACAACGAACGAGTCTGCAGACGAGCTGCTCGCTGACGAGTCTTCGGCGTGGACGGCCGCTTCGATGCGAGCCAAACAGCTGCCAATGAGCCCGAGAAGCAGCGCCCGGCGCGCGTCGAAGTATGCGGCGCGGCACTCGCTGAGCATGGCCGCGAACTCGGGCGACGAGAACACGAATGCCTTTGTCCGCCCTGTGCGGCCATCGTCGCTCTCCTGCGTCATCGAGTAGTCCGCGAGCAGTGCGTCTTCATTCATCGGAGGCACCTTGTCGGACTCCTCGATGGAAAGCTGCATCGAGGCGGCGGCAGGCGCCGACGGAGCGGCGCGCTTCTCGAGCTCGGCCAGCAGCGGCCGCATCTGCATCGACTCTGTGCTGAACTTGTCGTACATGAGGCCGTGCAGGTCCGGATCCGCGAGGTCCTGCGACAAGGTGAGCATGTAGTACGCGGCACAGCCTCTCTCTGGCGCTCACCTGAAGCTTCGAGTCCGCGCTGCCCTGGCTCTTCTCCGCCGCGCCCTTGCCGTACCGCTCCTTCTCCCACTTCTTCAGCCCGTCGCCAGTCTCCTGCACGAGCTGCTGCATGCGCTGCACCAGATACAGCCGGATGAGCTGGCCAGCGCGCACAACGCAGTGCTCGAAGCGCATGCGGTACAGCGCGGCGTCCTTGTACTGCGGATGCGCCTGCACAAACTCGAGGCCCACGTCGAGACGGTCGAGCGTGTGCAGGAAGTCTGGCGAGAGCACGAGCGTGACGGACGGCGAGTTGAGGAAGGATGTTGAGGTAGGCAGGATCGAGAAGTAGGAGAGCCGCAGCGACAGGGCTTCGGACAGCGTCGAGAGATGGTCCTGCGTGGCAGGTTTAGCAATGCGGGGCAAGGCATCGAGGCTTGTTGACGCACCATCTTCTCGACCATGCTCTCCGCCTCTTCTCGCAGCCCTTCACTTCCCTCCTCGACGTATCGGGCACCAGCACGCAGCTCAGCAATGTGCACACGCGCCGCCTCAATCTCCTGCAGCAGCGCGTCCGCCTCGTCGCAGGCGGCAGTGATGCCCGCCAGCGCCTGCGTGTGCGCCGACTCGGTCGACGAGGAGATGTAGGCCTGCTGGCTAGCGAACCAGGCGAGAAAGGCAGGCGCGTCATGGATTGGCGCTGTCGGCAGCGAAGGCTGCGCGGAAGCCTTAACTGCCCGACTCGGCGCTGCAGCGGGCGTCTCCTCCGGCTCAGCCTGCTCCGGCAGACGCGACGAGGAGGCTGCGTTGGCGTCGACGCCATTGGAGCGCAGCGCTGATGCCGCAGCGACAGAGCTGCGCCGGCGCTGCACGCTTGGCCCCGACGCTGCGCTCGGCCCACCGGCGATCCAGTCGGCGAGGCGGCTGACGCTGGCGCGCTCGGCGTCGGAGAGGGGCGCCTGCACGGCGGCCCACTTGTCGAGCTGCACGCCGGGCGTCGGCGCCGGAGCGTGGCTCATCGAGCGCGACATGGCCGCAGCGTGTTGATCCAGCAGCAGATGCGGAGAGCGGGTGACTTTGAGGCGAGGTGGATGTGGTGGAGAGGCAAGGATGCAAGGGCAGGTCGCCGCACATGGTCCGCGCGCGCGCGCCGCCGCCTGCCGCACGAGAGAGCTTCGCGCGCCGCCAGGCCAAAAGCGGATCCTTCGCTTCGTTCTCGCGTCGCGCACCTGCTCCTTCCAGTCTTGCCTCTCCTCCACATCCCGCCTCTCTCTCCCTTTCTTCGCTCCTCGACCGGCAGGCCTGCCAGACCGCACGAGCCTCGCAGCGCCAGCATGTCTGCGCCTGTGCCCGTGCGGCCGCCGCCGTCGCCCGCGCTCATCCCCCTCACGCGCCTCGATGCGCCGACGCAGCGCCTCTACGCCGCCTCGGCCCTCGTCGCGCTGCAGGCGCTCAAGGTGTACCTGCTCGTTGCGCAGCCCACGGCGCCGCTCGTCACGTCGCTGCTCCTCTCGCTCGGCTTTCTCTTTGCGCTGGCGCGCCTGCGCATCCCGCGCCTCGACTATGCGCGCACGCGCTGGCAGCTCCTCTTTCTGCTCTTTGCGGCCAGCGACTGGCTGCTCTGCGGCGGCTGGCGGAGCCTGCCGAGCCTGCTTGCCAGCGCGCCGGTCATCGGGCCGCTCGGCGCTCAGGTTGGCAACATTGGTGGTGAGTGCTGCTGTGCAAGCTGCGGGACTTAGCGAAGCTCATCACTCCTCCAGGTGCGCTGAACCCATGGGCCGGCGAGCTCACGCTGGGCGGGCCGCGTGTGCAGGTGCGCAAGCTCGTGGCACCGCACGAGCGCATCTTGGGCCAGTACACCATCCACATCCTGCCGTACAGCACGGCCACCCTGACGCACGACCGCTCGCGCCCGGCGTGCCACTGCATCAGCCCGCGGGCGCCGCGCGTGAGCATCCCGGTGCTCTTCAACAACACCGAGCCTGCGCTGCTGCAGTACAGCGTCACGTCATTCAGCGGCGACGACGTGCAGCTCTTCAACGTCTCAATACCGCGCTCGGCGCTGACGCGCATTGGCGAGGCGCAACAGCCGCAGGAAGGGCGAAAGGAGCTGGACCTAGTGCTCGACGATGTGCCGAGCGCGCTCGTGCGCTCGGCCGAGGCGCCGGGCCAGCCCGCCAAGCGGTTGAACTTGCCCGCAGCCGGCGGCAAGCAGCATCTCTTCCAGCTGCCCGTCGACCACGTCGGTCGCGTGCGCCTGGAGCGTGTGCTCGATGCGAAGAACCATGATGCGCGGCTTGACAGAGGCGAGGTCATCGTCGTGGAGTGCCCGTCGAGCACTTTCATCCCGCGGTCGCGCTCTGCAATGGCCTCGGAGGCTGTTGCCTCGAAGCGCGCCGGTGCGCTCATCAGAAGCGCCGACAGCAAGGCCCGCAAGGCAGAGACAGAGCATCTCTGTCCAGACGAGCAGGCCGAGCTGCATGTACGCGTGCACGGCCTGGCCCCGCTCGAGCTCGCCTATGCGCGCGTTTGGACGCCGTCGACTGGCACGGCCTCAGACGAGCGTCGTGTCGTGCGAGGAAGCGGTGCAAAGTCTGCGTCGCCCCTCAAGGGCGGCGTTCCTGAGGTGCAGCGCATCGCGCGCATCAACAGCCCGCACGCCACGAGCCCGCTCGACTCGAGCTCGGCCGGCGTTCCCACTGCGGAGCGTCTCTCGGCTGCGCTCAGCCGCGCGTCGAAGATTGGCGACCACTCGTGGGCCGAGGCTCGCGACATCGACATTCCGCTCACGCTCGAGACACGGCGCGCCGGCACGTACTCGTACGAGCTGCAGAGCGTCGTGGATGCATGCGGCAATCAGGTCGATGCTGCAGCGCTGGCGCAGGCGGTCAAGGGCCAGCCGGCGCCCGTGCCGAAGCACGAGGTGGTGGTGCACGCGCGCGCACGCATTGCCTTCCTAGGCTGCTCCAGCGAGCAGCCGAAGAAGCTGCTGCGCGGACAGGCAAACGGTGAGATGACGCTGCGGGCCGATGGCGAGGGCGCCACAGATGATGGCTGGTCTGCCCTTGTGCGCTTCGAGCCGACGTGGGTGGGCAGCGAAAAGCCCGTCACGCGGGCAGCACAGAACATCTCGATGGGAACAGGTGGCGTAGCCAAGGTGCCCATCGAGGGGCCCGGCGAGTACATCATCGAAGCTGTGCAGGGCGCCTACTGCGCCGGCGAAGTTTCGACGCCGCGCGTCTGCAGAGTCATCGACGTGCCTCAGCCGCGAGCGAACATCACCTTCCACGCCATTCAAGACCAGTGCGCCGGTCCCGTCGGCGCGCGTGCGCTTGCCGTCCTCTCCGGCACTCCGCCCTTCAAGCTCGAGTACAGCGAGCAGCGCAAGGGCCAGCCCGAGTATGCGCGCGAGCGCGTCGTGCAGGGCACGCGAGACGAGATCGAGCTGCGGCCGAACAGCGACGGCGACATCACGTATCGCTTCAAGCGCCTCTCCGACGCCAACTACAAGCAGCTCGCGCTCGATGGCCCGGAGTTCACGCAGAGCGTGCACCCGCTGGCCACGGCGCGCTTCGCGGGCTCCACCTCCGCTCCTTCACGTGTGCCGGGCCAGCCACACCGGCGGCCCGGCGGCGTCGCAGGCCGGCAGCCGGCGCGGACCATCGTGCTGCGCAGCTGCGACGGCAATCGTGCGGCTGTGGACGTCGAGTTCTCGGGCGTTGGGCCCTTCGCACTGACGTACGCTACGCGCGTCGCCGACGATGCGGCGCCCGAGCAGAAGGTACTCGAAGGCCTAACAGGAAAGAGCCACACGCTCGACCTCGACCTACCCGAGCGGCTGAGCACGCAGGGCGGTCTTATGACGCTCAGTCTGGTCAGCATTCGCGACTCGCGCGGCTGCGAGAGGCCTCTGGCAGAGGCAGACGTCGTCATTGAAGTGCGCCGGACGAAGCCGAGCGCCGGCTTCGACGTGCCTTCGGGCCAGCCGCGCGGCCAGATCAACGTGCTCGAGGGCCAGGATGCCAGACTACCCGTGCGCCTCACGGGCGAGGGTCCCTGGCAGGTCGAGGTCCAACGGCAAGGCGACGACGGACCGCCGATCACCGAGACGCTCCGCAGCGCAGACGCCCACATCCTTGCACGCAAGGCCGGGCGCTACACGCTTCTTTCCGTCAAGGACAGCACCTGCCCCGGCAGCGTCGTGCCGGGTCAAGACGAGTTCGACGTCACGCTCATCTCGCGGCCGAGCGCCCGCTTCGACGACAGCGCCGGCCATCTCGCTGCCAACTCCTCGCTGCTGCGAGCTGCAGTCTGCGTGGGCCGGCCCGACTCCGTCGATGTGCGCCTCAGGGGCCACTCGCCCCTGTCGCTCTCGTATGCGCTGTCCCTCGACGGCCGCAGCTCGCAGAGCACAATCTCTTCTGCGCAGGGTGAGGCGACGCTGCCGCTCTCGACAACCTCGGCCGGCTGGCACACCTACGAGCTGGTCAACATCGGCGACCAGCTGTATGCGCCGGCGCACCTGCCGCGCGGCGCTGCAGCCTCATCACACGCCGTGCTACACCAGATGGTGTACCCCGCGCCGGTGGCCAGCTTCGTTGAGACGCGCTCTGCCGCCTCGCTGTGCGTCGGCGACTCGCTGTCGAGCGCCAAGATCGGCCCGTCCGTGCCGACCGTCAGCCTCGTGGGCACGCCGCCGTTTGCCGTGGACTTCTCCGTTGGCGAGGCGACTGAGTCGGTCTCGCGGCGACGAGTCTTCCACCGCAAGGATGTCCAGTCGCACAGCCTGGTGGTCGAGCTTTCGCCCGAGGAGCTGACTCTCGACCGCGTCGGACGTTGGACCGGTGAGTTGCGAGCACAAGGCACTGTTGATGCATGCACTGACGCTCCTTGTCAGTCCGCGTCGAGAGAGTCGTGGACGGCAATGGCTGCGAGACGGCGTTCGGCGCGCCTGATGCCAAGGCGCCTGAGTGGGATGCAATGGTCGTAGAGACCGCCGGCATCGTCGCCGTTGGAACGCGCAGTGACTTCTGCGTTGGCGAGGAGGTGGCATTCGCGTGAGTTTCGCCAAGTGAGACCCTCTTGCTGCCAGCTGACCCAGCTGCACCCGCCAGTCTACAAGGCACCGCGCCCTGGACGGTCGAGTACACCTTTGCCGGCAAGCACGCACGAACAAAGGCGACGACGCCGACCTTCTCGCGCCTGGCCGACCGCGCCGGCGACCTCAGCATCCGCAGCGTCGCGCACGAGCGCAACCGCTGCGTGCGCAACGTCGAGGGCGAGCCCGGCATGCTGAAGCGCGTGCACGCGCTGCCGCGCATCAGCATTCGGCAGGGCAATCATTACATCCAGGACCTGCCAGAGGGTGACTCGTGTAGCTGCGAGGACCAGAACCTGTGCTGACGTCTTCTCTCGCAGGCAATCAAGCGGAGATTGCTTTCCACCTCGAGGGCGAGCCTCCGTTCTCCTTCACCTACTCGCGCACCGAGCCGACGGACCGGCATTCGCGGCCGCGTGTGCTCGAGACGCACACTGTACGTGCTCGCCGTCTGCTTCGAGACACACCTCGCTGACCCTTCTGTGCACAGATTGCGGGCATCAACGAGCACGAATGGAGCCTGACCACCTCGCAGGAGGGCACGTGGACCGTCTCCTGGCTGCAGGACAAGTGGTGCACCGTCTCGGTGGCGACCGATGCGACGGGCACTACCACGCAGCGCAAGCTGTTGGGGCAATAGGGGCCTCGCTTAATTCATTGAGTGCAGAAGCCGTGCAGGAGTGTGAGAGACGCTAGCTCCGGTCATGACTGCGCATCCGCGCTTCCTCGGCCCTAGTGTGGATGTAGCACGTCTGCGCATCCGTCCTGCTTGGTCGAGACGTGTGTCCGGCGCCCTCATAAGGCCGTCATGGGCCTAACACTCTGAAGTCTAGCTCCACAGCTTCACGTCAAGATGCCCTTCCTTTCTGTGAACCAGAATCCGCAAGAGCAGCTCGGAAGCATCGTCCGCAGTGTCGTGGAGGCGTTGAGATCAGTTGCCGAGTCAACGTCTCTGGATGGCTCGTTCATGTCTCTCTACGACAAGGTGGCAGCGCAAGTGATCGATCGTGTGGAAGCACAAGACGTTCCTGCAAGCCTCGAGTGGATAGTGGCCGAAGCTTCACCTCGCGCATCGACTCCATCGACGATCCAGGGGAGCGAAGTGCTCAGTGTGAAGACGATCGAGGCGGACTCAGTCGGTTCGTCGAGCTCGTTTGAAGGTGAGTTTCAAGCGGACTTCCCGTCAGCAGCATCTGACCAGTCATCGTAGCTGCAGTAACCCAATTGGACGGGCTTTCGCTGGAGGAAAGAGAGTGCGAGAAGAAGGACGATCTGGACAGCTTCCGTGTGCGACGCTCGCCGGAGCAAGTCGACTCCAAGCTGCTGAAGCGGGCGATCAGCAACATGTCTGACCGCTGTGGCCTCTCCGCAAGCGGCACGAGGGAATTCTCGTGTGGTCTTCTCGGCAACGTGCTGACCTCGCTGGACTGGAGGTATCTCGAGCGTGCCGGAGTGGAAAGGCTTGCGGACTACATTCGACTCGCTCGGGTGGAAGGCTTCGACCTGCGCTTCGAACACAATTACGCCGATGGGCTTGTGATCGTCGGACGGGAGTTTGGCACGCCGGCAGAGACAGCCAAGAGGCTCAAGAGGTCGGCCCGTGGTTGAGAGCAGGACGACGGCGCGCGGTCCGTAAGGAGTCGAGTCGAGCGCTGATCGAGCGACGATGCAATGCTATTTTTGCGCCATCCGGATCAATTTAACCTCAGATTGGCACGAGGCAAGCCCCTGAGCAGAGTTTCGGCATCCGGCCGGAGGTCCGGCGTTCCGGCTTGCTATCCGCAAACCACTTTAGCGATGCCAGCGCATCTCATCACTCCCGGCCGTGCTTCTTCCTCTTGCTGCCAGACCCTGCTTCTGCTCCTTCAGTTCCGCTAGAGCGATGCCGGCCTCGTCCTCAACGCAGCAGGCGCACGATCTGCTCATGGCCATTGTGCGCAGAGAGCAAAAGGCCTCGAGGATCATCGTCGAGGCGCGCCTTCTCGCGGAGCATCCTGCGATCTACGAAGAGCAAGAAGTCGCTGACTTGGTCGGCCTTCTCGAGAAGATCCGCCAGCAAACAGACAGCGCAGACCTCCAATGGACGCTTGCCAATGGGCTCGTCCACTCTCTGAGCTCTCCGGTGGCTCAAGAGAGCGAAGTAGTGCGCAGCCGCAAAAGCTCTGATGCTGCGAGTACATGGAGCAGCTTGATTAGTGAGTCCAGCGCTGGTCCTTGGCCTGTCCCGCCGCTGACCCTAATCAGTCCCTCCTCCGCCTCCTCCGCGCCGCATGCGAGTGGACGTCGTCCTGCTGGAGATGGCTGTGCACAACCTCGCAGGCTGCATTGGACTCACGGTGGCGCACACACGAAGATTCCCAGCCTCAAGGTTCAGCCTCGCCTTGCTTGCACTCGACCCGTACTATCTTCGTCGCGTGGGCGTCCCTAGACTCAAGCGGTACATCGAGCTAGCCAACGCGGAAGGGCTCCTCCTCTACTTCAAGAAGACCAAGGGCGAAGGGATGGTCATCGCAGGCAAGGGCTTTGGCTACTGAGAAGCAGGAACGAGGCAGGCTGGATGCAACCGCAGCGACGCCAGTGCCGTCAAGAGAAGATTCGCAAGCTTGGCTAGTGATGAGCTGCTCGGGCATGGGCCGGCTCTGCCATGCGCTGTCTGCGCATCCGAACGGCCGTGAACGCTCAGACTGACTGATGTGCCAGAAAGGACGCGCCGCCCTCACACCTGCTCCTCACACTCTCACCTCGCTCACTCGACGACGCCCAGCAGCCATGTTCCGGCGTCGAGATGTCTCATCTCACCCTCAGCGTGAAGCCTTCGACCCCCAAGACGATTCTGACGGTGACGATGTCCTGGAGCGCTTCTTCGTTTTCGTGGCGACGCTACATCAGCTGAGCCGCCGACTGAGGCTCAGTCGACAACTCTCTGCGGTTGTCAGACTCGCGTCCGACGTCCAGAGGAGCGGCTCGTTCTTTGTGCTCGCGACTGTGTACATCTGGTCACACATCTGCGAACGCGACGTGCTCGAAGAGTTTGGCCTCTTCGAATCAAGCGGACCTGCTGCGCATGCGCGCTGCGAGTCGCCACCGCCAGCTTCCATCGTGAGTAAAGCTACGATTTGTGGTAGCGGTCCAGGCTGCTGATGAATCCGCTGAGCACCAACCTCACTCAGGTCGAGCTTGAAGAGCTGCAAGCCGCCGACTCGGCAGCAGGCAACGACGCTGCACCTACATCCGAGCAGCAAGGCGTATCCGTCGCCGAGCACTCCGTGCCGTCGCAGGACTCAGAATGTGATGGCAACGTTGGAGGCAACCACGCGGAGCCCACAAACCACAAAAAGCGCAAGCAGCCACGCCGCACGCGAAGCAAGCTCCTTGCAGCAAGTCCGCGCACAGATGGGCGCCGCCAGCGGCCATGCCGTGCCAGTGCCAGCGTCGCGGCTCGGACAGCGCCTGGCGACGCTCGACCGGCAGTACCTCAAGAAGGCCGGTGTGCGGCGGCTCAAGGAGTACATCGAGCTCGCCGCGCAGGAGGGCTGCCGCATTCAGTGGCTCCACGGCGAGCGCGTTGGCACAATCTGAGTCAGTGCTGTGGGATGATGAGGGTGACGGCGTTGCGGTGGGCTCGGTACAAGTACAGTTGGCGAGATGCGAGAATGAGATCACTGGATGGCCGACGCATCGCCGCGGAGAGAGAGGTACTGCTGATCCACGCCTGGACCCTGCAATGATACTTGATCAGCGCATGAAGCCTGACGACAGGCTCGAGCCACTCACAAAGGTCTTGATCAGCTTGTAGATCTCCACGCTGTGGTAGCGCAGTCCGCTCTTGGGGTCCGTGTACGGCGCCTGAGCCAGCTGTCAGCCTCGCAGCGTTTCCTGCCGGCGCTCGCGACTCACGATCAGGCCCGTCACGTCGCACATCTTCTTTCGTGGCCGCAGAGACGGCGGTGCTTCGACGTTGAAGTCTGAGCGAGCAGGCACTGGCATCAGCAAAGCGTGCGGACACAGCTGGTGCCGTGGCACGCGAATGGACACGCGTATCGCAGCGCTCAGCCAGCCCGCTCCTCCTCGCCACCTCGCAGCGTCGAGCAACTCACAGTTCGGCAGCGCTCGCCGTGCTCGAATCTCCTCCTGCTCCGCTTCCTCCGCCTTGCGCGCCGCCTCGGCCGCCGCACGCTCCTCCTCCGTCAACTCCTCGGGCTCCTCCGAGACGGCGCCGCTGGGCTCGGCAGTGCTCGTGTCGCCGTCGGCCATGCTCACGTCGCCGCCCTCCTCCTCGGCGATGCGTGCGCGCTCCTCGCGCTCGATGCGCTCCTGACGCATGCGCTGCCGCGCCGCCGCCGCACCGGCCAGCTTGGGCTTGCCGCTGCCGGCGCCCGTGGGCGCCGTGGACGCTGCCGAGGCAGCAGCGTTGGCAGCGGCGCGGGCCTTGCGCTGCCGCTCGCGCTTGGCGGCAATGCCGCCGTTGAGCTGCATGTCGCGCTCGGTGGCGAGGATCTGCTTGAGGGAGCGGTTGCGCGCCTTGCGCGTGCTGCTGCTCGTCTTGAACGGCCGCGGCGCCGCCGAGATGTTCACAGCAGGCAGCACCTCGGACGGCGTGCTGGCCGGGCGTCCCACCGGACGGCCACTGTGTCCAGGTGTGAGCGGGCGTAGCAAGGAGGCAGGAGCGTGGCACCCACGTGGAAGTTGGGGCCATGGCAGAAGCGGACGCGGCGTGGTGGTGGTGTGGAGCATGGCCGGCACCGGCGTCCATCGCGGCGGCCTCTTCGACGCGCCGCGCGCCTCTCCCGCATGAGCCAGCTGCCGCCGCAGCTTGCCGCTCGTGAGGACTGATGCTGCGTCTCAAGTGCTTCATTCTGCAGGATCCCCCATACAGACAGCACACGCAAGGCAGAGGCAGAAGCGACACTGTATTTGGGTTTGACGCAGTGAGGGGCTGGCCTGCACTGCACAAGGCGACAAGGACGATAGGGAACGGGAGCTGCGTGACTGATGTATGTAGGGTTGTGATGATGTGAGGGATGCAGAGCCAGGGCGAAGCAGAGCGGAAGAGCAGAAGACAGGTCATTAGAAGGGGTGCACGGCGCACATCACGCAGACGAGAGGTTCGCCACGTCGATGAGCTTGTGCTTTTCGAGAATGCCGGGCTGCCGGGCAAGCACGTGAGCTTCGTCCCCGCCGCACACCTGACTTCACTAGCTCACCGTGAGGATGCGGCTCTTGCTGTCAACAAGGCCCTTGTACGACGACTTGATCGTCACGTCGCTGACGCCCGCGGCGTTCGAGATCGACTTGGCGCTGACGCTCTGGCCGAGCAGCGTCGTGGCAAAGTAGATGCACGCCGCGGCGATGGTGATCGGGCTGCGGCCGGCCAGCAGGCCCTCGTCGCGGATGCGCTCGGCGACGTCGCGGATGCAGCCAATCGTCGGGCGGTCGAGCGCCAGGTGGTTGGAGAAGCGCGACACGAGGTCGACGGCGTTCGTCGGCGTCACGCCCGAGCCGCCCTCGCCCGCCGCGTTCGCCTGGAACTGCTTGTGCAGGCCGAACGCGTTCGAGATCTCCTTGTACGACTGGCCGATGAGCTTCTTGGACACCTTGGTCAGCGCGCAGATCTCGGGAAACGTGCGCGGCACGCTGGCGATCTTGCACGCAATGTAGATGCACGCAGCGACGATGGCGTCCGTCTTCTTGCCGCGCAGGATCTTCTCCATCTCGACGCGCTTGAAGAGCTGCTTGGCCGTCTCCGATACCTGGCGGTTCAAGTGAATCGAGTCGCACTTGCGCTGGATGTCCTCGAAGGCGTCGAGGATCGTGCGGTGCGACGTGCCGCCGACGCGGCCGAGCGTGCGCTGCAGGTCGCGTGCGGCGCCAGAGCCGCCGTCACGGTGGCCGATGCGCGTGTCGAGCTGCTCCGTCAGGCCGTCCATGAGCGGGTTGTTGGCCTGGCCGACACGCGACGGGTCATCGCCCTCTTCGTTGGCAAACGTGCGCCCTGTGCAGGTGTCAGCCTCGCCCGTGTTGCCAAGTCCTGCTGTCCTCACACTCGGAGCGCGTGTCGACGATCTTGTCGCCGATCACCAGGCCACAGTCGCCGCACACGACATCGCCGCTGGCGAACTCCTCGACGAGGTTCGGCGGGTCGACCTGGCAGTCGCGGCAGATGAGACGCACGCCAAGGTCATGCGCGAAGGGCTCGTCCTTCTTCTTCGACGGCGCCGGCGCCGACGGGTCGACCTCGTCGAGCGGCGTGCCCTCCTTGGCAGCAACGTATTGCGCCGAGAGCGCAAACGGCTGCGCAAAGGGCGACGGCCCGCTGTGCCGCACCGGCTGCGCAGGCAGGATCGGCTTTGGCTGTGAGGGATCAGGCGAGAGAGGACGTCGTGAGCACTGGTCTCTGCACGCGAGCGCGTCACGCGACAGGCAGCATGGCAGCACAGCTCCTCACGCCAGCCCAGCTACAACCCACACACACAGCAGGCCACGGCAATGCTAACCTGACTCTGGGGCGCCGCCGCGGCAGCTGCGTGTGCGAGCGCCATGGCCGGACGTGCGCAGAAGGGTGCAGGAGAGCGTTGCCGTGGAGTGCGACCGATGCGCTGGGCGGCGTGCTCGGCGGCGTGCTGCTGCGTGCGAAGACAGGTGCGGCGCTGAGGCCCGGCGGCGACTCCTGCACGCGGCTCGCAGAGGTGCAGTGCTCGCAGACGGCGCTCAGGGAGGCAGGCGACGGGGTGTACGGATGCTATACGTGCAGGCGAGACGGGAGTGGGCAGGTCTCGGTGGCGGTGGTCAGGAGGCAGGAGGTGCGGCGCGGCGCCGGCGCTGTGAAATCGGCGCGCGCGCGGCGACGCCGCTGGAAGCCGAACAGAGGCACGCAAGGCGCGCGCTCCGCTGCTGGCGCTGCCTCGCGCGTGCTGCCGCACGCGGTGCCGGCCGAGCAAGCAGACGCAGCGATCAGGCTGCCTCGCCGTGACAGCCTTGGCCAGCTCTCAAAATGGCAAAGTGTCTGCGTCGAGCAGAGCAGCGTGGCTCACACCCCGTGCCACACTTGCGCTCTTGCGACGTCGTGGCGCAAGAGAAGGCCGAGCGCCGAGCGACGCCCTCGAGCCTGCCCCCGCATCGTGCGGCGCAGGCGGCGTGCCGTGTGCTCCGCGCGCACGGCGTGAGAGTCGAGTTCCTCCGTCCGGCGCCGCTCCCCACGCCGAGCCGGAGCAGCGCACGGCTTCAGGCACGGGCCCAACAAGTGCGAGTGGGGCAGCAGGCAATCTCGCAGGCGACGGCTCGCTCCTCTTCTCCACCACCACCTCAAGCCAGCACCAGCGTCCAGGCCTCTCTCCACGCAGGATCGTCATCTGTCAGGCACCTCTCCGCGTCGTCGTACTCCGCCAAGCGCTCTTTCACCCAGCGCCTCCACACCGCCCGCTTTCCCTCGCGCTGGCGCCATGCTCCGTCCTTTGCGCGCACTGATCATCGGCTCGCCGGTGCGTGCCGCGTGTAGCAGCATAACAGCGTCGACGAGCGTCTGACGCATGCCTGTCTTCCACAGGGCTCGGGCAAGGGCACGCTGTCGGCACGCCTCGTGCAGCATGCGCCTGCCATGCGCACCCTCAGCGCCGGCGACGTGCTGCGCGCGCACATCCGCAACGGCACGGAGATCGGGCGAGAGGCTGAGGGTGTGGTGAAGCGCGGCGGTGAGTGTGTACCAGGCAGGGTGTTCAAAGTGCCAGGCGCGGAGATCTCCGGGCGCACCGCCGTAGCCCGCTCTGGCTTCGGGGCTCGTGCACAGGCGCTGACGCTGCTGCAGGCCTCATGCCCGACCGGGTCATGATGGGTGTGCTCTCGGCCGAGCTCGAGGGGATGGGTGCCGAGGTGAGTCGTCATGCCGTGCTTGCTCTCGCGCGGCTCTGACGCAGGTGTGGTCTAGACGCCGTGGCTTCTGGACGGCTTCCCGCGGACGATCGGGCAGGCGCGCCTGCTGGATGAGAAGCTGGCAACGCTGCGGCAACCGCTGCAACTGGTCATCAATCTCGATGTGCCGGAGGAGGTGGTGCTCTCGCGCATTCTCGGTGAGTGGCGCGCGCGGAGCGCCTCAGGCGGCGGCTGATGAGCTGTGCTATGCCAGACCGGTGGCTGCACCCGGCATCTGGACGGGTCTAGTGAGTGGCCCACCCTCGCACGCACTGCTGGCCACTCTGACGCCACTCGCAGCAACATGAGCTTCAACCCGCCGAAGCGCGCTGGCTTCGACGACGAGACGGGCGAGCCGCTCGAGCAAAGGCCAGACGACAACGCAGTGCGTGCCTCTTGTTTCAACGTACACTGAGCCTCACTCTGACACTGCCCATAGGAAGCGTTTGCTCAGCGGCTCAAGGCCTTCCACCGCGAAATGGCGCCGCTGCTCGAGTACTACCGCGACCAGCGCGACGCGCCCAAGGGCGAGCGGCCCGCATACGTGAGCCTGCGCGGCGAGGAGAGCGACGTCATCTGGCCGAAGATGTGGGATGTGGTGCGGCAATACCGCCTGCAATAGACATTGCTGGGCCCCGCCGCGTGCATCACGAGAGCAGTCAAGCGCGTCTGTACAGGGTGTCTGTATTGCAGCAAGGTCATGAGGGCGTCGTCATTGGAGGGAGTGGTGCAAGGCAGTGGGGTTGCGACTGGCGAGGAGTGCCAGTGCGGTGGTGGCGGCGAGCAGAGTGCTCACGCGCCAACGGGTGTAACACAACGTTGCAAGCCTGGAGTAGAGGCGCAGTGGAGAGGAAGGAGGCGTGTAGAGGCGGGAGCCGGTGGTGAGATGCGGACACATGGGACAGAGCAGGCAGCGCGCATGCGCACGCTCGATGCTCGGCCGTCGGAGAAGAGCAAGTCCAGGTGAGACACGCCGCACGACCGCATGACTAGCGGTTGTTCAGCGAGCCGATGATCTGTGAAGAAGGCGGTCAGCGACGGCACTCCCGGGCTGCACTCCGACGCGCTCACCTTCTTGTGCAACTGCTGCGTCGGCAGCATTTGCGGCGGGTTGTACGTCTGCCACAGCCACGGCTTGGGCACGCCTGCGAAGTCGTACATCTGCAGGTAGTAGGCCGAGGCGCCAAAGTGCATCTCGAGGCGGATGTTGAAGCCCGTCATGCTCTCCTTCTGGTCGTACGCGGCAATGCTGCTCGACGTGCTCGTGCAGCTGTTCTGCACCAGCTGCCGCCCGTCGCCCTCGAACGGGTTGAGCGTGAGCGTGCCGTTGCTGTTCTGCGTGTACGTGCCGTGCTGCCAGATGAGCTGCACGGTGGCGCATTGCGGCTTGGCCGCTGGAGGGGACGGCGTCAGCTCGGCTGGGCAGGAGCAAGCGTGAGGCAGGTGCGCAGGCCGCTGCCGTACTCGCGGCAGCACCAGGCATCTAGCTGCATCCATGCATCCAATCTGACAGCGTCTCGACGCCCGGCTGCCGTGCGCGCCACGCTGCGGCCTGCGTCCATCACCTCTCCCACCTGCGGTACTCACGCTCAGGGGTAAACATGTACAGCGCCTGCTCCCAGAAGCCATCCTCGGTGAAGCTGTACGACTGCCCGGCAGTGGCGGGCACGGTGAAGCTGTTGTTGCCCGGATTGTAGAATTGCTGCGCACACAGGAGTCAGAGCTGGCCTGCGCAGGTGCAGGACGCTGATGCTCCACCGCCGCACACATCGAGCCCCTGAGGAGGCGGGTCTCTGGCTCGCGCGGACGGACTTGGCAGCAGCGATGCGGACAGAGAGACGGCGCGCGAGCATCCCAGCGACTGCGACCACCACGCCGTGCTGCTCCCGTCCTCAGCAGCACGGCCGTGCAGGCGCCACCACGTTCTGGTCGCAGCTCCCTCCACGCCTGCTCCATCCAGACATCGCGCGCCAAGACGCGCTCCGACGAGACGCGACTCACCAGACCTGTCGAGACTGCACCACTGCCCGAGCTCCACGTGCCGACGAGCGTGACGGGGTCGTCGGCCTGCTGCGTCGGGCCCTGGGCGCGCGCGATGGGCGCCGCGGCGGCCGCGAGCACGAGGAGCGCCGCTGACGCCGCGGCGACGCTGGCGCACAGCAGCGAGCGCTTTGTCCGCGCCGGCGCAGCGGCAGGCGCGCGCGAGGAGGAGGCAAACGAGAGCATGCCGTGTGTGTGCGGAGCACGAGGCACGGCCGAGGCAGGGAACGGCGGCCGCGGCCGAGGCGCGGCGGGGCGCGAGACGTGCGCGCAAAGGCAGGTGACTGCGGCGAGGATGCGAGACGCTGGTGCGCGCGCTGGAGAGAGACAGACGAGCAGAGGAGGGCTGGGCGTGCGAGGGCGTGAGGATGGCGGCGGAGGTGAGCAGCGCCGCCGCCGACGACGACGAGCATCGCCTCGCGCGCGTGCCTTGTGCCAGCCGCGCCTCTCAGCTCACACCGCGCCGCGCGGCCGGCGGCGCGACCCTCGCGCGCCAAGCTTGTGCTTGGGCAGCGGCACCGGCAGCCGCACCCAAACGCGAGGCACGCCGCCAGTCTCGCACCGCGGCCCGGAGCGACACAGCCCCGGCGGGCGGCACAGCGCCTCAGGGGCACGCCGCGAGAGCGGGTCGAGAGCGAGAGCGATCTGCCGTGCAGCGCGCGCAGGCGGCAGGCGTTGCAGCCCGGGCACGGCACCAGTGTGCCGTCCCAAGGCGCCGGACGTCCGGCGTCGAAGCGTTCGTCGTGCAGCGCGGCGCCGCGCGCGCCGAGCCGCCGCACCGCACTCGCCAGCCGCCCGCCCGCCCGCCGGCCGCCCGGTCTCGTGCCTTGCGTTGGCACGCTGCCGCGGCTGTATTGCCGCACTACAGATTCGCAGTGGCAGTGTGAAATGCCCGAGGGAGGTTGGGCGACGAGCCACGGCGCCCGATGCGCCATGCAGCGGCGTCCGCTCGGCTGCTCTCAGAGAGCATGTCGTGCCATGGGCGCTCGCTTGGAGGCGAAGAGCCCGGCTGCGTGCCGTGCTGTGGGGGCGGCCGCGGCATGCCGTCATCGCAGCGACGGAGCCGCGAGGCTCGTGCTTATGGAGGGCCATCTCGCGACAGTCAGGGGCTGCGGCGCCGCGGGCCGACTGAGATCGCTGCGGCGGCGCCTCGAGGGCTCGTGGGATGGCCAAGGCATGAGATTGCAAGGGGACGGAGAGGCAGGCAGGTCACAGCAGCAGCGTGCCGGGGGCGAGACGGATGGACGAGAAAGGGCGGGGCTTTGCTAGAATAAGGAATGCACACGCACAGGAGAGAGAGAGAGAGCAGCAGGGAAGACCAGGGCAGACGGGAGCGACGGGACGGTGCAAAGAGGTAACCAAGGCAGCAGACGTGGAGATGAGGGTGGGGTAAGCAGCGGCTGCATGCCGCGGCGTGGGATGAAGAGGTGGAGTGTGCGACTAGGCGTGGTTGAGTGTGTGGTAGTGTGTGCTTTGGAAAGTGGGTGCAGCTTGGCCGTGGACGAACGTGCGATGGGCGAGAGGCGTGGGGCGCGGAGGGCCGAGGAGACATGGCAGACGAAGAGCGCAATGCGAAGAGCGAGAGGAGGATATCGACGGCAAGGGTGGGCTTGGCGGTGTGTTGGTGTTGATGTGTCTTTTTCTGTGCGGTGGACGAGCGAGAGCGAAGAATGAAGCGGGAGCTGGCGGAGCACTTGTATGGGCAGTCTTGGGCGCGGGCAGAGCAGCCGCTGCGATCCATCCTGAAGCGTGCCGAGAGCAGCCGGGAGAAGTGAGGTTTCCGAAATGTGTGGTGCGGTCGGGAGAAGCGAGGCTAGGTGACTTGTGCTCGAGCGAGGTTGAGAGAAAGGCGGACAGAGCCTCAGAAGTTGAGCTGGTCGGGATCGACGGTGCGCCCGTGCACGACGGCAGAGCGCGCCGCAGGCTGGTCGTCTGCGGCTGACGACTCAGCGCCAGCAGCGGCGAGGCGCGGACGCACGCCGAGCACCGAGCAGACGAGCTTGTAGCGCGCACGGATGCGCTCGAGCAGCGCCAGCATGTCGAGCTTCGACGGGTCGGTCTCGGCATCGTCGCGCGACTCGGCGTCCGGCGTTGCCGTGCCTGCGGGCGAGGCGGCGGCCTGCGCGTCCTCGGCATCGCGGGCTGCCAGGATCGTGTCGGCGAGGTTCGTCGGGCCCGTGGCCGCGTCGGCATTGTCCACCGGAAAGAAGCCGATGAGCGTCTCTAGGGCGGAGAGGGCCTGGATCTGCTTCTGCTGCTTGCGCGATCTGCGGGGAACAGGTCAGCATGCTGCGAGAGGTCGACTAATCACGCAGTGCTCACCTGCTGGCTGCGTCGGGCGCCTGCGCCTCGAGATTGCCGAGCCAGAAGCGCGCCATGCCCTCGTAGTAGCCGACCTCCTCCCACACCTCGAAGCCCTTGAGCTGTCCGAGCTCGCGGCCCTCGAACGTGCCGTGCAGCTCGCCGTGGGCGTGGCCGTTGGCGTAGCCCTCGCGGTAGGAGCTGGCACAGTCGGACGCATCGATGAGCACGCGTGCGGAGCGGAGAGGCGCCGGCGCCCACTCACGTCTCCTCGAGGTTGTTAAGAGAATCGAAGTCGAGCTGAGAGGTCCGACTGGTGCTGAGCTGACGGTAGGGTCAGCAGGTGCGCGCCATTGCGCTGGTGCTCGCTTCGACTCACGAGAGTCTCGCTGGCCTGAGCCAGGCTCAGGCGCGCGGGCCCGAGAGACGGCGAGGTGAGGACCGGAGATCGCTCGCCTTGGCTTCCGGGCGCCGACGTCGCGCTGACGCCGTCAGGGCCGGGTATCGTGCTGCGGAAGAGCGGGTTCTTCGAGAAGCTGAGGCGCAGGCCGCCGTTCTTGACGGCGCCGCCTAGCGTGTCGCCGTTGAGGTCGGCGAGGGCCTGCGCGGCCCGGTGCACGTCCTCAAACTCGACGAAGCACATGGGCCCGTTTGTCTTGACGCGGAACGAGATCTGCCGGAAGCCAGGCCGCGGCGTGAAGGCATTCCGCAGCTGCTCTTCCAGATGCGCGGCAGTCGGGCCAGCCGAGGCGCTGGCTGGCAGGTTGCCGACGAAGATGGTGTTTCCCGGCGGGTTCTGGTCGATCGAGAAGGATCTGCTTGACGGGCTCGAGAGCGGGCTGGTGGGGCTCGAGGGGTTGCCGATAGACGCGGACGACGCGCTGATGCTGTCATGGCGCGAGCGCGGGCGTGGCGGCAGCACTGAGCTGGGCGAGAAGCCAGACGAGGCAGCGTGCTGCTCGCTGGCATTCGCGCGCGGAGGAGGGAAAGAGGAGCCAAAGGAAGGAAGCGAGGCAGAGGGAGAGGGGTTCGGGACGTGCGGGGAGTCGAGTCTGAGAGCGCCGAACCGCGCAGGGAAGCCGGACGCGGCGCGGCCCTGCTGGGCCGCTGCCTGCGATGGCTGCTGCTGCTGCTGCGGTGTGCGCTGGCGCAGGCTGGAGAGGATAGACTCATCCGCTCCGTGCCTGATCGTCTCAGACCCTGTTCGAGGCGGCGAGGTGCTGTGCAGCACCCGAGCCGTCGACTCCCCTATGCCAAAATCCTCCTGGCCGCGCGCGCCGAGGCTGTCTCCGCTGCCCGAGCTCGGCGCACCACTGCCGCCGTGCTCGCCGAGCGGGCTGGCGCTGCCGCTCAGGCCCTTGCGCGCCTGCGGGCCGAAGCCGAGCGGCGCGGCGCGCGCCTGGCCATACATGCTCGGCGGCGAGCCCAGCGTGCTCCAGTCGGGTCCGCGCAGCTGCTGGGCCGACTGGCCCTGCGTGTTCTGCTGCGGCTGCTGCTCGGAGCGGCCGGGACGGCTTTGCTGCTGCTGGCCTTGCGGTTGCTGCTGGCCCTGCTGCGGCATGCCTGGAGGGCCGCGCTGCTGCTGCTGTTGCTGCGAGCTATCATAGCGCGCGTTGGGCCCGTCAAAATAGTCGAGCGGTCCCATCGCCGGAGCCCACTTGTCGCCAGGCGCTTGCTGGCTCGGGCCGCTTGGCGGACCGGAGCGTGCAGGCTCTGCGCTCTGCTGCGGCCCGGCGTCCGAGCCGTAGCCGCCGCGCGCTCCAGGCATGGACTGCATCTGGCCGCGCGGACCTGTCGGCGGCGGGCCGAAGAAGTCTGGCCGTCCAAAGCCCTCGTGAGAGGGCGAGAGCATGCCATTGGCAGAGTGCGGGCCTGCAGGACCGCCGCTGCTGCCGCTCGAGCTGCCCGGGAACGGGTCGAAGCTGGCGTGCGGCCCGCCAGTGAAGCTACCGTACGGGCCGGCGCTCGACGGCCCTGCACCGCTGCTGCTTGAGCCGCCAGGTGGACGCTGGAAGCCCAGCTCGCGCTCATGAAGGCTGCCGGGCGCTGGCGGGCCGCCCATGCCGCCCGGAAACTGCGAAGACGGCGGCGGGCCTGGCGGCGGCGGCCCACCCGAGGTCGGGAAGCCAGACGAGTCGAGGATCGGGTTCGTCTGCGAGAGCACGGGGCGCTGCTTGGTGTGCAGGTTCTTCTTGGCCATCTCCGTCTTGAGGACGCAGCCGCGCTCAGCGTCAATCTTGCGGCCATTGAGCGCGTCGCGCGCCTCGAGCGCCTCGGAGCGCGTGCGGAACTTGGCAAAGCCGATGATCTGCTTGATCTTGCCGCCGGGCGTCATGCTGTTCGAGGGGCCGCCGAGCCCCTGCAGCGCGCTTGACAGGCCGCCGAGGTTCGAGAGCGAGGAGAATGCATCGCCCGCGCCGGCGCGAGAGAGTGCCAGCGAGAGGCTGTGCTCGTCCCAGCCGCCCGGCGGACCAGGCCCAGCCAGGTCAAATAGGCCTGCGCCGGGCATCGTGACGGCATTGTACGGGCCACCTGGTCCAGACAGAGCGCCGTTCTCGGGCCGATGCGGGCCGCCAGGCACAGTCGGCCCGCCAGCTGGAATCTTCAGCGTCGAGGCCTCGAAGCCCTTGGCGAAGAGGAACATGTTGGCGAACTCGCGCTCCGTCATGTCGTCTGGGAAGCCGACGATGAAGACGGTCGTGATCTCCTCGGGCGCGCCGGCGCTCATGAGCGTGCTGCCGCCACTGAGCCCCGAGCTCTGCTGTGCCGTCTGCATGGCCAGCGCCTGCTGCGCCTGCACCTGCTGGTGGTGGTAGTGCAGCAGGCTGCGCGGGCTCAGACTGCCCGACGCAGGCACGCCGGGCATGCCGCCGTGGATGAAGCCCATGAGCGACGCGTCGTCCTGCGCGCTGCGGCCCAGGCCGTTGGACGTCATGGAGGCGTACGGGCCGTCGTCGCGCGCAAAGGCACCCGGACCGCCCTCGAAGCGCGAGCTGCCGTGCTCGAGCTCGTGCATGCCTCGCGACGGACCCTGCGGCGGGTCAGAAGCGTGTTGAGCACGCTGAGGCGGCGGGCCAGACGGCGGCGGGCCGCGCGGACCGTCGGCGCTCTGGCGTGCGCTGGCCCACAGCTCTGCGTAGCTGCCGTGCGGCTCCTGAGCGCGGCGCTCGTCGGAGCGCTGCGGCTGCAGCTGCGGCGGGCCGTGGCTCTGGTGTTGCTGCTGCTGCTGCTGCTGCGGCTGCTGCTGTGGGTGACCCTGCGGACCCGGCGGGCCCTGCTGACCGTAGTAGCCCGGCGGCGGGCCTGCAGATCCGTGCTGCTGCGCCTGGCCGACGCTGGCCCAGCGCTCGCGGGCGTCGCCAAAGACAAAGTTCGGCGGGCCGCCGCTGGCGCTGTTGCCCGCGCCGTTGCGCTTCGACGGCGACGGCGAGCGCGCAGAGTCGCCCTCGAGCGGATTCGGAGACTGGAAGCGCGGGTACGGCGGCACGGCGCGAGGTGCAGCCAGAGCCGGCTGCTGGTGCTGCTGCTCGAGACCCGGCGGCGGCGAGGCATGCTGCGCATGCAGCTGCTGCTGCTGCGAAGCGCCCGAGCCATGTGCGGCAAATCCAGGCGGCGAGCGCATCTCCTCGCGCCAGTCACGCTGCTGCTGCGGCGGCGGCTGCATCTGCATCTGGCCCTGCGCCCACTGCTGCTTCTGGTACGCCTGCTGCTGCGAGTCTTGCTGCGACTGCGGCGGCAGGGCGTGGCCCGGCGTGCCCGAGCGCGACGCGAACGGCCCTGGCCCGAAGTTGGCCTGGCCCGACGGCATGCCGCCCGGACGCGACATGCCGCCCGGCGTTGCTGCGCCCGAGGCGGTGCCGACGCCGACGCGCTGTGCGGCGGAGACGTCCGCCGCAGACATGTCGGCGGCCCTCGACGCACGCAGCGGTGGAGCGCTCAGTGCAGCAGAGATGCGCGGCCGACGGGAGGTGCGAGACGGCGACGCTCAGGCGCAGGCTGCGGATGCCGATGCAGGACGCTTCGACGGCGGAGTGCAGCGCAGAAGGCGTGCAAGCGATGCAACAGGATGCTGCGAGACGCACGCACGCGCGCACGGGAGGCTCGAGCGTGCGTGCAGGGTGCAGCAAGCGGCGGCCGCAACGGATGGAGCGCGGCGGCGCGCGTCTCGCGCGGGAGGCGGGTAGCGGCGCGCGGAGGCTAGGCGCAAAGTGGCCGGCGGAGCGTGCCGGGCTGCTGTGCGCGCGTGTGCCGCGCAGAAGAGACGTGCGAGACGGAGGGTATGCGAGGAACGAGGGAGAGCGGGCCGCGCGGCGGTGGTGCGGCGGCGACGTGAAGCGAGGGGGATGGGGGATGATGGAGGGCGAGACGAGGGAGCGCAGGCGCAGCAGCGCACGCGCACCGCGCCGCGCGGCCGAGAGCCGAGGCGCGCGGGCGAAGGGCGCGCGCGCCGCGCGCCGCCGCGAGACGTGGGCACGGCAGCAGCAGCGCCTCTTGCGCGCGCGGGACCTGCAGCTGCAGCCTCTGCCGCCCTGCCGGCCGCCGCTCCTCGTGCTATCGCCGCGCGGACACCATATCACACTTTCATGCTCTGCCAGCATGACAGACGCTGCATCCCGCAGCTCACCTCCTCAGCGCAATGTGGTTGTCAGCCCAGGCGACGACCTCGCCGCGTGTGTGAGAAGGCACACGCACGCACGCACGCACGCTGCCGCCTGCGGCGCAATTTGCACTGCGGCGCCGCGCCGCCCGCCCTTAGCGCATCTCGTGCCGGGCGGCCGCACACTGCCCGTGTGCCGTGCTCAGCACCTCGCCAGTGCCGGGGCTTGCCCAACGCGACGCGTGCCGGCGGCGGCGACGTGGCGCGTTGCGTCGCCGCTGACTGCTCCCGTGCCTTGTGGCCTCTGCGGGCACGCCGCCCGCAGCGAGATCCAGGCAGGAGGCGAGCGTGAGACAGCGAGGCGGCACCGCAGCGCACCGCTCCGCCGGGCGGCGCCTCTCGCAGCGCGGGCGAGCAAAGCCCAGATGCAGATGCGCGCCGCGCCGATGCCTCCAGCGCCGCCGGGCGCTTATGGATGCCCCTCCGGATCCGTGCAAAGCGGTGCGCATCTCCCAGTTTGACGGCGAGTGCGCTTGCTGCGGCAAAATCGGCTGCCTCCTCGCCGCAGGCGCACTTGGCGCGCGAAAGCAGCCCACAGCTCGCGCAGCGCGCCGCAGCCGCGTGCGCGACAGTCGCCTCGTCGGAGGCCGCGCACACAATGCCGCTGATGGCGCTGTGATGCGGAACGAATGTCGCTCTGCTGCAGATACTGCGAGCTCGCACATGGCCATGTCAGAGCCCTGAGACAGCGCAGTGCGGTGTCAAAAGCGGAGGGGCGAGGCGCTCGCTGCTGCGTCAGGCGCACGTGACTTTTTGCGGGCGTGCCGCGCCGTCGAACCTCCTCCTCCTCCTCGATCGGACGCGCGCCCTTCGAGCTCTCGCGGCGCAGACTCAGTCGCAAGCTCAGACGTGTGTGTGGCAGAATTGTCGTTGCAGCTGTGGCACAGTGCTAGGGGTACATCAGGAGCAGTGCAGGTAACGTGACGTGGTGGGAGCCCGGGAAGAGTGAGAGCGGAACGCGTGCAAGGGGGAGGAGGAGAAGGGGGTCGCCTGGCAGGCTGTTCGTGCAAGTTTACTTGCTGAGCGCAGCGTCGCCGGTCTCGAGGTCGGTCGAGCGCTTCTCGGGCGTCGAGTCGCCCTCGCTGCCGGCGTGGGGAAGCACGTGGCCGTTGTTGGCCGTGCCGTCGTGCTCGGCGCGAGCCATGGCCATGACCTTGCCGTGCCGGTGTCTAATAGGCCCGTTCTTTGACGAGAAAAGGTCGGACATGCGATCAAGGGGCACGCCGGCGGTCTCCGGTAGCACGAAGTAGATGTAGGGAACGGCGATGGCAGACAGGCCGGCGAAGATGAGGAAGAGGCCGAAGCGCGACCAGGCAAAGGCGTGCGGCGTGCCGAGCGAGATGGCGAGGTTGTAGAGCCAGTTGGAGGCGGCGACGATGGCCATGCCGACGGGGCGCGAGGACTGCGGGAAGATCTCGGCGCCGATGACCCACGGCGTGCCGTTGAGCGTGGAGCCGTACACGATCGTCCAGAGGTAGAAGGCGGCGACGGCGGAGCGGCCGCCGGCGGAAAGCGTGGCGCCGGCGACGGGCGCGCGGTTGGCGGCGACGGCGACGTAGACACCGATCCAGATCATGAAGGCCGAGCAGCCGGCGGCACCGAACATCATGATCTTGCGGCGACCGAGGCGCTCGATGAGGATCGCGATCCAGATGATGGCGCCGAGCGTCTTGATGACGCCGAACACACCCGTGGTGAGGAGCGCGGTGGACGTGCCGGTGATGCCGATGGCGCGGAAGATGGTGGGCGAGTAGTAGTTGATCGAGTTGATGCCGGACGCGTTCTGCACGATGAACATCGACGAGGCGAGTGCGAGGCGCTTGAGCATGGTGCGCGACGTGAAGGCGAACTTGATGGGGCCCCAGAAGGTGCGGCCGACCTCGCGGCGCTCACGGGCGAGCGTCTCCTCGAAGAGCGCCATCTCGTCCATGACGTAGGGGTGCGAGGGGTCGAGGTTGCGCAGCTTGCAGAGGTTGCGCGAGGCGTCGTCGCGGCGGTCGCGCGTCAGCAGCCAGCGCGGCGACTCGATGAGGAAGAAGGAGCCGATGAAGAGCATGGCGCCGGGCACGAGCTGGAGGCCAAAGGGAATGAGCCACTGCGCCGAGCCCGTGTCACTCTCGTGCTGCTTGACGCCGTAGTTGACCCAGAAGCCGCAGATGCCGCCGACCTGCCATCCGACCTCCCACATGCCGACGAGGGCACCGCGGATGGCGCTGGGAGCGATCTCGGAGATGTACGTGGGAGCGAGGTTCGAGGCGGCGCCGATGGCGAGACCGGCAATGGCGCGGCCGCCGTAGATGGGGCCGAGGCCCGTCGAGGAGTTGGCAATGACCATGATGATGGAGCCGACGGTGAAGACGAAGCCGCACACGGCGATGCCCCACTTGCGGCCGAGGAAGTAGCCGAGCGGGTAGCCGCAGAAGGCGCCGAAGAAGGCGCCGGCCTGGTAGGTCGACACGAGGTTGGCGCTCGTCGTGGGGTTGAGCTTGCCGAACTCGTGCGTGAACGAGGGCAGGGCGAGGGCGCCGCCGACGAACGACGAGTCGTATCCGATCATGAGCGAGCCGAAGGCGGCGATGGTCGCCATGACCCAGATCTTGAAGTTGTACACCTCCTTGGGCGTGACGCGGTCCTCATTCTTGCCGAGCATGGTGGGCGAAGGCGGGGTGAGGCGAGGAGGAGAGGAGTTGTTGAGGAGCCCGACGAAGGAGAAGAGGCTGGTGAGGAAAGGGGAAGATCTGGGGCCCCGGGTGCTCCTTATGTATGTGCGAGAGCGGGAGCGGGAAGGGTAGAGCTGAAGGAAAACGAGACGCGCGTCGCCACGCCACGCCCCGCCTCGCTTGCTGGCGCCGCGCTGGCCGGTGCCGCACATGCCGGGCACCGCTCTGCCGCCGCATGCTGCTGAGCGGGAACCCCACGCAGGAACCGCGGGGAGACGTTTAACTTTCTTCCACCAGCCAAGCCGACGGCCGGGCACGCGGGCAGCCGCTGCTTGCTCGCCCCGGTGACTCGCCACGCGCCACCTTCAGCGCCTGGCACAGCGCCACTGTGTGCCGTCCGGTGGCTGTTGCCGGGCGTACGCCGCACTCGGCCACTGTGCACAGGAGTGGCTTCGCCGAGCCGCGGCACCGCAGCACCGCCCGCACCTGCGCTGCATCCCTGGCCGCAGGCGCGCAGCGGGCAACGGCATGCTGGCGCCGCGCCAGTGTACCGCCCGCCTGACCCTGCGTCGCCCAGCGGCGGAACCGCTCCTACGCATTTGTTTCTGCCGGCCCTCAGCCCATCTCAGGCACAACATTGGTGCAAAGTGGGGGCAAGCGAGGCCAGGAAGCGTCTCCGGAAGCGCAAAGTCGCTGCCTGCATGTCACGTGCACGCGTCGCCCACCAACTGGCATTTGCTGGCTCGCTTCGGCAGATCTGCTGGCAATGACCGGCGCTTTACAGGGGTCCCCTGGGGCATCTCGGCCGCAAAACCTCGCTCAACCCTGCTGTTGAGCCAGACAATACATCGACGACTCCGTCGCTTCCGCTCGCCATGTCGAGTGCCCCAGACTCTCGTCATGGCGCCCACGTCGCCTGCCCCGCACCGACCCCGGTCGGAGCGACGTGCCCGCGTCTCGTGACCCCTCGATCGTGTCCACCTGACGCAGGAGCGCAGCGGATGACGGCATCCGACACTTCCGCGCAAGCCATGCCAAGTTTCCAGGGTCTTGTCTGCCGGTGTGCCGACAAGCATCATCCGGCAGCAAGGCGACGTCTGCCCCGCGGGGAAGACGGCGCAGCCGTGCGAGAGAGAGAGCCACTGGGCGGAAGAAGGTTGACGGCTGAAGGATGGCGGCAAAACAAAGTTCCTCGGGGGCTTGGCCGTGCGGAGGTGCGCACCGAATCTTGCGTTGGCGCCCCGCTTCTGCGCGGCCCCACTCCGCGCTCCCGCCCGCCGCGCCAGCAGGCGAGGCTCTCGCTTTTTGCGCGCTCGCAGACCCTGGCCGTGCGGACCGCCTCATAAGGCCAGCACGGCGCGCGCAACTGTTGCCTCTCCACCACCGCATCTTCGCTTCAAGCTCACACACCATGGCACCCGTCGCATCCTACACCGCCGCCAGCGCGCCCGCGCCGCCGCAGCACCCGACCGAGGCGGAGATCAAGGACTCGCCGCGCCGCCACCACCTCTTCGGCTTCCCGATCTCGCACTCGGCCTCGCCCGCGTTCCAGAACATGCTCATCCAGCGCAGCACGCTCGAGCAGGGTGGCAGCGCGCCCTTTGCCACGTACAGCCTCTGCGAGACGAAGAGCGTCGAGGAGGCGCACATGCGCGCGCTCGTGCGCGAGGACGCGCGCTTCGGCGGCTCGGGCGTGACGATGCCGCTCAAGGTCGCCGTCACGGCGCGCCTCGGCCGCGGCGAGATCCTCGACGAGCTCGACGAGGTCGCGCGCGCCACCAGCACCGTCAACACCATCGTCGTGTACCCGTCGGCCTCGGGCTCGACGGCCGTCGAGGACCGCCGCATGATCGGCACCAACACCGACTACCTCGGCATCCGCATCGCCGTCCTGCGCAACGTCGCCACGCAGAACGGCCTCGACGCCAGCGCGTACATGGCGCAGTCGCCCGCCTTCCGCTTCCCGCCCGACGGCCGCGTCGCCGACGGCAGCGTGCCGCACTCGGCCATCATCACCGGCAGCGGCGGCACCTGCCGCTCGGCCGTGTGGGCCGCGACGCAGCTCGGCCTCTCGCCGCTCTACCTGCTCAACCGCGACGCCGGCGAGACGCAGGACGTCGTGTCGCACTTTGCCGCCGGCGGCTACAAGCTCGACCTGCGCCCGCTGCGCAGCGTCGCCGAGTTCGACGCCGAGGCCGAGCGCCGCGCCTCGGGCGAGACGGGCAACGTGGCCTGCTGCATCGGCGCCATCCCCGCCATCACGCCGCAGAGCGACGACGAGAAGATGGTCTACACGCTCGCCCACGCCTTCTTCCGCGAGCAGTACACGCCCACCGCCAGCAGCACGGCGCCGCCCGCCGGCGCCGCCTACCTGCCGCTGCCGGCCGCGCGCCCCTTCCTCGAGATGTGCTACAAGCCGCGCATGACGCCGCTGCTCAAGTACGCCTCGCAGCAGGGCTGGGCCGCCATCGGCGGCGTCGAGGCCATGATCGAGCAGGGCCTGGCGCAGGCGCGCATGTGGGCCGCCTCGGAGCCGATCCTCAACGGCAAGCTGCCCGAGCGCGACCCGCTCAGCTGCGCCACGGCCGCCGGCGACGCCTCGCCGCTCGGCGCCCAGGCCGAGCAGGAGGCCCGCGACATGGTCCTCGCCATGCAGGACGTCGTCGTGGCCTCGGCCGCCGTGCCCGACGTGCCCGCCGTCGCGCCCGCCTCGACGAGCCTGCCCGCCGCCGCCGCCGTCGCCGCCTGAGCCCGCACTCTTGTCACTGTCCCGCTCCTGCCTTGCTTTCGTCACACTTGTACAACATCACCACACACACATCGCGCACTTGAGAGACAATTGACCGCTTTGCCATTCCATCTGTCTGCATGGCCTGAGCCGCGGCACTGAGGATTACTAGACGCGCAGCAGTGCCATCGCGATGAAGGAGTACACAGGTAGCACGAGGTTGTCGTTCTGCTCGGAGACGCCTTCGAGCACGCCGAGCAGCACGAGCGCGGCGCCAAAGCGCATGCTCTGTGGACAATAGTCAGCGCTGTGCCGCCACGGACATTGCGCCGCACTCACGCTGAAGTCGCCAACCCAGCCGACCAGGCGCAGCATCCAGGCGCTGACAAAGATGCTGCTGACGAACGCAGCGCTGCCCTCGACGGTCTTGCTCGACGCCGGCCAGTACATGCGGCCGTAGCGGCGGCCGACGACGGACGCCAGCGCATCGCCGACGCCGAGCACGAGCACGCCCATCTGCAGCGTCAGAGACTTGGAGCCTTCGATCCACACCGGCGCCGCACAGCCGGTGAGCAGGTAGAAGTGGCTGAGGATGACGGGCCCGGCGTCCTTGTGGTCGGTGAACTCGGCGAGAAAGACGTGCAGCGCGGCACCGAAGGGGTACAGCGCATAGTAGCGGATGTACTCGGCGAAGATGAAGACGGAGAACGCCAGCGAGAAGGCGAGGTGCGCAAATGCCGGCTGTACCAGGTGTCAGCGCAGCAGAGATTCACGCTTAGAGTGTCACTCACATCCAGCGCAATGCCCGGCACGAAGAGCAGCACGGCGAGGGCGTGGAAGAACTTGCGGCGCGCATTGAGGCTCAGATGCGCCGCCTTCTTGAGCGCCACCGTGCCCGTCTCCGTCGCCGAGGCGGCATTGCCGACGGATGTGCCCAGCCCGCCAAGGGTGCGCACGACACCGACGGCCGTAGCGCGCATGTTGCCGGACGCAGGCGCTGCCGGCACTGCCTCGCCCACGTCCTCCGTGGCTGATTTGGGGTTCGAGCGCGCGACGCGGATGCGCTTCGCGCTCACCACGACGGCCTGCCAGCTGATGACGCTGCCGGCAATGAGCAGCAGCCAGTAGCTGATGAGCACGGGGCGCGACCACCAGGCGCGGCCGCGCACGATGAACTGCGCCGTCCAGAGCCACGGATCGCGGCGGCCCAGCAGCCAGCGCGTCCACATGCCGAGCACGCCGACGATGTACAACGCGGCGAAAAGGTAGAAGAAGCCGGCGAGCAGACGCCGGTGCAGGTCGCGCTTGTGCGGCCAGCGCAGGCGGTGCACGGGCTTCTGCGCCAGATGCCGCGAGAGGTAGAGCAGCGGCGCCAGCAGGAAGCCGACCATGTATGCGCCGACGACGAGCGCCAGCTGGAAGATCAGCAGCGGCGTCGGCGGGCGGAACGTCTTGACGTAGGGCGTCGTGGCGGGGAAGATCTGCAAGCGGGACATGAGGCGCTGGACCGCAGCGAGTGTCTCTATGCACGCACCTTGGCGATGGTAATGTTGAGCGCCTCGACGCTGAGCGTCACGCCAATCGCAGCGACGATGCCGAGCTCGCCGAGCGTGAAGCTCTTGCGCGCGAGGCGCGAGATGCAGTACAGCGTACCCTGGAAGATCAGCGCGATCGTGAAGAGCTCGCCGCGCGCCAGCTCTGCAGCAAGGGTCAGCGCAGCACCGGCAGAGAGAGGCGCTGAACTAACCAGTCCAGAGTGGCACGTCCATGCGCAGCGCAACCTCTCGCACCATCTCAAGCAGACTGGCCAGCACGACCTCGAAGACCAAGAAGCTGCCGAGGCGGCGCCAGTTGCTCAGCGGAAAGTCTGCCGGCCGGCGGATCCACTTTGTCGCGAGGAGGTGGCAGAGGAAGATGGTCGCCGTGAGCGTCTGCAGACTCAGCAGGCTGCAGCGTGCCGCGACGAGGGCCGAGAGACCTTCGGGCGGCGCGCGCCAGTGCGAGACGATGTGCAGCGGCTCCTCGATGCGCCAGAAGGGTGCCAACGGCTGGCCCCAGGGCACGCGCGGTCCGACCGTGTGCGCCGCATCTTCCTCGGCCATCAGCAGCGCACTCGTCGCCAGCAGTGGCCCGAGCACCAGGCCGCACAGCGCGCCGTCATCGTCGCTGATTCTGTGCGGGCGTCAGCGCTGTGGGCGAGACACGCGGTGCAGCACACTCACCTGAAGTTGCGCTGGTCGGTGCACCAGATGAAGCCGTGCTCGCCTCGCGGACGCAGCACGACGTACAGAAAGCTCGCAACGAGCACCCACGCGAGCTCTGCAGAAAGCGCGTCAGCAGTGCGCGCTGCTGCAGCTGCGTCGATACTCACCAAGCACATGCGAGCGCACCCGCGCCGACGGACTCGATGCCAGCTCCCAGCACGCATATGCGCCCGCACCGAGGATCAGCGCACCCTCGGCCAGCGCGCCGACGTTGAGGCGCCGCTTGATCTTTGGGCGCGGCGGGCGCGGCGGCCCGCTGGCGTCAGCAGACGGCGGTGTCCCGTGCGCCGGCGAGCCATCCAGCTTGCTGGTGCGCAGCACAGGCGACGCCAGGCCAGACTTGCCGGCTGCACGCCCAGCATTTGCACCCGGCAGCTGCAGGCGGCTCTGCCCTGCTGGCGGGACGGGCGAGGCGGTGCGTGCAATGCCGCTCGATGACCCCTGCACGTTGGGACTCGCGGTGCCCGCCGAGCCGCGCGCCGAGCTGTCGACGCGCAGCGGCGGCGATGGCCGGCCATTGTCGAGCTGCGCACGCATGCGCCGTGCCCGCACGCTGCTGTTGCGGTCGTCAAACGAGCCGCGAGCCTCGCGCGAGGGCGCGCCCGTCGAGCGCCGCACGTCCCAGTCAAAGACCTGCCGATCTGAGCTTGTGCTGTCCGAGCTCGTGCTGCCGTCTAGCGCACCGCGGCCCGAGGGCCCCGCGGCGTACGTCGACGAGTAGCGCCGCGACGACGTGCCGTTTGCCGGCCCGTCCGCAGCGCTGGTGGAGTCCTCCTCCTCGCGCAGCGCACCGGCAGGCACGTTGGAGCGGCGGCGCGACGCCGAGCGTGCGCCAGGCGCCTGCGACGAGCGGCGGCGCTTGACCGGCGCGATACCGGCGCCAGTGGACGAGGAGCTGGAGCCCGAGGCGACGGCAGTGGAGGTTGCGGCCGCCGCCGCCGCTGCGACCGAGTCACGGAAGCGGCGGCGCTCGCCGCGCACGGCGTCTGGCGCAGCCGCCGAGCTGCTCGAGCCGCCCGCACCGGGCACGGCGTGCACGGGCAGCGAGGTGCGGCGGCGGTGCAGGCGCGGCGCATTGACGTCGTACGTCGGCAGCTCGACGGCGGGCGACGTGATGCTCTCGTGCGACCACGACGGCTGCATCGGCGCGGCGGTGAGCGCGGGGCGCAGCGGCGGCGGCGTGTCGGGCGGCAGCTGCGGCATGCGCGGCGACGGCGGTGCCGGCGAGGGCGAGGGCGACAGCGAGAGGGTCGGCGAGCGCGACGGCCCTTCGCTGCTGGCGCGCGACGGGCCGGCGTCGCGCTCGCGCTGCAGCATGCTGGTGTGCGGCGGCGGCAGCAACGCCGACGGCCGAATGGTGCGGGCTGCGGGGGCGCGGGCAGGCGCGGCGAGGGGTGGTGCTGCGGCGGTGTGAGCCTTGAGGCTGCTGGAGGGTGTGGTTGCGGTGCAAGATGCTGCTGCGCCTCCTCGATGCTCGCTGCTGCTGCTCTCACCGCCTCGCCCGGTGCCGGCGCTTCCATGCGCCGCGTGCCTGTCAAGGGTCCCGGCACTGCGCCAGAGTGCCGGCCTCGGCTCCGGCAGCCGGCCACGCCCCTCGGCGCGTCACCGCGCACGGGAAGCGAGCGCCGATGCGAGGCACGCCGGCCGCACCGCACGCCCTTGGCCTGCTCCCGAACCGCCGGCTCGGCGGCAGGTGCACGCCTCTCGAGGTGCATCTCGCAGCGCCATCGCGAGGGCGGCGCGCTGCATGCTGCCGTGGCGCGAATCACGCTCCCGCACGCTGCTGACCTCCACGTTGCAGCAACGAGCGCAGCAGCTCCGCGGTGTGATTTCAGAGCGTAAAGCGATCCGAGCCCGGGCGCCAGCTCTGAGCACGAGGTGGCCGAGTGCGTTCAGGGGCAGCAGCACGTGGTACAGCAGAGAAGAGCCGCGGGATCGGCGCTGGCGGGCGGCTGCCGCGCTGAAAGTCGCTCGCTCGGCGGTGCCCTCATCTTGCCTCGCTCCTCCTCCACTCGGCCCTCTCTCACTCGCCATGCGGCCCACTCTCGCACGCCTCGCAGCCGCACCACAGCCCCCGCCGCCACGGCGGCCACGGCCCGGCCATCCCGCGGCCGCACGCGCCGCGGCCGCTGCGGCCGAGCGGCCTGCGCTCAAGGCCAGGCAGCAGACATCTTCGCCGTCGCTCAAGATCGGCGCGGGCGAGCAGAAGAGCCTGTGGGGCAGCTGGACGAGTGAGTGGTGGAAGCGAGCAAAGACGCGCTGTCTGCGGCCTTTCAAGAGTGCTGCATGCTCTGCCTGTGTCTCTGCCAGCCGCCCTCTGCGCAGCACGCTGACTCGCACACCCAGGCCTCTCGCCAAGGATCCGCATCGCCTGTGCCGCCGCACTCGCCAGTGAGCGTCCTCTGTCCACTCCAGCGCATCCCATCTGACTCCCTGCGCTCTTACCAGCGTTCGCCGCCGCCGGCCTGCTCTTCTCCGACAAACTCGAGGCCGTCGTGCCGGCGCCCGAGGCGCAGCGCACGCGCAGCGACGGCTCCAAGCCGCGCCTGCTCGGCATCAGCGTCGTCGACCGCGAGCCGGCGAAATGAAGGGCATGTGTGGGGGAGAGCAAATGGTGTGATATTGTGAGGGGCCGCGGGTGTGTGGGGTGAAGCGAGGTATGTGCAGCAAGCTGGAGAGGGGTCTACAGTGGGAGAGGGTCGTCACGGCGTCGCCTGCTGGTACGACAGCGCCGGCGCTGCGTGGCCGTAGGGCAGTTCATGGCCATGCCCGAGCGAGCCGTCGCGGCTCGACGTGACGGCACTGGTGGGCTCGGAGGAGACGTACATCTGGCGCGCGGCGTCGGGCGTGCTGCTGCTGCCGGCAGCGAAGCGCATCGCCGGCTGCTCCGGCGGCGGCGCGCCGTTCGAGAGGCCCGTGTCGCGCCGCTCGCCCAGGAAGGGCCGCCCGTCGGCTGTGCGTGGCGGTGGCGCCGGCGCAGCGCCCAGCGTAGCGTCGAGCGGCGTCTCGGAGCGCACCGACCACTCCGAGCCAGTGTCGAGGCCCGCCAGGCTGGGACGTGCGGCATGCCGCGCCGTGCCATTGCTTTGCGGCGATGGCGCAGCATCGAGAGGCGCCGGAGGCGCCTGCGAGGCACCCTCGAAGAACGGCACGGAGGACGGCCCAGGGCTGACGATGGCGTTGCTGCGGCGCAGACCTGCAGTGCTGGCGACGACCAGCGGCGCGTCGGCGCTGGACGCTACTGGCGAGTGTGGGCCCGACGGCTGCGCGCTCAATGCCGGCGTGGCCGCGGCTGTGATGCCCAGGCTCGGGCTCGGCAGGTCGAAGTTGGAACCGCCGGAGCGCGTCAGCGGCGGCAGGATAGGCGCGCCGGCCGTCTTGAGGTCGAAGATGTCGCCGGCGTACAGGATCAGGTCCTCCATCGTGCGGTCCTCCTCCATCGCAGCGGCAATCGAGGTCGTCTCGTGGTCTGCCTCGGAGAGGATCACTGGCCCGAAGACAACAGAGAGGTTCGATGCGGTCTGCGCAGCGGGTCAGCGGCAGCAGGCCAGAGCTCTGCCAGGCCCACGCACCATCTTGTTCTTGTCCGAGTACGAGGCGACCTTGGCCAGGTGCAGCGTCACGGCCTTGAGCACGGCCTGGTTGATCGGCGGTCTGTGTGTGCCGGCGTCAGCTCCATGACTGGCGGGCAACGCCGCGTCACTCACAGTCTGCGGATGCGGCCCTTGAGCGCGGCAAAGCCGTTGCGCATGTGCTCCTCGCGCTCATGCGTGCTGTTGGGATGTCAGCATGTAACGCGCTCGGCGCACTTCGCCCAACTCACTGCCGCACGCGCTCCTCCCACGGAATCGGCAGCACAGGCTCAGGCAGCTGGCGCAGGTACTGCTTCAGCAGGCCCGCCACAGCCGACGGCTCCGTGTCGTCAGCAAAGCCAAAGCGCTCCTCGTCCTTCTCCACGGCGTGCGCCAGGCCCGTGACCGTCGTGTGCTTGGCCGAGGTGCGGTAGATGCCGGCCTGCTCCAGCGCGCGCGCCTCGATGAACTCGATGCACTTCGTCACGATCAGCGGCGGCTCGATGCGCGCGGGGCCGAGCACGGGCGCAGAGTGCTGCGCGCGCGAGAAGGCATAGTCGATGAGCGACGTGCCGAAGCTGCAGGCGAGGGGTGAGCTCCGGCAGCGGGGACAGAGCGAGAAGCCTGCTCACATGAGGTCCTTGCATTCGCCGTAGAAGCTACGCACAGCGATCAGCAGTCTGCATGCCAGCAGTGTGACGCTGGCACTCACTAGTTGATGTACGGCACCGGCCCCTCGTCCAGCGTGTCCAGACGCGGCAAACGCGCCTCCAGCTTCGCGATCTCGCCCTCGAGCGAGTCCGTTGTGTGCTCCACGACGCTCTCGGCATGGTCGTGCAGGCTGAGGCTCGAGGACGCCAGCACCACGCGCGAGCGCTCGTTCTGCAGCCACACCGCCCGCGTCGTCTGGCCCAGCTCGCGCCGGCACTCCAGCACCGAGACGCGTGCGGCCTGCAGTGTCTTCTCGCGCCGCAACCGCAGCGTCTCGAGGTCGAAGATGACCTTGCGATACGCCTTGTCCGCACTGCGTGGCGTCAGCAGTGGAAGGGCGCACGCCAGCCGCACCGCACTCACTCGTCCGCCTCGCGCTTGATGCGCACGCTCTTCAGCGCCATGTGCTGTGCGTTCTTCATCGAGCCCGAGCCGCCGCCCAGGCCGCCGTCGCCACCCAGTGCGCTCGCCGCGTAGCTGTCACCGCTGCTGCTCGGCACGCCCACGCCGCGCTCGGCGGCGCCCTCGCGCACACGCGCAATGAAGGCATTGATCTTCTTTGGCGCTTCTTTGCGCGCCTGGTCCCAGCCATCCTTGCTGCGCAGCACGTCGAGGAAGTTGGGCTTGGACTTGTCGCTCGTCGTGAGCCCCTCGCCGGCGCTCCCGTCGCCCTCGCGATCCGACAATGCGCCGCCGCCGCTGCCGGTGCTCGACTTGCGCCGGTGGCTGCGGTCGCGTATGGAGCGGGTACGCCGCGGCGGCGAGCGCAGCAGGCCCCCGCTCGAGTCGCTTGGCGGCGACGAGCCGTAGTTGAACTCGTGCAGATCCTCGTTGGAGCGGTCCGAGCCGGGCGTGCGCAGAGGCGCGGCCAGCAGCGTGCGCTGGTCCTCGACGGCCTGCGCCTGCAGACGCAGCTGCTCCACCTGTGGATCGATCAGCAGCAGCTCTGCCAGGAGTCACGCCCTGCTCACCTCTTCACACTTGCGCTCGTACGCCCTGCGCGTGCGCGGCAGCGTCACGTTGCGCATCTCCTCGTATCTGCCGCAGCTCGTCTTGAGGTCCTCCTTGACGCGCTTGCGGATGCGCTCCTGCGCATCGCGGTACGACGTGAGCGGGCCGATGACCGTCTGGCGCAGCGCCTCGACGTGGTGCAGGCGCATGTCGATCTCTGCGGCGCAGCATGAGTACGTGCATCTGCGACAGGATGCTCTCTGCCGCTCACCGCGCAGGTCGTTCTCGCGCAGCTCCCGCCAGACGCGCCGCGCCGCCGGCAGCTCCGACGAGCCGGGCTGCGAGCCCGAGCCGGCCGTGATGCGGCTTGCAGGGGCGTGTGAGTACAGTGCTCTCCACAGCAGTAAACCTCTGCGCTCACCTCTCGATGCGCACGTCCGTCTCGCGCTGGCGCTCGACGAGGGCGCGCAGGCCGCGCACGTACTCGTCCTCGAGGCGCGCGCGCGCCTCGTAGAAGGCGAGGTAGGCCTCGGCCTCGGCGATGCTGCCGCGGAACGAGTCGTTGAGCGCGGCGGCGAGCTCGCCCGCGGATGCAGCAGCGCCGATGCTGGGCGTCGTGGCGCCGGTGCCGAGGTGCGACGACGAGTCGCTGCCGAGGTCGTGCGAGCGGCGGGCGGAGGACATGGCGGGCAGGAAGGCCTCGCGCGGCGGCGGGCGGCGCGGCGGCGGAGCGGCGCGGGTGGATGGATGCGTGTGGAGAGGAGGCAAGGAGCACACGCCCGGCGCGGATGCGGGGCAGAGCGAGGTGCTGTGGAGGGAAGCTCGGGTGCGATAGCGGCGGGGCACGGCTCGGCAGCAACTTTGGACACAGGAGAGCGCGCCGCGAGAGGAGCCACGACAGCAGCGCGCGCTGCTGGCCGGCGCGCGGCTGTGCTCCTTCCCACGCTGCACGGCCACCTCACTCCATCGCCGCGGCACACTAGCGACTGCGCCTCCTCTCCCTCGACGACGAGACGCACCGGCATCCGAGCTTGCACTGCCGGCGCCGGCATCTGACACGGCCCAGGGTTCGGCGCGCCGACGCCGCATTCCCGCGGACCGCCTGAACGCAGCTGTGCCGGACCGGCGGCTGCGCGCGCTGATGTGCTTCTCTGCTGCGGTGCTGCGCGCCGGCGTCACGGCGCTGTGGCTGTGGCTGCGCCGGGGCGAGCCCGAGTGCCGAGAGCGGGATCGGCGAGCCGAGCCACAGCATGGAGCTCCACCTCGCGCCTCAACGCATCAGCCTCGCCTCGCCGTCGCCCGCCCTGCCTCTCGCCCCCATCCGCCATGTCGCACGCCAGCGCCGTGCACGCCAAGCCGCCCGGCCAGTGGGCCGTGCCCATCGACGCGCGCCCGCCGCGCTCGGCGGCGCTGCAGACGGCCCTCTTCGCCCTCTACTTCAACGCATGCATCCTCGTCACCCACGCCACGCAGTACCTCTTCGTGCCGCTCGCCGTGCTGCCGGCCACGCGGCCCTACTTCCACGCCGGCATCCGCTACACCAAGCATGCCTTTGGCCGCCTCATCGTCGCCATCACGCAGTTCTTTGCGCCGACGAAGCTGGTGCTCACGTGCGAGGGCGCGCGTGCCGCCGCCGTCGTGCGCACCGACAAGAAGGGCCGCTTTGCCGGGCTGGACCTGCCGCGCCGCGGCGTGTGGATGAGCAACCATCAGGTGAGTGGGCGATTGAGCGTGGTATGCGGAGCCGGCCCAGCATCCGCCTCAAAGCGTTCGATGCTGCTTGGAGCCAACGGGTGCTGCTCATCAGGGCTGAGCACAGCTCTTCGCCTAGATCGCAGCTGACTCTTGTACCTACAGGTGTACACCGACTGGCTGTATCTCTGGGTGAGCAAGACGCATCGTTTGGCCCCACTCCTCGTGCTCACACCGCTCCAGAACATCGCCTACTTTGCCGACCTGGCCGACAGCATCACCATCATCCTCAAGGCGTCGCTCAAGTGGATCCCGTTCATCGGCTGGGGCATGCAGTTCTTCGGCTTCTACTTCATCGACCGCAGCAACTCGGACGAGGCGTCGCTGGGCAAGTTCCTGCGCGGTCTGGGACGCGCGCAGAACGGCAAGCTGCTGCTCCTCATCTTTCCCGAGGGCACGCTCGTGTCCAAGCTCACGCGGCCGAAGAGTGCAGCGTTTGCGGAGAAGGAGGGCATCGAGGACCTGAAGAATCTGCTGCTGCCGCGCAGCACGGGCCTGTGGACGTGCCTGCGCGGCCTGCGCGATGTCGAGGATCTCGAGCTCGTGGTGAGTGGCTTGCAGCACACGGCGTGGCGATGGCAGAGCAGTGGCAGAAAGGGGCAGGCCATTCGCACAGCAGCAGCTCACACGCTCCCGCAGGACTTCACCATGGGCTACCCCGGCATCCCGCCGGCCGGCTACGGGCAGTCGTACTACACCCTCACGTCGATCTTCATGCAGGGCGTGCCGCCGCCGGCGGTGCACATGCATGTGCGCATCACGCCGGCGCGCGAGCTGCCGCTCGACGACCGCGCCAAGTTCGACGCCTGGGTGCTGCAGACGTGGCGCGACAAGGACGCGCTGCTCGACGGCTTCTACGAGACGGGCGTCTTTCCCGTCTCGGAGAAGGGCTCCGTGGCGCGCGCAGAGGTGCCCATCAAGCTGCGCGGCATCCGCGAGCTCGGCGACATTTGCTGCTGGGCCGCACCCATCTGGCTCGGCTGGGCGCTCTACCGCCTGCTGCGATGAGAACGAAGCTGGATGCACAACTAATAATCTATTCGCCTCGGTCCTGCGCCAGCTGCGTGCGTGCCTGGTGGACCAGCCGGCCAAGCATGCCGTCCGCGGCCTCGGGACGATCGGCGGCCCACTTGCCGTGCAGCGCGAGCACGCGCTTGAGGGTTGCAGGGCTGTTGCGCTCCATCAGCAGCTGCAGCACGAGGAGCCACGTGCGCGGGCGCGGCGAGGGCCCCTCGGAGGTGCAGCGCTCGAGCAGCTGCGTCGTGCGCCGCTCCAGCGCCCGCACCGCCGGCTCGGGCAGATGGCTGGCGCTGAGGAATGCCATGAGGAACGTGTGCACGGCCGGGCGCGGGAGAGGCAGCTTGCGTGCGCGCATGCGGTCCCAGATCTGGAGCGCGATGCCGACGTTCGGCGCCTCGCGCGCGAGGCAGTCGAGCACGCCTGGCTCCTCGCCGGGCGCGGACAGCGGCACAGGCGAGGAGAAGGGCTCGGGCAGCGTGGAGAGCGCCTCGTGCACGTCTGTGCCGTGCCGCACCACGGCGTGTGCGACGGCGTTGTACGTGACCTCGCTGGGCAGCGGGCCCTCGGCCTCCATCTTGAGGAGCAGCTCGAGCGCCTCGCGGAAGTGCGGCACGGCGTGCATGCGCGCGCCGCTGGCCTCGAGCGTGCCGCCGGGGTTGAGCAGGCCCTTGAGCAGCGCCGTGTGCGTGTACACGTTTGGCGCCTCGCCGCTCTCGCGCATCAGCTGCAGCACCGTGGCGGTGGGCGAGCTGCGCCCGGCGCGCATGAGGCCGTCGAGCACCGTCGTGTACGTCACCACGTCCGGCTCGATGCCGAACTCGCTCATGGCACGCAGGCGCGCCTGCAGCTCGGGGATGTCGCCGCGCCGCGCAAAGTAGCGCAGCACCGTGTTGAACGTCGAAACCGAGGGCCGCGGTGCGCCGTTGTGACCGGCGACCATCTCTTGGAGCAGGCTTTCGACGACGGCGATGCGGTCAGAGGTGACCTGGCCGTAGAGCACGGCATTCCACACCTCGACGGAGAGCGGGCCCTGCGAGCGCGCTTCCTGGAAGAGGGCCATGGCGCGCTCCCTCGCCTCCTCGACCTCGCGGCCGTGGAAGAGACCGCTGATGGTCGTCGTGAGCATCTTCGGCGTGCGCTCCTCGGGCCGCATGCTCTTCCAGGTGTCCCACAGCGCCGTTGAGTCGACGACGCGGGCATAGCCATGCAGCAGGCCGCTCCATACAGTCGACGATGGCCGCGGCTTGCCACTGCGCACCAAATGTGCCTTCCACGCTGCAGCCGCCTCTGCCCGCTTGTCGAGCCCGAGCAGCGCCTCCAGCAGCGACGCGGTCGTCTGGTCGGTCCACTCTGCATCGGCACCGCTTCGCAGGTAGCCGAGCTCAATGGCACGCTGAGCGGCAGCGTCCAGCGCCAGGACAGCGTCCGCCTGGCGCATGCCGGCAAGCGAGGCGAAGCGGGTAGCGAGCGAGTTCTGCGTGTCGGGATCTGAAGTAGCGAGGGACCTGGCCGGCTCGCCGTCGTCCTCTTCGTCCTCGGCCTGTCTTGCTGGCAGGCTGTCGATGCCCCACGAGGCATCAAGCAGCGGCGCAGCTTCCATCGCCGCTTCTCTGGCCTGCTCGGCGTTGGGCAGCAGGCATGGCTGCTCCTTGAAGACTGCATCACACGTACGCCTGATACGCGGCAGCGAGATGGTAGCGGAGCGCAGATGCGGCTGGCCGCGCACGAGGGCCAGCAACGGCTGCAGGTCTCTGCTCTGGCTGCACCAGCCCAGCATGGCGAGCGACACCAGACTCAGAACCTGCACATCGACGCCGGCGTGTGTTGGCGGCGCCGCGCCGATGAACGTGGCTGCGAGGCGCGCAGGCGTGTCGACGTCGCCGGCACGCAGACAGAGGCGCGCCCAGTCGACGGTGAGCGCACTGCGTCGCTGAGCCGCTGCCAGAGCGTAGTCTCGGCGCGCCGCTGCGATGGCCTCGGTGTCGCCGCCGGCGTCCTCCAGCTCGCGCTTGGCCAGGCGCAGCAGCAGCACACGGTCCGCCTCGATGAGCCGGCTGCGGCCCTCGCCCAGCGCCAGCCAGGCCTCGTGCACTGCCGCGCCATCGCCAGCGCCGAGCGCAGCACGCAGGCGCAGCAGCCTGCCGTTGTGCTGTGTGGCGGCATTGTCCCGCGGCGCCGCCATCCACGCCGGCTGCCGTGGCGGCCGCGCAAAGGCAGGCTTGGGCGGCGACAGCGGTTGCCAGACGTCGTGCTCTGCGTATGCGGCTGCGCGCGGCTGTGCTCGCTGCTGCTGATTGCGAACTCCGGGCAGCTGCCGATTGCCCCCGGTGCCCTTGCGTGCACGATGCTGCGGCCGAGCGTCGCCTGCTGCGGGCTGCGACACGGCGCCGGCGACGGAGTGCGAGTGGGCGGCGCGAGATGGTCCAGCGTGCGAGGGGGCGGCTGAGCCGACGAGTGGCGCGGCGAGCATGCCTCGAGCGCGCGCTGCGGCGCAGAGGCTGCGGTTGAGCATGCCGGAGTGGTGCGAGGGGTGGAGAGGGTGTGGTGGAGCGGAGCAGGGAGCGACAGCGGTGCCAGGTGCCTTGTCCACCACGCCGAGCCATGCGCACGCGAAGGACAGAGGGAAAGGCGGCGCCTCGGGACTCGGACAGCGCGCGGGCCGAGCAGCGCCCGATGCCCGATCCGGCCCCCGGGCGAGCACGCTGGGCAAGCGCTGAAGCACGCAGCAGCGGCGAGGCAGCGACGAGGGCCAAGACAGCACAGCTGGGCGCCAGGGCAGGTGCGCTTCAGCGACGGAGCGTCTTCCTCGAGAGGCAGCGAGCGCCACTTGCCCTGAGCCGGAGTCTGGCCTGTCGACTGACGCGCGTGAGGCGCCAGACGGCGCCGGCATGCCTTGCTCAGCGCGCACGAGGAGCGACGAACGCAGGCAGCGGACGGCAGTGGAGAGTCTGAGCTGCGCACAAGAGACACCGGCAGCACCTGCCGCAGCATCAGCTGCGATGCATCGCTGGTGTGCTGTCGGCACGGTGTTGTTGGGGCCCGCCGAGCAGCTGTTCCCACGAGGCAGCCGGCACCCTGAGGCGACTTCGAGGCGAGGTGGAGGGGCGGCGCCCGCGAAGCCGAACGTGCGCTGCGCCGGCACTCTTACTCGCTGCTTCCTTCCCACCACATCGTCGACACCGCCGCCCGCGCAAGACTCGTCTAGACTAGACTCGGTAGACCGCACCACGCCTCGAGGATCCGCCGCGCCCTCGACACCGCCCGCTCGCTCGACTCTCGCGCAGCTGCTCCGCCCGCCATGGCCGGCTCGTCGGGCAGCTTCCTGGCGCGCGCACACTACGTGGTCAGCCGTGCCGCACCACCGCCCGCAGCGAGGACTCATGGGCTCACGCTCTGCCACACAGCCGCTCGTCGGCGGCGCCCTCTACGTCGCCTTCGTCTGTGCGCTCATGACGCGCAGCTTCCAGGCGCAGTGAGTGCCGCTGGGCCAGGCACGGCCGCAGCGAGGCGATGCTCAGACACTCGGACAGCAACCTGTACCTGCACAAGATCCAGTTTCCCTTCAACGTGAGCGACCACACTGGCTGTAGCCGTATCGCAGACGCCTGACTCGTCTGCGCAGGCAAAGTTCTCGCAGCCGGAGCGCTACGGCCTGGCGCGTGAGTGCTCAGCTGGCCGCGCCCGAGCTGCGCCTCACGCCATGCACCCCTAGCGCAGAAGACGCGCAATCTGCGCTTCACCACCAGTGACGGCGTCGAGATCGGTGCGTCGTCTGCTGTACGTGAGCTTACTGTCGTGCTGATGCTTCTCTGCCAGGTGCATGGCACGTGCTTCCGTGAGTGCTGGCGCAGTGTGGCTGCCGAGTCGCCAAGCTCACAGCGCGCGCCTCAGCGACGTGTACCACCGCAAGGTGTTCCCGAGCTTCGATGCTGCCCCGCTCTCGGACGACGCATACGACGAGGCGTTGCGTGACTACCCGACGGTCATCTGTGAGGGTCCGGTGTCGCAGCGACGCTCTGCACGGCGCTGACGCTTGCTGCAGACCTGCACGGCAACGCAGCGAACCGCGCTGCCCCGTTCCGCATCGCCTCGTACAACCAGTTCACGGCGCGCACGTCGGCCAACGTGATCGCCATCGACTACCGCGGCTTTGGCGACTCGCAGGGCGAGCCGACGGAGGATGGCCTGGCGCTGGATGCCAAGGCGGCGTGGGACTGGCTGATGGAGCGCAAGGCGGCCATCGGCGTGCCCGAGGCGGAGCGTACGCGCAACGTGCTCGTTGTTGGACAGAGCCTGGGCACGGGCGTGGCCGTCGCGCTGACGGACATCCTCGTCAAGTCGGGTGCGTCCGAAGCGGGTAGTGACCGAGTTGACGCTGATGCGAGTGCCACACCCAGGCACGCCGCCCGAGGCTATGTTCCTCATCGCGCCGTATATCTCGATTGCGCACCTGATTACGTCGTACCGCATCGGCGGCCTCGTCCAGATCTTTGCGCCACTCAAGCTGTTCCCGAACCACCAGAGTGCGCAGGCGTGCCAGGCCACAGGCAGCTCTCCGCTCATGCTCCTCGCACAGATCTTATCCCGAAGTTCCTCTACTCGCAGTTTGCCAACTTCAAGGTCGTGCCGCACCTGATTCGCGCCAGCGGTCTCTCCGTCGAGGGCGCCGTGACGCCTGCTGCCGCCGAGACGACGGCAGCGCGTCAAGGCCACCCGCACATCATCATCTCGCACGCCGACGACGACGACGTGATCCCATGCGCACACGGCGAGGCGCTCTTCGACGGCGCGCTGCGTGCCCACCTCGGCCTTGCCACGGCGCCGACCTCGCGCGGCACCGCACCGCTCGACGAGAAGGCCTGGCTGAAGGCTCGCAACGCCTCGGTCTCCATCACGCCGGCCATGTCGCGCGACGGCGCCTGGGCGCAGGTGCACTCCTTCTCGACGGGCAGCGGCGCGTCCGTCTCGCTCATCCGCACGCCGCACGGCGGACACAACGGCGTCGGCGATGTGCGTGGCGTGCTCGAAGCGTCCTGTACCTCACTGACCGCTCATCCTGCAGGGCGTCGTGGACATCGTCGGCCAGCTCTGTGAGTGCGCCTCTGCGCCTCCTCCGTGCCTCACTCACCACGTCACGCAGCTGGAATCGCCGGACCCGTCTGCCCGTGATCTGTGACCGAGACGTGGCACCTAGAATAGACGATACACGCGAGAGCCCAGGCGGCGCTGTTTTCGGACGGTATGACATTGCGACGAGTGAGACAGGGACGGAGCGAGCGACGACGCAGTGAGAGTACATGGGCAGCGCGCATCCGGCTGCTCGCACAGAGATGCAAGGCAGCGGACCGTGGCGAAAAAAGGATTGGAGACAAAAAGAGTCGGGCAATGGACATGCGCGCGCGTTAAAGGGGTGTGGGGCAACGAGACAGAATCCAGAGGAGAGGGCGTACGAACGGACGCCTGCGCCACGATTCATCCGAACGTGCCGGACGCAAGAGATGCAGCGGCGGCAGAAGGAGAGGGGTAGAAGAGCAAAGGAAGCGACGGTCGTAGTATGTGTTGTCGTGCTTGGGATCGTCGGCGCCGAGGCAAAGGGGCCGCTAGGCGTAGCAAAGGCGTGAAGTGGCCGTGAAGATGAAGGAAGTTGCGTAAGGAGAGAAGGATAGCCGGTGACGGACGGGAGAGTGGCATCCGAGGCAGCGAGGAGCGGCGGGGCGAGTAGTGCAGAGAGTCGCCTCAGCCGGACTGATCATCGCTTAGAGCGGCGACGGCTGGCGCCAGCGCTGACGGGCCTCAAGGTCCTCGGTCTCGCGCTTGAGCGGCGAGGGCTGGCGCCAACGCTGGCGAGCCTCGAGGTCCTCGGTCTCGCGCTTGAGCGGCGAGGGCTGGCGCCAACGCTGGCGAGCCTCGAGGTCCTGCTCCTCGCGCTTGAGCGGCGAGACGCGGCCCCAGCGAGCCTCGACGTTCTCCTCCTCGCGCTTGAGGGGCGAGACGCGACCCCAGCGGGCCTCGACGTTCTCCTCCTCGCGCTTGAGGGGCGA